CCTATAAAATATATGGCCCCTTGTTAGCAAAGCTAAGACAGGAGGAGCGTCAGGTATAAAGATGCTCATCATTGGCCTCAGAGAAATCTTCTTTGGCCTCAGATCGTAACAATATAAAACCGTCATCCTTAGACCGAAGTCCTTTTGAAAACCTGCCATCAAAGCATATGCAGATGGCCAATGATGAGAGCGTTCTCTGAGGCCAAGTGTATGTGAGATAACAGCCTATAAAACAGATTTAGCAAAGATAAGATGGGAGGAGCGTCAGTTCATAAAGATGCTCATCATTGGCCTCAGATCGCAACAGAAAAAAACCGTCATCCATTGACTGTGTCCTTTTGAAAAACTGCCGAGAAAGCATATTCAAGCAGCCGATGATGAGAGCATCCTCCGAGGTCGAATACAATGAAATAACAGCCTGTAGAACAGATTTAGCAAAGCTAAGGCGGGAGGAGCGTCAGGTAGTGAAGATGCTTATTATTGGCCTCAGTTCGTGTGACAACAAAACCGTCATGCGTGGACCGGGCCCTTTTGAGAACCTGCCGAGAAAGCACATTCGACTAACCGATGATACGAATTCCTTCAGAGTAGAACCGACGCCGCAAGCTGGCTGCTATGATAGTATGTCAGCATTCCAGTGATTGAGAGGATGGTATAGAAAGAGGCGAGATATGCCGCAAAACCTCCAGCGATGGTGAGCTATGATATTACCAAGTTTGCAATAAATGAGCGAGAACGCGCTAAATGTTTAGGAACGAACAATAATTTGAAGCTGTTGCAGGAATGGATCAAAGTGAAGGCTGAAGATAGAGTTTGAGAAGAGGGAAGAAGATGATAACAATATCTAAGCAGAGAAGAAAGGTACAAACAAACCTGAGTTGGCAGGAGCCATATTCAGAAATGTTTTCCGTCGATACAGAAGCAGCATTTTATCAAAGAATAATATGGAAAGGCCTAATCAGTTTTCTTAGAAGGTGCGAAATGGGTTGAGCACAGAAGCACGAGTATGATACGTCAGGATAGAGAGAAGCGATCCTGTAAGAGATCAACGATATGCTGATGACATATCGATAATAAGATGTCGCGCCGCAAGAAGCTATTCATGCTGAGCCTTGAAACTATGGCCGCAATCGCTGATTCAGCGACTTTATTTCAATTTCAAGATAGCATAATGCCTATCTAAACTTTGAAACAGAGAGCAGACAGTGCTGCAACAAATTAATGAAGCAAAGAACACATTTTCATGTTACGAAGGGGTGAGACAGAGAATAGACAAGTAGTTCTATTACGACCAGTCCGGGCAGAGCACAAGACGCTTCGAACGACAGTACAGTATTCTCCAGAGGCCAGACGAGCATCGCGGGCAAACGGACGAGACGGTCAGCCGCCAGTGAGAGACAGACCCTAAGGTAAACAGCTGTGAACGACGGCCCAAAAGCGGGCCTGCTAACGAAGCCATTGATCTCATGAAGAAGTATGCTCGATCAACCAAAGAAGTTTTTGGTTCCAATCATGTGCACATGCTGAATTCCGAAGAGGCGCTGAACTGTTGAAAACTTGCAAGTCTGGATCTTGTGTCCGCCTGATCTTTGCCATAGAATGCAGTACACCATCATCTAGTAAGCTACAGATCGTATCAAGGAAGCTCGGAATTTCGGGAAAGGTAGATTCCTCCAACATTTCTCGCAGACTCTAGGTGCTCAAAATTGCGAGTAGCCCGTGCAGGCTCTGTCCTGCAAGAGGTAGTCCTAAGGGCTGGGCACTTTTGCTCGACTGTAACCATTCGCAACTAAGATTCTAGAACACAATCCCTCCGCCGTCCACGACAATGTCGCTCCCATTGATGTACGTGCCGGCATCACTGGTAAGCAATACGACAGCCCCGGTCAATTCTGATGGGGAACCCATCCTGCCGCTTGGATTTCGCTCCGCCCAAACCTGTCGTACATGGGCCAGACCGTCTCCTTCGTTTAGAATTGTATCCATATACCCAGGCGAGACGCTGTTAGTGCGGATGCCGTACCGTGCCCATTCGGCGGCAAGACAGCTCTTGAGAGTCAGCAGCGCTGCCTTGCTCACGTTGTACGCAGCTTGAGGCTGTGGAAAATTTACACGGTGGCCGCTGATTGACGCGACAAACGTGATCGACCCCCCCGTTCCCTGAGAGACCATTTGTCTGGCTACTGCTTGGGCGCAAATGAAAGACCCAGTGGTGTTGATGTCCAGAATCCTCCTCTGCAAAGTCATTAGACACGGAATTGTGCTGCGACTGCGGTTTGGAACTTGCCCATTGACTCGCTGGCATGTCCAAAGCATGCACGCAACCAACGACTCCTGCAAAGCAGAGCAGGTGTTCAACGGATCCGAAAACTGAAGCCGCTTCTGCAACGCCCGCGGCAACGCTGCCGTCGTCTGTTACGTCGATGCTTCGAGCTTCGATACGCGCATCTGGGAATTCCCCTCTCAAAGCGATAAGTTCATGTTGCACCTGACCAACGTCGAGATCAAAAACCATCAGGCCTCTAAGGCCGTGCTGAAGCAGCGCCCTCGAGCATGCTAGACCCAACGTTCCCAAACCACCTGTTACTATAGCATTGCCCTTGACGTTGAACCTCTGCTGCGCTGCGAGGGCTGGCTCAACCGTCAGATTTGAGCTTGCTGCTGGTGGAAGCGAATCTGCATTGCCGAGCACCATCAACGGAATCGTTCGCTTGGACAACTCCGCTCGATCGTCCACCTTGAACTCAGTAGCTGCTGGAGCCATGCTTGGATATAAGACTGGAATTGCAAAATAGGGTAGGTTGGGCGTGCAAACGGATAAGTATACGCCACTCAATGCTCTCTGCTTTTGGAAGAAAAAAAACAAATTGCACTGAAAAATTACTGCCGGAAAAATTCTCTCTGATCTCTGAGTTCTTCAAAAAAAAAAAAAAAAATTGCCTTTGGGGCTGACTCTTGTGCGACTACCTGGAGAACAAACGGCCAATGTGAACTTTCGGTCAACAGTCAGCCGACGCCAACTTTCTCCACATGGGGATTTGACTCAGTTCTCTAACCGACGGTGCACATTCCACAAAACCTAATGACCACATGTTCCCTTCGGACGACTGAGCGCCGAAAAGCTTTCTGCCAGCTCTAACCCGGCGATATTGTTCTGGGCGTCCATTACTGGAAAGAAAGTCATGAGATTTCGCAAGGTCAAGTCAAGAAGTACACAGAGCGTCTCGAGCATTATCGGGCCATCTGCTACTTCGTCCCACCGAGTATTGTCATAGATGAAGATGGAGTCCATATACGTCTCTCTTTCGGAGCGTGCTCTTCTTGTTCATCAAGCAGTTCAAAATCGAAATGAGAAGAGAACAATCATCCTCCTTGCTGGGCCACCGGGGTCAGGGAAATCCACCATTGCCGACGAAGTTGTCCTACGATTGAATGAGAACTCAGAGAAGACTGGAGTCGTAGCCTCCGTGTTGCCGATGGATGGTTTCCATCTCTACCGCAAAGAGCTAGATCAGTTGCCTAACAGAGACGAGGCATACAAAAGACGAGGTGCTGCGTGGACTTTCAACGCGGATAAGCTTTTGGCTCTTGTGAAGCAGCTACACCACTCAAAGATTTATTGCACACAGACAATACTGGCTCCCGGCTTCAACCATTTAGAAAAGGATCCTATGGAAGAAGCGATCGCCATAACGCCAGAAACGAATCTGCTTCTCGTCGAAGGCTTGTGGTTACTGTACCAGAAAGAGCCTTGGAGCAGCATTAGCGACTACGCTGATGACACCTGGTTTGTAGACGTGGATCCGACGCTGGCGAGAGATCGTGTTGCGCGAAGGCATATCAAGTCCGGAATTGAGAAGACCTGGGATGCTGCAGTGAAGAGAGCGGAAGACAATGATCTGAGAAACGGGGACGATGTTCGCCAAAATCTAGTGCAGGTCGCTGTGCGGGTAAAGAGTGTCGAGCTTGGATCCGATAGCCCTTCAATCTCTCTATCACACGCATAATCGAAGATAGGCAAAGCTTTACTCAAGTACTTTCGAGTCAATTTTGAGATTGAAATTGAAGTCGAGAGGGATTCCAACTCTAGCTTTCATTTGAATCCGTCCCATGCAAAATGCTACCTGTGATGCTTTTTCAATCGAATACAATAGCTGCTTTGATGCACGTCTTGTTTCTAACAGCATCCAACGCCTCGCCAAACTGTTCTAACTTGAACGTCTTGTCCACGATTCCCTTTACGTTGACTTTGCCACTCTCGAGGTAGCGCACGCTTCGACCAACACACCACATCTCAGAGAATGATCTGCAAGGGCAGGTCAGTGCAAGAATGCTACATCATCGCGTCATCAAGCTTACCCGATTATGGTGATTTCGTCCGAGAAGACCTTGGATGGCGAAACTTTGATCAGAGCCTCCTTCTCGTACACCCCGTAGTATATGAGCTTTCCCCCCCGAGCGCAGAAATCAATGGCCTTTTCAAGCACGTGGTGAGATCCTGAGGCCTCAACGACAACGTCGAATCCGTAAGGGTATTTTTCCTTTAGGTCTGCCCATTGAGATGATGGATCAGTTCTGCTAAGCTCGACATACTCGTCCGCGCAGTTGAGCTTCTTAGCCAGGTCCATCTTGGGACCTTGATTGGAGGCCAACACGACGTGCTGACCGCCGTTGCCCTTGAGAAGCTGAGCAAGACACAGACCGGTAGCCCCTGAGCCGATGAGCAGGATGGTAGATCCAACTCCCGGCGCGATGCGGTCCATTCCGTGGATGGCGCACGATGCGGCCTCGAAAAGAGCGGCCTCTTCCCATGACAACTTCTCGAACTTGAACAGTTTCTCGGCCGGGAACGCACAGTACTCGGCAAATCCGCCGTCCACTGCCGACACGTTAGCCCTAGGTCCATTCTCCGGACTCGCATCTGGAAAAGGCGCGTCATGTTTCACAGTAAGCGTCACTTACGGTGCACTCCGTGAGCGGCAAAGTTTTCGCAATACAATAGCTTTCCCTCCCGGCAGTAGTGGCAGTGTCCGCAAAGCTCAGAGTTGTCCGCTGTAACCTTATCTCCAATCGAGAACCCGGTCACGTCGGCTCCGATCTTCACTACAATTCCGCTGGTCTCATGTCCGGTGACTACTGGCATCCTCGAGTCGAAATCCCCGTTGTGGATGTGAAGATCGGTTCCACAAACGCCGCAAGACTTGACTTCTCGCAATCAGCTCTCTGTCAACTACTTAATCCCTTTAAACTTGCTCACCTTTGACGAGGATCTCATGCGCTTTCGGCTCTGGAACTGGCATCGTGACCAGCGACCAGTCTTTGACTTTGTTGTATCGAATCGCCTTCATCTCCGTGGGAATCTGGAAGGCCAGGCTGGACTTGACGCCGTTTGTCCCATTGGCAACGGCAATTCCGTTCGATGCGGTCATCTTGTGTTCAGGTAGGTTGGATCAGCAGGCGAATTCAATCGAGGATGGAGAGGCGGACGAGCGAGCACGTAGTCAAATGGTAATTTTAAACACGAATTATGGAACAAACGAGCAAACTTCCCCTCGCCCGTCTTCGGCATTTTTCTCATCTTCCGACTCTAGGCTTGAGCAATGACTAGAAGACAATTGTCGGTCGACAGTATTCCGACGCCTTGCACCAAAGAATTTGCGTCGGAGAACAGTGCTCCGTCAACGACGGCGCCTTAACGTCGCTCGTGAGTGCTCCGACAGCCCATACAGAGCAATGATCTAGACCAATCTTGGAAAGGGAGGCTGCGTAAACTTCTGATCACTTGGTCGTTAGGACTAACTTTGCAAGACTCAAGGTGTCGTGTGTGGTCTCGGGGCCCCGCGAAGCTTTACCCCAGAAACCCGGCCGTTGACCATCCTATTCGGTCGTCGGGTAATCGCCCGGCTGCTCTTTCCTCCTGAATACAAATATCGATGTGATTCCACCATTTGAGCAGAACCATTCTTTAGTATCTTGAAACCAGAGAGAGCATCCACCTTTGACCTTCCCTTCTCACTCTGTTCAACATCACAATCATGGTTGCAGGAGGTGCTATCCCGGAGATGTCCGAGATCTCCTACGGCCCTTCAGGTATGAGTGATTCCAGTCATGATGATTGTATCAAGTTTCTAAAGCGTGACATGATGAAGGCTACAAGGGCTTGGTGAAGGAACCATACATTTTTGCTCTTGCCTGTCTGGCTAGCATAGGAGGTTTACTTTTCGGGTATGTTTAACAATGAGAAAAAAAAGGAATGCTTGTCACTACTGAATGACAGCTGACCATACGTATAGTTACGATCAGGGTGTCATTAGTGGTGTCTTGGTTATGCATGACTTCGTAAGATGACATAATGCCAGATATGCTCAAATGCTAACATTTTAGCAGGGCAAAAAGTTTCCAACACTTGCCAATGATCCTACTCTTCAAGGATGGATGGTTTCTGTCTTGACTCTGGGTGCTATGTTTGGCGCTTTTGCCAATGGGCCTATTACGGACGCCATCTCACGTCGCTGGTCCCTCCTCGTTGCAAACATTGTTTTCTTGCTTGGATCTGCTCTTCAAGCTGGTGCTGTCAATGTACCCATGATATTCGTAGGTCGCTTCATTGCTGGTCTGTCGATCGGGCAGCTTTCCATGGTCGTTCCACTCTACCTCAGTGAGCTATCGCCTCCAAATATTCGTGGCAGTCTCATCGCTCTTCAGCAGCTAGGTATAACGGTTGGAATCATGGTTGCCTTCTGGTTGGACTATGGAACACAGTTCATTGGGGGTCGCGGAGAAGGACAGTCACCAGCTGCATGGCGTTTCCCGCTCGCTTTCCAAGTTGTTCCGTCTCTCATTTTGGCCGTTGGAACCTTCTTCCTTCCATATAGCCCACGTTGGCTGATGGAGAAAGGTAAGCCAGACACCGTGGATGAATGGCATTGTGATTTCAACTGACGAATCCAAAGGCCGTGAGGAAGAGGCATTTGCTAGTCTTCTCCGCCTACGTCGTGTATCTGCTGATGATCAAAGAGTCAAGCTGGAGCTTGCTGAGATCAAGGCCGCGACCATTTTCGACCGCGAGAGCACGGCTGAACGATTTCATGGCGTTAACTCCTCGTTCAGCATTGCTATTCGCCAGTATGTGGAGCTATTCACGGCCAAACACCTGCGCCAGCGCATGATCATCGCTTGCCTGTTGCAAATCATCCAGCAATTCACGGGGATCAACGCCATTATATACTATGCGCCTCAGATCTTCAAGGCGATCGGTCTCAGTGGCAATTCAGTCGACCTTCTCGCTACAGGCGTAGTCGGCATCATCAACTTCTTTTCCACAATTCCCGCGCTCATGTTTCTTGACAGATGGGGCCGGCGCAAGGTTCTCATGATCGGTGCTACTGGCATGGCCATTGCGCAGCTCATTGTCGGAACCCTCTTTGCCGTCTACAAGGACAGCTGGAGTTCACACAGAGCTGCCGGCTGGGCTGCAGCTGTTTTCATTTGGATATATATTAGCAACTTTGCATTCTCGATTGGATGCGTCAACTGGATCATGCCGTCCGAGATTTTCCCTCCTGGAGTGCGTGGCAAGGCCGTCGGTGCTGCCATCTCGACCAACTGGTTGACGAACGTGCGTAGATATTGATCTGGAGAAGTGAGGAAATGAAGCTAATACTTTGTAGTTTATCGTTGCACTCATCACGCCTCGCATGCTTAAGTCTATTACTTTCGGAACTTTTTATTTCTTCCTCGGTATGACGATGAATGATGGAGATCCATATAGATGACTTGTGGCTAATTCATTCCAGTATTCTGCATCATCCTATTCGTCTGGGTTTTCTTTTTCGTTCCCGAAACCAAGGGCGTGCCTATTGAAGAAATGGACAGAATTTTCGGAGGAAACGAAGCCGAAAAGGATGCTCAACGTATGGCAGCCATTCGTGCGAGGCTCGGGATGGGTAACCAACCAGAGTCTTCTGTCGAAGAAGTCCTGGCCACCAAGGAGGTTTCTTCCATGAAAATTGAGTCCGCTTGAAACATCAGACCAAATTACGGCTACATCATAGGATTCAGAGAGACGATATGACATGAGGCCGGACATTGATGTACATGCCATGGCTTCTACAGTCATGTCTATCCTTGAAAACCCTCTCGTAACCAGTCGTTGTTGTAAATACTGAAGTTGATATAATCAAAGTCTCCACGCTCTTGGTTGCTAGGAAATCCATGAACGCCATGAAAGAAGTCCTGAAACGGCGCAGTGTCCTCCAACAGCATGTTCAATGATGGGTCCATGACTCCAGCCCAGTAGTCGCCAAAGTTATTCTCCAGTCCGGCCACGTCTTGCGAGACGCCTTCGGCGACGGAAACTAGCGTCCGGGGACTCCTGAGGCTGTCAGGGATCGGCTCTGGACTGAGATCAAAGTTTGGAGCGACCATATCACTCATATCATGAATGGTAGTGGAAGATGCCGAGAGAATGCGGTTAAGTACGTGGATGCATCGTCTAGCTGTTTTGCTGATTGATGCAAGTTCAGTTAAGAACTCCATGGCTTTGGACAGACCAGACCTCAAGATGCTGGAATGATCGAGACTCAACGCATCCGTAGCTTTGCTTTCATGAGACGACGAACGTTCGAGGGCCTGGATTCCGAGCACTAAACTTGCTTGGAAGAGAAAGTAAATCATATACCAGTTCAGCCCAGGGTGCAACACATCAGGATGCTGTTTACTGAAATTTGAAATGCTGTCGATACTCTCTAGGGCTGCCATCATGCACTTGTAACGAGATTCTTCTCTGCCTGGCCAGGCCTTTGGGTATCGCTGGCTTGCCTGGAAGAGTAGCATTCGCAAATTCATTTCTTTCCATCTCACGACGCTACGCGGGCCGAGAAACCAAGAAGGCACGTTGTCAGCGTTGAAATAGATCGGTAGCGAGGACCTCCAGGACGAGAGCTTTTGCTCCATGGAAGAGACAAAGTTGTAGCTTACTTCTACGGGTGTTCTTGCCGAATGGAGTCCATTGTGTATTTCATTGGCGATGATGGCTAATTTTGCTTGTGCAATGGATGCCGAATGTTGAGTCGGGTGATCGACCTCGGGAGGAACAGAGTCCGTGAGAGAACAATCCTATTGAAATGTTAGGTGTAGATGCATGGAAATGACAAAAGCCTACCGAATCGTCAATGTTGCGTGGTAATCTTGTGTCTATAAAAGTGTCCGAAATCATGATAGGCCTGCCAGTTGTGATGCTGAATCCGCTATCAAAACAGTAGAGTATCCAAAATATTTGACGCCGTCTCTCACGATCAACGGTGTCATCGTCTTCAAAGTGCGGAAGCTCTTTATGCAGGCCAAGCCCAACGGCCATTCGAGAAGCAATTCCGATAAAATTATACCCCGTGTTCGGTCTGTCTATCTTTTGAAGATAATTCCCCTTGCGGACTGTAAGTATATGTGAATCGGATCCATCAGATGTCGCCGGAGCTAAAACTTACCATCAGTAAGCATGCTTCTACAGTTTTAACCGTGCCGGACTCCAGAAGGTCTGTTGAAAAGAGTTGCCTAGCCGCATAAAAATACGGAGCCTTTCGATGTTCTGCTTCGGGGCTCGTCATCCAGTGGCCAAGAGCAAGGACCATGTAAAACGTAATTTGCCAGATTGCGCCAACCGACGTTCCACGAGGTCTGCTCTGATAGCGCTTCATGAATGTTCCTTCATGGACGATCGGATAACAGTGGTTGTAAAATCGAAAGTAGGCATGAATCAAGCTGTCCACAATCGCAGAAGTGGCGAGGTTGTTGAGCAATTCAAAGTTAGGAGCTGCATGAGGTGAGCTGTGCGACCTCACACCGTGGGATGATTGTGAACCTGCTGATGATTCTTGTGACGTTGTCTGCGGGAGAAACTTGGACACACTTTGGAGCAGATGCGAACCTGAGCTGCTTCCTGATATACATGTTAGCCCGTCCTAAGCACAGATATTTTTCCTTCATACCGAGATAGCCAGAGTTTGGTGTTTCGGCAGTAAGAATGGCCATTCCGTCCCTGGAATTCTCTTCGCTCTCTTGCGCTTCTTGCACAGCCGTCCACGAATTCTCATGCCACTCATACTCATCTTCGTCTTGGACTGCTTGCGGGTCGGGAGTAGCAACATTATCCTCGATGGCCTTTTCAATATCGAGATCTGGTGCCAATGAGCGTATGATGGCCTCTAGTTGTTCACAGCGCCGCTCCGCTAATTCAAGATTCTTCCTTGTTAAAGACGTCCGCATAGGCGGCGCCTCAAATCGGCATCGCTTTCCCTTCTTGACACAGTACGCGCAGGCCTGGCTGGCTCCGTTGCTCCCAAGACATCTTGTTTTTCGTTTCTGGCATTCAGTGCAGGCTCTCTGCGCACCACCCCGAAACCGTCGTGTAGGTTGCATGCTCGTGAGCAAAGAATCTCCCCAACATGACATGCAATGCTATAGTGTTGATCGCCGCACGTGGAGCACTTGGTAGAGAGAATAAGAAAATTGCGGGGATGTGGAGCTAAACCACTTCTCCAGCACCTAGGCCCAGAATTAGATCAAGGCAGTAACCGGATGTGCGCTGAAGACAATAGCAGTAGGTTTCTAAATGGACTGCATGGCATCATTCGTTGCTGTTCTCCACTTTCCAGCTAGCCGCTATCTACAAGAAGATACAAGTGCTTCCCGGTTGGTTGTCAAACTTGACCCATCACGGGTAGGTCATGATACATGGCTGCCAACCTGACCATACTTTGTTGCTCGTTGGACAATTTGTCTGACTAAATGCGCTGAGTCTCGTCACGTTTATTTAGTAGGGCACAAAATTTGAATCGTACCAGTGCTTGAACAGTTAGCCTTCGGACTACTGTGCTCCGATATCGAATCATTTCAACAAGGGCCTCCCAGCAAAAGTGGAGAGTGAGAATACTCGAAGTGTGCAACACATGCATTTCATCTGCATTCACATGGTGAATGAAAGAGACATGTGTCGTTTCATCGTGAAACTTTCATAGTTTTCTCTTGAAGACTTGTACCTGGACAGGCGCCCTGTCTTGAAGCAAATACGCGAAGATCAGTCAAGAATTTTGAAGAACTAACCAGGTATCAGCGAACAAGACCTCGTTCGGACACTACGTAAGGGGCCAGGAAAGATGAGCAAGATAACATAGGATGAAGTCCAATCCGCCTCCCAGAGAGGTGATGCCGAAGCAAATAGTATGGGGACAGAGGCACAAAGCCCACAACAAAGTCGAAAAGAGATGTGAAAAGTTGAGCTAAATATTACACAGCTGGTAGAACTAAGAAGATCAAGGTTCTTGGGTCAAAAGCTCAATTCGATTTGCAATCTTTGAGTTTCTTATCGGTGACTCGATAGGGTTTTCCAGTCATTTTAGTTTGGACCTGCACGTCACAAGCCATCTAAACTGTTTATTTTCTCCATGACCAGGGAAGCGCATCGACGGCCTGAGATCAAAGCTTGATGGCGCGATGGTTTACTGTGTTCTTCGACGGAAGCACAATCAAGTGCTTAGGGTCTACAACAAAGCCACTTCGACGGCAGGCGTGCTTGACCGTTCAATGGACGGACCTTGCATAGAAAGTACATGGAGATTGGTCAACGTATGACAAACAAAGAACCCTCAATCACGATCAAGCAGCTCTGGTCCTTGCAACGGGACAATGGTTCAGCCGACACGAGCCATTTCGAGGGTTGGCTGGGTGCTGCCTGGACGAAGCGAAAAGCCATCGTTCGTATTCATGGTCCAGAGCGGGGTAAGCAGGTGCTTTCGCGCACTTTTCGCGATAAGCACTCGAGCATCTACCAACGCGACGTGTCAGACATGATGCAAGTCTGCGTTGTGGTTATACTCTTGCCATGGAGAATGCCGTCGCTGAGGTGTATAAGAAGACCACCAGAGGACCATCAGAAGTGAGGATAGAGAGAGACAGAGAGTCACTTGAGAAAACCCTTCCTTTCTCGCTTTTGTTCAACCGTCTCTTTCATAAAGAAACTCTATTCCATTGAATCAATCTGTCATCAGTTCCAACCATGTCTGAGCAGACTTGGGAAGCCCCACCTGAAGGCTCTCTCTGCTGGATAGAGATTCCAGCTCGGAATGCTGAGAAAGTTAGAGTCAGTAGGAGACCTGTTTACTGTTGGTCTATAACCTGCCCAGTCAATTGACAAGATACTTAAGGATTTCTACATCGCCCTCTTCCCTTCTTGGAAGTTCAAGGAGGAGCAGAGCGAGCAAGACGATGGCACTGTGGTATACCAGTATACCTTTGAGCGCCCTGAACGACTGGGCGGCGGCATCGTACAGATGCCCAAGGACTGCCCTGAGCATAGCCAAAGCATGGGCGCAGGCTACACCAATTACTACATGGTGGACGATGTGGACGAGGTGAGTCGAAGATGAAGGCCGTTAGAACGCATTTGCTGAACGTCACAAAGGCCGTAGCTAGGGTCGAAAAGCTGGGTGGCAAGCTCGTGTTGCCGAAGCGCCCTCAAGGCAAGTCTGGCATGTTTGCCAATGTGGTTGATGTTGAAGGGAATAGGTTTGGTCTGTATCAATGGCTTGGAAACAATCCAGCTTAGGCGCCTGCGACGCTTTCTTTGCGTTTCTGCCTACCTTTGGATTCTTTCAGTGCGGAAGGACAACGAGATGTGCTCATTAATGATGAATCAACTGCTGATCGAATTCTGTTTAATCCTCCGTGTAATTGTCCAGTCGTCGAAAAGTGACGTCGTGGCCCTCCTGCCTATCAGGCACGTACTGTGGTAAATGCAGCGGCAACTCGCCCGGCCCAAGCGCCCCAGTGTTCAGTGCTGCATGTCCCTGATCTCATACATCGCAAACAACCCAAACCACCAAATATCTTCGCGTCGACCTCTTTTTTTTTTTTCTTTATCCAAAACAATGGCATCGTCACGCAAGCGCAAAGGCTCTGATGCTGGGGATGAGGAGGTTTCGGCCAAGAAATCAAAAGGCTCTGTTGGCCCCGAAAAGCAGACCGACGACGACGGCAATGTCTTCTGGGAGGTGAGCACAACCTAGCGAGCCGCGTCCGCCCCGTCGATTTCGCAAGCTCATAGGAATACATAGTTATCTGCAAAGCGACGCCTCCAGATCTCAGAGTATAAGGGCGTGACCATGGTCAACATTCGCGAATATTACCAGAAGGATGGCAAGACGCTTCCAGGCAAGGCAGGCATCAATTTGCCCATCGATCAGTTCAAGACCTTCCTCTCCGTTCTGCCACAAGTTTTCAGAGAGCTTAAGGACAAGGGCGTTGAGATTGAGCTTCCGGATTTTGCGGCTGCCAGGAGTGAGGTCAAGAAGCCGAAGAGATCGAATATAGAGGAGACAAGTGAAGAGGACGAGGGGGAGGACTGATGGGGGACGATTCTAACATCAAAGATACCCATATGTGTACAAGAAACGGAGTTCGGGCGTTCTGCGTGATCGCGCCGCGTACTTGTTGGCTGTTTACATGGCTACAAGTGGGGAGATGGACACAATGCGGCAATTCTGAACACTATATGAGCTTGCTTGCGCGTTGTTTGCGCTACCAGCATGCAAATTTCGGATTATTCCTGCTTCAGACCATCACAGCTAATATCAAGCGCGTGATTCTCCCATATTTCGCGCTGCCTCTTGCAAGCTCTGTGCATCGCTTTGAGGTGTAGAATCAATACCTCCAGCCTGTCGCGCTCAGTCCAGGCCTCCATTTTCTGATATCTCTACACTGTGGATCTAAGCGTACCATCGGGATCACAACGTCGTCTTGACGCTATTCAGACACGCAGGCATGACAACTCTAGTGACTTTCACATATTAGAACAACAGGCACAGAGCATCAAACGAACCATCAACATAATATAACCAGTGCCTTTGAATTATAAAGCCTGCTTTTTCACATGAGGAAAATAAATCTCGATGCTCTGAGACAAGATGTTTGAAGGCAATCACCATCTCTACCCATGATGATCATCGTTTCTGCCAAACTCACTGGTATCAAACACACTCACCAGTCACCAAAATCTCAAGCAATACTATATCCATAACCTCAGCACAAGATCTTCAGTCTCGTACAGGGAGCTTCACTGGAAGATAGAGCAACCGACTTTGCCAACATATCCACTCATCTGCCTGTGTCTAAACGATAAGGCGCAGTAACCAAATAAATTCCTCGAGAAAGGCATTAGTGCAGCACGATTCTTGAAACAAAGAATGTCGACCTGCGCAGCGCATATGACGGTCGCAGAGAGTCAAAATATGTCCAAGTCGACGATGTTAAAAATCTCGTACAAGAATTACATGCGCGATCAGCATCAGCAAAAGATTGAAATCAGAAAACGGTTCAGGAATACAAAGATCCCCAAGTGCGAGCACCAGAGGGAAACTTCCGAACCGAAGAGACTGAAGATCACGTATAGAAACTGGGAACGGGATCTCGAAGCGGCCGAGAAGGCTTCGAAGGCAGAGGAAGGAAGGCGCTCCAATATCAGAATCAGGGGAAATGTTGTGAAATCATCGGGTCGATTCCGTGGCTTACCCACTGCCGAAGCAGATAAGCCTTTATGGATTTGAATCAGAGAAAATGGAATACGATCATTTGGTTCTTTCTTTATCTGACCGCTGTAGGCGCTGCGCTTTGAATAATCGCTGTCTACATTCTTGACCGTTGCCTTCTGGTGTCTTGTGTGCAAATTACGCACGTACATGAGGGAGCTCAGTCTAGAAATCTCCTTGTACTCTATGTTTATGCCGTAGGTTCAATGTAGTCTCTTGCGCCTTCTGTGCTGTACAATACGACGACGTCGTCGCCTCCTAGCTTAACGGACCTGTCCTCCTTCAGCTTTAGCAGGGCGGCAAGCGTCGCTGCACCGCATGGCCCCGCGTTCACGCCATGGCCGTGAAGATACTGAACGGCACGATGCGAGGCTAAATCGTCGATGACCACGCTGGCGTCCACACCCTCTCGCAAGTACGGCCACGCGATCGTCGACACCGTTCCGCAGTTCATGCCGTTCATGATCGTCTCGCCTGTGTCTATGGACACGATCTTGCCCGCCTTCAACGACGCGTTGAGGCAAGCCGCTACTGTCGGTTCCACCGTCACAACGGCCGCCGGCGATGTCTTGGACTTGTAGTGCGCAACCACCGCGTGCGCCCAAGAGCCGACACCTACAGCTGCGATGGCCAGCGTCGCCGGCGGCGAGCCTTGCGAGTCAAGCTGACGATCGACCTCGGCCAGCATAGTCGAGTATCCTTCTGTAACCCATCGAGGCGTCGTCGTGTAACCCTCCCAGCTCGTGTCGAGCACGAGGAGGTCCCCCGTCTTCTCCGCGTGCTCCCGCGCAACCCGCAGCGCGCCGTCGTACTCTTCCGGAAGCACCGTCACCTCGGCCCCCTCGCTCCGGATCTTCGCCTGCGTTGCCTCGTCCATATACCGCGGAACGTACACCGTTGTCGGCAGGGCAAGGTACTTTCCCATCCTCGCGACTGCCCTGCCCCAATTGCCCTCGGTCGTCGTGACGAGCCTGAGTTTTTTCTCATTCGCGGCGGCTTTCAACTCGTCAACCTCTGGGCCTGGCGAACCGCTGTCCACCGTCAAACCCGCGGCTTCGGTCACGGCACGATAGACAGCCCACGAGGCGCCGAGGATTTTGAAAGCTGGTAGGCCGAACCTTTTCGACTCGTCTTTGACGTAGATGGACTTGACACCAAGTTCTTGCGCAACATCAGGCAGGGAAACCAGTGCAGTCTCGTTGTAGTCCGGCAGGGTCATGTGAAATGGCAAAATGTGCGGGTTGGTGAGCGACGAGCAGCTCCATGACTTGGCTGATGGATTAACAAAAGTTGACATGTTGGCCGACTGCTCTCAATGAAACTCTTTCTCTAATCATGTCGAGATTCACGAAAAGTTCCAAAGTCTGTTGAGCGGACTTGGATATTTCTTATGGCGCATAACGCGCGCCCTTCAGGCTTGTGAAAAAATGTCAATCTAGTGCACCCCCGCATTTCATCGTCTAGTCCTCGCATCCAACTACAACCTGCACTGTCATCACAAAAAAGGAGGGACAATCGGAAGTAATATGATCCTCCTAGAATCTACGCTGGACTTTTACGGTACCAGAATTTGAATCCTGCAATCAGCTACTTTGAAAAACAACGGGGTCAAATCATGTTCGATCGAGTGACGCAAGTCTCCGGGGGTTGTTGCATAGACTAAGTGGATTCAGGTTTCTCATCAGAGCGTGTCCGGAGTGAGCGCGAGAGAGTGTCCAAGTCCTAATCGTATCAGGGCTTCATAACACTTTTTCTTGGAATGGCAATTGGAAACTACTTATGAGACACCCTTTTCCTTGGGCCAACATGAATTCCGAAAAGCACTTAGACGAAGCTGGTAGACTTCTACACTGACTTCATTCTAGCCCTTCTGATCCGTGCGGCGAAGTTCTTGCAAAAGTGTTGACCAAAGTATCATCCTGGATAATTGGAAACTAAATGAAGTATCAGAAGCATGGTTTGGCTGCCATTTCCAAGATGCGAGCCGGGTATAGTGGACCATTCCGTCCAACGTGCTCATGGTAGTGGCCATGCAGAATGGACATCGCTCACAGGATTTTCTGGCTCTTTGGGGTCGCCGTTGATAAGGTATGGTTCAGTTCGAGACAGAATCCAGTCCCAGAGAATGTTTCTACTACGTTTCAATATACAATGATTGGGAGCTATGGTTCACTTGACATGAAACGGAGCAATAGAAACGTGACGATGATCGAATAAAGGACAGCGCACGAGTCACCTTGTTAGCGTTTCCCGCATTATACGCGGAACGCCTGGTCCGTAATTCGTAGTCTAGCCTGTCTAACTCTTTGTCTAGGATATCTCAAATCATGCAGAAACGCTATTCAACACTCAATCCACCCAATTTTGAAAAGCATGTAGCCAGTTTCATCGCCTCGACCAACGCCTCGCTGCTTCTTGAAAAGTTGCCTCTCGATAATTCTCAAAGCACGACCGTTCTTGATCAAGGGCGGGGCGTCTTCGAAGGCGATTCCCACTGTAGCCGAAATGCCCTCAAACTTACCATGATTTCGCAACGTGATCATAAGCCAAAATACACCGGCAGGAGCCAGCAAAACGCCTGCACAGTCACGCAACCATCTTGCATGCTCTGGTGCATACACTACATCAGCAGCAAACAGCATGTCCATAGTAGATTCCAGTGCCGACGGTGGTGCAGACCAGTCGAGAAACATGGCTTTGGGGGCCGATTCGGCATCAGAACCTGTCGGAAAATTTGTCGCGATGTTACCACGCAGGTTGTCCAACACCGTGGGATGAAAATCTGTAGCGGCGATTGACGGGTTCGCGACGCTCAGCGCGGGAAGCAGCTTTGCCAGCGTTAAACTGACCAGACCTGTTCCGGCGCCCAATTCAAGGATCTTGGCTCGAGACGGAAGCACATCAATTCCAAATTTTTCAGGCGTGGAACAAAGCAGTTCGGAAAAGACGATGCTGGCACCCCAGCTCTGAAGACCGACGTCTGTGTGGTCGGTTCCGGATAGTGGCGCGTCGTTCAGGCTGATTTTGACGGCTTCCGAGGAGATCGGATTAGGAAATGCGAATTCTCGAGTAAGTGCCTGCTCAGCGTCGTCATGGCCAGGATCAGTGAAAGAGGATAAGATTGATGAGGCTTGATCGATGATCATCGCAGTGTCCTCCTCATCGAAGGGAAGTTCGGCGCCTCGCGCTATCAATGCGGTAAGCCATCGTACGGTGAAAGATCGCTCGAATTCGTCCACACGTATGGTTGCGACATGATCTTCCACGTCTGACACGTCGTCCTGTGCTACCTCGTCCTCAGACACATAGCCGGAATCGACAGGCTGAGGCTGGTGGGGCTTATCCCTGTGCAAGACTGTGGGCAAACGCAGCGGACAGTAGATTTGCTGAATGTTGCGCAACGCAGAGAGCAGCTCGTCTTTCGTCACAGACTTCAGTCGCCGCACTGGTGGTAGACTGCTTGTTGGAGGCAAGCAGCAGGTGGTGATACTCATCGATTACGTGCAAAAGGACGAAGAAATACCCAAGACACCTAGGAAACCAGTAGACAAAGGAAAGCGATTGGCAAGGAACGAGGGCGCTTGGTCGACCTGAAGTAGTACAGAACTCAAGGAACGAAATTCACAGAGGATAGGGAGCACAGCAAGCAGAGTCGTTCCTTGCCATTGATTAACTAGCCCCAAAGCTCGGGCTTTTACAGCTAAATTTTTCACCGCCGGGCTGATGTCAAATTCGGCCATGGCTAGTCTGAGGCGCTGATAAAGTCCGAACCGCTGGAATCACGAGCGGAAAAAAAGGCACGTGGGACCGGTTGCCAGGCCACAAGCGCTTGCGCCGGCTGAAACGAATCGTGCTGCTCCTCGTTCCTGATCGATCTTTTGCCTCTGCCGAAAGCCGTGGGCGAAGATTTTTGGCTGTTTCGCCACGTGGGGACGTGGAGTGGAATTCTTCAACGATTTCCTAGCCCAAAGAGGACTAGCGCAGAAGGCCCTGATACCCTTTTTCGTAGTGATTATCTGCCTTTTTTGGTCTTCAAAGCATTACCCGCCGTTCTGAATCTTGAGATTTCTTCCTTTTAATCTTTCTGCGTGGATCGTGGAGAGAGGTTCGAACAAGATGTGACGGTCTGGTACGAGGACTATAGCTCTTTGCAAACTTTACTACTGCGTGCACTTGTTGGACTCATCGTCATACCTCTGACGACATTGTTCATGTTACGACTTGAGCTATTTGCTTTCAATAAGGCAGCAGCTCGATTCACCAGTGGTAGGTCTTGCTCACCACCACCTTTCATTATATGCTAAAGCCCCAATCTGAAGCAGTGGCATCGACCTCATTGGATAGTATTCGGCGTCCGTGCACCCTGGGCAACTGGTAGGCCCGCGGACTGTTGCCTTGCAGCGCATCTTGAAGCTCACCTTTCTTGTCGACCATGACATTTTCGAAACAGGATCTGTTCTAGAATGCGTCATGATCAAGCCAATCCATCCTTTTTGTCTCTGCCCCGCGAGCTGCGTGACCGCGTCTACGACTTTTACACCGCTGAAAAGGAGCCTTTCCAACTTCATTATCCCTTGCACGTAACGCTCGACGAGTTTGAAAATGATCTGAACAAGACAGAGGAAGAGTTAGAAGAGCTTCAATTCGATCCAGATTGGCCGTGCCGTAACGACCATGCCTTGCCATACGTATGTCAGAGGCTGCTTTGCGAGTACGTCGATCATCAACGTCGCGCCGGCACTCTTATCCCCGTCTTGAACGTCAAAGTTCCAGTAAGCGGCGCCGAACCAGTTTCTGACCAGCACTTTCTTGAGGAGTTCCCGGAAATTGTTCTGGCGATGCCGTACGAGACCAAATGCCTTGCCCTCCGGCTCGACTTTTCTAAGTGAGGATCATGCTCAGATACTTGGTTTGCTAATAGCGATTTAACAATCTAACCGCACCACAGTTACCTAGCTGCAGAGCAAATTGATGAAGCGGGCTCTGCCAAAGTATACCTGCCAAATGAGACTATTCTTGTTTCCACAGACAATGAATCAGACAATGTGTATACCGGACTTTCTTCTGGAAAGCTTGGAGCCGGAGTACCGTCGGACAAGCCCGTCGTTTATGAGCCCGAATCCGTCATAACGTACATCGTAAATAAACTCGCTTTTATCGTTGACCATTACGTCACCTCATCTTTCCTTCAATTCCAGCACGTGGTAAACTTCAGGATCATTATTGCTCACAAGACTTGTCTCCAGACTCGGGTCGTGCGGACGTGTATCACCAAGCTCGTCACTCATATACGCCGTAAGATCACTAAGAATCGAGCCTTTGGCGCTCTCACGTGCTCTCGTGAAGGGAAGAACGCAAGTGGTGTTCAATTATGCGTAGTCGAGAATGAGCAACATGTGAAGGTGAAAGGTCCCAGAAAGGGGTTGACACACATGAAAAAATGTCCAGCGGACAATAAGTGGAAGATTGCATACATGTGCGCTCTGGACTGCCTGAAGGCTCGATATGACCGCAATGATCCAGTGCAACAACATCTATGTTCAGAAGCACGTGCACGTCTGATCGACGAGATCGCGAAGGATGGGATTCGGCAGCGCGAGGACGGCAATAAACGCAGCGCGCTATACAAAGCGAAGCAAGAATGGGTCAGGCGGAAGACAGGCGAAGCCGAGGCTATGGTTGCAGAGAGGAACATCAAGGAATTCGGAGCAAGCGACGAAAGCGAAGAGGAGCCATAGGCTAGAATAGCGGCGCAAGCCTCGTACTCTATCTTCATACGGCTGTGGCACACGACGGCTTGAACCTGACAAAGCGGAATGAGTCGAGATGAAGCACACATGTACAGCCCTCTGCCTACCCAAGCAACCACGAAGCGTCGAGCAAGGTCTCAAAGCATGCGGATCCGACTTCCGCTTCTGTTCACTTGGAAGGCGAGATGCCAAAATACGGTGCAGGAATTATGTTCCAGCAAGAAGTGAAGGGACAAATAGGTCTGGTGTCCAATTTTGCTTCGGGAAAATAGGACGAAGGCTTGCGCTCGGTCCCTTGGCCGTCTTCCGCTGATAGCTTCTTGTTGCTGGCTGTGATAATATGACGAGGCTGCTGTAACTCTGCACACTGTGTAACGACAGCGTGATCAGATACATGAAGCATAAGTCGTGACACGTGAAAAAGGACAAGAAAAATTGAACACTACGGCAAAGATAGATTTGCCTTATATTACAGACGTATGCACAGCAAAAGCCAAGTCTGTCTAGTTCTTCCAGAGTGTGGGTATCATTACCAACGCCGTCCTTATGCATATATGCGCGTCTTCGTGTCCGTCTAGCAGACTTGCAGAGTCTCATCCTAGAATAATGCGCAAATGCAGAAGATGAAAACAGGCGGAGCAAGGTGTAGCTGTGTCTTTCTCTGGACTTTTGTAACGCGGCTTCGTTCCACGAGGTTGACTGGAAGTTCTGAGAGGATAGTATGGTTGGTTATGACTGCGGATCCCGCTTGACTTCCGTGCCGTCCTCCCAAAACTCAACGTCGCCTTCGGCACTCAGCGTGCCTCGCTTGATCAATTGTCCCTTCTGCTTCATGATATCCTCCAGGGTGACGCGCTTGTCGGAGAAGATCTGTCCACGTCCGTCGTTAGTCTCGCATGCGCGGCAACGGCAGTCTGCCCTCGCGTACCTTCAAGTGGTCGGATATGAGATGTCTGTTCTTGCAGCCGGGACAGGTGATGACCACGGTGCCGTGGTGGTAGCCCTGCTTCGACATCTTGTGCGTCGAGCGCGTGTTGCATTGCTTGCATGTGAACGTCATCTCGTACGCCGGCGTGTTCGCCCATCTATCCTCGCTGTCCTTGGCATCTTGGGGAGAGCGTGCATCGCCTCCGGAGGTCAGCGTCGAGTTGTGCCGTCGGCCGGGGATGAGGAATGGCTTCGGAGGCGACACCGTCGCCCGTCGTGCGAACGCGAGCCGCTGCGACGGAATGCTCGACAGGACAGGGGCCGAATGGACGCATCTCGGCTTGGCCAGAGACTCGAGGCAGCGCAGAGCGCCTCTTGACAGGCGCAACAAGGTCATGTTGTGCTTGAAGGTGCTGCCAGCGGATATGGCTGACCTGCTTGGGACAACAGGCTTTGTTTCGCCGCAGCTTTTGCCTCTGAGCCCACGCCAAGACCCGTCCGCTTTCGGACCCTGCGGACTTTTGGCTGAGTCTGGTCAAACGCCAGTGCTGAAGCTGTACAGGCCCAAAGCCGAGTCAATTTGAAAAGTAAAAGCTGTGCAGATGCAAACGGCCACCATGCAGGAGGATCCGACCTCGTGAGAAACCGTGAACCTCCTGCCTCGTCCCTTTTGTTATGGTCACCTTGCTTCCTCCACCCGTTCTTCGCATTCTTGTCTTGGGCTGGTGGGTGCCGCTCGCCAGCGTCCCCCTCTCTTCACTTAATCGTCACGGCGGGATAGCACGCTCATCTGTACTGTGAACAAAGCAAGAAAACGCTCGCGAGGATGTCGTCGACGCTACGGATACGGCAGAAGATTCGTGCGCCGCGCAGAGTATGTCGTCCAAAGCTTGCATTAATCATGCACTACAATTTCCTGTCCAAAGGTGGCTCGCCGGACATGTCCCGTCAGAGCTGCATGCTAGCGCGTCCAGCGCACATCTTCCCATTCCCCTGCTACAGTCGTCTAACATGTTCGGTTCCGCATTGCAGTGGCTAACTTGATTTCGTCTCTTGCGCAGGGCATAGCCACCGACAATGTAGACTTCGAGGCGACGTGGGCCAGCCTCTCGGAGTCCTTCCGCCAGATTCACACCAAGAATGCCTCCAAGCTATCGTACGAAGAGCTTTATCGCTTCGCATATAAAATCGTGCTCAAGAAGAATGGCGAACAGCTGTACAATCACGTGCGCGACTTCGAGAAGCAGTGGCTGACAGACAACGTCTGCTCCGAAATCCACAAGAGCCTTTCTCCAGCGCTGCTGACAACGCCGGGCGTGAGCGCCACGCGTACGACGGAATACCGTGAGCTTGGCGAGAAGTTCATGTTGAAGCTGAAGTCGGCTTGGTCTGAGCACGTCCTGTGCATGGGCATGATTGCTGACACGCTGATGTATCTCGATCGTGTGTATTGTGCCGACAAGAATAGGCAGCCTATCCTCCAATGCACTCTGCAGCTCTTCCGTGACTGTGTCTTGTACTCTCCAACTACAGGTTCCATAGCTGCGTCGTCGCAGCAGGAGAGCGAAATGTCCAACATTCTGGCGGTTCTTATCAACATCATGCTGTCCCAGATACAGATGGAGAGGGACGGCGACGTCGTGAACAACAGCGTAATAAAGGCGTGCACACAGATGCTGTGCAATCTATACCAGGACGCCGTAGAGAGCGATGACAATCAGTTGTACACTAGGCATTTCGAACCGGCCTTTCTGAAGCAGACGCAACGCTTCTTTGCGCAAGAAGCAGAGCGACTCCTGGGCTCGCTTGATTGCGAATCATACTGTGCGGAAGTATGGCGACGTATAGACTCTGAGGAGGCTCGCTGCCAGACCACTATATCAGGACAGACGAAGGACAAGGTCAAGCAGATCGTGGTGTCTGAGTTGGCCGAGAACAAGATCCAGACGTTGATTGATATGGAGAGTGGTCTCGTCTTCATGATTGAGAACAACAAGATAGACGGACTAAGCAGGTTGTACCGACTCAACGCCCTTGTTGACACCAAGAAGACGGACCTGAAAAAGGCACTGAGCCAACGGGTGATACAAGAGGGTAACGAGATCAACAAGGCCGTTCTTGTACAGCAGGCTCAAGGCCCTGCCCCGGGACAGCCGTCGATGCAGAATCAGATGACAATGGCGGCCTTGCGCTGGGTAGCAGACATTCTCGCTCTCAAGGACAAGTACGACAATATCTGGAAGCATGCATTCGAGGAAGACCAGATTCTGCATGCGGCCCTGACACGAAGCTTTGCAGACTTCATCAACTCATCGACGTTCCAGCGAGGTTCAGAGTTTTTGTCACTCTTTATTGACGAGAACATGAAGAAGGGAATCAGAGACAAGACCGAAGCGCAGGTCGACGAGGTCCTCGATAAGGCTATCGAAGTTCTCAAATACGTGTCTGACAAGGATATGTTTGAGCGCTATTACAAGAAGCATCTTTCCAAGAGACTGCTCATGAATAAGTCCATTAGCATCGATGTTGAAAAGCAGATGATCTCGCGCATGAAGATCGAGCTTGGCAACAGCTTCACCATGAAGCTGGAAGCCATGTTCAAGGACATGGCCACATCTGCAGACCTCACACAGGGCTACAAGGATTACGTAGCGAATCTAGGTGAACGCGACCCATCTCGCGTCGAACTTAAGATCGACGTGCTTACAAGTGGCACGTGGCCCATTGAGGGCATCAACAGAGATGGCGATGAGGACGTAGCGATTCGCGCCAAAGTCGCGTATCCTTCCGCAGTCCTTCGCGTAATCCAAGGCTTCGAGAGGTTCTACGCAGACAAGCACTCTGGTCGCAAACTCTCCTGGCAGCCTAATCTTGGCACGGCGGATATGACTGTGCGTTTCCAGAACAAGGCGGGCAGCGCGAAACCTTACCGACAGCACGAGGTCAACGTCCCAACGTCGGGCATGATCGTGCTCATGCTGTTCCAGGACTTGTCCCCGGATGAGAGCCTCACCTACGAAGAGATCAAGGCCATGACAAACATCTGGGATCACGAACTTAAGCGCATCCTTCAGAGCTTGGCCGTGGCGAAGAAGACGCAGATTCTGAAGAAGGAACCCATGAGTAGGGAGGTCAACGAAGGAGACCGTTTCTATTTCAACGAAGGCTTCAAGAGCGAATACAGACGAGTAAAGGTTGGTATGGTGGCGGCGGCAAATCGCGCAGAAACCGAAACGGAGCGGGCAAAGACCGAGAAGCAAATGGACGACCAAAGGAACTACGTAGTGGATGCGGCGATTGTGAGGATCATGAAGTACGTGTCTGACCAAGTGCAGGTTTGACCACATGTGGAGCAGTGTGCTGACAACGTGTGCAACAGGGCGAAGAAGACTCTCTCGCATGAAAATCTCATCGTCGAGACGATCAATCAGCTCACGTCACACTTCAAGCCACAGGTCTCGATGCTGAAAGAACGCATCGGCATGTTGATTGAGAGGGAATACCTCGAGCGTATCGAGGACGCGGTCCCGCCCGCGTATAAGTACCTCGCTTAGGAGACAAACCTTGACCGGACGGTGCTGGGGACAAAGAGCGGACATTTCTCTGTTTGTTTCTCGTCCTCCTTCTGCCTGGACAAAGTCATTTTGCGCTTAGCGAATTTGCATGGCAATCGGTGTTTTTTTTTTTCCTTTGTTCCGGTTGTGCGAACATATCACGCGTTTGGCGGAGCATTCAAGGGGTCATGAGGAGTTTCTTTTAGAGGACGACACTGATGCGACCGGTCTGATTTTCCTGCGGAATGGAGAAGAGCTTGCTGACTTGCCTTTTGATGACGAGAGTTATGACGGGCATGGTGATCTTACAAGACGAAGTCCTTTTTTTGGGGACGCCAAAAACGAACTGCGCAATTGCGCATGGATTACAACCTTTCCTCCACCATCAAAGGATGAATGCTAGTGTCTGCTGAATCTCGATGGACGCGTGCTTGCTGGCACCAGTTGCGCGTTTCGGTTGACGATGACAGGACAATAGCAGATAGGCTTCAATAGCTACTTTTCGTGAATAATAAAAGCGTCTTTGTGGTTGCACTCATTTTGCGGGCCTGGAGTATCGACTCGCGCACTTTTTCTGTTCCGACCTCTTCAGCGCGGTCAGCATCCAACAACAAAAGATTGACGGGAGATTGCACATTGTTAGGGATCATGAAGTTACTTGAATTCAACATTGGGCCACTTTATGAGGAGGGTGAGGCATGCAACGACGACGACGGATGAAGGACAACCTATCTGTACGTCAGAGAACGAAGCAGCGCCTGCTCAGTTTAGAGCTGGCAATGCAGAGTTTATAGGAGACGTCTTTACGGATCCTGTCATTGACCGGTAACGTGGTACGGGGTCGACCTAGCAGACAGACAGGTCGTCCTCGCTGGCCGATAGAGCGGACAAAGCCGCCGCTTCCTCTCCTCGACTTACCATCGGAGCTGCTGCTGACCGCATACGAGTACTGCGTCAAAACGACAGGATCCATCGAGTCCGTGGAGCTGTGCGCAGGGCCGACAACCTTGGTCACGAATGCTATGGAGGTGTTCAGACGGCAGCCGTCCAACAAGATCATGATCGCGCGGACCCAGCCGGGCATGACACGTGTTTCCCGCAAGCCCAGCGCCGACAGCTTACCGCTGTGCTACCTACTGAACAACTTCACGACGCAGGCGAAGGCGGTGGAGGCGGGCAGTCCCTATCCGTGGTTTCGGTTTCGGACGGCGGAGAGCACCGGCTACCTGGAGCACGTTCGATGCGTCCGCTGCATGCTGCCGCTGAGGGACCTGTGTGCGATGACGGGGAAGCCGCGCAGGGAGATGCTGCTGCAGCTGCACCTCCGGCGCGACACAGGCGAAATCGCCGCCTCCGACTGGGCCAGGTCGAACGCGCGGCCCGGGCGCTACATGGGGTCGGCGTGGGAGGTTTGCCATGACTCCGCGAACGCGGTACTGAAGAGAGAGAGAGAGAGAGAGAGAGAGAGAGAGAGAGAGAGAGAGAGAGAGAGAGAGAGAGACTGACGGACGGTTGAATGGACTGAACTTGTTGAAGGTCGTTGCGCTGGGACAAAAGGGCCTGAAGTGTGATGATCCAGGGGCGAGATGGAAGGCGGCTCTCTGTCCTGGAAAATGACTTGAAGCGACGGCAGTTAGGAGAGTGACTCCACATTGCTCACCACTGCCGGCACTGGAAGTGCGAATTCAATTTTTATTATTATTATTATTATTTTAATTTTCATTTCAACTCTGGCTTGTTATGTCGCTTCGACTGACGGTACGGCCAGACGTCGAGGGTGGTATTGAGCCAATATTAGGAAATACGTGTTGAATTTCAGCACCAGGCTCTTGCCTTTGATCCAGTCGCGTGCAATATCAATTGATGACGTCTCCCCCTCCTATTAGCTTCCTTGATCGGCGACAGGATTTTCTTCGTTCGATGGAATTAATTAGCGGTGTTCGCGCGACGGTTTGCTTGACGGCCGCGCTGCCATTGGTCCTCCGGTATATTGAGGTGACCCGCCAATCGGCAATCCCCCGCGGAATCCATGACGGCCTCCTACAAGGCAATTTTCGTGTGTGTTTGTGCGTGCGTGCGTGCGTGCGTGCGTGTGTGTCCAGAACGTTACGAGAGGCATTATTATTGTGGCAGGGTTGGCGAGACCCACGAGGCCCGTAGGAGAGAAAACTTTGACGAAGTTGGCGGGGCGCTCGGGATGTCGAGAAAGTCACGTCTGGCTCGAGCTCGACGCGTCTGCTCTGGCAAAGTCAAGGTCACTACAGGAACAAAGCTACGGCGACGAAAGGATCGTGCCAACGAAGTTTATTTTCTGACTGAGCGCTCATTCTCCAGCACGGTCACGCTGCGACTTCCGCCGCCGAAGCGGAGGGCCGTACGTGGCCACGAACGTAGCACACTTCGATCTTTTGGCTGAGCGAAACGAGAGCGAGCGAGGGGGGACGGCAAGAGGCGCCCGGCACCGCTCGCAAACATCAGCACAACATTGTCGACCGAAGAGCACTGTAGGCCCGGTGGTCGCCTCCAGACGCCGGGTCGAAGCATGATCCGCCAAGCACGAGCACGCTGGTGAACAAAAACCTATCGATAAGGACGGGAGCGTGAGCCGTGGAGAACGCACGAGAACGACGCGACGACGACGTGGCCCCTTGCCGTCTGTCCCATCTTACCACCGTGTCGAGAGGCTTTCGTTTGCCGATCTGTCGTCGCTGGCGAGCCAGTCACGGGCGCGCTGCTTGTGCTCTGTTTGCAGCCAAAGAAACAACGGAAACAAAAGAAACGAGCACCAGAGCAAGCGAAGAGACAAGCAATGAGTCTTGTTCCTGGAAGCTCCTGGAAGGAGGCGGCGGTTTTGAAACGGGCGCAACGTTCGCCGGGCGCCTCTCCTGAAGGTGGATCCATGGCCAGGCGACGATTGGACTGCGCACCCGGCATGAAACTGCGCATCCTGGGCTCCCGCTGCGGGCGAAAGCTTGGTTCGTTGCTTGACGCAGGAACACGTCCGACCTGTGGCTACTCAGAATCCAGCGATGGCCGTTGGCCGAATGCCCGTCGCTCGAGCTCGGCTGCATCTGCCCACTGTGCTTGTCACAAACTTTTCCAGCTAGACGTCTTCCTCGACCGACGAGAGGATCCGGCCTGCGTGTCACCACTCCACCTGTCGAATTTTTTTTCTCGGCTTTTTCCAGCATCATGTGCCGCCCAATGCTGCGTCCGTCTGTGCAACGGGGAAGAATCAGAGTCGGACACGACGAGGGAGCTGGCGTCTTGGTGGCTTTCAAGGCCTACGAATGCTGCCCGCCCTGACAGCGGCCCAGCAACGTAAGCATGGCCTTAGCCTGCGGGAGATACTCTCGCGGCTCGACCGCTCGAAAAGCAAAAGGCAAAGCAAAGCAAGCCACAGGCCCGATCTCTGTCCGGATAAGGTAGTCTTCCCAGATCCAGGGCAAGCACAGCTCGCGCGGCCGCACCTGGGCTGTCCGACGTTCTCCTGAGTCTTCACACATCCAGCCCGCCCACCCCTGATCCTTTTTCCCGCTCAGAGTGGGGTGGGAGAAACAAACAGACGTCGACTTTTAGATGAAACACGCAAGCCGCAACTGCAGCAGGCCTGCACTGACGGCGTCGACTTACGCAGGCACGCCATCTGTAATTTTAGCGCCAGCTGCATCCTTAGCCTCCGTCCTCCTGGTGGCCTTGTTCGTACATAAGGGCTTTCGTGGACTTGTGAGCTGCTTGCCCTTCCCTCTTCCCTTACTCTGTGCCAAACACGTGGATTCGTGGAGCAGGTTTGCAAGTCACACTCTCTTTTTCGTCGTCGGTTAAGACAACAATTCCATTCCTTCACGCAAGAGCCCTCGCTCTATCACGTTCACTCTTCACCCCTCGTTCGCTACATTAGGACTACGCAGCAGCTCATCCGTCCAGCCGTCCTTCACGCACGTTTGTATACATTGTCAGAGACAATCGGTTCTGCTAGTCAGGACAATACGAACAATCACCCCCTACACCTTGTCATACCAGAATCACACTCACCTTCCAACTGCTCCATTTTTTCTAGATCCTAGCCTATCAAAGGGTACCCACTCATTCCTTCCGTAAATCAAAGAAACGCCCAAGGAAAGGATCATCAACTGTCAGCAAACATGTCTGGTCAGATCGTCAAGCTTGGACTCTTGTCTCTTATCTCATCGGCTCTGGCAGCCCCAATCGCTTCTCCAGAGGGGCACGTCCGCAGGCATGGCAGATGCTTTATTCCAACTAGCGCCGCCTGGACAAACGCGGAGGCCGCAGCAGAGGTCACCAGCACGTCCTCGCCCATGACGAGCACGTCTACTGTCTGGGTGCAACCGACGGAGGCTGCCACCACGGCGGCTGCCACGTCTACAGCTGCTGCTGCCGAGGCCAAGATTCCCTCACAGGCTTCCACTTACACCGCTGCCGCTCAGGCCCAGACTTGGACAACAAGCTCCTCCGCGACTCCTGCGGCCACATCCTCTGCCGCCTCAGGATCGTACGGCTCAAGCGGTGCTAAGGGTGGTGTTGCCTACACGTCGGCCAGCAACGTTTCTCCTTTCGTTGGCCAGGCCAACATTGGCTGGTGCTACAACTGGAACTCCAGCCCAGGCGACATTCCTAGCGGCATCGAATACTTCCCGCTTCTGTGGGGCACCCAGTCGACCTTCACGGATTCCTGGGTCACAAACGCCAATGCTGCCATTAGCAAGGGTGCCACCGCCGTTATGGGCTTTAATGAGCCCGACGAGTCTAGCCAGTCCAACCTTGACTACAACACTGCCGCCACGGCATACAAGCAGTACATAACTGATAACTTCTCCGGCAAGGTCACGCTTGTCGCGCCATCTGTTACCAACGGCGGTGCTCCAATGGGCCTGACCTACCTCCAGAACTTCATGGACGCATGCTCTGACTGTGGCATCCAGGCCATCAACTTGCACTGGTACGACACCTCGTCCAACGTCGACTACTTCAAGAGCTACATTCAGGGTGCGTACGAGCAGTTTAAGCTGCCGATCTGGCTTACCGAATTCGGCACCACCGATGGCAACGACCAGGCATTCCTGGAGCAAGTCCTTCCTTGGCTCAACTCGCAAACATACGTCGAGCGATACGCGTACTTCATGGCTGAGGACGGTAAGCTGCTATCTGGCACTAGCCTCAGCGCTGCTGGTGAAACTTATGCCAGTGCATGAGCGTGCCGACGAAGGGAGGAAGAGAGTGTTGCTCATTTAAGTGCATCGACTTTTTATTCGCTGTATATATTTTTTTTGTGTGGGTCATAGAATTGCGATCTTTTCGCTTGTTGAGGAAAGCGTTCACGTTCTTCGTGCATACTTGGGCGTCTCGTCGCTGTCGCCGTCATGTGTGACTCACTCTGTTTTGGGACTTAGCGAGAGCAAAAATGAAGATAACGACCTTGTGAATGCAGTTCAAATCTCGCCATCAAACTTTCAAGTGCGATTGCGCTACGTTGAGGTATCAGGCACCGCGGAGGCGTTGTGCGGCAGACTTTTTGTTGCAAATGTAAGGCGAGCTGCTCGTAATGCGTGTGCGTGATTGGTCAATGCCGCTAGTGGGAAAGAGGTGGCCCATGCTCGCTGTCCACTTGTGAATGCCGCTTACCCATGCGATCAACGACACACCTTGGTGTCGAGATACTAATCGTCTCCCTCCATCACAGCCATGGCCTCCAAACTCAACCCGCTGCGGCTACGGCCCGTCGTCCGTAGCTTCCAATGCGCAGTGAGGCACCAGAGCAGATCTTTCACAGCTGCGGCCCAGCGACGCAGCGACACCCTCATGGTGGTCAGTATCTTTTCGCCTAACCCCCAAACACCACCAGCACGAAGCGCAGAATGCTCCTTCATGCAAGGCGAATCGACATGCTTACGTGATATGTAGCACCGCGACACCCCAGAAAACAACCCGAACATCCCGTTCAAGTTCACGGAGCAGAATGAGAAGGTCATCCAGGAGATCTTGGCTCGATATCCGCCACAGTACAAGAAGGCTGCTGTGATGCCGCTGCTGGATCTGGGACAGCGACAGCATGGCTTCACCAGCATCAGCGTCATGAACGAGGTGGCGAGAATTCTGGAGATGCCCCCCATGCGCGTCTACGAGGTGGCGACGTTCTACACCATGTACAATCGGACGCCCGTGGGCAAGTACCACGTCCAGTGCTGCACGACGGTACGTTGTTCTTCTCATGGCGGGATCCGGACGGCAGAGCTAACATGTGGGCAACACAGACGCCGTGCATGCTCCGCAACAGCGACAGCATCATGAAGGCCATCGAGGACCACCTTGGCATCCACCCAGGCCAGACGACCAAGGACGGTCTCTTCACCTTCACCGAGGTAGAGTGCCTGGGCGCCTGCGCCAACGCGCCCATGGTTCAGATCAACGACGACTACTACGAGGACCTGACGTACGACACAACGGTCTCTCTGCTCAAGGCTCTGCAGCACGCTGCTGAGGTGACGGGTGCCGAAGTGCCGAAGCCGGGTCCGATGAGCGGGCGGGCTAGTTGCGAGAACAGCGCAGGTATCACGAGCTTGAAGGATGTGGATGCGATTGACTGGAAGGCAGGGCTGAGGAAGGACGGCGCGCTCGGAAAGGACTTTGCACCGTCGTAAGGTGCAGGGCAGGCGTATAGACTGTACATATGTTATAGCTAGTAAGCAAAAGGTGCTTCCGTTCTTTGTTCTGGTGATCCCGTAGATCTTTCGATCCTTGTGCAGGCAATCGCAATCCAAAGACGGCCATGACAGCGCTTGGCGACATTTCTCGGTGATTTGAGACGGGCAGCCGCGATCAGCGCAGGTAGATGACAGTCGCACCTCCTTCAACAGGTATGCACTTTCAAGTCACTGGCACGCAACCACTCCACCAAATCTTTGACACGAATCTTCAACCGTCCGATGACCGATCCATCGCTGCGCACCACTCCAACATCTACTTCCATACCCTCGTCTGAATCTCACGATGATAAACCTTCGCATCCTCAGCGTTGTTATCGTGCTGATGGGTTGCGCTCTTGGAGCTTGTAAGTCTGCTCCGCTGGAGTCGCGCAATGATGATAACAGTGTGTCAGACCCAGCCTCATGTCCGACTGAGTCAGCGCTGCCGAAGTCTGCACTGAGTAACACAACATTCAAAGAGTTTTGAACTTTTGCTTATCGAAAGCAGATCTCTCCTCGTCCGCATCCCAGGCTGTCAACAATGCTTCTTTGCTCTTTGCCTGGCAGCTCGTCTCCATCACCGGCATGGGCACGCCCTTCAATGGCTATCCATGCAGCAAGGTCGCCACACCGTCTGACATGACATGTATTGTCTCCGACATGCTGAAAAACAAAGCTACCTACGACAACAAGCTGAAGAAAATCGGTCTGGTCCCTGAAGTCGTCGACAGTGTCATTGCAGATCGCGAGGGCTGTGCCGCGAACCTGGACACCGCCGTCGCCAAGCATCATGTTCGTGCATATCTAAACGCCGTGATCACAGCTCTCGCGAGCGCGACAGTCGCGCAGCGCAATGTCGAAACGTTCTGTCTGTCTTTAGACGAAATGTGCATGACAACGCTGTTGGGCAGCAACGCCTTAAGGACCGCGCTTTGCGCTCAAGCTGGTTCTTCCGCTCCAACTGACGGACCTTCCAGCTCTGTCGACCAACGCATTCTCGCGGACTTCGACGCTCTCGTAAGTGGGCTCTTTGCATGGCAACTGTTCGGGATCCTCAGCCCCTCCCGTGATTACATCGTAAATATATGCACCACAAACCTTGCCAGTCTGAAAGCTGGTCTCGACCTGCTCGACATGGACGTGTCGGCCTTCACATCCCTCTTCTGCGATCAGTTCGCCAAGAATGAGGACTTTCCAAGTGTCGACCTCACACTGCAGAGTGTCAATGCCATTGAGACAAAGTTGTTTGGTACCGTCGTATTTGGGCTTAGCCACGAGAGATTGTATCAATGCTCTCTATGTGCTGATACGGCGCTCGACTTCGAGAAGTTTGGGGAGGTGAGCTTGAATCGCACGGCGTGGGAGAATGTACGAGGTTATGCTTGTGGATCAAATGGATACGACGACGCGAAGAACGCTCAGTGCTAAAGGACGTTGGACAAACTCGATCTTCAATGATATGCTGCAAAATGATTGACGAAATGACGGATGAGCGAGCCGTCGACTAGCGATTGATAAAATGGATCTGAGATTGAGACAGTAGCACGATAGAGAGCTTTGTGCTAAAGACAATCACGACTGATTACTACAAGGCTTTTCTCTCCCGCTAACAGCACCTATTGTACTCTTCATTGAGTCTGTTACGTGATACTCGCACCACTTCTGGCCCTTTGTGGAACTGCCTAGGTCGGAAACCATCAGAGGAGCATTGCCCTCACACATCATCCATAAATTATCGTTGCTATGAGCAATCGACCGCTCCTGTCAGTCTTCCTCGACGCCGTTCCGGCGACTGTAATTCTTGCCGAGGGCGTGCTTGAATAAGGATCCTGAACACGAGCAGACGCATACAAGGGAGGCGGTCACGCGCATAAGCGACTAAGTCCTCTTTTTTTGTGACGATACCTTCTGCGTCCTTACTAGTGTTCATGGCTCCATGCTCACGTCGATGGGCAGCTCTCTCGTGCCTTTGGGAGTGGTCCTGAAGCCCATGTTCTCAAGCCTTGCCCAGGCTTGCGGGAAGCGTTCATGGATCCACTTCTCGGTCTGCACCTGCTTGACCGAGTTCACCGCTCCGTTGAACAGCTTCGCCAGACTAGATCTCGCATGTCAGCAGGCGCAGATACCAACACGTGTTTGTCACGAGGAGATGTAGACGGACGGAGAGCAAAAGGGGGGGGGGGGGGGGGGAGAAGGGAAAAGGGCACTTACATGATGTCGTCGACCGCGATCCCCAGCACGTCCTCTGCACTATCTACCACAGTCTTTGCCTCCTCCTCGCACCCATTCGCAGCCAGAGCGCCTACGTACGCCGCCACCACCTCGCTGTCGAGTGGCACGTCCATCTCCCTCAACAAGTTCCAGACCTTCTTCGCTCTCACCTCGCCGAAATTGGAGTGCTCGCACACGCGAAACACGAGCAGCAGCGAGTTCCGAGAAGGACCCTCCTCGGAGCGCACGATGTCATCCCAAACCGCCTGCGCCTTGGATGGTGAGCCGGTGAGGAGGAAGGCCAACATGCGGGCGTTGTTCAGACGCGTCGTTTCCACGGCCGTGATGTCAAGTTTGAGCACGTTGTTTACCACCGTGAGCGACTCGTCGTCGGCTGTATGCGCGCAGCCGACCAGTGCCGCGACGTACGTCTCTGTGTCAGGGTTGATGGCGGGCGAGGCGTGACGGCGCATGTGATTGAAGACGTGAAGCGCCATGTCCGGTCTCTTGCGCTCGAAGAAGAGACGCATCACGGCTGTGCGGTCGACACGGGGCGCCTCCTCGAAAACGTGTTGGAAGATCATATATGTGTCCCAGAGACGGGCTAGGGGCGTGGAAGGGTGGAGCATGAGCTCCAGGATGGCCTTGCGCACCGTCTCCCGCTCCGCAAGCGAAAATTCGACCAGATGTGTGGTCAGCAGGTCTGCCACGTCGGTGTACTCGTCACGGTTAAGATGCAGCGTCGCCAGAGCGGCCACAGTCTGGGCCTCGAACCTGCCGCCTCGCTCGCCCAGGAAGTCAACGACGTCCATGATCGTGTCAAAGGAGTACGACTTTCGAGCGCACATGGCTTGAATAAGGCGATTTATCCTCGCTGACGTACCTCCATGCCCCTCCTGGAAGGACTTTACGTAGTCAAACGCAACTCTTGCGCCCTCGACGTCGTTAACGGATAGCCTGTAGTCCATTTGCAACAGGTAGGTCTCCTCATCTGGCGTGTTGCCCCATCGTTCACCCAACGTAATCAGACGTTCAGCCAAGTATGGGTCTCTCTTCTCGTTTGCAATCCGGATCAAAGCATTGAAATCCTGAGTGCTTGGCTGGAACGTCGGATTCGTCTTGACCATAACTTTCATCATGCGATCCAATTCGTCGACGGACTTTCCTGTCGTAACAGCCCATTTGAAAACCAAGTTCCAGAGACCTTTGTGGGACTTCATCACGGACGTGTTCGACGTGGTTGCCTTCAGTATGTCGCGAGCCCAGTCAAGAGCGTCATGTGTGCGGCAAGCGTTGAGGAGGGTCTCCAAGTATCGCGCGTCTGTTATCGGCGCTCCGTCGTCAGACTGGAACACGGCATGCTGCTTAGCAAGAGCCATATCTCCCTTCCTGGCGAACAGCACAGCGAGGCGCTTCCTGATTTCCGCATTCAACGGGGAGATCTGTCTCTGGATCAAGGCGGGGAGTGACTCGATATCCGGTAGCGACGTAGAACTTTCGGCCAGTCGGCGGAGAAAACCTACCCAAGCGAACTCGACAACTCTGCTCGGCATCGTGGATCGCAAAATCGCATCGCGAGCTTCCGCAACATGGCCGCATTGTGCGAGGATTCCAAGATGCTTAAGCCACAACCCTTCGTATATGGTTCCCCGTGCATCCTTCTTCTCGCTCCATATGGCGCCCGCGCTGTCGCTGCTCGCGCGCGCTTCGATTTCATCAAACAGCGTCTTTGATAGCTGCCAAAATGCCTCTTGCGCAGCCCTTTCTCCTTCTATGAAATCCGCAGAATGCAGACACCCCATCGCCGCTACCAATGCTTCATCTGGAACCAACTCTCCAAAATCCTTACCCTCCGCCCGAGCCTCATTTTTCAACAGTTCGAATATTGTTCTTACATAACTCGCCTCTACGTCGCTAAGCTTAGCTTTTCTAGCATGTCGTTCGTGGATGAAGGATGTCCAAGCTTTCACCAGCTGATCCGTTGGCGGTGGCCGCACGTCGTTCTCAATCCGTGAGCAAGCGTCTTTGAGATAAGCGAGCGAAGCTCTCTCGCTGGTCGCTGTAAGAACTTCTTGAGGGACAGGATTGATCCAACCAAAGAGTGTGCGCTTCTGGCGCGGAGCACTTGATGCTATTCGAAGTCTGTAGGCTCTGGTGTGAATTGCGCGCCGGTACAAACAATCGTAATGTCGAATAGGTTCATCGCGGAGGAGACGCCTGAAGACGTGAGGCGTGAGAAGAGAGCGCATAGTTTGCTGCTTTTAATGGAGAGAGGTAGAACAACAGGCAGACATCATCAAACCATTGTTAGGGCACTCTCCATATAATGCACAACCGATGCAATTGAGCTCTCGCAAGAATGTATTTACGGCAGAATCATTTGGGGTTGCGAACAAGCGGAGCTTTGAGCTCAAGAAATGGCTTGGCATCAAACTTTCCGAAAACGGTCAAGGCATGCAAGTCCGCATTTCATCAAGCCACTGTCTTCTGCTTTGGACCATTGACACACATCAGCGACAAGAACGACAATACATCCATAATGAAGCAGTTGCATAGAGCCATGCCGAGCGCCTCAAATATCTGCAACCAATGCCGTCGCGCTTTCTCATCCAGTCCCCCCAAGCGCATGGATATGCTCAAGACTCTCGCCCAGAGGATGACTTCCCGTCCATCCACCACAGCGACGACCGCAAATACCACAGCGTCTAATACCGTTTCTGCGTCCTCCGGTACGTCCTCTGGCAACGTGGCGGCGATTCGATCTGCTATTCAGGCTTCTCAGCAGCGTCTGGCAGAGCAGAACGAGCGAGCTGCGAAAGACGCTACGGAAGGCTTGTCCGCTATTCTCGCAGGGATGGCCAAGAAGGATCTCGAGGATGCACTGGAATCCCAGACTGCGCGGCGGTGGATGAGAGGGGATGTGTACAGTCTGCACGACTTGGGTCCGCGAGAAGCCAACAAGTGGAGCGTGTTGAAGAAGCGACCCGAGAGGGACATTTTCGAGATGATCGGGACGGATCCTCTCAAACATTACAAGGTACGTGTTGCTCTGTGTTATGCGATCCTCTCCACCACGTCGTGGAAAGCTGTGCGCTCAGGTGGGACGGTCGTGCTGACGTGGTATGCAATCGAACAGAACATGGCTCTGCTCTCCCAGTTCGTGACAGAGACGGGGCGGATCAAACATTCCAATGTGACCGGTTTGAAAGTAAAGAACCAACGTAGGCTCTCAAAGGCGATCAGAAGAGCAGTTGGTCTTGGGTTGATGCCTAGCGTACACAAGCACCCTGAGATCATTGCGAGGCAACTTGGCATAGATCAGCACCCTACGCGGTAAGATACTTATGCGAGAACAAGTATTTTGTGTCATACGCAATGTTAGACAACGGATCAGTGAGAGAATTCACTTCTCCGTGACCGTGATATTATAGGTTGGGTCCCGGAAAATCAGCAATGGATGAGACGATGTGGCCCGACAATTGCATTTTTTTTGCGGCCAAATAGATTGAACAGAGGCACTCATAGCCAATTTTCTGTACTATACATTTCATGCTGTTGTTACATAACGAATAGGAAGACCTGCGTCTAAGGTTTCTCGTCCTGCGCCTTGAAATCCACTTTGCCTTCACGACTCACAGTCGCCCATATAACACCGGCCGGCTTCGTCTCGGCGGGCTCGCTCGTGGACTGCCGAACCGACTTCTCTTTGGATAGGGACTCTGCCTTCTTCTCCGGCTCTGTTGCCTCAGCATTGAGCCCGGCAGTCTCTCCTCGGAGAGCGGCTTGCACTACGCCAGCCGGCACATCGGCGATCTCATTTACCTCTCTCGCACTAAGGCTGTCTGCAAGCCTGGCTCCCCTGCTCTGCACCAGAATCGTCGTTGGGCCCTTGAATTGCAAAAACAGCCTGTCGCCCCACACGTTTCTGCGCGTCCAAGTACGTATGTTGTACAGCGCCCGAGCGAGGAACTTCCACAGCGGCGACTTGCGCATCTCCACGAAGAAGCGGGTTTCCGGCAAGTATCCCGTCAGAGAAGGGACCTGCATTTTGAGCGTGGTAGAGCGGAAGCGGTACGGTTGCGGCGGATGCCCATTCATTGAGTACGCAAGCACGTTGCTTGGATGCGCGACGTACTCCTCACCCTCTTTCAAGGACACCTGGTAGATCTGGCCTTTGCCCACAAGCGCGATGAGGCCACGGCCTGAGGCAAATGTATTGCCCCAATGCTGCAGTGAGAGACGGCTGTTCATGCGCGGGCGGATGGTCAGATTGTGGCCGGACCAAGCGAGAAGCGCAGATCGCTGGGCAAGCATCCAGTCCAATCGACCATCCAGATGCAGGACCGTGAAGGAAGTCAGGGGCGACTTCGTACTTATCAACAAGGAGAGGGGCGAAGAGGATGAAATACGTTGGTACAGGAATGGAATGCCGAGAGGTGCCCGTGTGAGAGGCGAGAGGAGCGAAAGTGTCGACACAGCCTATCCAGCTCACTTCATTAGTACAGCTACCACCAGGACTTTTAGAGGCAGACTCTTCGGTTGAGCGCACATTTTCTGCCTTGCCAGCTACCGCGACAAGAGTGCCTCGCCTTGTGTATAAGTTCTGCGACGGCGATAGCTGCACCGAAAGCAACGAGAACGGCGCGCCTAGAACTTCGAACTTCGCATCTGCCCAGTGATCAGCCTTGTTCCTCATCAGCTTTTTTTCCTCCCTAGGATGAGCATACCAGGCTGGCGACTCGCAGATTCTAAGCCCAGCTCTATTCCCTCCGCGCCAACCTCCGGCGACATGGAGCTTGGGGTGGCAAAGACACGTACATAGCGCCGACAAAGGGGTTCAATGGCAGCGACACGCGGTCTGGAGAGGGCGTTGTAGGATGAGCAAGAGCTCCGCCATTGGGATGCTACTTGCCGGCGCATGGTTTGGCCGTGCGATGGTATGATGGCATCTCTGATGATCTGGTCGGGCTTGAGAAAAGGTGGGAAGCTTGGACGCAAGCGGGTCTTTGGGCGGCCTCGGAAGAGGAATTTGCAAGGGGCTTGCACAGGACGGGTAACCGATAATGGCAATATCTGCTGCAAACAGAATGGCAGCGCAAGAAAGATGCAAGAACATGAACGCAGAAATTTCTATCAAGATACCATTTTACAAGTGTCTAGTTCTAATCTACATCTACTCCATATTATGCTCCTCCTTTGGAACTTCTGGTTTGCGTCAGAAATACGCTTCTCTAGTCACTTCTTTAGAATTTTCCCTCACACTCTATATTTAAAACAGAAAAGAATTTCGCAAGAGCCTATGCTGCACCTCCAGCAGCTTTCTTGATATCCTCGGCATTGATCTTTTTCCAGCTGCCGCAGCAACCGACCACCGTCGCAAAGGCGAATGATGCTATCGTAATGATGAACACGTCCTTCAAACCATCCATATACGCATTCACAACGATAGGTACCTGTGCCTCGGTAAATGCTACACGTATTTCTGTTGCGCCAGTGGTAAGGGCTACCGCAGGATCGATCCCAGGGAGTTTAACAGCAAGCGTCTTTATGAGCACATTGTTGAAGGCGCATTGGGCGGCTGAGAGGAAGAACGATCCGCCTATTGTCATGAAGACTGCTCCAAAGGTCAGAATCAGGTCTTCGTGTGAATCAAGTCGAGCCGAAGACTTACAAGTTATAATGGCTGTGACCTGTGACATGTCAGCTGGAGACGCGTGAACCTGTCCATTTGAAAGGGCAATTTGGAATGCTAGACCCGTGGCGAAGCCAACAAGAATCTGGTATCCAACCCACTCTCCCGTTGATGTGCCTATGCCCATTGTGTAGAAAAGTCCACTTCCAACCGCTGCTAGAGCCCCGCCAATAAGCCAGAACAACGGAACAATGCGGATCTTCGCCAGCAAGATGCCCTGTACAATGGCAGCAAATGTCAGAGGGAAGATGAGTGCGAGCATCTTAACACCGGAACCAATAGGACTGCTGTTGTAAACGCTTTGGAAATAAATGGGGAGGTAGTATAGGACGACAAAGTAGCCGCCGCCAAAGAAGAACATGTAGACGCAACCGACGAGGACATAGTCTTTCATGAACTACATTGCGATCAAAAATTAGCGCTTTGGTCAATGAGCCGAGTTGACGCGAAGAACAAGATTTCTCAACGTACCAGGCGTGGAACGATCATCGCACGCTCCTGTTGCGCGATTTCCCAGGCCACGAATGCTACGAAAATCAACCCGAATCCAACCAATAGTCCGATAACAACACTGCTGTTCCAAGAGTGCGTTTGTCCGCCGTACTGGAGCGCTAAGAGGAAAGTAACGATCAGGCCGATCATGAGCACCGCACCACCAAGATCCATCTGAAGCAGCTTCTCCTTCCATGGTGCTTCCACGGGCTTCGCTTCTTTTGGGGTTTGGAAGAAGAAAAACACAAAAACGGCCGCTAGACCCCCAACAGGCAGGTTGATATAGAAACACTTCACAATGTCAGCAAGCAATGCCATTTGCTCTCATAGGAAAGACTGTTCCTTACCCAGCGCCAGCTCACTTTTTCCGTGAATGCGCCACCAATAAGAGGTCCCAGCACTGCGGCAATGCCATAGGTAGCCCCTGTGTAACCCAGAAGTTGCGGTCGTTTTTCAGGAGGGGCCGCGAAAGCGATCATGGTGAAGACGCCAACCGCTATGCCAGAGCCACCTACCCCAGCGATTGCTCGGCCAATGATGAGGGTGGTGGGATCTTTAGCAACCGCGCAGATAAGACTGCCAACCTCAAATGTGAGAACTGACAGTAGAAACCAGAACTTTATGGGAAAGTATTTGTAGAATTTTCCCCATGTTGACTGGAAGCCTGCGTTCGATCAATTAACGTCCTCTCAAGGATAATTTGAACATCCAAGTATTGGAAGCAAATATCTGTAGCTTATACAGTGCGTGCTCTGGTGAATAGTCAGTTGCTCATGGTCGGGGAACGGCAAGATCACAACGTACCACCTCCAAAAGTCATAAAATATGCTGCTCCATACCACGAAACTTTGTTTATGTCCTTGAACTCATCCGTTATCTTGGGTATAGCTGTACCAAGGATAGTCTGAAGTGTTTTTGGGTTAGCTTTAGCGACATTTGCGACACGCCGAACTCACATTGTCCAGTGCGACCAAGAACATGCTTAGCATGAGTGATGTGATGATAATAGCCAGACGTCTACCGTGAGGATAATCCGAGATGGCGGATACGCTCCTTTCCATGGCAGTGCTAGGATCTATTGGATCTCTTTTCTCTATTGAGATAGGCTCCGACAGACTCGAGCGCCTGGTTGAGCCCTCAGCAGAGGACGACTCCTTTTCAGGCTCATTCTGTGGCGTTGACATCTTGACTAGAACTATGAAGCAGTGATTCGAGCACGAAGAACATGAAATGCGCAGCTACTTTATGATATACAGGAAACACCAGTTTGTCAGCTCCGTGTAAATTGGACCGCAACGGAGAAACAATCTGTTCCCAGCTTCGCCGATATGTCCACCAACCCCCATTGTGTGGACGTTGAGCAACAATTCGACCGAGTCATATTCACAACTAGTGAGGGATGTCGTTTGAGGCTCGCATTGCGGGAGTGGTGCTTACGCTACTTGGCGTTTTGCTACATGTGCGGGTTTCGGACTTGAGCCTAGCAGAACCAGATCTTCAAGATCGACATTGGCTGTGCAAAATTCTAGTTTATGTGGATCCTTTTGTATAGGGGTGTGATAACAAGTGTCCAGCTAGGTACAAAGCCGCAAATTTCGATCCTCTGATTGGGCTCTGTCTGAATTTCGCTCGTATTCGTTGTCGCAATCGAGATGCGAGGCTGACAGTCACTCGGTCGAATTTGGCCTAAGACAAGAGATTAATCAGCAACTCCGCTCACTTTCGGCCGAACTCAACAACTGCCACAGTACTATATCTCGGTCGAATTGTGCAATCTTGAGAATTGATCGGACAGAAGCTGCCTGAAACCCCGTTGGCGTTTACAAGCAGCTACTTTTGCAAAATGTTCACGTTCGACGCTTTTGCTGTCTTCAACGTCCTACTTTTTCGAGGATGAATACTCCTTCGGACGAAAAGACGACGAAACGAAGGAGGGTCCGAAAAGGCACTCACAGCTGCTGGGAGTGTAGGCGAAGAAAAGTGAAGTGCACCTTTGCATCGCTGGATGATGTTCGATGCGTCACGTGCGTTCGTCGGAGGGCAAAATGTGTCAGTCAAGAGGATGCGGATGGACCGGATGAAGCAGAGAACGATACGACCCGCATTGAGCAAACCAAAAAAATCTACGACAATCAGTTTGGGATTCGTGCCGCAAATGATAATGACTCACAGCCAAATTTGCATCATGGTGTTATCGGTAGCGGTATGTCGACTACTTGTTCGGCCGCTGCGGAAAATGGACAAAGCAGCTCATTGGTACGTGATCGATTATCGGGTTGCTGATATCTTCGCTTACCAAGCTGAAATTAGGCCTACCTAATGGATGAAAGTCCAAGTCGTCGGACACAACACTCTCCGAACATGCTCGTAACACCGGAGTGTTTACCAACCCCAGCGTCCAGCTTGGCAACTTTTGCGGAGCCGAAGAAGTACATGGCAATTACGCACACACTGCTATGCAGTCTCCCTCCTCGAAGAGATATCGAGATTCTGGTCGGAAGAATACGACATGTCTCGGCTTTATGCTACCAGTCAAATTACAAATGTAGAAGCAGAAACGAGAATGCCCAACCCCAAGTGCTGATCCCACTGGCGAATCTCCTCCATCCTGAATCTCACCCCGTTCTGCTGGCCCGGCAGATGTTACTTTTCGCAGCAGGCGTGCAATATCTGTCTCCAAATGAGGTAATACCAGGCCTGACCGAGCATCATTATACCATTATGGAGAGTCTTGCGGAATCAGCAATCAAAATGGTGACCACAAACGACTCATTAGTAGGCACATTAGAAGGTCTTGAAAATATCATCTTGGAAGCCTTCTTTCACATTGACAGCGGAAATATTCGACGAGCCTGGATTACAATGCGCAGGGCTGTCACGGTGGCCCAGCTGCTAGGTTTGGACCGACAAGGGCATTATCGTTTTAAGCTTTTGAGCCAAGAAAACGAACTTGATCCTGAGATGATGTGGATTTGCGTTGTTTCCATGGAGCGCTCGTTATCTTTGCTCTTAGGACTGCCTACAAGCACAGGCATGCATATCCCTACAGTCAAGGCCTGTGAAAACAAGCCCGTAAGCAGCTGCATATCCACACTCGTTATCGACGTTACGGCGAAGATTCTCCAGAGAAATGAAGTTCACGATCATGAGAAGGCAAGCGCCATCACGCGCGAGATCGGTCGAGAACTCATCGACATATCCAAGAACTTACCGTCCGAGTTCTGGAAACCATTGAACTTCGCTGGCCTTGAGATAGACTCTACCGAAGCCTTCTGGGAAACGAGACGGACTTGGGACCACATGTGCTATTATAACCTTGTAGCCCAACTTCACTTGCCTTACGCAATGTGTCCAGGCCACAACAGCCAGACCATTTCCTCGCGCATCGCTTGTGCCAATGCTTGTCGAGAAATACTGACTCGCGAGATTACATTTCGCAAATTCAATCCAATAACTGCCTCCTGTCGCATGGCCGATTTCCTAGCACTGGTTGCCGGCATGGCCATCATCCTGGCTCACATTGTCAGTCACTGTCGTCAGGAGGTTGATGACCCACTCGTTCATCAGCGATTGGGAGATCGCGCAGCCGTAGAGGAGGCTCTTGATTGCATGAGATCCATGTCCGAATTACGCGAAGATATGCTCGCCGCAAGATGTGCGGCCCTGCTTAAGCACCTGCTGGTCATCGAAGCGGACGCAGCGCAAGGACAGCGATATCGTATCGACCGACTGGAGCCCGCAGACGCTGTCGAAGAAGATGACCGAAATGTACTTGTCATCAAAGTTCCGTACGTGGGAGGTATCAGATTTACGCGAGAAGGCAACACACCAATGGCACCTTTGCACATCGCAAGCGACAGAGGACTTGTTGATGGCGTCCGTATCGGTGGCATCGGATCCGTACATATAAGCAACAAAAGTGCCTTGAACGAAATGAAGAGCGATAGCAGCGCCAATATGGCCATCAATCAAGCAATGACCACACGAACTTCACATACGCCGTCAATGCACGACTATATATCACATGTTCCACAAATCATGCCCGGGGATATGTTTTCGCAGCACAACCAAATGTTCCCCGATGCGGCCGCTGGAATGGATGATTGGGTGTTCCAAGGCTTTGACACCGCATTTTTTGACACCTTGATCCGCGGAGCGACGAATCAGCAGCAGATACATGGTGCTGAAGCGTTATACGCCCCTTAGATTTTTCACGTGCTATGCGAAATGATCATGACATGGACACGGTGAGGTTAACGTGATTTCTGGATTTCATTTCTTATGCTCAGCTACATCTAATGAGTGGGTGAACGTCCGCCGAGCTGCTCCTAGCAAATGAGCGACGAATTTTCTACGAACCGAAAAGTAGCAAGAATATCAGCATTTACTTAGTGCACCATCGCCGCATCCACGTCAACATCGACGGTAAGGATATTTTTATCATCCGGATCATCTGGAACAAGTGTCGCAACCGAAATATGCGGCCAACTCAATGGCCCAAAGTTGAGCAGCACCAACTGACTGTATTGAATTTGCGTCGAATGAACGGCGACGCGAGTTGGCTTGATAACTGGGCGGTTTGGCCTGACTCTGAACGCACGTGGACCCTGTACAGAAGGATCTTGGTCAACCGGTACGCATATGGGCAGCGTGATCTTCGGATTCCACGGCGGGATAATGATTTCGTTGCGGACGGTGGAGATCCAAAAAGTTGCCTCCATATGCGCTGCATCTGCGTTTGATCGGGACGGGTTGTTCGCGTCAGGATTGAACGTCGTAGTGTTGAGTTCGCTGTCATCAGGATTATCTGGTGGGCTTCCAGGACCGGCGGCTTTGTCAATTTCCGGTTCGGAAAGAAAGGCAATGTTGGCGGTGCCGCCTCCCTGCAAAGCCTTTTTCTTTTCGGTGGTAACGGTAAAAGTGATGTGATCCACAATGTTCTTCTTGTCGTTATTTTGCTTCAAAAGCCAATTTGGATCGTAGAAAACATTCTGAGTGATGACGGACTTAGGTCCTTTGACGGTCTGGGGGATACGAAATTTGTCAGGGTCGTCGTATACGGTATTATGAAAGAGCGTTTTTGGAACTCTTTGGCTTGGATTATCAATGGTAAAGGGGATGGTTGGCAACTTTCTGTTCGAGCTGGCAGGGATCGAGACGCCATTCACGTCGTCCCAAAGAGGAATGACGGGTGGACCCGCCTCGACCTTTGTCGGATCAAGGCCTTGTGCATTGATCGTTGTGCCGTGAGGAATGGAAGCCATACGAGTGATAGTAGCTGGGGTACGTGGTGGAGACCCAGATTGGGGAGCTACATCAACTCCTGGTGTGGCGTTGAGTGCTGGGACGCGCATGAACAACCCGGGCTCGAAGTGGATGTCCGTCTTAAGCTTAGACGTTGGTGTGACATCAACGGGGTTCAGGACATTAGCAACAGTCTGAATATATGGGGTTCCCTTGAGATTGACGTGTTCCTGTTTGCCAAAGCCACGATTGGGAACATTGTTCAACACTGATGCCCCCAAAAACTGGAGCTTCTCCTCAGTCAGGTCGTATTCTAGAAGATTGTCCTTAAGAGCATTACCCGGTGCTGTTGGGTCATCAGCAGGGTCGAAAGAGCTCGGTCCATTTCTCGGGCGAAAGATCATGTTTAGACCCCTTCCTTTGAAGGTACCAGTGAATCTTGAAAGGGCTATACCCAGTTCACCTTCGGCAGGATCTTTATCTGGCCTACCAAGGGGCGGCTCTGGAACGGCCGGTGCAGCCGTTCGCAGAGGAAGCTGGGCGGCGATAGCCTCATCTACTGGTTGGATATTGAAGTCTGGTGATATGAAAAAGACTCTCCGGTCATCCTCCAGTGGTCTTGCAAAATTCAGTGCCATTGTGAAGCGAAATCGAAGATCTGAAGAGTAAAATGGAATGTTAGATTGAGATATATTTATTGTTGAGCTTCCTCGGTTTTGAACATGAGAGCTGAGCTCAATTTAAGTAGGCAGCGGAATTAATTCGTTTTAGCCTAAATACTACACGGATTCTTTCATGACACACTGGACCGTGTTAAACTGTCCTGGAAAGAAGACAACCGAGAACACCCTATTAGTGTTGCAGAGCTGTCATACTCTAGCTGACAAGCAAGTCTGAAATAAGTGCCATCACATCTGCGAATACCTTTACTGTTATTCTAATCCAAGCTGAATTTTGCATGCCAATTTGTTCGAGTCCACGGACTTGCGTAGGAAGATATGACCGCTGATACTTCGAAGAGCAATACTTGAGCATTCGCAGTTCATGTCGACGTTCATAATCACTGGTCCCAAACTGAGTGTCGAATACGAGAAAGAGACGATACCTGTATGCCGTTCTTGACCATCATTGGGACAACGAATGGTGTATGACTGCTCATCATGTAGTGTGACCGGAACGGCTGATGCTTGGCTTACTTAACCGAAGAAAGTTGGACCCCACATTCTTTGATCGTACGGGACTACCCGCATAGCATGTTTAAGATTTCAGCTCAATTGCAAGGCACAATGTGCCTTGACTGATATGGCTCATCCCGATAATTCATTGAGGAGCTAAAAGAAGTCCACAGTTTGCAAGTCTGTGACGTTGATTCTGAAAATAAAGATGACGTTGCAAGATTTTCGGCTGTTCGCGAGACGAAATATATGGTTTGCTTAGAGAGATCTCAGGGCTTGAAATTCCAGCCAAAAAGGAGCCGAAGACTTGGCATTCAATGCTGTGCTTACATTCGACAAGCTCCAACTGCTGGAAGGTCGAAACTCGCGCGACCAGTCGTCTCTCGTCAAAGATAGCACTATATTCTGACAAGCTCATCCGTCTGATTAGATGTAATTATGTGCGTATCACCTTCTACCTCTATACCGGGATGATGGGGACATTCAAGACAGGCTCTGGAAGGTCGCTTGATTCAGCCGCAGCAAGCTCTTACCAGGCAACAGCTGTAAGACGAGTGTGATCAAAGCAAGATAGAAGACCCTGCTTTTCGTACGAAGGCGAGATCCTTGATGGCGTTGATAACACGAGACATTTTCAAAGAAGAGGAGGGCAGTGCACGCGGGAGCACACGCCAGGATCAGCAGACGAACACCATAAGGCTACAAGGACGTTTACACGAATACTCTATTGGATCCTAGTTTGTCCATACCGGGATAGAAGTGTTGAAGTAGGGTGGCCAAGAGTCGCACAGCAGGCGACAGGATGCCAGTCGAAAGGCAAACATGCCAAGTCGAGAGAAGCTGAACAGCTACCATTGTTAGGCCATGTGTGAAGAAGCGAGTCGCTGGATAGAGGGCCGTGCTGATTCTGCCTTTCTGGGTCCATAGAAAGGCGAACGGAAGACGCAGGAAGCCAAAGCAGGTGCTGGAAATCTGGATGACAGATTACTTAGCAATGTAGAGTTGAAGGAGTCGAGAGAGCTCTGATTGGCTGAATGAAAAAGAAGTCCAGTGACCTCGCGTCGACGCGTTTACAGTCATTTGTGGCCTTCAACCGCGCCGGATTCTCTTGCTGTCTATAACCTCGCCTTTTGAGGCTTCGCAGCCACGCAATTGCTGTTGATTTTTCTCATTGTTGCCAGAAAAACCTGAGACACTAGGCGCGCCCGCAGTCGCAGAACAATTAATCTTTCAATTGATCAATTCGTCGCCTCTTTCCAGCCTTGCAACCATTCGGCGATGACACGCGCGGTGAAGGTAGAGCTTAGCGAATATGAGCGCAAGCGACAGGAGCAGATCGCTAAAAACAAGGCTTTGTTTGATAGTCTTGCGCTCGACGCGTTACAGTCTGGTCTAGCTCCGGCGGCAGCGAAGAAAACCGCAGCGTCAACGGGCAGACCCAAGTCGAAACCAAAGCCAAAAGTGAAAGATGAAGTAGTTCCAAGAAGGACATCATCACGCTTGCGAGGCATCGAAGCGGACAGCGAGGTGGCGAAGCGAAAAGCGGAAGAAGAGCGGCAGCTCATGGAAGCAGAGCACCGTGCGAAGAGACAGAGAGTTAGTGGCGATCTTCATGCAAAGGATATATTAGTGTCAGGAAAGGACTGGGACATGCACGGAAACTTCCTATCGGTCGTTGGCCCTGCACGACCTTATGAGCGCACGTTCGGCGAGCAGGACATCAAGGAGACGACAAACAAGGAGTTACGGGAACTGCGCGAGCGCATGAGCGGCCTGCAACTGTGGGAGAATGTCGAGCCGAGCCAGATCAAAATCACACCGGAGCGAATCTACGCCCTCACCCTACACCCAACTCAAGAAAAGGCGCTCGTCTTTGCGGGTGACAAGATAGGTAATCTCGGGATTTTTGATAGCGAACAGTCCAAGGACGGCATCAAAAAGGAGCAGGCCGAGGATGAAGAAGAGCTGAATGACAGCTTCGAACCGGCTATCACGACTCTGAAACCACATGCTCGCACGATATCTTCCTTTGCCCAAAGTCCCGCAGAATCCAACGCGCTCTACATGTCCTCCTATGACTCCTCAATACGGAAGCTGGACCTTGCAAAGGGTGTTGCTGTCGAGGTGTATGCACCCGAAGATATCTCTCTCGACGAGCCACTCTCCGGTGTTCAACTCAGCGCCAAAGATCCTCACATGCTGCACTTCACCACGCTTTCGGGCATCTTTGGCATGCACGACATGCGCACACGAAACTCCTCGCAAACTTTTCGGCTGTCCGAAAAGAAGATCGGCGGCTTCTCCCTACACCCGGCGCACCCGCATTACATCGCCACGGCTTCTTTGGATCGCTATCTGAAGCTCTGGGACCTGCGCAAGATCACCGGGAAAGGCGAATCGAGGCTCCCTGCGTTGGTGGGCGAGCATGAGAGCAGACTAAGCGTCAGTCATGCAGCTTTCAACGCCGCGGGACAGGTCGCTACTGCGAGTTATGACGATACCGTTAAAATATATGACTTCTCCGGGTGTGGCGCTTGGGAGGTTGGCAAGACGCTTTCGGAAGACGAGATGAAACCAACAAAGGTGGTTCCGCATAATAATCAAACAGGGCGATGGGTCACGATGTGAGTGTGAACCACTTTCCCCCCCCCCCCCTTTTTTTTTAACCTCGTCCCTGCAACGCAGGAAAATGCTAACCTGAGAACCTCAGTCTTCGAGCGCAATGGCAGCTCCAGCCTGCGGACGGCATACAACGCTTCTGCATCGGCAATATGAACCGATTTGTTGATATATACACTTCGCAAGGCGAACAGTTGGCCCAACTTGGCGGCGACGGCATTACCGCCGTGCCTGCTGTTGCACAATTTCACCAAACCCAGGACTGGGTCGCTGCAGGCACAGCGAGCGGAAAGCTATGTTTATGGATGTGAATGTGCACACGTCATCAAAAGCAAACCAAAGCGTTCAGAACTTGAGCTACTTTTTGACTGGCTACGATCTACTCAATCGCGATACCTATGCGTGGTCTTTGTGTTTGCTGATCATTTGCCAACACTCCTGCAACCCATACGACGCCCTGTGTTTTCGCGTTACCTTACACTAAATGTCCTGGGACAGCCAACGCCAATCTATGTTAAACTGGTGAGACCTTTCGCAACCTAAGCATCACCTTTCCGCTGCGTCTCATTGCGCAGGACTCGATGTCGGGAGAGCAACTGTGAGATTACAAAGTGGCTTACATCCTCCTCAGCCCAATAGGAAAGGTGCGATGCAATGCCAGCCAGCAATGACAAGTCAAAGGCTCCCCTATGAAGCAGTTAGCTGGCCTGCATGCTCTGGATTCCTTACTACTGTACGACGGACTTACTCTTGAATGCTATAGTCTACTCGCCCATTGCTATTCAACGCTCGCACTTTTGCTTCCTCTCTCTTCAGCTTTCGAGCCTGCTCTTCAATGTCGCGACGCTGGTCGTCTCTTTCCAGAGGGTTTGATGATGTGACGCTCTGCTTCTTGAAGCCGGAGTACAGCGTCTCGATTTCGTCGTCCAGAAGTGTGGGTGGATGCTGCCCGTCTTCCCCAGTCCGGACCGTCAGGTCGCCCCGGATAAGCTTTTCTGCGTCGCTAGATGCAAAAGGTCCGGACTGCTGAGCCACATTGCCAGCTCCATTCGCACTTGTATTTGTAGCCTGATTTCGCGATGATGCTTTGCCCTGCTGGCTCTTCGTTGGGTCATCAGCTGATATTCCCAGGCTCCGCGATAACAGACTGCTTGCGATTCCGCTGGTCAAGCCAGTCCACAAACCTGAAACGCTCTGCCCAACACGAGCACCAATACCTGCCATTCCTTGTGCCGGATTACCAAAAAGTCCTTTCTTGGTGTAGGGTAGTGGCTGGGGCTTCATATTTGACATTGCTGGTGTGATCAACGGCTCAAGTCTGTAGCTAATCGGATCCGTAGGGTGGAAAATATTGTATAATCGTTGACACTTGGGCGACGAAGTTGTGTTCTCGAAATAGTTGGACTCAGTTCTTGTCGCAAAAGGATCGTCTATGTCAGAAAATGGTGTTTGCGCCGGCTTAACATTTGGGGTTCGTGCTGCGATAGTTCGACCCTTGAGCATCTGGAAAAGACCAATAGGGGAGCCCAATGCGTAGAAGTCCTCGACTGGAAATTCGAATTGCATTTCGTCATCGGTCTTGCGTCGACTACTGCTCATGCTGTGGCGTCTGTTGCCGTTGGTGTCCGCCTTCTGATTGCAAAGGATGTCGAACATGATTGCAGAGCCTAGCGAGTGGCCCATCAGGCTCACTTTGCCTTTGAAATTCGGATTTCGCTGTTTGAAAAGGCGGAATATCCGATTACACTCGTTTAAAACAATGCGCGTGATGTGAATTTTGTATGCAGGCGATTGATAAAGCAAGATGTCAAGAGCCAGGTCAGTGATGAAGCTACGGAAGACGTTGTTGACGGTGATATCATCGATACTTGGATACTTCTCGTCCTCCTCTTCATGTGCATCGCCAAGGTCATGCTCTTTACGATTATACTTCAAGCTTTGCTTTGGAAAGTCCAGGAGATGGCGCCAGCATATGGGCAGGACCTGAATCCGACAGTTTTTCTGGGGCTTGCCAACCTCCGCATTCAAAGCTTGAAGGTCGGGTGAATTGCTATACACTGATTTCAACGTCTTTCGCAAAGTGTTGACATCATGTATGAAATTCACGCTCTCAAAGCGTAAACCCAGCTGCTGGCCGATGCCGTGGGTCACAAGGATCAGGTGTTCAATTTCTCTGCCTTGCTCGTCGCCATCAGCCTCGACATAGTCGTTCTCTATTTCTTTTTCGTCCCGTTTGCGTAGTTCCTCTTCCTCGCTTTCACGACTTTCAAAGGCACCGGATTCAACAAGAGAGGACATCTGCCGTTCCAGAGTGATCCGACGACTCAAGCTTGGGGAAATTATATCCTCATCCTTCTCTTTCTCCGCCTCTTTCTCCTTTAATTTTTCTTCGGACCCCAGTCTTGGAGACGAATCTACTGGCTTATCATTATCTTTGGATTCTTTCTTAGGCGTTGCGTCTGTGAAGCCCCGCACAACTTTCAGGCCAGCATAATGAGCGGCTCCAGCAAATCTCTCGTACATTGTGCCCCGCATGCCTGACAAGAAATCATCTGACATGATCCAAGCAGTCTTTTCGTCTTGGTAAGTGACGACCGAGTTCATATGCGCGCCAAATAAGCGGAACGTTCTCTGAATCGCCTCATTTGGCACGGCAGCCGTGTCGCCATGACCTTTTAGACTGTCGTTGGAATTCTTAGGTGTCACGGATTTCTTCGAGTCCAGAGCAAACGAAGAGGGTCTTGATCGAGGCTTTGAAGCTTGTGGAGAAGACTTGTTGGGCTGCTCTTTTGGAAAACGCCAGGGTTTCAGCTTTAAATATCCCTCTTCGAGCTGTGTAGCTAGATTTTCATCCAGAGGCTTCAAAGACGAGCCATCAGTTGCAAACCATGTGCCTGTGGCATTAGGTTAGCTCTTCTCAGTCGCGCCGCTGAAATGGAGATCATGGGACTGCTCACCTCGACGACAATCGTAGACAGGACCCAGCCAGTATGCTGGAGCTAGCTCTCTCCGTTCGACATCTACGTCGAAGAGAAAGTCTTCGTTGACCGGCACTTTGACAGAAGTATCCTCCTGCTCCTCAGCAGTTCTCCTGAGCTTGGTGCCACGCCTGTCATCTGCCGAGAGCCCTATATCTCCTGTCCTATCGAGCTCCGGTGCTTGTCCCTGAGCCAAACGCTCTCTGTCTGCTACATCATCTTGTTCGCCACCCTTTTGATATGCATGCTCTATTGCTCTCGAGTCTCGCTCAGAAAAAGGCACGTATTTCTTTGGTTGTGGGGCAGCTTTCCCCTCGGAAGTTTGGGTCTGCAGCGGCTTACGCTTGGGTATGTCGACGGCATGGAACCACCTTACAACTAGAGGAGGGCAATCGCTTGGGTACTGTTTCAGCGACAGTCTATGCCGCTTGCTGACAGAATGATCTCCACCTCTTTGCGGCTCAAAAGTAGGGTCCTCGTGTTTCTTGTCCGGAGCCGGAGGCTTCGGCGTGGCACTTCGAGAGCTCCAGGGAGAGTACGAAGCAAGACCTGAGAGGTAGCCCTGTTTGTTAGGTGGAGAAGACATGAGTCCTCGCCGGCATACGCCGGTTCGTTTTGGGCTTTGCCAGCTTGTAGCGCCCTTCTTGAATCGACGGTGCACACTCGGTAGTGTTCGACGAAGGTGGGATTCGAAGCCGGCGATGCGCTCCAGCTCGGCGGAGAGAAATGCAGTTTATCACTGCTTACGACGCAAACTCTGAGACTTAGGTAAATTTCAGTTGCTGACGGTTCAATGCCGTATGAAACATCACGTTCATGTGTTTTGAGACGCGGTTCTCAGGTCTGCGCACGCGAGTTTCGTTCACAAGAACCCCACAATGTCACCGCACGACACCATGACCTCACACATCCCAATCTAAGGCACAAAGGAAGCCGTTTCCTGCGACTACACAGAATCGTCCAAGACTCTTCGCCGGCGAATTCCCACGTTTCTATCTACGCTGATATACGACAGTCCCTGTTAGAAAATCAAGAACCATTTGCTGCATCGTGAACATGTTTTCGCTGCATCAAAGTCTATGCTCGTCGTCCTACGTCACAGGCTGATTACGTATCAGGTCACGCAGTCCCAAAAGTCATCTACTTCTCCCTTGTGACCAGTTTCTTCACCGTGTGTTTCAAACTATTAAGATCGACTTGTCAAATTCATCTTGGGCATCTGCTGTCTGTTGTCTCTACAGACTACTTGGCTTCACCGCATGTCCTGGCGGATCTTGTCCGTCGGTATAGAGGCCGATGTTTTGCTGTGACATGTTCTGTGACGCTACAGTCCATGAGGCCTGGGCATTCTGTAATGGCTGCCTTGGCTTCGCTGTATTCTCCGAGCTGCAGATGTGTAAAAGATACGTCGCCCTGCTTTATTGAACACAGGAAACAAAGCAGAACAGATGGTAAAACAGTGGAAAGTTAGGCGCAAACCATCCCGAGCTTTAAAGTTCTTTAGATTGGTTAAGACTTTTTTAAGCGAGCATCTGCAGCAACAGAAAATTGGCTATCAAATCGCAACTCCGAGGACTTTGACGCGAGGCTCTAGATGATTCTCCTAGCTTGGCAGTAGCGAAATATAACCATGATTTAAGTTGATACGAGTAAGAGCAATGAAGTAAAAGACTGCTAGGACAATATGGCAAGCTACTTTAAAATGTGCCTCCAGCCCTCGTCGAAGTTCTCGGGAACCGAAATATTATTTGCCAATGGCTTTGAGCAAACGGCTTATACGCCCTATTTACTAGCTAAAAACTCTCGATGTACGTGCGCTCGAGCAGGTTATTTGAAATTCCACTTCTAGCCAATACATCCAACGGAGGCTCGCCTCCTACTGCTACCTTGAGATCAACATCTCCGCATCCCCGTCAATTACGTGGAATGCTGAGATTGGGAAAAAAGTCCGACCATAGCAACGTTGTCCTGCCTCGGGAGCGGCTCCGGGTGATGTGCATGCTGAAGCATCGTGGCAAAAGGCAACTGCCCAGCCTACTCTCCATTCTTATAGGCCCCGTAACTGTAAGGCTAGGAAGGGCAATTAAAGGTTCGATCATTCGTTTCCTGGACACAAGTTGGCTCCATATGGGATTCCGGCTTTCTCTCACCCGTTCCGTTCATGCAAGCGTGTCAGCGTGAGACACGTTGAATGCATGCTCTCCAATACGACCTGCACAAATCCCGGAACCTATCTAGAAGACTAATCGATCTGATTTAGGATTCATGTTGTCAACCTGATTAGTGCTTCGTGGAACTTCACCTTCGAGCACACACCGTCAAGGGTGTGAGAGCGAGAATGGGATATGCATATCATCATCGTGACAACTTCTATCGGCATTCACGGGCGAAGACTGCGAATGTCGTACGCCAATGTGCCCTTTGCAATATTTCTCATACACCAAGTCAAAGTGCGAAGCAATCTTAGTGTTTCTCTATGGCTAGAACGGCCTAATAGGCCGCCCGTTTTGTGTCTCTATTATTCCCTTTATTTTTAGAAGCTTGTATGTTCATTGCTTGAAAGTGACGAACGTGATGCATTCCCAAGGAAGCGAGAGTACATTGGTACTACGATGTATTGTCAGGTTTTTAGACGATGATGCAGATCGTTTCCGCTAGGAGGACTCGGCTCCGAGAGTTGGACAAACGAAAGGGGAGCTACCACACCCACAAATGCAGCTGAACCAATCCGTCAGTTTCGTTTGTTTTGAAGTGGCATTCTCAATTGCCTTAATGAAAACGTTCCAGGCCGACTTCGGTCACAGCCGGAGAGAAAACTTTCTCGGGGGAGGAAGTCAGCACATGCGGAAGTCAAACCGGCAGTACGGAGAGGAGATCTTCTTCTCATCATGAGGCACGGAGCTTGAGAGCCAGTCGGCATGACGAAGCAAAGTGGGGTTGACTAGGGGGCACTTACCGATCGAAGGGCTTGAAGGATTCTACAGCCACGGAGATATTGAGCCTTGCGATGAGGCCGCTAATGCGGTGTCACTGTCAGCATCCCAACGGCTTGTCGCGAAGTGTCCTGAGACTGTTCAAATATATACTAAAACTACACCCAGGGACTCGAAATGTCACCTAGTAAGCAGCTTTACAGGTTCACCTAATCAAACAATGATGTAGATGAGAATGAGTCCTTTAAGGTACATGATCTTGTACTCGGAGTGGCCTGCTTAAATTCACCATGCAGAAATGACTCGACTCGCTCGAAGCCGTTGTTTCATTGCAGCTCTTTCTCCTTCTCCAGAAGGGTTTCGAACCGTATCGTTCTGTTGATCCGAGTGGAACATTCCGCGTACGTTGTTGCTTGCCAGCCTCAAGTACAGCTAGCCTGAGGTATTTGTCGCGGGGTAATTGAACGACAATGGTCCTGACTCTCCTCGCTCTTTTCAGTCTACTGCTGCCGGATTCTTGGGCTTTTTCATGGCAGATAGCACGAGCGGCAGGAGGGCGATACGAATGGTTCTCGATGGCGCTCTCACATGTACATTCACGTGGTAGATTTGAGAACGTCGTTCAATCTTCCCACAACTTGTCAGCGAAGACTCGCCATAAGAAGAAAGTTACTGGATTTTCCATCGCTGCTGGATGATATGGAACGTTTTTATCCCTTTTACGTCTCTGAACTGCTCACATTCCCAAGCTCAAGATGGCCACAAATTTTGCAACGACTTGGCCATAACAGGATTTGATGCCAAGCTCCCAGCCCCATAGCGTGCATGCTAGCGGTCGTTTCTTGACAGGCTGCAAGTTGCATCAGGAGGCAGGGAGCGCGGCGAGACGAAGTCTATGCGTCAAAAAAAAGTGCACAGGATGATTGAACCGTTCCCTTGCTTGCAATCGGCTGCATGAAGGCCGTCCAGCATGACGGACAGGCTGATCCCGTGATGGAGCAATCTTGCCAGCTAAGAAAACCAACTGATAGCGGTGAAGGTGCTTGCTCTCCAATGAAATCAGCATCTTCACCGCTTCTCGTGTGGTCGAAGTGATGATAGTCGTTTGATGCTGCCAAAACGCCTAGGCAAGGATGCCGTGCGAAGAAGCAATTCCGGCGCTAACAGGGCTGCGACTCGACCATTTCTCCCATGCTACAACTAAACGCTCCCAAAACCCTTAGCTACATTTTCACGCGGCTGGCCAACTCACCGAAATACACTCCAGAAGAGCGCTGGTTCCCTCTTTGGAACACGCGACGAGGCCAGCACACCTACCTCCAACGGGCAACGAGGTCTCTCCATTGGTGCATCGTGCCCGCTATACTACCCATCGGAGCAGTTCCAGGGGGAGATGAAGGTGCTTTGGGCACGCATTGTCATGGTTCTTGACGTCGCAATCTTTTCAAGCGTGTCCCGGCAGCCTGGATCGTAATCCATGCTGGGGCACTCTGAGACTTGGGATTCGCACCTCTGTGCCGCACCGACAGCAAGGAAACTCTGCCCGCGTGGCGTGCCAGTCCGTTTCAAAGCCCATCTTTGCACTGTGTTTCCGTCAGCGCGGTTCCGCATCGCTCGTCATCCACCCTGCCAGTGCAAGACCACCATCCGTCAAGATCTGCCCGTCAGCACTCCTTAACCAGCCTAAAAACCTTGCGCTCTTCTCAACCGATCTATCGTAGTCGCCCTTCCGCTCGTTCGTTGTCCATCAGCCTCCTCGCTAGTCATACTCCTTGTCTCCGATACGAGGTTTCCACTGGGCCGTGGTTTTAGCTCCATCCTTACGCAAGCTATTAACAAAGTTATTATCACTGATTCTACGGAATCATCAGCCGCCTATCCCAGCGGACCAGGATTGATCTCGTCCCAGCAGAAGCAGGTGCGGATAAACCTCGTTAGCCACGCGCCGTCATAGGGGTATGATTCATGCATCTTAGACCTCCATGCTAGCTGCAAAGGATCCAAACCTGCGGTCGTGATTCTAGAAGGGAAAAAAAGTACGTCGTAGGTCTGCCATTTCTATTCTCGTGACCAGCTCGTTTTGTGTTTTCATATCGTCAAAGATGATCACCATCTGCCGTAACTAGCACCCTTGCCATATAAACGTCCCGGCGCTCTGCTCCTCTTTCTCCTTTTGTCATTTCTTTTACCTATCATCGCAGCCCTTTTTTGCATTGATCGAGGAATAATGGCAGCTGAGATTGGTAAAGCGAGACCTGAAAAGAGCGCTGCATTCTCTAGCACTGCTAGCAGTCATGAAGTGAAGGCACAAAAATCAGCTGTGCCGACTGCAACAACAATGGCAACCATTGAAGACGATGACGAGCGATTGCTCGCACGAATAGGCTACAAGCAGGTATTTTTCTTGTCAGATGCTGTGCCTTGCAAAGTCAAATATACTAATTCAGATCTAGGAGCTGAAAAGAGAATTCACAAAGTGGTCCACCGTATCATACGCAATATCGATTCTAGGTGTGCTCGGTTCAGTTCCTGCAACGTTTGGGTCTCCCATTTCTTCTGGAGGCCCCGCAACCGCCGTTTGGGCATGGTTCATCGGCTCGGTAATGGCAATGTGTATTGCCAGCTCAGGTTTGTTGGGACCGCTCTGTATCCAGTTCGATCAAAATTTCTGAGTATGTCCAGTGGCTGAGCTCGTATCCGCGTATCCTACTGCTGGTGGTATGTATTTTGTTACCAAGCACGTTGTACCAAAGGACCATGTCGCAATATGGGCGTGGATCATTGGATGGTGTAATTTTCTTGGTCAAGCCGGAGGTGTGGCAAGTCTCGCGTACACAATTGCGCAAATGATCTTCGCAGCGGTCGTCATGAACTCCCCAGTTATCAACGGAGCATACACATTCTCTCCGTAAGTTGCATGGGACAGAACTCGTCTGTCAGTGTCTAACTTCGGCGATAGCGAGCCGTGGCAGACAGTGCTTCTGGCTATTTTGGTTCTGTGTTTGTTTGGCACAATCTGCTCGCTTACCACGAAAAACCTGCATCGCATCGTTCTCTGGTTTGCGCCAATTAACATCATCGCCTCTGTAGCAATATGTATTGCACTTCTGATCCTTACACCAAACAAGCAGAGTGCCAAGTGGGTGTTTACCGAAGTTACCGATGGTTCTGGGTGGGGAAGCAAAGGATTTTCGTTCTTGCTCGGATTTCTTTCTGTAGCATGGACAATGACAGACTACGACGGCACTACCCAGTACGTGTACAGCGATGATGGGTTCCTGATACGAAACTAACGCTTGCATAGCATGTCTGAGGAGACCCACGATGCTGCCATACGTGGTCCAACGGCTATCCGTGCCGCTATATTAGTATCCGGTGTCGTGGGCTGGATGCTAACTGTAACATTCTCTTTCTGCTTGACTGACATGGATGCCATCATGGCCTCCCCTACTGGGTTGCCAGTGGCCCAAATATTCCTCAACGCCGGCGGTCGCGCCGGAGGCACGGTCATGTGGTTCTTTGTGATTCTTGTGCAGTTCTTCACTGGCTGCTCTGCTATGTTGGCCAATGCTCGTATGGCCTATGCTTTCGCCCGCGACGAGGCCCTCCCGTTTTCTGCGTACGTTGACGTTTGTCCTGCTCACTTCTATTCGCTAATGTATCGAGTAGTTTCTGGAGCAAAGTTAACCACATAACCCAAACGCCGGTCAACGCCGTCTGGCTGGTAGTGACATTCTGCAGCTGCCTCAACCTCATCGGCATCGGTTCTACGCAAACAATCGTTGCAATTTTTAACATAACCGCACCTGCCCTTGACCTTAGCTACATCGCCGTCATAATTGCGCATCGTGTTTACGAGCACCGAGTTCCGTTTATTGAAGGCCCATATACCATGGGAAGATGGAGCAAGCCCGTTAACGTCATTGCTGTCGTGTGGGTCTGCTTCATCAGCGTGGTTCTGTTCTTCCCACCCATCAAACCAGTCACCGCAACAAATATGAATTATGCTATCTGCGTGGCGGGTGCCATTGCCCTTGTGAGCTTAAGCTGGTGGTTTATTTCTGCAAGAAAGTACGCCTCGTTCCTTATCCTTTCGTTTTGTAAATCGGCATCTGACAATTTCATAGGACGTACATCGGACCGAGAACCAAGGAGATCATCATCGAAGTTCCTACGGACGACCCGGAATTTATGGGCTCGCTGTCGCCTACGCATTCGCAAATCCCACAGAGCCCTTGATCAACTTCAAGATTCGCTACTTGTTCAATACGATTTACTTGGCCTAAGACGACCTTGAACAGCTAGGGCCACATCTCGTCGAGTTTCAGTCAAATTTATGCAAGACAATAATCTGCGGTGTATTTGCTAGATACAAGACATTCGGCTGCATAAATTGACCACCTTCATAGACGGCTGTCCATGATCGTCTAAGGAGATTGCATGCCAGGGGTAGCAAGACCTGCCAGACGGGCCTATGAGCTATCACTTTGCTCAAAGAGTGGGGTATCTCCGATGAACGAGCGAGTTTTCGGCTTTCAAGTCTTGCCTCTGTGGGAAGAATTGTTTTTGCGGGCGATGCAAGGAGCCTCGTGTTCGAACATACTCATAATAGACTTGGCTTTGGTGCAGGATGGACTCGTCTTTGACTTGGACCTTTGCCAGCTACCAATGTATACTTCAACGGAGTAGTAGACTATAGACTCAGGAAGCACGTACATTCCGGAATTACAGCCTGCATTCCACAGGTTTCTCCGTCTCAAAGTTACCGATTTTAGTAGCGTGTGAACTGCTTATTGCTAGCTAGCGCGGGCGGCCCTTGCTTGGGACGGGCCGACGGCTGCATGGTCAGTTTTCCTGATGAACTAAATGACGTTTCTGAGACATGATCTCGTGAGCGGCGGCTGGTCATAATTAGGCTAGCTGCAGAATAGGTGTGACCTAAAGAGAGAAGCAATCGGACGAAAGCTATTAGTCACGTGACATAAAATGTGCAAGGGTCCCGAACTGTCTCCTTGCCCAGTTGAGAAATCAGTGAACGCGACCGAATGCGGATCGTCTGCTACACCTGTTTCCATCCACCACGCCCTAATCTATCACGCAGGTAATGAGGCAGAGGTAGCATACAGTGATGCGCATTCTGCCCGCAGGATAGGCAGCATGTTTACCTTCACGCCGCTGCTCGGAGCTCAGTCGAGCTCCACAGTGTCACAATCACTTCTTGAACTGGATGGTGGCATCAAGATTCTGATAGACGTGGGCTGGAATGAAGACTTCGATGCAGGTATACTCAAGGAGCTCGAAAAGCATGTTTCGACGTTGTCTTTCATACTCCTCACGCATGCAACAACCGCACACCTGGGTGCTTTCGCCCACTGCTGCAAACACATTCCGCTATTTGCGCGAATACCAGTGTATGCGACAGAGCCTGTGGTAGCTCTGGGTAGATCACTACTGCAAGATATCTACACTTCGACGCCACTGGCCGCCTCAGTTCTTTCCGCAGCCAGTCTGTCGGATGACGTCTACTCGTATCCCGCGAACCGCGATACCAACTCGTCCATTCTGCTGCCACCTCCATCGCAGATCGAGATCGCAGGCTACTTCAGCGCTATTCGGTCCCTCAAGTACTCTCAGCCTCACGAGCCGACTCCTTCATCCTTCTCGCCGCCCCTAAACGGCCTCACAATCACAGCGTACAGTTCCGGTCGAACATTGGGCGGCACAATATGGCACATACAACATGGACAAGAATCCATAGTCCACGCAGTAGATTGGAGTCAAGCCCGCGAACATGTGTTTGCCGGCGCCGCCTGGATTGATCCAAATCAGCCTACGGAAGTCATCGAAAGCTTGAGAAAGCCGACCGCTCTGATCACCAGTAGCAGAGGATCGCAACGCGTTGCACTCACCGGTGGCCAGAAAAGAAGGGATGACATGTTGATTGATCTAATCAAGGAAACAATCGAACAGGGCGGGACAGTACTCATTCCATCGGACTCAAGTGCTCGGGTTTTGGAGCTCACCTATCTCCTGGAGAGCGCGTGGGTGCAAGCTTCGGCAGACAAAGACAATGTTCTGAACAGCGCAAAGCTCTACTTTGCGAGCGCATCTGGTAAATCGACCACGCACAATGCACGTCGAATGCTTGAATGGATGGACCCAAATGTCCAACGAGAGTTCGAGAATCAGGCGAACCTGGGAGGCCGGGGAACCGCTGCAGAATCGAGAAAAGTCGGATCCGCGCCATTTGACTTCATGTTTGCTAAGATCTTGGAGCGCAAGACTCAGGTTGCTCGTGCTCTGGCAAGGGAGGGCCCGAAAGTCATCGTTGCCAGTGACACGTCTTTACAATGGGGTTTCTCGCAAGTAGTGCTGGAGAGTATTGCGAGTGACGAGAAGAACCTGATCATCTTGACCGAGCGAAGCATGCCTATTTCACAGGCCACGAGTGGCTTTGGAAAACTTCTGTGGGATATCTGGAGCGAGAAAGCCGGCGTCACTGATTATGATGCCGTGTCCCAAGATCCACCGTCAAAGTCCTTTGCAGCAGAAGGTGCTGAGATATCGAGCAAGGGTGCAAGGATTGAGCCTCTTTCCGGGAATGAACTCAATATTTATCAGCAATACCTGGCGAGACAACGGCAGATCCAAGATACTGCCGACACAGAAGAAGTTAATGCAGTAAATGCGAATGCAGATGCAGCAGATGCCCGCTCAGATACTTCGTCAGAATCTGAGGATGAGGATGATGAACAGCAAGGAAAAGCACTCAATGCCATGGCTACCATGACACACGGGAGACACAAGATCGCATTAACAGACGCCGAACTGGGCATCGACGTGCTCGTACGCAGGAAGGGTCATTATGACTACGACGTGCGGGGGAAAAGGGGTCGTGAGAGGATGTATCCAGTTCTGAAGAAAGTCATGCAACGCGACGACGAATATGGGGATACCATAAAGCCTGAGGACTATTTGCGAGCTGAGGAACGAGACGCGATGAATGATGATGAAGCAACAAACATGAATGCGCCAAAGGACACCGGTGTAGGCGAGAAGCGCAAGTGGGATGAAGTTAACATTGAAGCGGCTCAAGCCACCCGCAAACAACAGAAAGAGGCTAGCAAGCGAAAGAAAACGGACGATGCGGCACTCATGGATGGTATACAAATCAATGGCGCTGCAGAGAGCGATGATGACGACAGCGATGAGGAAACAGAAAGCAACGTCGAAGGACCTGTCAAGGCTATATTCGAGGAGAAGACTTTGACGCTCAGTGTGCGGCTTGCCTTTGTCGACTTCTCAGGCTACCACGATAAGCGGAGCATATTGCATCTCATACCGATGATCAAGCCGAGGAAACTTATTCTTGTCGGGGGAGAAGCAAATGAAACAGCTGCACTCTCTGCGGATTGTCAACAGATTTTGCATCTTGAGCCAAACAGCAACGATATTATGACACCGGTCAATGGCAGCACAGTGGATGCAAGCGTAGACACGAACGCGTGGACTGTTAAACTAAGCCAGTCATTGTACAAGAAACTTCGCTGGCAGAATGTGCGCGGCCTCGGCGTTGTCGCACTCAGCGCATTTCTTCTGCCTTCCGTACAAGCTGAATCGGAAGACGAAGAATCGAATACCAAGAAGCTCAAGCTCACCAACGGAGAGACGCCAAACCAGCAAATCGCCACTGAGGTGAGCATGCCCTTATTGGACCTATACGGCCCGGGTATGTCCGCTGCTACCACACGCACAGCAGCACAGTCCATCCACGTCGGGGACATCAGGCTTGCAGACTTGCGTCGCGCGCTGCAGGCTGAGCAATATAGCGCTGAATTTAGGGGTGAGGGTCTTCTTGTGGTCAACAATAGCGTTGCAGTGAAGAAGAGTACGATGGGCAGACTTGAGGTTGAGGGTCTTATGTGCCTGAATTCATTGGGCAGACCAGATCCAACGTTCTACAATACGAGGAGAAAAGTGTACGATATGTTAGCAGTGGTTTCGGGAGCCTGATCAAACTGCCCTGTACAATGTAGTGCCTTGGTGACTTCCATTTGACTCATAGTCGGTAATGAAGAGGTGGCATGACCACCTGTTATCAGCATCTCGTCCACATTAACTACTTTCCTTTATTTTCTGCACATCATCCTCGTCATACTCTATGCGTCAAAGCTTGCGTTTGAAAGCGATCGTTCTGAGCCAACGTGGACAGGCATTTTCTCACCGCTGGCAGAGGGAAACTCGGAGGCCAAATTACGTTTCGGGCCATGTTCCGCATGTCTCCTGATGCAACAATGGGCCAACGCAGCCGTACATGGCGTTTCTCGCCGGGAAACATGCTCGCGCTGACGACTTTTGCTGGTGTGTCACCATGTAGGCTTGACTCTGCTTTTGATCACGAAAGAAAAAAGGAAGATACAAGTCAGAGTCATCGCAGGTGCATTTAGGAGGATATATACATACATACATATATATATATATATATGTGTGTGTGTGTGTGTGTGTGTGTATATGCCCGTTGTATTCGTCATTCCTGGTCCACCTGTGCAGTAATCCTGGGAGCATCCGCTAACCCGTCTCCCTCCAAGGCGCACGCTGAGAGTCGCGTATTCTGCGAAGAAACGATATTACTGTTGACAAAGGTCACTGTAAGGACGGATGCTTCGTGCCTCTTACTAGGTTTTTTCGCTAATGGGTTCGCGGAAGAGCCATGAGTAGGGACTACGACAGAGCGCCATTCCATTGGCGAGCTGGACATGGATACATGCCTCCAAGCACGGTCAAGAAGCCTTCGGTCTGCGCAAGCAGTCCATACTTTGCGCCCGTGCCATTCCCCGTCGTCCAACACCCGGTCGTGTTCAATCACGGGCCTCAACCAGCCATCTTCGGAGGCTTGAGTTTCCCGTGCGGGCCGGGTGTGGCATTTGCATCTGCACCGGTGTACTGTCCACCGGCACGCTACTATTATGGTGGTCCATCGCCCGTCTGTCTGCCATGGCAGCCACACCCAGCTCCAACGACCACAAGCGATGACGCCAGCGACAGCGATGATGACGCGAGCAACACGAGCTCCAGCAACACGAGATCCAGCGCCAACTCCAGCTCAAGATCGAATTTGGCGCCCGCCGGTGCCGCGATTCCAGGCGGGGTACGTCAGGGCACAGGAGTTCTGTACACGGGTAGGCCGTGCCATCTTCATGTCATCGACGGCGGGAGGGTTTCGTTGTCGAACTTGCTCGATCCGGACCACAGCACAAAGCCCTTCCAATTCACCCGGCACGTGGTGCAGGACAATTCCACCGTCGACCAAGTCATAGAAGCTCTTGGGGGTGGGCACTGTTCAAGCGTGACTCAGATTTGGGAGTGGGGTGAGGGGCGCTGGAAGAAGGGCAGCAAGATGAAGTACGGAGAGGAGAAGGCAGGACTGCGACTGAGTGACATTGGCTGGACGGATGCAGGAAGCAAGGACAAGGCACCCGTGTGGATCTACTTCAGTAAGTAGTAAAGACGAGTCACGAGGAGTATCGTGTCTCGACATAGATCGACCCCGGGAGCCTGGCACATAAAGTCCAGCCCCTCGGATGATATTTCCCTTGTTGGCCGTGGAAGCGACTGTGAGGAGTAGACAGCTTATTTGGTACGGCAGCCTGCTCTGTTCCGGCTGGGAGACATAGTCAGCACGAGCGGCTACATAGCTTAGTATTGAGATGTGCAACATGTACAGGTAAAATCTTTAGATCACAGAGCTAGACTCACGAGCACTTGTAGCGAGGACCAAAAACAAGGCTGTAGTCTTTCTATGCGTCCATTGAGAGACCTAACATTTGACGCTTGATATCCGTTTTGGACTAGCCGGCTGAAACCCTGATAGTTGTGCATGTATTGCAGCACAAGACATGTGTTGGTCCACGAAAGGGCTGGACCTTAGCAAGGAAAACAACCATTTGGCCGTCGTAGAAAGATGGATTCCTGTGTCTATTGTCATCAATATTGACGATGGAGGAAACGCAGTCCAGCCGAGGGCCCCGTATGAGCATAACGAAAGCCTTGTCGTTTTCATCCTGAAGAATGCATGTGGCGGGCCTTCTCTGCTTCGTCCGCAATAGTCGACAGGACGTTTCGCGCGGTCAAACCTGATTTCCGTTGTCGAGCAATCGGCTGGAGGTCCAGTGATCCTGAGCCCGCGTGGACCTCCCGAATGCGGTAGTGCAATTTATCGACTATCAATTTAAGGTTGCCAACGGCTTTGCGCTGGCAAAGACTCTGGGGATCGTTCGTGCTTGGTTCGAACGCAGAATGATGCGCACGCCGCTCTACACATCCCCACACAGGCGCTGCTAGGGTTGGAAAATCATTCCGGGCCAACGTCTACACACAGTCAGGACGCAGATGGCGTGAGATTTGCGTCCGATCCTGAAGCGTTGACAAACTTGATCCTTGCAGACGCTTTTCGCTGGTCGATGACTTTCTGTCGGACCTGTAGGCCATGTGGGCAGGCTGAGAGCTCTTATCTAAGAAAATGGGGACTGAGTTTCGTCTCGATATCAGGTCGGCCGCATACGACTAGACCAGGAAAGGCACTCCGTGCCGACGGATTAACCTGGCGAATGGATGCTTTTAGCGAGCGGGGACTAGACTGTACATCTCGGCCAGGCATACGCTGTCGATCTGTGATGGTGTTTTGGCAGTCGGAGTGAGAAGCAGCCATGGCCAGGGCTCGGCCTCTTATCGCTGATAGCGGGACGATATTCGGACATTGTCAGCGGGGTACAATGTGGACTTTGGACTTTGGGCCTTTCTTGGACGGTCGGCAACCTGAATCCGAATGACAGCCCGTCGTTGCTTGCCCGCGTTTCTTCCCGTACTCGTGCATCTAGCCTGACGTGCCGCGATCAAGCAGAGCGGACTGAGATATGTAGATCCACTATAAGAACGCTGGGGCCCGGTCGCTCGCACCGCGTCTTTGACCTTTCTGTTCCTCTTCGGCTCGCCTTCTGCCCTCTTGGAAGACCTGAGCAAACACACGCCTCGTCGGAATGTCGATGCAAGTTGAGAACCCGCCACCAGCAGTAGTACCGGCGAAGCAGGGTGCCGGTCACCCGCTCGCACCCATCACAGCGGACGAGATCGTCCATGCGTCGACGTTGATCCGCAGACTCTGGCCCGATCAGACGAGCATTCAATTCAAAGTTGTGACACTTGAGGAGCCGCCCAAGGCACAGGTGCTTCCTTACCTCGAAGCAGAGCATGCCGGAGCTCCGCTGCCAGAGATCGAGCGCAAGGCCTTTGTCAACTACTATCTGAAGAACACGGTAAGGACATGCACGCAGCCAGAAGCGGGGTCTCATACTCATGGCATCAAATGCAGAACAAATTCCATGAAGCCGTTGTCAATCTTTCACGAAACCGCGTGGAGCACCACGTGCTGCTAGGCCCCAATGTTCACGGCACCGCTGATGGCGAGGAGATTCTCGCCATCGAGAAGATTGCACTGGAGGACGAAGCCGTGAAGGCTGAAATCGCCAAGCTTCAGCTGCCCGAGGGAACCGTTGTTTGCTGCGATCCGTGGATTTATGGAGCTGACGGCGTGGACGACGACGAGCGAATGTACCAGTGCTTCCTCTACATGCGCGACCCAGCAAACCCGAAGGAGGCAGACTCATGTCACTACGCGTTTCCGCTGCCGATCTCCCCCATCATCAGCACGGAGACCATGAAAGTGATCAAGGTCCAGATCCTGCCCACGGACGCGGACCTGACGGTCAAGCCCGTTGAAAAATACGTTCCAAGGCCGGCCAACGAATACGTTTCCGAGTACCAGACGCTACGGACAGATCTCAAGCCGCTGCACGTTCTCCAGCCAGAGGGCGCCAGCTTCACCGTCACCGAACAAGGCACGTCGACGGTGCTTGAGTGGCAAAAGTGGACCATGCGTGTGGGATTCAACCAGCGCGAGGGCATCGTCCTTCACGACGTTCGTTACGCTGGCCGTACGCTCTTCTACCGACTGTCACTGTCGGACATGAACATCCCCTACGCCGACCCGCGCTCACCGTACCACAAGAAGTCCGCATTCGACCTCGGCGACGTCGGCGCCGGGCTCATGGCCAACGACCTCAAGCTGGGCTGTGACTGCCTCGGCTCGATCTACTACCTGTCCGCCGTGCTTTCGGACGACAAGGGCGCGCCGCTTCCGATGCCAAACGTGGTGTGCATCCACGAGCAGGACGCTGGCATCGGCTGGAAGCATACAAACTACCGCACCGGTCGCGCGGCCGTGGTGCGCAACCGCGAATTCGTGCTGCAGAGCATCATCACGGTGGCCAACTACGAGTACATCCTGGCGTTCATGTTCAACCAGGCCGGCGAAATGGACTACGAGGTCCGCGCGACCGGCATCCTCTCCACCCAGCCGATCGACGACGGCGTCGACGTGCCCTTCGGAACGCGCGTGCACCCGGGCGTGCTGGCCGTCCACCACCAGCACATCTTCTCCCTGCGCGTGGACCCCTTCCTCGACGGGTCGCCGGCCAACCGGGTCGTCTACGACGAGGCGCACGCCATGCCGCGCAGCGAGTTCAACCCTCACGGGACGGGCTACGCCGTGCACGAGACCGTGGTCGAAAGATCTGGCGGGTACGACCTCGACTTCGGCGTGAACCGCGTGTTCAAGATCCAGAACGCGGCGGTGCGCAACCCGATCAACGGCAAGCCGGTCGCGTACAAGATCCACGCGCCCCCTTTCCAGTACATGATCTCGGACAAGGACTCGTTCAACTACAAGCGCGCCGAGTTTGCGGACCACAACATCTACGTCGTCAAGTACCGCGACGGCGAGCTCTACTCCGGCGGTCGGTACACGAACCAGTCCCGCGGCGGCACGGGCGTCCGCTCGTGGGCCGCCCGCAACGAGAACGTCGTCGACGAGGACATCGTGCTCTTCGTGCAGTTCGGCATCAACCACGTGCCGCGCATCGAGGACTTCCCCGTCATGCCCTGCGAGATCCTCAAGGTGGCCTTTAAGCCGGTCAACTTCTTCGACAAGAACCCCGCGCTCGACGTGCCACCTAGCACGCAGGCATTCAACCAGAGCACGGGGCTGAACAAGACGGAAGAGAAGGCCGCGCAACAGCACCAGCAAAGCATGGGCACGGCTGTTGTCGGCGCCAAAGGCGAGGTGTGCTGCACGAGCAAGCTATGAAATCACGACACAAAAAAAAAAAAAAAAAAAAAATACGTTTCTTCGGCACGGCCCAGGGCGAGGCGAATGTACACTTCATTTTCTGATAGCACTGTGATTCAATAGTATAGAGCGCTATATCCGGGGGTATATAATATCAACAGTCGCGGCATGAAAATAGGAATGAAAGCATGAGCATCACAACCAGCGTCGGCGCAACCATCTCTTTCCCTTCTCGTCCAGCCTAGCTTCGTCGGGAGCGAGTTTTGCTGCATTTCATATGTGATGCGACCCCGCAAAGCTACAGTATAGACTGATCCGCTTTTCCAAGATAGATGTGACGGCGAATGGCACTGCCGCCGATGAGACTGCAGCCCTCGCACGTGAAGTCTCGGACACGGGGGAAGCCACCTTTTGACGGGTCTGTCATGCCACCCCACGTAGAATATACCTAGTCGTCTTCGCCGTCGCCGTCGCTGTCCTCGAGCAAACTGGGATCCAGGCCCAGACTCTTCGCCATGTCTCCCCGGCCTCTTGGCCTTTTTTCCTCCTTGTTCCCCCACCTCTCGTCGAAGGCCGTCACCGCTTCTAGGTCGGCGGCAAGCTCTCGTTGCTCCTTGATCCTACTTGCCTTCTCGATGCTATAGCGCCCTGTCATGCCCGCGTCGGCAAGCATGCTCTTCAAATGGGCAATCTTGGCCTTCGGTGTCTCAAAAGGCTTGAGCTCTTTGCCCCAAACCTTGCGGATACCGCACTTCAAGAGCCAGCCCTGCAGTCGCTTTATCTCCTCTTCGTCAGGCGTGAGTTCCTTCCCCGCGGGCTTGGCTTTGGAGCTTGTCCTGCCTTTGGCTTTGACCTTAGATTTCTCCGCCTTTGCAGCAGGCGATTTCCGCTGCCGCCTCTTCTTCGCTGGCGGTTCGTCTAGCAGCGAAGATAATGAAGATTCGGACTCGTTGCCGTCGATCTGAGCAGGAGGCGCTGTCACGCCCTTTGGCTCTGGCTCCTCATCTTCTTTCGCCTCAGATCCGGCCTCCGATTTCTGGGGCTCCTGCTGCGCGGGGGTACCACTTGCTTGCATATCTCCCTCCATTCCTTCGTCCTCGTCATCCGAATCGACCACCTTCTTGGAGCGCGCATTCCCTTCCGTCCTCGCCTTCTTAGTTCTTCTCTTGTTCGCTGGAGAAGGCGTATCATTATTGCTAGCTGAGCTCTCCGCCTTCTCTGCTTCGTCCTCATCCTCGCCGTTGGACACTTTCCTCTTCTTTCTTGGCTTCGACCGTGACTTCGAAGATCCCTTGGGCTCTTCTATTGGCTTCCTCTTCTTTGAGTTCGTACCGGCAGCATTTTTGTTTGCGGTGCCCTTCTCTTTCGTCTCGTCGACGGCCGAACCCTCCACGTCTCTTGTTTCGGTCGCCTCCTCTAGCCGCGCGACTTCAGATGTGATCAACTCCTTGCTTTTCGCAGCCCACACGTTGTGATTTTTTAGCCAATTCGCAGGCAAATTGAGCTCATTCTCAATGGCTGCGCGTACGCGCTTCAAAGTTAAATTGTCAGAATCCTCTGCGAAGAATCGCGCGACCGTGCGCTTAAGCGTTGAGGTCAGCTGCGCGTCGCTAGGCGCACTCGATGAATCTTCTGAGTCCGACATGGCTCGCTTTCGAAGGGACTGCGTAAGTACGGCGGCAAATGGATCGTTCGTCCAGGTCGCGTTAAGAGACGAGATAAGCGGAGACAAGTCGAGAAAAGTTAAGGCGGGCACAAATAGCGAATTTAAAGTCGGCTTGGTTCGAAGATGGAAGAAAGCCACCCTCTTCGAATTAGGAGAGAAGCACCTCGGCGATGATGATATTCCAGCTAGTCAAGCGCGTCGTCGCAGAAGAACGAGTACGCGGTGTTGCCAAGTGACATCAGAGCTTGGACGCTTTCGGCGGCGTCGAGAGGCTCAAAGGTCACGAGGGCTATGGGATTGCATCACACGAAGAATAATGCAAAAATCCGAACTGCGATTCTCGTGCTCAGGGGCATGAAGACTACCTTGTGCCATCTATTTGGACAATGTAGCCATATTCGATGCATGAGAGGACTACTTTGTTGATTGTTCAATGCTCGAGTGAGAGCAATATCTCAGAACTTAGGTATGGTGTACGAAACCTTGAAGAAGATATAACTCAACCACATTGAGAGAACTTTCCGATGGCTATTCTCCCTTTGCATTCGGTCCTCATGCCAGCAGGTGCGATATAAGATTGCATACGCCCTTTCTTATCTCGCAACTCTACAGCGGTGGAAACCCTACTAAGACTGCGAATTGCTACTACTACTACTACTGCTGCCGCCGCCGCTAGCTCTTCGTCCCAAGTATCTGCATTCACGAGAGATCTACGCAGGAATCATTTCTCAAGAAAGTCGGCGGCTTTATGCAGATTGTGACGCTTATGGAAGCCGCCGAGAGCTGTCTTCCTCCGAATCAGATATCAATTCATCAAAGCCGTTTCCCGGCGCAGCAAAATAGCCGTCGTTAAGAAATTTTTTAACTCATCCAATAGATGGCCGCGGTTATTGCACGCCGAGGTTACCCATTTGAAGCGCAGTGTGGTGCATCGTGTTCCATGATCTTGAGGAGTCGTCACGCGGAATCCGCCTAAACCTGCTTCGATGCTTCGGCGCAAAGGTAGAGGTAGATGTGATAACTTTTTGCCCATAAAGATGAGATGATAACCTGAAAAATGATCCAAAAACAAACAGACAGTGAAGCTGTACACTTCCTAACACGTATCAGCAGCAATCTTGCGTTATTTCAATCCGGCAATTTTGCTCAGACGACTGGTCCGATTCTACTGGGTTGACAGAGTCCCGGATGAAGCCCCGAGGAGAAAGGAAAATTTTTATGATGCAAAGTACGACACTTAGCACACGAAGCATGCAAGACCATGGAAAACTATCGTGTGCGTAACGACAACTTGTTCTGTTGCATGAGCTGGCGGCTGGCTTCCACTTTGCACCTTTGGACAGGGCCAAGAGAGTTTCGATCGAGTAATATGGCGGAAGCGGCGTTCTTTAGGGTGAAAAGCATGGTGCTGCGCGCACTCCTTACCGATTGTGGAACCTCAGTTCAGCTTTTGTTATTGCGCATCAGGCTTCGGCAGAGGTACATCTGTTCAAGCCGGCCAAGAAAATTGTCCGCCTTCCATTGGCAAAATTCAAGTAGTCCATCTCGCGACTTGGAGTATACATATGTTCTGGTCCCTGCCACGCACACGAGGGCTTGCAGGGACGAGCGTGATGGGGATCTGGCGTTGCGTGCGGTGAGTGTCGAAATTCCTTGGTGGTCAGAGTTTCGATCGAGTAAAAGCTATCGAGTAACAGATATCTCTGGGCACGAGCTAATATACTGATGCGACCCCGGAACGAGTCGGCTCGACGCACCAGCCAGATCCCTAGGTCGGCCAGCTAGACCGCAACAATGCAAAGGTTTCCCGATGAAATGCGAGACATGTTCGGAGTCGGCCGCCTCGAGTGAGCCCAGGCCTACGATTGGGCCGGTCGCTGGGCCATGTTCTACCTTTCTTGGTGTTGTTGAGCGTTGGTGCGGCGAACACGAAGGACGCTTTCTGGCAGGGCTGAACGGCGCAATCGTCGACGGACCAGGAACCATTGGGCTCGGCCGCGTCGTCAAACTTTCGCCACGGAAGCGTAACGTAAATTCAGGACGGATCTGGCGAGCCCGAGGGTCGACGACTGCGGACCTGAGCATCACTTCTGGCGTCCAAGGCGAGTTTTGCTGGTTGTGCGTCGCCAAAGAGCAGCGCTGGTTCGGTCCAGAGTCCAGAGATAAGAGATGTGGCCCAAACAGGCCTAGCGCGCTTCTTTATCATACCGCGCTTCGGCCTTTTTTGTCCTGTCGACTTGGAATTCCATCGATGACCGTCGGCAGCACTTCCCAACCATTGACTTCCAGTGCCACCTTTCGGCTGTATTGTAACCTTCGCGCCAGTCGGACAATGATCCACTCACACCCACATCTGGTCTGCCTGAGCGCCAGCGACACCGGACCTGTGCCTGGTCCCTCTGCGTTCAACCATGGACGCACACACGGCCCCCTCTGAATGTCAGTCTCTCGCTCGTGGATCCGCATGGAGTTTCCATCGTGTAACAGGCCGGTACCTGCGGAAGATTTGGAGCCGCCAGCGTGAGTTCACGTTGAGCATCCAGAGCGCCTCATTGATAAGGAGCGGCCACCTTTCTGTACCCCAGATTTTTGGCTTGCTGGCTATACCATTTCGCGTGTAATCAAGACGTTAGACTTTCTTTGCTCTCTCAGTAATCTAACTCCTCCTTTTTTCTTAAAACTGCATTTTGCAACATCTCTCAACTTATATCTCGATCCACAGTAGTTACATACCAAGACACGTTATCTGGCCCATCTCCTCCTCTTCCCTCGCTTATCTATCTGTCTCGCGTCTACCATTGCCCGCTCCCAGATCGGGCCAACTGCAGACACGAACCGTCACACGTAGATATATCCCTCACCCTCCCACACTCTCTCCAGATCCGCCCCGCAAAGTGGCTTGAGGCATCTCACTCTCAGGAAAACGGGTGCACCAAGCCGATCTGGATCTGGCGACGGCACCTTGTGAGAACAGACGCAGGACATATTGCACGGACTTTTGACAAGCAGTCATGGCACCACACGCAACTGGCTCGCCTGTGTACACATCGTCTAACACCGGCACCAGCGCAAATGCCGCACTGGACCCGTCTGTTTCTCGCATCACGGTCTTGGCCTCATCCCGCGCCGTCATCTCAGGTCGCATCACCGAGGCCACCATTGTCATCTCCACGCTGACAGGCAAGATCACATCGATATTCCACTCCGTGCTGCCCGCGTCGGATTTTCCACCCGGAACGCCCTACACGGACTACTCGCCACACATCTTGATCCCAGGCCTTGTGGACGCCCATGTGCATCTCAACGAACCCGGCCGCACGGAGTGGGAAGGCTTCGAGACGGGCACGCGAGCCGCGGCGTTCGGAGGCGTCACGACGGTGGTGGACATGCCGCTGAACGCGATCCCGCCCACAACCACCGTCGCAAACCTCAACGAGAAAGTTGAGGCGGCCCAGGGCAAGTGCTGGGTCGACGTGGGCTTTTACGGAGGAATCATCCCCGGAAACGACAAGGAGCTGAAAGATCTCGTGAGAGCTGGCGTGCGAGGATTCAAGGGCTTTTTGATAGACAGCGGCGTAAGTAGCCTTTTTTTCTACCTTCATATTTTTTTCCAAGAAAAAAAAGAAAAGAAAAATTTCCTCTCTGTGACTGCAAGAACTCAAACGTGAGAATACTCTTCTTGCTGACGCGGAACCGTTCGAAAATCCAGGTGCCCGAATTCCCAGCCGTGAGCTCGGTAGACATCCAGAAGGTGTTCAAAGAGCTGGCCGATGAACCGACGACGGTCATGTTCCACGCGGAGATGGTGCCGCCCATCACAGCATCCGTAGGTGACGAGGTGCAGTCGTCGGCCGAACCGCCCTTCGTCCCGTCCGGGCCTCTGAACCACTACAAGACCTTCCTGGACTCGCGGCCGCCTTCGTTCGAGACGTACGCGATCGACGAGATCATCGCCCTGTCCACGGAGGCGCCCAACCTGCCGCTGCACATTGTGCACCTGTCCGCCGTGGAGGCCATCCCGCTCCTCAGACAGGCGCGTGCCAGAGGCGTCAAGATCACCGCGGAGACGTGCTTCCACTACCTGTCGCTCGCGGCCGAGAACGTCGCCCACGGAGACACCCGCCACAAGTGCTGCCCGCCCATCCGGTCGCAGAGCAACCAGGACGGGTTATGGGCCGAGCTGCAGCGAGAGGACGACTCCGTCATCAAGACCGTCGTCAGCGACCACTCGCCGTGCACGCCGGACCTGAAGCTGCTGCCTTCCTGCCACGGTGGTCAGCACGGCGGCCACGCTGACGAAGGCAACTTCTTCTCCGCGTGGGGAGGCATCGGCAGCGTGGGTCTGGGTCTGAGCATCCTCTGGACGGAGGGTCAGGCGCGGGGGATCACCATCGAAGACGTGGTCCGATGGTGCTGCAAGAACACGGCCAAGCAGGTTGGTCTCGAGCACAGAAAGGGCGACATCGGTGTTGGATACGACGGCGACATCGCCGTGTTCGACGAAGACGCAGAGTTCTTGGTAAGCCTCTCTTCTCTTTCTCAGCTGGCACCCTTCCCCCGGCTCGAGCAGGAGGGCATTCTTTCAGTCTTCTTTCTTTTTTCTTTTTTTTCTTTTTTTTGTAGTTTTTTTTAAAACACAGTCGGCACGTGATTACTAACCAAGCTGGTCACACAGGTCGAACCCAGCACGATGCTTTTCCGCAACAAGTGCAGCCCGTACGAGGGCAAGACTTTGCGAGGTGTCGTTCGCGAGACGTGGGTTCGCGGAAAGATGGTCTACTCCAAGGCGTCAGGCTTCAATGAGAAGGTTGGGCCGATCGGCACATGCTTACTGGAACCGAGAAAGTCCATTAAATATCCACCGTCGAAGAAGACCGCGTAAATTTAATGTGTTCATGGGGTTTCTTTTAGGGATTGATAACAACGTATGAGGCCAAAATGGAATGGCTAGACTGACGATCTGCATGGGAAATGGGATATTTTAGATAGTATGCATTTTTTTCTTTTTTGAAGGGCATGTGGGAAAACGTCGGAAACAGCGGATAGGTTGTGATAAATTCGGAGTTGAATTCGAATTCGAGAGACGTCAACACTGTTACCCATGAACGTGGATGATCATGGGCAAACGTATATTTTGTATAATGCAACCAAATCGGCGATCAGAGTCGTCACAGGACATGTGTACGAAAATTGAAAAGTATTGTTTGGCTAAGACAAGAATTTTTCTTTAAAAAGACGCAGACTGCGTCGACACTTTTGTTGGTCTTCTAGCTTTGAGCAAAGATACAGCTACCGGGGGAATAAAAAACCCCACTGCTGGGAGAAGTCACGATGTACGAAACACTCATGGTGGAAATTCGGAGTGAAGATATTGAACCGCTAATGTTAGGTCCATTGCCATTTTCTAGTCGCTAGACCCCGCCGATTTACATGCAGAAGGGAGACATGGCGTTCCCCAGTGACGAGAAGAAATAAAGGAGACAAAACCCACACATATGCCTTTGATCGCTGTATGCAATCACTTCATCCTCGCTACGCCGGATATTGGTTTGCCATGAAGTCATCATCGCACCATGGATCAACACCGCAACCATATATTCTTTTAAGGGGCAAGTCCTCATATGCAGCATCCACATCGCCATGAACACCTGTTACGTTTAGGCCTTGGCCTCCTCGGCATCCAGCGCCAGTCTCTTCTGCTGGACACGCTCGTTTCTCCTCTCACGGGCAGCCTTAGTCTTAGCACGCTTGGCGTCCATTTCGTCCTTGAGAACCTTCTCACGTAGCTTCTCAGCCTTGGCCTTGTGGATCTGTATTTTGAGTTAGTAATTGTTGTGAAAGAAAAAGATATAAGTTGGGTGGCGTCACGAACATGTTCGACGAGGGCACGCTTGTGCTTGAAGGTGTTACCCTTAGAAAGGTGGTACAGTTCGTGGTAGAGGTGCTTGTCGATCTTGCCGCTGGCGCGATACTTGACTAGAAGGCGGCGGAGAACTCGTAGACGACGCATCCATAGAACTTGGCTGTTCCACGGGTTAGTCGAAAATCGTCAACAAAAGCTCCCTCAGGATCACGTACCTTGGCATTCTAGCATCCTTGGAACCCTTCCTCTTACCGAAGCCACGGTGTCTCTAATTCACTAGTCAGCTTCCAATTTCCTCTTCTTACTAGGGAAAGGTATCACCATACGCCGATCCGTCGTGCAGCGTTCAGTTCTCGGGCGCGGGCACGGGAGTGCATGGTGACTGGCTTACGGATGATGAGGCCATCCTTGATGAGCTTGCGGATGGTCTGGCGCGAGTTGGCATTTGCAATCTCATTCTGCTCGCTTGGGTCAAGCCAGATCTTGCGCTTGCCGCAGCCGACGACTGAATTGGGGAGTTAGCTTGGCCCAACTTGTGCATCTTCACTGGAAATCAGTGCGATAATGAGTCGATGGAATAGACGCCCTTGCGGCGTGTGTCTGTGTGTAGACTGACCTGAGGCGGCAAGACGCTTCTGGGTGCGAAGATTGACCCTACGCACATGTCGTCGTTAGCAACCTGACTTGTGTGTCGAGTTCACCAGGACCGATTGACGCTTGCAATCACCACTTCCGCCGTAAATACTGGACAATTGCGGCTTTGTCGACGCAGAAGTTGCAATTTCAAAGCCGTTGGGGTCGTTTGTACTCACATTTTGGATGAGTTGCGAAGGTCGTGGATGATGAGTCTTCACTGTTGTTCTTCGATTGAGGTTTGTAATTTTCGATGGTGTGGGCGGGGCGATAAATGCCTGATTCAGGCTTCAAGGCTCTCATACGCACAGCCTACCAGATTAGGAGCTGAGATTATTCGAATCCATCCCTGGCAACTAACAAACAGCGCTAACATGTTCATGGCGACGCAAAAATAACATCTCAATACGTACATCACTCATAAGAAAGATTGTCAGACCAAAACCACGGCAGGCTTTGCATACTCAACCGTCTTCGAACGTTATTTGCAGACCAGATTTATTGCGGGCGAAAGTCCCGATCTTGGAAGCCAACTAACGCAAATCTCAAGATAAGCAATAGACCTTCTTCAGGTCGCTTCCATTTTTTTTTTCAATTGTTATTCATGAACTATGGTAATGCTTGTGGTTTGTCTCCGTTTCTATGAGTGCGCTGGATACCCGCTATTCCTCCGCCAAGGCCTTTTTTCAGGACTTGATACTTTATATCGTTCCGGCAAGGTATCAGCATCCTTCCACGATGCAGCACAACTTCCACTGGACACAATCCTATCCCCTTGTACACGTAGAGGACAGCAGTACGTCTAGCTTTTGCAAGTCCGTTATTGGACTTTTCAACATGACTCGATTCGTCCGCGGAGCAAATGGGACAGCAGGACATTAAGAATTAAATAAACCGCAACAGCTCCATTTAAGGAAGCTTTGAAAGGTAGTTCACGCATCGAACTTTTTGCTTGAAGTCTATACCTCTGAACCATCAGACTCAATACAGCCTTGAGCTGCTCGGCGATGCAATCGATACACACGGAAATCACCAAACATCGTATATCTGGCGAAGGGAATTTGAATGGCATTTGTGCCAGCAATCATGCGGCGAGCCTCTGAATAATAGCTCGATATTTCTGCAACGGTGTTAGGCACTTGTCATGAAATGATACAGCCAAACCAAGATGTTTCGCGGAGCAGATAAATGCGACGAAAACTTGGTACAAGGAAATCCAAGATTGCCGAATAAAACCAAGCGCCACGTTCAGCCTTCATTCGATCAGCTGCTTCGTGCCGAAGCGTTCAAGTTCAAAAGAGAGTCTAGAATGTGAGTCAAACATCACCCATTGGTTGACGCGTAGCACTAAATGTTATGACCCTAACTCAACTTAGAGAGCCAGACGCAGTTCCGCCTTTATTTTGGACCTTCGCCAGAGCTAAGCTTTGTTCCCGTGATTAGGACAAGACCAAGCAAACGCTTCATTTGAAAAAGTCGCATAAGCAAAGGCTATTTTCCTGGTGAACCGCTATGATAGATGTTCGATCATCAAGGTCAAAGCAGATATCCGTCACGGCAATGCACATGACGATGCAGATTCTCGACTCTAAGAATCTTTGCCTCGAACAGGTCATACGGGTTGGTTAGCCAGGGCTCGATGTGGAGCATTGTTACACTTGGTACCCATCACTCTTCAGCCACTTTTGGTCAAGGAAGAGTTGCTTTGCATGTTTGGATAATATCGAGGAAGTCGAATTTTCTACGTAAAAATCCGTTTAAACGAATGTTTTTGGCCCGGGATTGAACAGCCACGTTCGACGTCTTTCGAGCTGTTATTTTCCATTGGAAAGTTTAGTGGACATTCCTGACTTCAGCATGGCTCCTCGCACATTCTTTCCTGGGACCTCATCTAATTCCGTAAATGTGATTCCTTTCATGCAACCATTTTTTTCAACCGTGCACGCATTTTTCTTGCCTCCAAGGTCGTTCACGATTGAGGTCTGATGACTCTACATGCTTGTCAAATATGATAGAAGAAGTTCTGGTCAACCCGTCTGCGATCTGTCTACCATTTGACAAACCTCCTTTAAGTATTTAAGCTTGGTGATTGTGGTTACATTACTCCATTATCAAGAGTCTATTAAATGCATTATAGCTACAGGATCCAGTTCAGAGTGACATTTAGCGATGCCCTTGACCGAGCGTTGTGATTTTCTTTTTTATACCTCTGGACCGCTGGGACCAAGTACGCACATGTGTGGGCCAGTTCAGCTGAACTTCAAAAAGCGGAACGGGTCAAACTGACGGAGCCACATTTTCGAGGCCGTCTTTGCAAGGGGTAAACAAAAAACCGATGACAGGAATTCCATTTTGCCGAACGTCGCATTTAAAGATTGGTGTGGCGTTATGTGCCCCTTAGCTAGCATCGACACGCTAGAGGAAGCGGGCGTAAATCGAGAAACCTCAGAGGCGGAAATGATCGACGGTTCACACGTGCAGCACGAGGCTTCAGCCCGCTTCCGCTATTTTCGTCCTGACGCCCGCACTCGTTCGATGGCTAAGATCAATGTGGTAACTACACATATTTGAGGATGGCCGTAGTCCTTGTTGAGCTCTGCTAACGAGTGATGAGCTGAACAGCTGAAAGTATGCGCAATTTTAAAGTTCAAAAGCTCTATATACACGTCTGCCCTTCGCTCCTATTCATTCCTTCACTTCTTGCGTATAGTTGCTGTGTTGTGTTCGCAAATGCGCATTCTTTCTACCCACAATCACTCTCTTTTTGTCGTTCGCTAATACAGTCATTCTTTACTCCGTCCTCTCTCCCTGGATCTCGCTCGTGATGGGACAAAGTGTTTCTGGACTTTTCGTCCCCTGCAATGATGGCACTTATGCCCTCTCATATACTTGCAATGCAGGTTCCAGCTGCACTGCCCTGAATGGATTCTTAGGCGCTACATGCACCATTAGCAACGGGATCTACACTTGTTCGAATGGCATTACTTGTGGTACCCAGCAAGGGTAAAGCATTGCAAGAACCGTCACGAAAAACGTGCACGTCTGCTAATGTTTCCTTCAGAACGTCCTTCGACCTAACGACCTTCTTGACGAATATCGTTTCAATTTCAGCCACCCAGTACTTTAACTACTGTGACGGCCTGCAGATTACCACCGACGGTAGCAGTGGCGGCACAAATATACTGGTCGCGGATCCGCAGCAATGTTGCAGCACTCCGGCCCTGTGCTCAGGATCGAGTTCCTCCTCTTCGTCAATCTTTTCATCTACCTCGTCCGGTCTATCGAGCTCCAGTAGCTCCCTGTCCCTAGTCATCACAACTTCAACCGCTAGTTCTTCGTCCTCGTCCATCGGACTGTTCAGCAGCAGCAGCAGCAGCTCTGCTTCTTCAGGATCTAGCTCGTCCAGCACTTATGGATCAACCACTTCGTCCTCTGTCACCTCTATTAGCAGTGGTAGCAGCTCCTCTTCAACTTCCTCCGGCGTCAGCACGTCGAGCGGCAGTTCCTTGAGCAGTACCTTTTCAAGTGGAAGCACTTCAAGCGGTAGCATCTCATCGACCGCTTCCTCTGGAACAAGCTCGGCTTCATTGAGTGTTACGAGTGGGACCTCCTCGGTCTCGTCCGGAATGAGTTCCACATCCTCAAATCCATCCAGTGGAGCCTCTTCGTCAAGTTCGCTATCAGGTTCACCTGTCAGTTCTGGTTCTTTATCTCTGTCCACAGCCTCATATACTTCTGGCACAAGCAGCGGTGCATCCTCTGGCACTGTTTCAGGCTCTGCAACTTCCAGCGGCTCGCTGTCTGCTTCTGCATCTGGAACAAGCAGCGTATCGTCAAGCGCAGCGTCCGGTTCATCAGTTTCAAGCGTCTCGCCGTCTGTTTCTGCATCTGGGACAAGTAGCATATCGTCAAGCGCAGCGTCCGGCTCATCAGTTTCAAGCGGCTCATTGTCTGTGTCTGCAGTTGGGACGAGCAGCTCAAGTTCTGGTTCAGTATCAGCACTGCCTGTCGTCACATCGTCCTCAGCTTTGTCTTCTTCGTTCAGCTCATTTGGTAGATTCTCTAACAGCTCGATACCTGCCAGTGTTCCATCATCTGGCTCTACGATTCCGTCTGGGTCGGCTGGACCTGGTCTGTCATCCAGCATTGTGGGTAGCTCCGTTCACCCAAGTGGCAGTGCACAACCTGCATCATCCCAACAAGCAGGTGGTAGTGCTCAGTCCACTTCGTCGGGACAGCCAAGTTCCGGGGCCCGCCCAAGTTCTCCAGTCATTGCACAGTCTTCTTCAAGTGCTGGTGGCCGTGTTCCTTCGCGTACGTCAAACAAAGCGTCAGGACCAAAGCCAACCTACGTTAGTTATGATCAGTATCACCCATGGGGCCCTGGCCCTTCAGTAAACAAGCCATCATGGGCAGTAGGAACTCAACCCGTCACTGCCTGGCCAGACACTACTTACATCCAGATGGCGGGCGGCAAGAAAACACCTCTGTGCAAGTGCGCTACCATCTCGGGCGCTTACGGCGAGTGCGGTACTACTGCAAAGGCAGCAACTGCGACACCAGTGTTCTATTGGCCTGCTGCCACTGACTGTCCAGTCAACACCTTCAACCCATTCGCCATGACGAATGCAGCCTGGTCCAAAGGGTGGACAACATCGCAGTCCAGCCAGAGTAGCTCCAAGTTGAAGTCTTCTAAGGTGGTGGTGCCCATAAAGCCATCCTCAGCTGCGTGGAATGGCGAAGCGTTTTCCTCAGAACACCCAGGATATTACGGTGGTGCAAACTCCAAGCCTGTTGCAACGTCGAGTTCAAGTGGATCATGGGCGTCACCAGTTTCTCAGAGCGGAACGGCATACAGTGGTCCATTATCAAACAGCGCATCTCGTACCTCGGCCTCGTCCCTTTGGGTTTTCCTCGTTATGTTCGGTCTGTTCTTGCAGAGCTGTTCCGCTTCGAAGGTCCAGCAATCTCCGCGTACCGCTGGTATTGCACGGCGGCAACCAACGGAAGCCGGTTGGCAAGAATTTGCGACGCAGTTTGCCAGTGATTTTGACTTAATCACCTCGGCATCAGGCGATGCACCCGTTGATGGTGACCAGCTCGTGAGTATGATCGAGAATGCTATTGCCGAGTCCGTGACATCTATTCTTGAGAATAATGATCTCGGATCTACGCTTACGGATGATATGCTTGCCAAGATCACAGAAGCATGCGTTCAGGTTGTGTATTCAGTGCCACCATCGAATGATGATGGTACCGAATTCGCAATGATCATGGGGGGCTTGCTGCTCTGCAACTACATCGTCCATGACAACTTCCCTCCCGGTACATCCATCGCCCAAGCTGCGGCAGCGAATGCTGTGATGAATAGTTTCACTAAACCATGCACAAACGACTTCTTGAATGATCCAGACAACTGCGGTGCATGTGGACTGACAGTATGTTTCTTCCCGCATTACCAATTCAGAACAGCTTCATTAATCATCAAGCAGTGTGTTTCCGGGACCTGCGTCAACGGCGTGTGCACCACGCCTGGCTCTACTTGCACTGGAGCAAGCTGCTCCAACGGCACTATACCAACTTGCGGTACTTATTCCGGTGGTACCTGCAGCTGTGGAGCCGATAGCGACGGAGTTGGGTTCTGCTCACCAGCGGGAACGTTGTGCCCATTACTCTCTGTTTGTAACACCCACGACGATTGCAGCGCCGGATACGCATGCTTGGAGCACACGTGCTGCGCAGGCGGCACCAAAATATGTATGGATGGCACGTCGTGTTACAACGACAATACAGTCACTACTGAACGCCGGATTCGTTTGGCATGATGAACGTTTCAGTATCCCGACGTAATTTAATTTAACAGGAATGAATTAGGCGGACCTAGAACTGTACATTTTCTATTCGACTCTGTAACAAAGATTTTCCAGAGGCTATTCTTTTCTCTTTCGGGACACTAATAATACAACTAATAGACCCGCAATTCACGAACTTTCGATTCTAGCGTTCGCGTTCTTTTTGTTCTTATCTTTCTTGCCACCTTTGTCTTGTTGAATAGGCCCTGTTGCTTCTTTCTTATTTTTCTCGTTCTGTCTGTCAGCACGATGCTTCCACTGCATGCACCAACCGCACCATTCGGTGAAGAAAGAAGTCTGTACATTGGTACCATTTTCGACGACCTGGACCTGCGTCTTTCCATATTCATCAATAAGTCTGCGGATATTGGTCCTGTCTGAAAGCATAAGCATTTTCGCGACGAATAAACTCGCTCGACCGCAGATCGCGTCATGTTGTTTGGATGCATCCTTTTGGACCTCATCATGAATGTCTCGAAGAAGAGACCATAGTTCGTTGGCATCTGAAGGTGTGGGGAATTGCTTGTCACGATCACAGTTCTCAAACAAGGTCCCTAGAGTAGTCTTTGCTTTCTTCTCCAACTCCGAACTTGATGTGATGCGCATCAAGCTCAGCAGTGGGATCAGAACCTTCAAGACTACCGGGGAAGCATGCCGCTTTTTCACATAGATCTGAATCAAGTCCAGAACTCGGCTTTTGAAAAGTGTCATTTGAAGTTTTGCCTTGCTCTTTTCTTTCTTCTTACTAGGGCCGCCCGCCCCGCCTGTGGCTTGCCGGCGTTCCTGAAACAGCTTTGCCAGTTGCGGGTCCAATGCCAGCATTTGCTCGTCATCCATATCTGACTCCTCTTCGCTGCTATCGGCGGCATCAGCATTAGGCACGGAAGTCCTGAGTGTTTGCGCAAGGACGTCGTTAAAGTGTTGCAGTTCTGGATCCTCGCCGTCTTCGTCCGTTTCCTCATCGACGCCTTTTGTGCTGTCTTTGATGCCATTCGTGGTAGACTCATCTTCAGAAGCGGACATAATCTCGACATCAGAATCAATAGAGATATCATCACCATAGTCCTCCTCACCGTTCTCGCCAATGTCTTCAGCATCTGCGGACTCGAACAGCTCCTCCTGCCCAGCCAAGGTCTCTTTTTTCTGAAGAATATCCAACAATGACTCGAGACCGTCTTCTGTCATGCCTTTGGCAAGCACGGGAAAAACCAAATCCGCAAACTGACGATAGAGGGAGCTTGTCTTAGATAAAAAAGACAGCAACAGCTCGAGGAGCAAATCAAACACTTGTGCATCTGCTTTGCCTGTTTGCATGGATGCGTAACAAGTCTGCAGCTCTGCTAACATATCACAAGCATCAGCATCGCCACTATATACTTCCAGGAGGATGAGGGCAAACAGCAACTGGAAAACTTGCAGAAATTCCCTGTTGCTGACATCTGCTGACTTCAGTTTCTTGTTTACTTCTCGCATCATCTTTTGAGACTCTTGTATCGAGTCTATGACATTGCGGTCTGCCTTGAGAGCTAGTGGGTGGTCGGAGGACTTTGAAGATTTTTGGATATACTGTGCTAAGCTGTACAACCAGTCTCCTGGGTTATCCAGCTTGGGCAATACATGAGTTGTGCAACGAACAATTGCATCGTGTAACATCGACCTGGAATCATCGGATATGGGTGGTTCTGCTTGTTTTGACTTGAAATAGGCATAAGATGCAAGAGACTGCACAACCTTTCCTGTCCAAGTCTGGTTGATCGAGCCTTCATGTTTCGTGTGCCTGGAGATCATACTGACGAGAAGATTGGCCAAAATGACTCGCGCTTTATGCGCTTCTTCTGTTGTGTTGCTCTCCTCGAGCTGTGGACGAAGGACATGGCTCAGTACCATATCCATCATAGCTAGTTTTCCATTGTCAGCAACGTTGCTGACAAGCTTGCTTAACGTGTTGCTCTTTGTAACTCGATCAAAGTGGACATATGTTTCACTAGTGACCAAAGTCTCGAACAGCTTTAAGGCAGCGTCTACGTCCTTTTCAGCACGTGATACAACTGCCTCTAGTGGACTGTTTGCAGCTTCGAACAGATCGCGTTTCGGGTCTGCACGCTGATTGATTAAGGTACGTTTAAAGTTCGGCGTGAAGACTGCAGGTAGCAAATCTGCAGGCGCAAAATTTATCGCCCACGAAAGTAGATTGAAGCCCCAGAGCTTGCGCTCTGCTGAAGCCTTTTCAGCGAATAGTGAGTCTGTGACTTGTTAGCCCGTTCCATACACTGACGTATCGAAAACATACTATCAAGAACCTCTATACAAAATTGCTTCAGCTTCGATACAGAAGAGAAGTTGGAAAATGCTTGCTCCATGACGACCCGCCAGGCAAAGTTAGGCTGCGGTTTCCAACTGCCACTGCTCTTGATCTTTTTCTTCTGCTCAGAATCCAGTTCATTGCTGCTCCTCGAGTCACATAATATTCTGGCAAGCCTTGTTCTCTCTGTGCTATGAAGCGGGTCCTTTTTGTGCCAAATATCCTTTGGCAGCTTTAAATCCGGAAAGGCCTTTTGCACTGTCAACCATAGAGCGACACCTTCTGCGGTCTGAAGCAGGCCGTCGTCAGAGTATTTCGAAACTATCTGTCTGATAGCATCTTGACTTTTTTCTCCATTTTTGGCTGAAATACTAATAAAATCACAAAGCATTAGGCCACATTCTTCTCGTAGCCATGGGGTATCTCGGGCCAGCTTGGAGGTGTTGTCTAAGAATGATTCCCATATCTCGGCATTGTCACTTGATCCGGGAAGCACTGAAGCCTGTAGGAGCGCCTTATAAGCAGACACTCGTCCAATGAGCTTATCGCGAGTTTCCTGACATGCGAAGTCAGCATCAATTCTGTCTCTGTGGAACGTGCATTGAAGCCAACCTGGGGCAAATTCTGATCTGGTTTCGTCAACTTATTGATCAACAGTAGGAGGTCTTGCAAGTTGCCCAAAGATTCGCTGAATAGGTCGGCAGAAGTGCTGGTCTGTCTCAGCAGTTCCGTGAGAGCAATGAAATATCCGGCCCGGGCAGCTTTGCGACCACTGCAAAGGCCACGGATGAGCCGATTGAAAACATCGCTCAATTTTGCAGCGTCTGGATTATGAGCGGGCGAGAACTCGTCCATAAGCTTTTTAGCGGCTTGAATTCTGGTCCCATGTTTCTCATCGGCCAGATCTTCGTAGATTGATGCACGATTTCTATCTTGCTCAGTGAAAACCCTTTTCTGCTTCAGAGGCCGGGCTGCAGCCTGTGATTCATCCTGACGTCTCCTCTTTTGAGACATTCTGCAATGATTCGGTGCCACAGTTTGTTGGTGACGAGCAAACATGTGAAGTCGTAGAAAGAAAAAAAAAACCTAAAGCACAGCGCATGTACTTAAACAGGCTTAGCGTCGGCTCGTCTAGAACTAGTGCGTAGGTGCCTCTGCACTCCTTTTAGGTTCGTACACGAGAGGAATACTTGATGTTTTGTATTTTTAGATCAAAGTCACAGCGATATATTCAAGTGCTCATTATGTATATGCTTTAGACTGATTGACCAAAATTCTCTCATTCTGAGGCTGTGGCGACGTGGTCATTCCACGCCAATTTTACACTACGCTTTAGCCCCTGGGTTATCACTGGCAAAAGCACAGCTACCTCTGTCCTTCTTCTCTGCAGGCTTTTCGACGGAGATATCGAAGTCAAAGATATCAATAGGCAGTCCGAGTGTTGTGCACGCATTTGGGATCTGGTAAAACAATAAGATTTGTGCTCGTAAGGCAGAGCAGAGATGCCAGAAACTTACATCAACGATGCCAGCAACATGACCTTGAATAGGTGCGCAACCAAGGAGTAGATACGACTGGTAATCATCATACCCATACCTTCTAAGATACTCGATGGCCCTCAGGCTTGTTTGGCGATAAGCGACCGAAGCATCCATGTAATGTTGCTTGCCGTGCTCGTCGACCGAAAATCCTTCAAAGTATATGTAACGGCCGGGTCCAAACTGTGGCTCGACGGGACCTGGAACGTATATAGGGGACTTCATCCCCAGCTGTTTCATGCCGTCTTTCATAACCTTGAAGTTGATCGTGATGACGCCTGGCATCTCAATCGCACCACAGAAGGATATCTCGCCATCACCCTCTGCAAACAGAGTCAGCTTTTCTGGAGCTGAATATACCTCGAGACCCAGAACTTACGGGAGAAATGTAGGTCTCCGACGCTGAATTTCGCGCCCTTGACATGGACCGGCAGATAGACCTTGCTACCTCTGGACAAATTCTTGATGTCACAATTTCCGCCGTGCTCTGGTCTTCCAGGAACTGTCCTTGCCCCTTCTTTAGCAACTTTGGCTTTGATGGTAGCATCTGCACTGCCCGCATGTGCGCTTTGCTCCAGAGGTGGCAACGCGACCACCCGGCTCATGTGCGAGCAAGACTCGATCAACTCAGCCTCGCGTCTGTTCCATGTCGCGAGGATTTCCGCTGAAGGCGCGCAACCAAGAATCCCGGGGTGGATCAAGCCTGCGAATCTGACGCCGGGAATGTGTCTCGAGCTGCAGTAGATGCCTTCGAAATCCCAAATGGCCTTTGCAGCTTTGGGATAGATCTATTGCACTGATGAGCACGCAATCAGTTGCGTTGAGCTTAAGAAATTACCTCATCGAGAAAGCCGCCTCCGTTTTCTTTGTCGAAAATACCCGTGAAGCCCCACAGATGATCTTCCAGTGGCTGCACGTCCTGGATGTCCACGACGAGAACGTCTCCCGGCTCTGCCGTCTCTATCTCAAACGGTCCCGTCAGATAATGCACCTTTGTAAGGTCCACATTCTTCACATCGTCTGCATCATCTGTGTTTTTGATTTGACCGCCCGTCCAATCTACACATTCTATCTTCACTGTCTCCCCATTCTTAATCGTGCCTGCAAATGGGACTACGACTGTCAGTCTGTGGACGCAGTAGACTTACGAGCATGTCACTTGCTGTCTGGATGCCAGCGGTTCTGAAAAAGCCAGTTAGTGAACTCTATCGCTCGCATCCACAAAAAGACGGACATGAAGATACGGCTGCTCCGCAGCTGGTCTGGTTAGATCAACCTTGGCCGCATATCTGATGCTTTGCTTCCCCGTTCCGTAAACTTCTTCTCGTGGCATTGCAAATGGTATCAGGATTGAAATTATTTATCTGTTATGGGAAACCAGAGAACAAAACGTCGCGGAGGTTTGTGGCAAATGGAAACAAGATTCGTCTAGTACAACACTTATATCCGACAACAACGCCCTCGTACTACCCCTCCGCGGGGCCTGACGAAAGAAGAACTTGGATCCTGTCGGCCGACTGGAGCCGACGATAATTACAAGCATCATACGCACTCCACTTCGCAAGATAAGCGTTCAGTGATAGACATGTTTACGAATGGCCTGTTCTAGTTAGGTAAACGGTACCTCGAGCGAGCTTCATGAGTGGGGTAAGTTAAGAACTAATGCGCTGGTGTGCAGGGGTAGCTGATATCTCCATGCGAGCCAGTTGAAGTTTCTAACCAGTAAATCTCTCATCAAATGGACTTGTCAATGAATCTTATTACTGATATTCTCGAGCTACGTCGTTGATTCCTGCGCATATGACGGCATAGCTGTTCTCCAATTGAACTGGTCGATTCCTCATTGAGCATCTCCTTCTCGTCCATTGAGCGTCCTGTACAGGTCAAAAGACAGAACCCCGTGTTGATATTTCACACGCCGCCAAAAATTATTTCGAGTTATTCTTCAGAGCCATAGAATGCAAGGCCACATGAGGGGGAAAAATTAAACGCGGCGAAACTTCGTCGTTGTGCCTTGTTCAGGGACAATGTTGTCCAGGCTCGAGACTGGCGATAGTCGAAAGATAGGAGCTAGTCACATGGTCGCGCATACACGCCGTTCATCTCATTCACAATCCAGCGTCGTAACTGGATGCTGATAAGTCCCGAAGCACCAACATGGCAAAAGAAGCTCGCCTTGAAGTCGCCGTTCTGCCTCTGTGGAGAGAAGCCTTATTAGCATGCGAGGAGCTTTACGCTATGTGCCAAATGCTACGTGGAGACGCAAGGACAAAATATTCAAGGGGCCACACGAACATACATTCGTGGAATGGAACCTCCATCGTTCGAGCACACAACCTTCTTTCACGGCAGCATGCAGCTTCGATTCAATATCCCGGGTGTTTTTCCCACACCCCTTCCCCTCGAGATTGTAATGCGTGAAGAGAATCCTGTATTTATGTTTGCACTCGAGCCTGCACTCGTGCATTTTCTCGGCGCTGTTCTCGAACAAGAGCGTCGAGTTCGTCAGGTCTAAAGACGCCGTGTTCGTTATGGCATCCGTTGCGACTGGAGAGGCTATTGCGAAAGCCATACTAGCCAAAAATGCAAGAAGAGAGAAGCGCATCTTTTCCGTTCTCAATAGTACTGTTCTCGAGAAAGTAGGATAAATCAATGAAAAATGACGGGGAGGAAAAGGTCTCGGATCTTATAAGAGTACATGCTTTTTGGAGGTAGAGAGGAGCAGCGCCGTCATAGACCTCGAACAAACGGGGTTTTCGTGTGGGTCTGTGAAGTATACGATCGTAACGGTGCATGATGCTACAATATCCAAGAGATCAGTTAAACCTAGTCGAGAGTTTCTCTAACTTCATGCCAAATTTCACTGGCGTCACATGCTGAAGCTGTGTGAACTGTTCTGGTTCGGTTGTGTTGAATCAAACCACCCATTCTCTAACCTCAGCTCATAAAGTATAGTTCAATGCGTTGCCTGATTAGAGTTTCTCGATGACATGGATCGCTTTGAAATTGATCCAGAAATACAGGTATACCCACTCGTCCTGACCCGTTGCTGACGAAGCAGACGATTCCGACTTTGAATCCTTGGGCATGGCTTCACAGCTCAACGAAGAAATCGAGGAATCTCTCATAATAATGTCAAAATGATTCAAGTAGACAAATCAAAAGTACACACTATAGATTTCGTCAACAAGAAATTATCTTCTGAAATCCTGGCATCCCCTTTAAAGATGTCAACCCTACGCCCAGTTATTTTCGTGTGTTATGATAGTCTTCACGATGCAAGGAGTAGTAAAAGAGAAGGGAGGTTTGGAATCCAGTTGTGTGAGACAGTTCTAAAAAAAAAGAGAATAACGTCTATTATCACATGTAACACCCCAAAATGAAAGATTTAGTGCATGTGGTAATCTTGTCGCGCTGCCATGGTCCGCTGACACTCCGCTAGAATAGCAGCCTGCCTAGCTACCTCACTAAGTCGGCCAATGACCTTCTGATTCCCGTCTACGAACCCATAGAGAGCGTACGGGATGCCAACATCCTCGCAAAATTCCTGCACAAGCTTCTGCGTTCTCCTTAGGTTGTGCCTTGGAATCCGCGGATACAGGTGATGTATGACTTGAAATTGTAGGCCGCCGTGGACGAAGTCAAGCCAGGGGGGGCAGTCAACATCCATCGTTGTTCGCAGCATTTTCTGGGGGAAGGACTCGTGAACCCCGAGGTCGGATGTGCTCATGGCGAAGTGGGACAGCACAATCTGGACGTGGACAGGTGCGGAAGCCATGTGCGAGACCAAGAGGTAGATCCACCGGTCACCCGCGGTGGGAAGGCTGCGGTAAAGGATACCGTAGCCGAACCAGGTCCAGAAGAGTGGTTGGCATGCGATTTCGAGCCAGCTGTGCCACCAAGCTGGGCCTTTGCGTGGTGCTTGGCCCTTGAGGAGATATTCCCAGCTAAGACGGTACAAGTTGAAGCGCCCGAAGCAGAGGATAGGATAGTAAAGGTAGTGTTGAAGCTTGATGGTGACCTGTGCAAGGGCATCGTACGTCATGACGCGCTCGTAGTATGTAGACCGCAATGATTCGAGGAATCGATGAGAGACTGCGAAAAAAGGTATGTGCTGAATATCCGGGTCATGCTCTGGCGCGTTAGTGACAATATGGTGGACATTGTGGTTGCGCTTCCACCAGCCAACACTTAGACCACCGAGGAAATCAGCACAGAAGATGCCAATGAGCGTGTCGACGTGAAACTTGTGTGTTATGCCCATGTGCCCAGCGTCATGAACGGTGAAGGCAAGTTGGTGCCAGAAAAAACCCAGGCAGATAGCGCTGAAAAAATAGCATGCCGTCGCTGCCCAGCCGTCCATAGTCCAACCTAGCCGCAGGAAGTATTGGCTCGTGGCGAATAGCAAGATATATCTGATGCACTCGATGCCGTACGCTGAGTACCGGCATTGGTACAGACCCTCTGCCTTGATTCGCTCATCCAGCAGCCTGTACTTTCGCACAATCTCGTCTTGCGTCTTGCTGTCAAGCGGGGGGTATATGTCTAGGTCCAACTTGAGCTCTTCTCTTGTTTTTACGTCCAAATGTGTCATCTTAGGCTCATCAATTTCCACGGACGATATGGAGGAAACGTCACTCTCCTTGCCGTTCCGCCTACGAACCCCAGAACTACGTTTCGAAGCCTCAAATACCGGTGAAGGTTCATCGGAGAGGGAACTTTCTGAGGAGCTCCTCTGTAGCGGTAAACTCGACTCCTGCTCTTGCTCGTCCCGACGTCTGAACTTTCCACCCTGGATTGGCGGCACAAAATTCTCCCATCTGCCCTCGACACGTCCACACCGGTAGGACTTCATGCGCTCCAGCGTTTCGCGCGAATGAAAGCTATGCATGTCAGCTGAAACAAGCCTCGACAGCTGAAGAGGTTGCCTGCTCTTACGCCGTGACCTCATCGGTGGCGTCTCGACCAACCATATGCTCGATTGCTTTGGAACCACCAGGGTGATACGGCGCCCAAGCATCTGCCTTGATAACCTCGCCATTGAGTATGAAAATGAGCCGTCCTTCCGCGATCTGAGCCTCTATCTCGGACCGCGTGAGAACCTTGAGCTCTCTCTCAGGGCGGCCGCTGCGAGCTGACATCTCGGCTACAAGCGACCAAGAAAGCAGAGAACAAAAAGCGATCTATGGGGTATATAACATTGCGTGCAGAAGCGAAGCGGTTGACTAGGACAGAGGTACAATCAAAAGCGACTTATTTGCAGGCAGAAGGTTTCGGCTTCACGGGACAAACGGCGGTGGGCTTTGGCGGGGTCCACCAGCGTTCATGGCTTCGGCGCCCTGGCAAGGTTGTTCGATCGACAGGACAAATCAGTCCACATTCGACTTCAGGTTATCCAATAACATCAGCTAGTGCAAACACGTCCCAGCTACGCGGTATCGACTCGTATGATAAATCAAGAACCTGGATGCCCCCAGAAATTTCACGTCGTCGGACTTTTAACATATTCGTGGCGACGTATTGAGAGTTTCCAAGGCGAGGAGGATAATTCACACTATGCACACGCTGTTCCGACGTTGTCGACGCCAGTGGCACGTACAATTCGTTAGACAAAGAGCTTGAGACCATGAGCTTGGACAACACATGCTACGAGATGTGAACCGGAAGGACAGCTAAAGTACTGACCTGCAGTCGAAATAGTTTCCGGCTCGAGTCCTACGCTGTTCGGCTTAGGATAATCGTCGTATAGTCACCGTAGCACGTTGAGGGGGTTCGGTGCTGTGACATGAACCTTTTTTGGGAGACCGGATTTCCATGAAAGATCCGTACCATGTGGCGTACGAACGCACACTCCTCATGATGACCGGGATGCCGTGCGCCATGCGTGTCGACACGATGGCGAAATTGTACGTTACTTCCGCGGTGGCCATTACACGCAACGCTTGAGAATATGTGTGGGCTCTGGTGTATTGATGTCTTTGTGCTGACGGCATCTCATTATACTCAATGGACGAGTGTAACGTTCCAAGCTACTACAAGATGCTTTCTGCCCAAGCTGAAGAAAGTTCCTGTGCTACGACCTTAACCCTCTATATATTCCTGAAAAGCGGTCTGAAGGCTGGAAAATCTCGAATGAACATCCTCTCCCCTAAATCCTTCCGCAGAACTTAAGAAGATGTAGGATCAACGGTGTTCAAACAACCAAAAATAGATCTCTTGTATGCCCATGTTGTGACACTGTTCAGCAAATAGTACATGCCACTCGAGATACCGGTTTGACAGTGTGCCTGAGTCGATCCTAAAATGTCCAAATCGCATTCTAGTCTCTGAATGACGCAAGCCCGAACCGTATTGCAGATTCGCTTTTAAGGTAATGTCGACGCGTGCTAGAAATGCTATATCGAGTAAAAAAAAATAGAAATGAAAAGCTGTTTGCGTCCTGGACGTTAACTACGGATGCGATCGTACTTGTCGCATCAGTATTTGGGTGACATTCGATCAAATACGATCTTCTCGGGGACTTTCTTCTCTAAATTTTACCAACGTTCCTCATTTTCTTTCTTCATAATGTTGACATTATCCTCTCTAAGCTAATGGACGCAAGTGCTGTAGATCCCGAGGCATCTTTCCACCATTTCCTCTTTTGGCAAATTCATTCTATAACCCCGCAGCGCGAGACCATATGTCCACGAATAAAACGGGCATGGAAGAACTCAGAAGCAGTCGACAGGCCAATTCGTCGAGTTTTTTGCCAATGTGACAATGCCATTCTTGAAACGAGAGCATCGCACCCGCGTTTACTATGAGGTCCATGGTGAAGGAACGCCGCTGATTCTCACACATGGCTTCTCCTCAACATCGGCCATGTGGCGTGGCCAAATCGAAGACTTCACGAAAGCTGGATACAAGGTGATCACATGGGACATGCGTGGTCATGGGAGGAGCACGTATCCGGATGATCAGGCCGTTTACTCGGAGGCACACACAATCGACGACATGGCCGCAATCCTGGATCAAGTCTGCGGAACCGGCAGCAGTGCGATAGTTGGTGGATTGAGCTTGGGGGGATATATGAGCCTTGCATTTTATCGGAAGTATCCACAAAGAGTCGAGGCATTGCTGATAATCGGTGAGTGGCACCTTCGTGTCAATGACAGTTGATGGGGTCGAGGCGTGAATTAACAAAACGTTCGATCCAGATACTGGCCCGGGTTTCAAGAGTGACGCTGCGCGGGAAGCCTGGAACAAAGACGCGCAGAACACAGCTGCCAAGTTTGAACGCGACGGGCTCAAGAGTCTTCAAAGCGCGAGTGCCGAACGCTCGCAGGTGTCGCATCGCAACGCTGAAGGCCTTGCGATGGCTGCACGTGGTATGCTTGCACAGCGAAACAACAGCGTCATCATGTCTCTGCCTAGCATCAAGGTTCCGTCGCTCGTTGTTGTCGGTGCAGACGACAAACCGTTCCTTGCAGCGTCAGATTACATGCAGAAGAAAATTCCAGGCTGTAAAAAGGTAGTCATTCCTAACGCGGGCCACGCGGCCAACATCGACCAGCCGGAGAGGTTCAATGAGGCCGTACTGAGTTTTCTGGCGTCCATCAGGAATGATACTTCTAAAGATGGCAGGTCGAAATTGTAACGAAACACGTTTCTTAGAATCTGTATATCAACCTCTCCATTTCAAACGTACATGGGGATACGAGCCAGTAAACGCGCGTATCCGGAGTCGATGTCTGTATCTTCCAAGTCAGTATTTGCGGCGTAGAAAAAAAAATACTTTCCCAAGCGTCGCTGTCAATAGTCTGACTAGAGGCGAACAGTAGCAGCCATGTATGAGAGATTGCAATCGTCGCATGACCTAGTTCACCATGCTACATGGCTCGAGACGCTTATTCAATGTTACACGAAGCTACACACGGGATGTGATAGGAGGGCCGGGTAAGATGGTGGCGAGAGCATATGTCGATCCAACAGAATTGGCTCACGTGTCCCTAGCCTGTAGCTAATTTCCTCTTTTTGGGCAACTGTGTAATTGTTAGTAGCGTTCGGACTTGCTTCCATCCAGAGAGCAGGACTTGAAAGACTGATAAAGCTTTTTCAAAGGCCAGACGTATTTGCCGTGCTTGGGTTTTTGCTTTCGTGATGACGTCGGACAACGTTCGGAAACCGCCAAAAGTCCGTGAAGGCGGGCAGCGTGACATCAAATCGCATTCCGCGCCTCCTTTCTGAGTAATCGAACCATCTAGTTAACGAACCACGGAGCGTGATGTCAAGTCGAGAGCCCTGTAACGTGTGAACCCGTCCCAGACACGACTTGGGGATATTTAGCTCTCGTTGCCTCCACTTGCACATCGTCCGCCTTCCCTGCCCGCAAAACCCGCGGTTCTCAGACCCACTATTCTCCATAACCTTAAAATATGACGGACGTGAAAGAACTGGCCAAAGAGTGGCTGCGCATCGACAGAGATGAGGACACCAGGGACCAGATCTACAAGCTACTTGTCCAGGGAAAGGACGATGAGCTTAGGCGGCGTCTTACACCACGCATATCCTTCGGCACCGCCGGACTACGAGCCGGAATGGAAGCTGGGTTCGCACGAATGAATTCTGTGACCGTAATTCAAGCATCCCAAGGCCTGGCTGAATACCTGCTTGCCAAGTGCGACAACGTGAAGCACAGAGGAGTGATCATCGGACGGGATGCCAGGCACAACTCGGAAAAGTTTGCACGGCTAACCGCCGCGGCCTTCGTTGCCAAAGGAATCAAGGTTTGGTGGCTCGAGGACCCCGTACATACGCCGCTCGTGCCGTTTGGCGTGAAAGAACTTAATGCGGCGGGGGGCATCATGATCACTGCAAGCCACAACCCTCCTCAGGACAATGGCTACAAAGTTTATTGGGAAAACGGCTGCCAGATCATACCTCCACACGACAAGGGCATTGCAGCGTCGATACTGGAGAACCTGGAGCCGATATCCTGGGATTTGTCCGTCGTCGACGAGAACATGCTTGTTCAGGGTACGTTAGGCTTGGTTCAAGACGCTTATTTCAGAGCCGTAGCCTACTCTGCTGATTGGGAAGGCAAGCTTAAAGAAGCTCCCGATCTTCCCCTAAAGTTTGCATATACCGCTATGCATGGCGTTGGTCTAAAGTACATGACCGCTGCTCTTGAGCACCTAGGCGTCGCGAAGTACATGTCAGTCGTCCAGGAGCAAGCACACCCGGACCCCGACTTCCCGAGCGTCAAGTTCCCAAATCCCGAAGAAAAGGGTGCGATGGATCTCGCGTTCTGGAGTGCGGATCGGCACGGCATCGACTTGGTCTTGGCAAACGATCCGGATGCCGACCGGTTCGCGGTCGCGCAGAAGGTGGATGGCAAATGGCATCAATTCACGGGGAATCAGCTCGGCATACTGCTCGCGTCGCACATCATGGACAGGTACTCGAAGCCAAGGGAAAAACTTGCGATGCTGTCGTCGACGGTGTCATCCCGCATGCTGGCAGCCATGGCCTCCAAAGAAGGGTTCCATCATGAGGAAACGTTGACCGGCTTCAAATGGATGGGGAACATGGCCTTGTTTCTTGACGAGCAGGGCTACGACTCCCGGTTTGCGTTCGAGGAAGCCATCGGCTACATGATACCTGGAGTCGTGCACGACAAGGACGGCGTGGCAGCGGCAGCAACGTTTCTCACAGCGGTCTTGGAATGGCAAAAGCACGGGCTTACGCCGTGGCAGAAGCTGCAGAAGCTGTATTCCAAGTACGGCCATTTCGAAGACGCCAACACGTACCTCATCAGTCCTTCTCCAGCGGTGACCGACGAGGTGTTTGAGCACGTCCGTTCGCTGGGTTCGCCGTATCCAAGCGCGCTGGGCAAGCGCAAAGTACGCAAATGGAGAGATCTCACCAAGGGATACGACTCCTCGACCGATGATCACACGCCGAGACTGCCCGTTGACGCAGACAGCCAGATGATCACGTGCGAAGTTGATGGCGACGTTCGATTCACGGTGCGAGGCTCGGGCACAGAACCCAAAATCAAGTTTTATATCGAAGCGAAGGGACACAGCAGCGAAGCGGCGAAGAAAGTGGCGAACGAGGTGTTGATGGAATTGCTCCACGACTGGTTTGTTCCGGAAAAGTTTGGATTGAAGCTACCGGCATAGAATTTTCCATTTCCCCCCTTTTTTTCCCTTCTTTTCTTTTTTGTTGTTTTTTCATAGCACGAAAATGTACAGAATATACCCCACGCAGGCATGAATAGAAGCGGTTTTTCGCGCTCGTACTCCCTCACTTCCATCGTGAGAGCAAAGATTAGCACATGCCCTTACCCAGATCACACGATGAAGTGGTCCAAAGTCCGAATCTATTTGTGTCTATCTTAATTAAGGCTCGATTCCGCCATGGATTCGCCTCCTCCGTACCAAACCGTTCCCCATCTAAGCACGATCGGGGCCGTCTCGCCCACCGTCCATGATCCCGCGCCGTCGTCGCTTGAGCCGTCGTTTGGCCAGAACTCGGCCTGCAGCCACGAGTTGATATCGTCAATGGCGTCGACGAACCGCTTCATCTTCGCCGCGTCCACCGTTCCGTCCTCCTTTGCAAAGTCTCGCTGCGTTATGAAGCGGCCGATGGTCAGGTGGGCGCTGGGCACGACGTAGCGAGAGTCCACCTTGAGGCCGGCGCCCGTCACAATGTCGAACACATCTCGGCGCAGGTGGTGATAGCTGAAGTCCCGACCACGACCCGTGGCAGGCACGAATGTGATGGCCAGTGCAGATGCGTCGAACCCGACCATGGGCTTGATGAGCTTGGCCTGATGGCCGGGCGTTCGACCGTAGTTGACGATCCGGTCGGCCACGGGTCCAACCTGCTGCTTTAACGCCTCGATCTCGCCGGCCGTCTTCGAATGCGTGATCTCCAGAATCGTGATGTGCAAGTTCTCAATCGGCATGAGCCAAAGGCTTGGAGCCACCGTCCGCAGCTTGTCCTGCACGCTCGCAATCAAGCTTTTGATGTGTTGCTCCGGACGGCCCCAGAACACCAGGCAGTGCCTTGTGTCTACGTATCCCGGCTCGATGGACGGGTCTTCAAGACGCTGCAAGATCGGATCTACAATGACGCCAGAGAAGCCCGGGTCGAGCAGCTTGGCTTTCTGCTGCTGGTTGCGGTTGGCACGGTGCGACTGATACCGTTCCTGAAGCTTCAAGCCGTCATTGCCCGTTGCTTGCAGCAAGGCGTCGTAGGGATTGGCAAAGGCACTTGTGTCGACTCCACTCAGATCCAGAAAAGGATTGCTGGCGAGATGCGGTGGTACTTCAGCTGCCGGCATGGTCTTTTCGCGCTCACGCGGGAGAAACACAGGGCGAGGCTCTGTACAGGAGAGTTGAGGACACGGCGTTGATGTTGTGATTCACTCAGCACAAGACGGCAGCATTCCGTTAACGATTCCACTCGAACTTCTGCCCACGGTCAACGACACGAAAAGAACGGCAGAGTGGCAGGCTGGATACGGGCCTGTACGTGTGCGGGAGTGTGTTTGTGGCCGCCGGCCTCGTTTCGAAACATCAGTGGGTCACACCACTTCCATCAGCGCCACCTTGCCGTTTCAACTCTTGACTGCAGACCAGAACGCCGTCCAAAAAGAAGGAAAACAAAGCCAGAAGAAAGATGGACATTCCCATGGGGCTCTCAGGTCGCAGAGCCAACGGTCCTTGCGTCCGGGCCGCAGATACGCCGCCGCTTTTCTTTCACGAGCCATTTTTCGGTTACGCCCTAGCCCCTCTCGCTCTCAGGCGGTCCAGCTGGACGTTGCATTTGGCCACACCCCAGCTTTACCGGCAGCCAGCCTCTGTTGCACCCACATGTCGGGCGTCTTTGGTCTGCCTTTGTGAATCCGGGACGACGGTTGCCCTCCCTGTGCGATTGGATTGCGGATAAGGCTGGAAGCTGGACTGGCCATCCACCAGCCGATTGCGTGCAAGTGAGCGACGGTCTTGAGGTCATCCTGGCTCCTTCACGAGCACGGAGAGCCGGATCATAGAGTTGCCGCACCCGCAACCTAGCCTTTATTTTTCAGATCTGCAATGTTGATAACGGACTCCACCGGCTGATTCTTTTGCGCTTGCGTGCGCAAGCTGGCCTCGCCATGGAACTTGAGCTACAGGTGATTGGCAAAGAGGTGGAGACTGGCGCCGTCGACGATCCAGTCAAGAACTCCAAAGACGCCCGGGATCTGTCACTACGACCTGTGCCGCCGGTCGACATCGCCATTCGCAACGTCAGTGTTGTCCTGCGGAACAGTGGTGTTGTCAATTCGAGCATACCGCTGCTGCGAAAACCCGGCCGTGCCGAGGCGGCCGCCGGAGACAAGAAGATATTGGACTCTGTATCAGCAGACTTTCCTAGCGGCAGTCTCACAGGTATGCCCAACAGTGCCCTATCAGATCCTTGTACGCAAGGTGCTCACCAGCAATGCAGCAATCCTGGGAAGCAGTGGCTCAGGCAAGACGACTCTTCTGAACGTGCTCGCCGACCGGATTCACGACAGCAAGCTGGACATCACGGGCGAGCGCATTTTCAATGGCTCAACCCAGCGTAACGGAGTGGAGAGCGCGTATGTCATGCAGCAGGATGTGCTCATCCCGACCTTGACCGTCCGAGAGACCTTACGCTATTCTGCTGATCTAAGGCTGCGCGATGTTGTCGACAGGGACGAACGCTATCACATTGTCGAAGAAGTCATTCTGGAGCTGTCGCTCAAGGAAGCCGCCGACACCCGCGTCAAGTACTGCAGCGGCGGAGAGAAGCGAAGAACGTCGCTCGCCATTCAGTTGCTGGCAAACCCATCCGTGCTCTGGCTGGACGAACCAACGACTGGCCTGGACGCAACGTCGGCGTTTCAACTCACCACCACTCTCAAAGCGCTGGCTTGCAGAGGTCGCACCGTAATCGTCACTATACACCAGCCGCGCTCTGAGATCTGGACCTTGTTCGATCGCATCATCCTGCTCTCGCAAGGGAGGAGCGTCTACGCCGACAATCGGGAAGCATGCACGACATACTTTGCAAGACTTGGGTTCCCTCTCCCGCCGTTCTGCAATCCCGCTGAACATGTAATCGACATTGCTGCGGTCGACAACCGCACTCCCGAGCTGGAGCTTGCTTCCCAGACTCGCGTTGACAACCTCAAGGCCGCATGGGCAGACGCGTCCAAGGACGTGTTTCCCGACGTGCCAATCACAGCCATGGGCGGCGGCCCGCGGTCGAAGACGAGCAAACGAAATTCTCACAGAGTGTCGCTGGGTCGGCAGATTCGCGTTCTAACCTCCCGCGTCTGGATTACCACTGTCCGAGATCCTCTCGGCCTTTTCGGCACCATCTTCGAAGCTATCTTCATGGGTATCTTGATGGGGTGGATCTTTTTCCAGCTAGACAAGACGCAGAGCGGTATCCGGTCACGGATTGGTGCCAATTACATCGCATCGGCTCTGCAGGGCTATCTCATCTTGATGTTCGAGACGTATCGACTGATCATGGACATTGCAGTCTTCGACCGTGAGCGTGCGGAAGGAGTCGTCAGCGTACCGGCCTTCATGATCTCACGCCGCATCTCCAAGATCGTCGAAGATTTGCCGGTCCCGCTCATCTTTTCATTGCTTTTCTACTTCATGACGGGCTTTCGAACAGAGGGTGACACATTTATGATCTTCTTTGTCATCGTTCTCATAAGTCACTACATCGCAGTTGCATTTGCCACATTTGCGGTCTCGATTTCACGCGAATTTGCTGCTGCTTCACTGATCGGCAACCTTTCATTCACCTGGCAAACTTTTGCATGCGGCTTCTTTGTCCTCGCCGCCAACATGCCTGTCTACGTGAAGTGGACTCGGTACACAGCATACGTTTGGTACGCGTTCGGGGCTTTGTGTTACAACGAATTTCACGGCCAATTCTACGACTGTCCCGTACTTGGGGGGCCAGACAATCCTGAGTGCGCACCTTATGTGGGAGACTTCCAGCTGCAGACTTTCGGCATACCATCGAACTGGAGATCACGACCTATTGTGATTCTGTTATCCTTCTCAATTCTTTACTTTGTGCTCGCGTCTCTCATTCTGCAGATTAACCGCCAAGAGATGAAGGTGGCCAACGCACGCAGGGAAGATGTTGACAAGTCTGCGGGCAAAGAGCGTATGAGAGTTCGCTCGCCAGAAGACGTTCGGTCGGTGACCGTCCGGTTGCAGGGCTACCATATTGATGTGGCTCGACGCAGTTTGGTCGGAGCTAAGCTCAGTACGCTGCAGAAACATATCCTCCATCCGGTCAACGCTGTCTTCCCTCCAGGCACACTGAACGTCATTATGGGGCCGTCGGGTTCAGGCAAAACAAGTTTGCTGTCGAGCATGGCCAACAGGCTCAGGAGTGACCTGATCAGTCAATACCATATCGGTGGCAAGCTACTTATAAACGAAGCAGAACCCAGCAAGGACGTGCTGCAGTCGATCGTATCATATGTCACACAAGATGACGACGCCCTGCTCTCTAAGCTGACGGTTCGTGAAACGCTCCAGTTTGCGGCAGGTCTACGACTGCCGAAGTGGATGTCAAAGCAGGACAAGCACAGGAGAGCCGAGGAGGTCCTCCTTCAGATGGGTCTGAAGGACTGCGCAAACAGCATCGTTGGATCGAATCTCGTCAAGGGCATCAGCGGCGGAGAACGCCGTCGGTGTACAATCGCGATACAGATTCTGACTGATCCGCGAATACTCCTGCTTGATGAGCCAACTTCGGGGTTGGATGGGTTCACCGCCGCCTCAATCATGGATGTCTTGCGCGGCCTGGCCGACGAAGGCAGAACAATCGTGATGACCATTCACCAAAGCAGATCAGACTTATGGCCGTCTTTTGGAAATGTTCTCTTGCTTGCACGAGGTGGCCACCCAGTCTATGCCGGGCCCCGCAGTCGGATGATTGAACATTTCGCAAGGTTGGGATGCCAGTGCCCCGAGACAACGAATCCGGCGGATTTCGCTCTAGACTTGATCACAATCGACCTTCGACACGCCGCGCAAGAGACGGCTACCAGAAAGAAGGTTCAAAGCCTGATTGACGGATGGAACGAGGCGGATAAGGACGTCGAACGGCGCGACAGCAGCGTGATCGCAACGCCTGCCGAGCTGGGATCTCTCCGCAAAACACGGACGTCGTTCCGTCTGGCGCTGCCGATCCTCTTTCACCGTTCGTTGCTCAACTTGTGGAGGCAACCGCCGCTCTGGGTAGCGCGCATCATGCAGATCTGGGGCATGAGCATCATCATGACCTTCTTCTTCGCGCCCCTGAAGACGGACTACTACAGCATCCAGTCTCGACTAGGATTCATCCAGGAGATCGCGCCCGTGTACTTCGTGGGCATGCTCAACAACATCGCAATCTACCCGTTGGAGCAGGCCGTCTTCAACAAGGAGTACGATGACAGAGCCTCGAACGTGGAGGCCTTCCTCGTTCAGTACGCCCTGCTGGAGTTGCCCTTCGAGGTCCTGGTTTCGTTCATGTTCTCGGCCTTGGCCGACATAGCTGCCGGGCTTCCCAAGACTGCCATGGCGTTCTTCGTCGTGTCGTTCAACGTCTTCTGCATCGTCAACTGCGGCGAGTCTTTGGGTATCGTCTTCAACACCCTGATCACGCACACCGGCTTCGCCGTGCAGATCATGAGCGTCTTTCTCAGCGTCGCCCAGTGCATGGGCGGGACCATCGCGACCCAGATCCCGAGCTTCCTGCAAGCATTCAACTACCTTAGCCCTATCAAGTGGTCCATCGAAAGCATGGCCCATATCGCGTTTGACGGCCTTCAGTTTGGCTGCTTGGAATCGCAAAGGCTGCCCAACGGCTCGTGTCCGCTGCTCACCGGCGAGGACATCCGAAGGCTGTACAGACTCGATCTTGACCTCTGGAAAGCCATCCTTGCTCTGGGCATAGTCACGCTCGGGTACAGGCTCATAGCGTACATTATTCTCAAAGCTCTGAGGGAGAAGTGGTACAACGTTTTCGGCAAGTTGAAGCGCTGAATAGGACTTTGCCTCTGGTTTCCAAAGAAAGGAAGGGAGGCGGGCGAAGGCGAAAGATCACTGTAGTCCGAGCGGATTCAAAACTGTGTTGCGGACACTATATGAGGCGGCTGGTAGTAAACTGTCGTTGCCATGAGAGACGCAGACCAGGCTGCGCGTACAAAAGGTCACATGTAGTCTTCCAAAAAGTGGAGCAAGCTCCAGCTTCACCAAAGAGACCATTTTCCATCACCTCACACCGCTCGCCACCTTTGCGCATCGCGATTCATTCTTTCCTCCGCATCCCCATCCCAACGGATGGGCGTCGCACTTGACCCTGAAACGTGCATTTCCCAACCGTAATGGCTTTGCAGACAACGCGCATCTCACGAGAAAGAATGCAACGCCATCGTTCCAACCAGGAGCGGGGAGATGGGGGGGGGTGGTCCCCACCCCGCAAAATTCGATAGGGCGCCGCCCCATCCTCCACAGCCGACCTCCCCATGAACGAACGGGGCACGCGGAGAACCAGAAAGAAAAGGCTCAGGAACAGGCCAAAAAAAAAAGCTTGGACGCCAGACCCAAAGGGAACGCCAGTGCGGTAATGGCGACGTGAAGCGTGGCCCGAATCACGGGGCGTCTGACCCGAGTCCCCTGTGCCACGAGCGATGAATAATTTGACCCAGATCGGGCCTTCGTGATTGGCCGCGCGTTACCAAATCGAGCAGGTATCGTGATCGGTGACGAAGACTTTTTCATTTTAACGTCGCTGCTGAAAGCAAAGCGGACGGGGTAGGAGGGGGGGGGGGGGGAAAGGCGAACGGCTTTCAACCGGTTATGCTAGGGAATAGGCCTAACCCCAGCGTCGAGGTTGGAGGTGCGGTCCCTGCCTGCCCTGTTGGCGGACGCAGACGCTGCTGAAGTTATTTTTTGACCTCTGGGTTTCCCCTTAACCTGTGGTCCTTCTCGCGATTGCTTGCTTCTGATTTGAACACGTCTGTTGCCTGGTTTTTGCATGCGACGCACGATCGAACGACGTAGCATTGTCGACATATCTCCTATATAAACGGCTTTGCTTTTTTCGGGGTCGGCTTCCCCCCATCTTGCTAGCGCTGGTCCATTTGACTCTTCTCCTGTCTATTGGGGAGAGCGTTGATACGGAAAAGACGTTGCCTTGCTCCTCTTGCCTGAACTTGTTCCAGATCAGTAACCATCTGTTGGACGTTTCGCCGCGCAGTGCCACCTCCTCTGATCTTTCACCATGCCACCTGAAGGAAGGCAGTTTTACGTGATCGTCCGCAACGAGAATGTACGTCCTTTTTCTTCTTGGTATACCTCAACAGCCCCCCCCCCCCCCCTCCCCCCTTTTCAAACATGCACAAAAGCACAAATACACATGAGCGACGCCTCAAGACCACGAACAGCGCTTCGCCATGTTCTCTTCCCCTCGACGTTTCTAAAGAAAAGAGCCCAGTGAAGGAAGCAAAAGATGGCTGACGACACGCCCTTGCCGCAGGATGACCACTGGACATCGCACAGCGACTTCGTGGACGGCAAGTTCTACGGCGACCTTGCGTCTGCCAATGCCGCGCTGGCCGCATTGTCTGCCCAGCCCAAGACCTGCCTGCAAGCTGCGGGCCTACGTCCTCCTCATGGCGCACGCACGTCATCTGCATCGTCGGCGTCGACGTCCGGCTCTGGCTCCGCGGACGAGTCCGGCAGCGAGCATGACGCAGCCGAACCCGTCAGCTCCGGCCGGTCGCGTGACGGGCGGTGCAGCTGCGGGTACAAGGACGGGGTGAGATACGAGGTGCGCAAGATCGCGACGAGGAGCCTGTGCGGGAGGATAACGTGGTGGTTTGCCGACGACGAGGCGGCATCGTAGTTCTGGCCAGTCTCTGGCGCCTCTCTTAGCTGCCTGTCTGCTCGTCGCTTCTCTGTTCGTTCATTCCCTTGATTTACTCTCTACACTTCGAGAAAGTGGGGACTCGTCGATTCAAATGCATTGCGACCTGGCGTTAGCATACTCGAAATTTTGCTTTATTGGGAAGGGTATCGCACACTGCGCGCGAGGCGGCACGGCCTGATAATAAAAACAGAAAAGAGTTCAACCCCAGAGTGCAACGGTTCACAAGGCTGCTTCGTGGCACGTGTACTTTACAACCAAAACCCGTGCAAACAAAGTGACGGCCGAAAAAAAAAACAATCCTGAAAAGGGAAAAAGAGAAACGAAACAAGACGAGTAAGAATTGTGGGATTTCTTTCCTTTTTTGTCCTGGTTCATATATCTTTAAATGAGCAACCGCAAGATGATGCTTTCTGATTTTGCATCCCATAATGCCGATACGAGGTACCCTATCCTTTGGAATCGAGGTGGAGGACATGTTCATAAACCCCTCCTCGCCTTTATAAACCAAAAAAAGCCCCCCATGCTAATGCTTGAGTGATGCGTCCGTGGAACGTCGTCCCGGCAGGGAGGGAGGTGGCTGGTACCACTAGCCAGGGACAGCGTGTAATGTAGCTGTTAGCTGCCGCAGTGTTGAAAAAGAGACGTGAAGGCCCGCTCTCCGTGGTGTCTTGCTTCTAACTGCTTTGCTAAGACCTGGCTAGGCTAAGCGTGGCAGTCAGGAAGAGGGAAGAGCGAGCTCTGATCGGTCGCCAACGTGTGCCTTCAAGCGAGCTCTGGCTGAAATAAAGGCAAAAGAATGACAAAGCCAAGAAAGAAAGGCCATCTGTACAGGAGGCACGCCCGCGACCTTGGTCTATACACTGTCGACGTGCTCTGTCCAAAATCACAGATTGCCACTGCCGATATTCCTACCGCCTCGTAGTTTCTTCTCAAATGCATAGATTCATAACCATATCGTTAAACTTTTTTGTGTTTTTCTTGGGTTTTTTTTTTTTGCCTTTCACTCTGCGATGTGCACAGCGTCTTTCCCACACAGGATACCATTACTCATGCCTCTCGTTCCATTCCCATAAATGCGAAGCATTTCGACATATGTTTGCATCGTCCGCACACGTGTGGGGGACGGGCCGTCCCTCCCGCGGAAAACAGTGTAGAGCGCTTCAATCAGAGCAGTAATGGGTATGGAGCAGCGACGACCGGTGCCATCACTCGGGAAGCACCAAATCTCGTGGAATGCGGCGGGAGAGACGCAAAGTAAGCGTGCGAGTGAAGAGGGAGCCAAAAAAAAAAAAACGCCAGATAGCCAATCGCTGAGAGAAATGCAATGATGCAACCTAGCCGGCCCAAGGAAAGAAATTGACTCGGATGATTTGGATCCGAAGAGATACAGCATAAGCTGTCCCTTCTCGAGAAAAAAGGTAACATAAGTAATCCACGCTCTTATGCAGATGCAAAACTCACGGCTATTGTTGGCAGCACAAATTAGTCTTCACCTGATCCCCCCGTCGTCTTACGGGGTATTGGCTTGGCAGCGGTCCTCTGGCCGCCAATGGGTCCCAGCCTGGGGCTCGCTTTGCCGAGTGCAAACGGATTGCCTTGCGCCCAGGCGCCGCCCGAGTTGCGTTTGAGTGCACCGCCAGTCGCCGAAGAGGAGCCACCACCGACAGCGTTGTCGTCCGTCTTGCCGAGCTCGTCCATGCTGAACAATTCCTCGGGCTCCTCGTCAATCTTCTCTCGGCCGACGTTGCTGCTGCCAGACACAGCACGATCGAGGCGGCCGACGGGAGGCGGCGCAGGTGCACCGGAGGAAGGTGGCATAGAGATCGAAGACGAGGAGCCAGAGGCCACGCGTGTGATGCCAGGATGCTGCAGCTGAGGCAGAGCGGACGGCGAGCCGACCAGCTGCTGCTGTTGGAGAGCGCCCTGGGCCTGCGACTCGGCAACCCGGTCCGAGAGCCGGGTGCGCTGAAGCTGCTGTGAGATCATGCTCATGCTGGCCTGGCGCGGTGGACTCGCGATTGAACTGCCGAGATCGCCGGAGAGAGGACGCGCATTGGCTGTCGCGCGTAGGCTCGGCGATGCGCCCTGGTTCAGCGTTGAGTTCTTGAGCGGCGAGCCAACGGGACCAAATGGGCTGGCATCGCCGACTGCGGAAGCCATTGTGCTTTCCTTGTTGCGACCGGCAAAGAAGGCGCCAAAGCGGCTGGGCGACGCCGTAGAGGGTGATCCAACCTTCGAGGTGGCCTCGGCGGGCGTGCCTAGCCCGGATAGGGCGGGCCTTAGTTCGTCGTCGGCAGAGCGCGAGAAGCGGCGGGCCTTCTCGGCGGGAGTAAGCAGGTCATGTAGGCTGTTAGGCACCATCTCCTCTTCGAGCGCAAACGTGTCGTCCCACTCGTCAATGGGCGGGCGAGCGCCTACGCTGGCGGACAGCATGCGCGTGCTACTGTTGCGTGAATAGCGTTCGGAATGTAAGATGCGACGGCCCAAGAGCTCGTCAGCAGGTGGCGACGAGGGCAGAAGGCTGCCTGTAGCGCCGCTGGTGAACAGGCTCCGCCCATTGGACAGATTGGTAGTCGACACGGCAGGTACAGGATCGTCGCCGAAGGCGGAATTGTGCAGGTTGCGCAGGGCAGTTGACTCGAACGGTCGAGATGGTGGAGAGGAGTCAAGCCCGAAGCGAGAGGGCACGGAGGCTGCAAATGGCCCGTCGCGGGCATATTTAGATATGCCCTGGCTGTCGAAAGAGGCGGGCAGCTGAGCGTTCGCAGCGGTAGTGCCGATCCCTCGTAGCGAGGGCGACATCAACAGGTTTGAGTCCAGGGTGGGAGAACCGTAATTGGACTTGGGCAACGAGCTGAAGTTGGAGTCAAGAACGGGATTTCCGGAGCCGCCATCGGTGCGCCACATGTCTCTGTTCATATAGTCCAGTGCAGAGGAGGCGCCCGGTATGGGCTGGGGCTGGGCGAATTGGTCCTGATGCATGGTGAGCAGCGAGTTCGCAGGCGCTGGTCCGGTCGGCGGCGGCATGACCCGACCACCCAGGTGCAGAGGCCCAACAGGGCCCATGACATATCCACCCGGCTTGTTGACCCGCCGTCCGTCTTGCGTTATGTGGTCGTTTGCACATTTGAGGCCGAACTTGCAGTTGCCCTGTAGCGTCCCTCAGACCCAGGTCAGTCAACGGCTCGTAGAGACTGTAGGCGGCCGCACACGTGAGCCCCAGCGCGGAGGCCACTGCTCTCACCTTTTGGAAGTACTTGCACGGCTGGGGCGTTTCGCCGTGGAGGAAGGGACACGCAGAACCGGCCTGGCAGGCGCCCTGGCGGAAGAACTTGCACGGCACGTGCGATGCTGTCGAGCCACTGTCAGCTACTGCCACTGCAACGTCTGCGATTCTCGCCGCCCCTAGAGACGGACAAAGCACAAAACCCCATCCACTCACTGTTCTTCTGCTGGGGAGGGCTCCGGGCGCCGACGAAGCCCGGCGGGTGGTTGCCGTTCGGCATGGACGGCGCCCGCGGCGGGGGGACGGCGAGGGGCGCGTGGCCATTCGTGGACGCCGCAGCGGCGGCGACGGCGGCGGGATTTGAGGCAGCGTGGCCATTGAGCGGCGACCTGAACTCGCCAGATAGCCTGGAGGCATTGGGCGGGCGGGAGGTTGCAACGCGTCCCTGGCCCACGAAGGGCTGGGGTTGCGGGTTCATGGTGGAGTGCTTGGTCCGAGGTGCGGTGCGCGGGCAGCAGTACGGCAATGTCGTTGCGAAGCTCAGTCCTGCATGTGTGTAAGGATGGACGCATGTACGGGCGCAGGCGAGCGGGAGTTGATGAGGGACGGACAGACGTGGTGTGGGGTATCAGAGGTTCAGGCCTAGTTTCTTCGTCGAGCGGCCGGCACGAGCACGGGCAGCAGCACGAGCACCGTGCGCAACCAGAAGAGATGCGATGGCGCGGGTGAAGCGACGGGAGCTGCGCGCGTGATGGAGGCGAAGAGGTCGAGCGAGGAAGCGGACGGCGGGCGGGAGAGACGAGCAAAGATAAAGAGGCACAGCGAGAGCGCGGGCGACGCTGGCCGGGTCCAGGGCAGCCGGCCTCGTTGGAGCGCCTCGCACGCTCGCGCCTCCACGCCCTTGTAGCGACAACTTCCAGACCAGCTCGCATCGAGGACTTGCAGACGGATACGCGAGCTCTTGAGCGTGCTCTTGGGCACGAAGACGGCGTGCACAACAGCCACGGACGGGCCATGCGCGGCGACGGACGCTGGATCTTCGCACATACGTGTCAACAGAGACGCAGAGGCAAGTCCTCGCTCCGCAGCCGCTCCATGCGTCCCTAATGCCACGCTCAGTGAGACGCTGATGCGTTTGGGACGTTCACGTACAGAATACCACGCGTAGAAGCGCGGATCTATTCAGCTTCGGCGTCGTCCAGCTGTGCCGTCGAACGTGCGCAGAGACGTGCTCTCGCACATCCGCTCCAACCACGCACACAGACGTACGCATCCACGCACACACACACACATACACACACGCGCACACACACACATACACGACCCGCCGACACTCATGCCACCACGCCCTGACAGCTTCAGTCCTGGTGACGCCGGAATGTCTTGCAGCTGGCCCGGTCACCTGCACTGCTGCCGTCGTCAACCCCCTGCGACCCAAGCCAGCCGCTTTGGGCTAAACGAGGCTGATGTCGGCTGAGACTCCGAGCCCCTCTACCGATCGAGCGCCCGCCTGCTGGCTGTCTTGTGCCATTTCTCTCTGTGCTCCTCCGAGCAATCGTTGCTTTTGCTACACCATCTGGGGGACACGTGCCTTGACGTGGGGGTGGCGGTCCGGCAGTGCGCACGCTTTGTCGCTCCATCTCGAGCAGTACATGCTTTACCCACCCATCACACGTTGGTCACGTACGAGAATCTGCGGGCCTCACGCACGCCTCTGCGTCTGTCCGTCCGTGACCTCGAAGGCACGCATAATACAGGGAGGCGGATTTTGGCAAGCATCGCCTCCATTGACCAGTAATCTGTTGGTCACGTGCTGTCTTTCCAGCGCGAGATGGACGCTTTTGATTTCGCATCGTCGAGACGAACATGCCCATATTCTGTCCCCGACCAGTGCAGGCTGTCCAGTTGCTATCGACTCCAGCAAGTATCCTAGAAGGGGATCTGTTCGTCGTACAGCTCCGTCCGGCGATCCCAGCTTACGGCTTAACCGTTTTCGTTTCTTTGCAGTAGTATGCCGGAACGTCCAGTACCGTCATGGTCTGCAACCTACCCTAGTCTTCTTCGCACCTACTGCCGCCGATTAGGAAACATCCTCAGCGATGGACTTTGCCATGTCCAACGTTAAACAGATTCCCCCGTCCTCGTATGGTCTTGGCAAGCGTCGACGACATGAGCTTTTGGCAATGATGAGTGATCCTCGCCGAGATGCTGGCATATTGCGTTTGATCCAAGTTTAGTCTTGATGCCACCCATATCAAGGATATGGTCCGAGAAGCTAGAGACAAGATGTATAATCGCCCGTGTCGTGGCCGCTAATCCGTGCGACCTGTTTGTCGCTCGATGTTCCAGCCGTAGTCTTGCACAACCCGAGCTTGGTAGGACGTCTTTGAGCCGATTGAACTCACCGCCGGAGATCGATGCAGACGATAGACATGCGAATCCTGTAGTTGCTCGACCCGGTGTGAGCACGTGATCCGTCCAGGTAGCCCAAAAGAGCTTAGGTTTTTGTGCTCCGAATCTATTCTGCTTCGTTCGCACAGCTCGGAAGATCTGAGCAGGATTGTCCATTGAGCATGCGCCTCTAACACCACAGTCATCGCACAGCGGAGGTGTTCACGGGTCTTCCTTCTCTCCACGCTTCCCGGACGTTGCGAACATGCAGGATTCGACGATCTCCGAGCGTTTGGTTCACGTGTGGTAATTCAACGTGGTCAGCGAACGGCGTCATGGTCGGACAGGAACCTGTGCATAGACTCCGTTCGAAGCATTCGAGAAGCCGGACGGGCTGTCTACCGTGTAAGGCGCGCCATATTCGGTGCGACGAGCAACGCCCGCACTGTGCCAATTGCACCAATGCCCGTAGAGCATGCAAGTATTCCCCTCTTGGTCTGATAGTAAAGACGACTGCGACGAAGACGAGGCTCCCGGGAGTCGAGGCCCCCTGGCAGCTCACACCGGAGCTCTCTGCTTCCACGTTGGACCCGTTCGACACGCTGCCCATTGATATGCCGTTTAGGTCGGCCGATCTGCTCAGGTTTTTTATGCAGCACAAAGGCCCCATCTGCAGCATCGTTGCCCCGGACAGATGGCTGGACTTTCTGTCCACTACGAAGATCAACTCCTACATTTGTCACAGTCTCCTTCTCATCGCCGCTGCCTATTATCACAACCGTAATGGTGGTCTGCGAGAATACGAGCCTGCCTTTCTATACCACAAGGTCAGGTGCATCGAGATTGTCAATGGCTGGCTAGCTGATGCTACGATGAGACTGACGCCGCAATGCATGTCGCTGATCAGCACTCTCGGCTCCGCCGAAGCGTGCACCGGTGATTTTGCTGCTGCTGTCGAACATCACCTCGCCGGCTTGGCGCAAATCCTTGACCTGCGCGCCGAGCATGGCGGGGACGATGCTCTTCCCTCCCGCGAGATGGACAACGAGATGTCCCAAAGATACATCATGATGTCATATCTGACAATGGCCGTTATAAAGAGCAGCAGAACTGTCTTCCAGACGTCAGACGACATGCTCGCGCGCTATCTGGCCAGTGGTATGGACTCCTGTGCAGCAGACCAAGGTAGGCACGAGATCGACTATCTTCGGCTGGCGCCGTACTTTTTTGCAATTTCGGCCATCACGCAGTCCAATCTCGTGGACGCGCGTGCGATGATCTCACGCCTGCGATGGCTGGTAGCTCAGCACAGCGACACCGCCGAAGAATGGTCCTTCGACGCAATGGTGGCCTTGCTGCGCGACTACAAGAAGCTACACGTGCTGTCCGTCCAATCACCTGTCCCTCAACCCAATAAAACCGCGCCATCTGTGCCAGTCTCGTGGGTCTCTCTCGTCGCAGCAACGTGCTTCTTTGTATACGGCGTGCTTCGTCCCTCCCATGGAGACGTCCCACTGGACCTCCGACTCACGCTCCAGCTGGCCCGCGGCCTGGCGTCGGAGCTTGACGCCATCTTAATCAACCCTGCATCTCACGCGAACGCCACGGATCTCTGGCTCTGGATGGCGGTCTGCGCCGCGATGGGCTTGCGCAGAATGAGTCAAACAAGCGACCATGATGACATCACAACCGCTATGGTCATCACGCAGCTGGAATCGACCGCTCGTCGACAGCTGCGAGCGTTTGCTGAACTGGCCGGATCGCCGCGCTGGCAAACCGGTAGAGACATTTTGCGGAGCGTCGTCTGGCCACGACACTGTGCGGACGAACAGGCGAAGATCATATGGGACGAGGCTTTTGCCGAGAACGCAACCCCTGCCCTGCCTCATTGATCGCGATTACGCTATCTGAAGGACTCTATTTCCATTAAACATGAGCTTGTATCATTCTGCTTCTCGAACGCCGTCGGTACTAGCTCTTCCGAAGCATTCTATACAATATGACGGCATGCTCGTTTACAATCTTAGCTCCAACGTCTGCGCGAGATCCTGTCGACCTCAGCCATGCTGCGTACTGTATCTGAAACCTAATCCTTCTTGGTCCGCTCCGTCCAGATTAATCGCAACTCGGCGTTGCTCATCGTGAACACGTCCTTGCTCTCAGTCAACAGCTTGGTTCCGTCCTCGCCAGGTGCAAACGCCACATCGAATTCCAGCACCATCTTCGTGACAACAGTCCTGAGCTCGTTGAGCGCAAACTGCTTGCCGATGCAACTGAACTTGCCAATCGAAAACGGGAAGAAGGCGTTCTTGTTCAAGATCAACTCGGGCTTAGTGGTCCAGCGCTCGGGAATGAACTCGTTCGGCTTGACGAATGCTCGTGGAGCTGTTGGTCTGCGTTAGTCCTAATTTCAAACGGAAGAAAGTAAAGATTTGTATGTCGCTCACATCGCTGGATCGTGTAGTGAGGCCCAATGATCTGGACTCCGCCTGGAAGGTGCTGTCCATTTATGACGACGCCATCGCGAGGGGTAAGCCGGCTCACTCCTCCAGGCACAGGCGGATGCATGCGCAGGGTCTCGTTGATCAGAGCGTTGAGGTAATCCACGTATTGGAGCGCAGACACGGACAATGACTCGTTGTTCTCGATATTCTTCTCCTTCAACTCGGCGCGCAGTTTCTCTACGAGAGAGGGATCCTTGGCGAGATGGTAGAAGAGGTAGATGAGAGTTGTCGCCGTCGTGTCCGAACCGGCGACGATGAGGAGCCGCGAGTCGCCCATCAAAAGAAGGCGCTCCATCTTCTTGTCTCCTTTGAAGAAATCTCCTGCGGCGAAGATGTGCGACATGACGTCCGGTTCTTTCGGCTCGTATTTCTAGCGTCGGTGTTAGCTTGCAGGCTCAGAGTCGTGTTGTTGCGCGTACCCTTCTCTCGTCAACGCACTGCTCGCTGTACAGAAGCATTCTGCCCCCGGCAGTCCAGGAGATGGGGAAAAGCCGGAGCACTTGGAGGATCCACGAGACGGTGCCGAGCATACCGATCAGATGGGCCGAGTTGTGGATCAGGTCGATGTAGAAGTGTGATTCACCTTTCTCGAGCGCCTCGAACGATCGTCCGAAGGCCATGTCGCCTATACACGAAGCGTTAGAATTCGAACCCTCCAATCGAGACACGGACGGGGCGGCAAATCTAACCCATGACATCGAATGCGAGGTAGTTCAGCCAGCTCGTGCCGTTGACGACCTCTCCAGATCGCTTTCGGATCTGGTCGACCAGCGTGTCTGCGTACTTGATTAAGCGGGAATCGTAGGCACGGAGCGACTTTGTGGTGAATGCCTGGTCCCATCCATGTCGGCGCCGTCGGTCATGCATGGCTTTGTCCCTCATCTGATGAAGAGTCGTCATCGGATAGCCGCCATCATACCACTCCGACTTCTCGAACTTGGTCTGGGCCTTGTGAACAGGCTCGACCCAGTCTGGGTCGGCGATGGACAACAAGTTCGGCCCCGCGCGAACATATTCTCCGTACTGGGCATGTAACTTGTCGAGGTGCCTAAAGTTGTCGCACTTGGCTGCCACTTCTCGGACGTGAGCGAACTGGGTGAGCCGGGCGGCTGGTGGGCCTGGGAAGTTGCGAAGTGGATGGAAGTACAGACGATAGATGGCGATGCTGCTAAAAAGCGTCGCGCAGAACGGAACGATTGCGACGAGAACGGTCAAGCAAGCGCGCAGGAAGGTGAGGTCAAGATAATGGCAGAGACCGGCTGCGGCAAGGCCTGGTCCAAATATGATTGTAAGAGCGTACGGCCTGATCCATTTCATGTGCTCGCCGCGAATGAACCAAAACCAGTGTGCGAGCAGTCCAAACACGGCACCAGCTCCAGCAACGACGAGTAGATTAGGCTCCATGGTTCGAACAGTGCGAGTAAAAGTAAGTCTCTGACAGGTCTCGACGATCGAAAAAATCCCACCGCGTCAGAAGTGCGTTGGCTGTTATAAAAGTCTCAGCAGTGCAGAACGCCAGACAAAGCATACGTGCACGTAGGCGTCAGCAATCAGAAACAGCCCGACAACCACAATCCCCGCATGGTTCCATCGTCCACTTTCTTGGGCCCTCGGCAGGCTTTTTCTGATCTGGCCTATACGAGTACGACGTTGGGAAACTTGGGCAGTCGCTGTGGGTGGAGAGCGCCCGCTTTTGCTAGAACTAGCGCTTCTGCACCCCACAGGCCAATTGTTGGTCCGAAGCGGACGTAGTAAGGCTGCGTGGGGAATTCCCTTCCAGGCCGATCGCTTCGAGAGCGAGCGCTTGTCAACATGGACTTTTATGTCCATGGTTGATCATCCGCCTCATCTGCCATGGCCGAGAAGCCTTGTACCTTTACGCGCTTGTCCTGACCTTTCTTTTGCAGTTCTACGACTCTTGACCTGATTGACTGTCAGCACGTCAAGGGCCCCCAGCAACCGGCTCCGGCTGAGTAAACCCCTCATCAAGTCAGCATCCGAGCATATCCCAAACCGTATCGGTATCTTTCGCAACAAATGACAAGCATATTCGACTCGACAAAGCCAAGGCTCGCCCGGTCGGTGTCCGACTGGCCAATTTTTACAAGAGCCATTTGTCGTACCTGCGCATCATGCGCGCTCTTTTCACATGACTTGATCGTGTCGCATCAGAGTACGCACGGCTGTTCTGTCCCTCATTTGTCTGGCAATGACTGTGCACACATATCACTGCGGGAGATATTCGCAAAATGGCTTGCAATGCGGACTTCTCAGACAGGACGAGATAAGACAGCAGGGGTTCAATACACAAGCGTCGATTGTCGCATTCTAGCGCACGATTCTTTGATCCATCACTAGCTGCTCATTGCTCGCTGAGTTTCGCTATGGGAAAAGACGCGTGTAGGCAACGGCATTCCAATGTCCAGAGCCTGTCCTGGTCTACTTTTTTTTTTTGGCGAAAACACTGGTTAAGCCAGCGTAGTCAACGCTTGCATTCTTGCAGGAGTGCCCGCCCCACGGTTAAGTGGTACCCGAGTTTCCACCCTTCGCTTGACACTCAATGCAGTGAGTTAGTTTAGCGAATTCTAGATGGCATAATATAGCACGTCGAATCTTTGCGCTTCCAATCTCCACGGCGGCCACCTATCCTAGTAACCAGCACATCTATCGACATGCGTCTGCTTCGATGATTCCAATTAGCACAAGACGCCTGCCTAAACTCTTTCGCGCATTACAGGTTGAAACAAGGGTTTCCGCACTCTTTTCCAGCGCCGTCTTTTGGTAGTCTACGTACGGCTTTTGCAGGTGTTGCGGTCTTGGGCGGGTTCAAACGATTGAGCCTCAGGAATCCTCACGGTTAATATTTAGCGCATTGATTCGTTTGAATTTATATCTAGCTTCTTGTGTTATAGCAGTTCGGGCGGGTCTTGGGGTAAGCCTCAATCGTCAGCCTGTTCGTCAGCCATTCGCAATATGCCCAAGCTGAGAACCGGATTATTCAAGCCAATTTACGAGTTCTTATTTATGCGAGTAACGCGGTCCAGACTCGTGGTAAGATAGATGGTTTGTGTGCCTTGTGGGTTCGACATGCGGCTGACTAACTTGTGGGCTAAACATCACAAAGGTACGTGACGTCAGTGATGTGCCTGATCCCATGTTCCCTTGTGTTCCCATATGTCCAACCGTTTGCCAATCAAAAGACAGTCCGATCTACGGGGAACTTGCCTTCCAGTGAAAAGTTTCGTCAATTCACGGGGCGATGAACCTGGTCATCCCACGAGCAGGCCACGCTGAAGCTGGAGGACAGTTGGAAGGCATGTAAAGGTGGGACGTCATTGTCCAGGATTGGGATATTTTGGTTCATTTATACAATTGAGCGGCTCAGATATATGATTCTCCAGGTCTAACCTTATTTTTCACGTAGTACGTCCTTAAGCACGCTTATCGTTTAACATTTGCTGGGCGCTGTTCGTACCACGTCGTTGTCGCGCGTAATTGCGGATACTTGAATAGAGCAGGCATCGAATTGTCTCACCGTATCGATACGTCTTGACTGAAGGTGCTCGGCGGAAAACGAGACACTAGACTGCTCACACGAGGGATACGCTTCAGTTCAGCAGCTGTCGTCCAACATGTCTAGCCAGTCAAACGGGAACCGAACAGCTGATACCAGCGCAATTGATGCGAGGAACGATCCAAAGCATTCTGAACAAAGAGACGTTTCTGACAATGAGAACCTTGACTCTGCCGACGCTGCGAACGAGAAACGAACGGGTGGATTCCCGGCTGTCGGGAAAGCGATGGCACCGATTACCCAGCCCGTGAACTACACCATCAAAGGAACTACTCGCACGCTCAACACGACAGTCGGCGTGACAACCAGCGTGGCGAACGGAGTCATCAGTGGAACGTCAAGTGTCCTTGGAAACACTGCCGACGCCGTGCTTCCAAAAAGTGCGTATCCCCGTTCCGAGCGACGAGCACGGGAAGGAAAACGGGTCAGGGACTAATGCAAGGTGACTAGATACGGGCAAGCCGGTTAAGAACCTCACGGACGGCCTGAGTAAAACTACGACCTCGGGCACTCGTGGTGCCCACAAGACGACGGAGGCAGCGACCAATGGCGTCACGGACACTCTGACCGACACTGTGACGGGCGTCAGCAATGCTGACATTGTAGGCGTCGCGAGAGGAGCCACGGGTGGGCTTGGGAATACAGTCTCTGGGACGGGTGAAGCAGCGGTATGCCCAAAATCACGCCGACAAACGTCGATCTTTGATTCTGACTCATCTTTGTAGGGCGACACGCTTGACGGAGCCGTGGATGGACTTGGCACGGTTGCAGGAGGGCCCGTCGGCCAGGGCGTGTCGAATGTTGGCAAAGGGGCCGGCAATCTAGTGACCGGACTCGCCACGGGAGTCGGCGACGGCGTCACCGAGCTAGGAAAGGGAGACGTGCCAGGCAGTCTGCTCTCCATTGCCGGCGGAGTCGGCCGTGGAGTCGGAGGTCTTGTCACGGGAATTGCTGGATACGGCAGAAACCAGAAGAGTGACAGTTCGTTCTTTGGCGTTGATCTTGGCGATCAAATCGGAAAGCTTGCGGCAAAGGGAGACGTGGATAAGAGAAAAGCCGAAGCAGAGAGAAAGAACGAAGATACGGTGGGAGTGCGAGAATAATTTATGTCCGACTGTCCATAGTGCCGCTGTCGTCTCTCCGATCTACAGCGTTTATACCCTCCTTCAGCTTCGAACATGTGTGGTGTATTCTTGGCAGTTTGTCGTTCCTCTATCCAGAGGAGAAAAGTATGGGGATAATCAGGCACGTGAATTTCAAGATTGAAAATCTTGGCGATTTCTATCCTATTGCTTCTTCCCCAATAATCCCCGTCTTCTCTAGTTGAACGAGGAGTGTCGGCTGCCGCTTGTTCGTGCCATTGCTCCTAGGTAAACCAACTGTATCTGAACACCAGCCAAGACTTGCGAGTTTCAATCTGTCCTTCAGGAGCAGAGCTTTGGGCAGAGAGACGCCCAATCAAAGTTGTATCGGTACCCCGGGTCGAAATTCTCAGATCTTTGGGACTTCATAGTCCCGGCGAAGCGTTCGGAAGCCGGAAACGAGAGAGGGAAATTGACGAGATGCCAGAGCAGGCCTTGGCTATGGGTACAACATCCTATCCATCCAAGCCTACTAACTCGCTCATTGCACATTTTGTCAATAAAATCTTACATTTAGCCCTCGATGGCCTGTTCAGATCCCTTGTGCAACTTTTTGACGCCGCATTCGAAAACGCAGGGGACATGTTCAGCATGTGGCCATCTGGCTGCGCTGTGTGTCATCACCGTACACTGCTGACGTTTCTTGGCCGGATGAGGCTCTGTTTGGCAACGGTTAGGATTTTCTCAGCATTGAGTTCGCTGGTGGAGCGGCGCAGACGACGAATGCGGATGAACCATCAGGGAAGAAAAATCTCGCCGCGGATTGGGGTTAGTGACTTGGGGCCCCGCAAAACACTTTGGCTCGTCGATCAAGAGGTCAGCTGCAACATGATTCTTCGTCGCCATCAAGCGCCAGTATGTTTGTTGACTTCCATTTACAGCCACAAGCCTAATTAACAATCTTAATACGAAAAGGCACTCTGTAAAATCACACAGGACTAGATATCCCGCTCTGCTGCAGCTGCACGGAATCAGGTACACTACAAATCCCATATTTCTCGTCAACCTCGCGATTCGAAGCACGGAGCTCCAAAACAACCGTATTCCGCTTCAACATGTGAGGTTTGGATATTGAAAAGATTTTTTTTTTTCTCGAGTTCGATTTGCTACAGGAGATCAGCATAGGATGGAGCAAAACTCCTGGCAGAGTGACGAGCCGGCTGCAAAGCGGTATGTTTTGAGTACCGCCCCAGATTTCATATCAGTCTGATAGCATTCAGCTTTAAAGTTTATCTTGCTTGCGACATATGCAGGAAGCGAAAGACTCGGTGTGATGGGACTCGTCCAATATGCACACCATGCAAAGCTGCAGACCGTAACTGCAGCTACAGGAAGCCAGCGGACGCGTCCGTGTGAGTGACTCTTTTCAACGACCAATTGGACAGGCACTCAACGAGTTCAGAGACTTCAACATATTGGAGCGCCTGGCAGAAGCCGAGCGCAGACTGCAGGAACTCGAGAGCAGGACTCAAACTTCGCCCCTGTCGGCGAGGAACATTCCTACGTGGTCGGGTGACTCTGCCGAACTGTCTCAATTCCCAGACCTGCACACTGCCGCCAGCTGCAAAATCTTGCAATGCTGGCCGCGGCTGGGCGTCAAATTCACCTTGACAGAATTCGAACCATTGCATTACCCCAAGATCGGTGACCAGGCCGAGTCTCGGCTCATGCAGCCTTTTCGGGGCTCGGAAGGGCTCCCATCAGCAGGTGTGCTAAGAGATGCCCTTTCCCTGTTCTATTCTGGTTTGAGCGATATATCCGCTTTGTTTGAACACCTTTGCTTCTCCACGGATATCTTCTCTCACGACAAGCTGAGCCGAGAGCTCGAAGCGTTTGAATCAGGTCTCAACAGCTTAGACCCAAGCTTACTTTCTATTGAATGTCTGCTGATTCTTACGCTTGCATTCACGCTGAAACCAGAAGGTGATACTGCTGACTGCTACGGATTTTCGCATTTGTTGGCGGCGGAAACGTGTTTTCGCGAAGCCCTTCGACAATCTTGGAAACTTGCCGCTAAAGCAGAATACCGACAGACGCCGATCCTACTTCTTATAGCATACATTCATGTCTATGTATTCTCTCGTCCGTTCCACGCGTTAGGTCTTCTTCGACATATCACCCCATTGCTTGAGCGCCGCAAAGGACAATTTATATCAAATCAGGTGCATACCTGGACAGAGCTCCATTACATCCTAGAAAGCGACCTTTTGACCGAGATAGATGGGATATTGACCACGCCGAAAACTTCCCGTCGCGTATTAACAGCGAATGGTCAGGGACACGATCGAGGCTCTGTGGATTCCTTTGGCCAATATCCCTCGCCAAGTGCGGACGAGGGTGCCAGTACACAGAGTCTGATCCGCCATCATCTTTGGCTCCGTGCATTTCAAAATCGTGTTTTGACTAAGCTGTATTCCATTTCAAGGGCTTACTGTCACCCGAGTGAAATTGGCAGCGACGTCGCGGAGCTGTCTCGGGAGCTAGAGATTTGGTATCGCTCGTTGCCGTTGGACATGCAATTCTCAAGAAATCTTTCCACGTCTCCTTCCTCAAGTCTCAGAATGGTCCGTTTGATGCACATTGTCTTCGACACGGCCAGGACTGACTTTGTTTGACGCAGAATGAACTTTCGGAACGATACTTTGCCTGTAACTTTTTGCTCCATCGACCAGTGCTTTATTTTGTCCTTCACGAGGACTTGGAAAAAGCTAGCTCGCCACCAGGGAGCCTGCCCAGCCCTGGAGTTCAGCCGTGGATGGTAGACGCTAGTCAGACCTGCATACACAGCAGCCTGATATTACTTGCTTCTCGGACCATCCCTCGAAAACACAACAATTGGTGTGACAACCAATTATTGCTGGCTGCTTATTTGATGACCCTTCAAGGGCTGTTGAATACCAAGGCAACGGAAGTGTTCCCAGAGTGCAGAAACGTCGACGCCCTTCTCGATAGCGCGGAAGCGGCGATAGAGTCATCGCCATTGATTGCAGAAGTCGATAGAATGACTTTGGCGATAATGAGAAATGTGCGACATAACGTAAGGCCCACATCAAACCACCAGGTAGAGAATCTGGTGGCATGAAGCAGCAGAATCTGCCTTCAAGAGGCATGACTGAGCAATTCGCACTCGAACTACGGACTGGAAATTAAATGGTTGAACAGCTACACGACGAAGGTCCTACGAGGAGCTTATGCATTGTATAATATACTGATGGTTATAATCAAACCCAAGCATCTAGGAAGCATATCGCTGCACTTGAATTCCATGACTACATTATCCTCGATCTTGCCTAGTGCCAATTGGTGAACACGCCATTTCCATTCGTAGTCACGCCGTTGGTCGCCGCTTCTTTGACAGCGTACCACCCAGCTGTTGGCATTGCTCCTGCGTTCCTCGTGTGGCGTGGTGCAAGAGTCAACTTCCCAAGAGTTGCATAACACGAGGCGCCGCCAGCAGCTGGAATGTTATTTGCAAGCCCCTTGCTTGCCGCGAACGCCAAGGTAGCGAATTTGATAGCTTCTTTATAAGCGGCTGGGAGACCTACTTCGTCGGAGACGACGGTCTTCACGCCGTGCCTCAGCAGTCGAGCCGACAGCCTGTTCATGAGATGGGCATTCCTGGTACCGCCACCACTCGCGATCAGCCTTTTGACGTCCGCTTTCGGAAGGACGAATCTTGTCAAGCTCTCTTCGATGCTGTAGGCGGTAAACTCGGCGAGGGTGGCTAAGAGGTCTTCAGTGGACGCGGAGCTGTGCCGTGCAAGCACGTCGTCCGCGTAGCTTGCACCAAAGTCCAGACGCCATGCCGACCGAGGGGGGTTCCGCTTGAAGAAGTCATGTTGTTTCAGCTCCTCTAGCAGCGGTTCGATAATCTTGCCTCGCGCAGCGAGCTCGCCGTTCTTGTCATAGCCACGTCCGGTTCGTGCCTTCACGACGTGATCCAGCATGACGTTTCCTGTGGTATCACACATCAGTAGAAATACGCTACATGGTTTCAAGTAATACGTACCCGGGCCTGTGTCGAACGCCATCATCCTACTTCGATCCTTGTCGGCCAATTGTAGATTCGCGATGCCTCCGATGTTGAGTGTGGTGGTGGGATGCTCTTCATTTCTGAAAGAGACAAAGTCCAGGTATTGCATCAGAGGGGCAGCTGAGCCACCAAGAGCATGATCCAGAGGTCTGAACTGGGTGACTGTTGTGATGTTCGTCAATCCTGCCACCACACCAGACTCGACGATGAAGTAGCCGCACGGGTAGCCACCTTTCAGCCATTTGTCTACTAAGCTTTTCGAGCCGCTTTCGGCGAATTCCTTCATGAGCTTGCGATTTGGAGGCTCTTGGTACACGGTCTGGCCGTCATAGCCAAGGATCTCGACGTCTTCGGCTCTGATGCCCGCCTTTTCGAGGAGTTGATTTGTGGCTTCAGCGTAGACAGCGCCGGCAGCGTAGTTAAGACGAGTCATCTCAAAGAGCGTCAGGTCATTGTTGAATGCTCTGAGAATCAGCGGCTGGAGCACTTCGGGCCAGTCCACGGTGATGGCATCCACGTATACAGGCTTGGTAGGATGTCCATCTGGCGCAATGTCGATGGAACATAGGACGGCATCAACGCCGTCGAACGACGAGCCGCTGTTAAGACCGACGATGTATGGCATTCTCAAAGTAGTACAATAGAGCAGCAAAGAAGCCAGAAGAGCAACACGAAGATTGAAATAGCAGCCGCAGCTGCTTATACAAACGACTTATGGAACCTACCGGGGGCGCGTTTCCCCCCCATCATCTCCCATCGCGTTCCCAGGAGCTACAATTGTTCGCCGATCAGGGACTCGGTGCCCGGATGAATTCATCCCAAACTTGGTACACGGTTGTAGCCCCGTATCTTGGTCGGGTGCCGTCGCTACGACCGTCGTGCTGGGAATAAGTCTGGGGTTGAGAGCGATCGGAACGTCCGTCGGCTGGCTTCCGAGAACCTGGTTGCATCGTGCTAGCCAATGAAACGAGTCCAACCTCCTTTGAACCATTGTTCCATCAACACCGATCACGGGCACTAAATCGTTTGGTGGAGACTGAGCCAAGCGCCAAATAACTTAACATTAATGCTCCCCGTGCCTGTGCAAAAGTATCGCGTTGTCAGGTGACAAGACTATCGTTCGCCGTGCATCGGATGTCGTCCCACTTTCTTAGAAGCATGGAGCAAGGCATTAGTTTTGAAAGTTGCGTTCCTCGATTCCGTTGGTGCTTTGATCCAAAGATCCCATCAGCGATAAGAGATATTGTGCGGTCAGGATTTCTTACAGTTTGCTCTCGCTGTGTTCTGCACAACCTTCATATCAGAACATCGTAACTTTAGCCAAAATGCCCTCGCAAGTTCTCAATGCTTTTGATGAGATTCAAAAAGCTGGGACAACGCTCATAGTCGACTCTGCGAACTTCCACAGTATGTTCTGCGCTCATTTCCTCAGAATGCCTGCATTCATCGGACGCTGACGAACCGCAAGATCTTGCGAGATTCAAGGCTGCAGAGGCAACCACCAATCCGTCCATCATATATGCTGCAGCGCAAAAGCCTGAATATGACTATGTTCTCGCACGTTCGGTGGAGTATATTCGCCAACTCGAGAAATCGTCACCATCCTTGTCAAGAACACAACTTCTTGACCTTGGAATCGAGCACCTCGCAGTTCAATTCGGCACGGAGCTTTACAAGATCACTGGCGGGATTTCTACGCAGGTTGAGGTGATCTACTCCTTCAGCGTGCAAAAGACAGTGGATGCAGCTCTGCGTCTGATTGAACTTTACAAGGCCGAAGGTGTCCCTAAATCAGCCATTAGGATCAAAATCAGTGCCACCTGGGAAGGCATCCAAGCCGCCCGGATACTCGAGTCAGAGCACGACGTTCGGGTCTTGATAACAGTTGTCTTTGGCTTGTCGCAGGTCGCAGCAGCCGCGGAAGCTGGAGTCTCTTGTGTCGCTCCCTACGTGGGCCGGATTGGAGACTGGTACAAAGCGGCCGAGGGCGTCGCACGGAAAGACGGCCTAGACATGGGCGTTGAGCGCGTCAAAGAAATGCAGAATTATCTTCGCAAGCACGGCTACAGAACCAAAGTGATGGGAGCAAGCTTCAGAACCACTGCACAGGCAATTGATCTTGCGGGTGCCGACTATCTGACGATCTCTCCCACTGTTCTGGATGCGCTCAAGGAACATGTTGGCAAAGTGAGCCCTCAGTTGACAGCCGAGAGTGGTAAGTGGTAGATCTTCGTTCTTTTTGCGCTCTAGATTAGCTGCTAAAGTAATGGCCCGTAGCCACCGCGTCTACAGTTCCGCAGATAAAATACAGCGAGGACGAGTTTCGCTGGGCCTTCAACTCAGATGCGTGTGCCGTCGAGAAATCGGCAGACGCTATAAGACGGTTTGCGGCAGACTCCGAAAAGTTGAAGGGCATGCTTGCGGATCGGTTGTAATCTCAAGACAATTTCGACCACTTCGATAGACTTTAGAGATACATGTGCTTTTCAATTTTACTGTTAAAGATGGTGATTCGAATAAAATTAGACCAGGTTGATATATCGGCAAAAAAAATTTTTTTTTTTCAAAAATGTTGATTATATCTTCAGCCTTCTACTTCGTGCAGGCCTTCATCAACAAGCCGAATAATTCAAGATCCTATCTCACATCCTCGGGGCTAGTGATTGAGGACTTGCCATTGACGATCCATTCGTAGACTTCCTTTAGTTCCAGTGTATATGGGTCCTCGTATGTGCTTCGAATCGTCGTCACTCTAAATGACCCGTCTGGCAAAGAGTTGGACAATGATGGTCGTAGGCAAGCCCTTGATGAACGGCGAATCGATGCAGACCTTCACAGTCTTGGTGTTCCCAAACACTTCTATCGAAGCGTCGAATCTCGACACTCGGTCGATGCCTGATTCGCACGCGGCTGCAAAGCCAGGATACTGGAATATTGCGCTGTGATGGTCAATATCGACGCGAAAAATCATCCGTTCATCGTGAAAAATACCTCCAAAAAGGGGATCCCGTGGAAGTGCACGGCGCAAAGCCTACGTCACCCATTGGCTGACCCCGAATCTCACATATTGCACTCAAGTTGTGGGAGCCCTTGAGGTGTCAGCACATGCTCTGCACAAGCAGACAAGAACGTGCATTTTACATAACTTCAATCTCCGAGGGTGGCATAAGCAGTCTTTGCTGGGCGGCTAGAGGCTTCGAGCTGGCAGCCCTGTCATTTGAGTCGAGATATCGAGCACCTATGTCTTGCCCCGCCAGGTTTCGTCGCGGAGTTATGTAGCGCAACGAGGAAGGAAAGATAAGCCATCTGCTTTAACGCTATACGACGATTCTTCACAGGGATACCAGGACTTCTTGTGTCCATTCAGCCTATATATATATAGCTGTTGTTCTATCTTCAGGTTACCTTCTGGAGGACAACTGGCACCAGCTGTATTTACCGTATTTATCATATATCATACGCCACTTATATCACAACTCAGGTTGCAAAGAAGTGCTAGACGGAAAGATATCCCGCCGTCCCTCTACCTGATGTGTATGATACGACTCTGCACAGTACGACCTGCTGCTTACTCATTACTTACGTTACACCCTGCGCAACTCGAGATCAGCTCCGGAAAAAGCTTTGTGTGAGAGTAGATTTCCCTTTTTTTATTATCCGCTGTTGGCGATCATGACCAAAGTCTACTTCTGAAGCAGCAAAGAGTTTTTATGCAGTCCGCATGACCTTCAGCTTTGTGGCACCCACGGTTCTGAGCTGGTAATTGTTCAAACCATCATGGGAGACATCCCAAAGATTTGTGATGTGAAACATGTGCGACAAAAAGTTCAGTGTAGGAATGTGGAAAACCTGCGTGACCATACCACATCTACAGAATGATCCGTGTTTCGTGCAAACATCTATTATTTTTTTTATTAAAAAAAATGTATCTTTACAGACCCTATGATGCCGGCGCGGATAATACGACCCTTGGACTCATCTTCGGTCTGTCTTATGTTGCTGAACATGACGGGCTATTATGAATCAATCTAGTACAAAAGGATTTCAAAGCTTCGAGGCGAAAGTGATGTCTCGAGCCTTGTTTGAGCCGCAGGAACTGCCTTGACATGGCAAAATATTATTTCAACCGGTTGTATTGCATTGACAAACCCAAGAGGCTACGCAATCTTCAATCTCCTTGAGCATGAAGAGATAAATCAGAAAGCATGGTTCGCATGGGGTATGGCGCGCGGGAAGCCCGATCTTACGACTGGACCTTTCAACGTTGCTAACTTAGAAACCACCTTTCTGGGAACGGGCTAAAAAGCATGGCATCCGATCTTTTGGGAACCGGCTAATTCCTGCTATTGATCCGCAGTGGCTTCAAATTCATCGCGTCTTTTCCTAATGCATTTACTCCGCACATTTTTAGTTCCAAGTTTAAGCAGCAGCCACAATGATGGGGCAGCTTTGACGCTCTCCATCTTTGGCGGCCTAAACATGTTCAGTCCACGAGCCAAGAAGCTAAGATATTCACGAACTGTGTCGACTAGAGGGTAGGCCGAATTTAATCTTTAAAAGGCAACGCTCGACCTGCGTTGCAATGAGGTTCTTATTCCATGATACGCGTTGCTGATCTTGATACTCTGAATATTTGGAAGAGAAATTAGCAATTTGAACGAAAAGCATGTCTGTCGGCTTGGCCTTGATCGGCTCCGGCCACTGGGCGCGGGACGAGCATTTGGTATGCTTCTTGAGTTTCATAAACAGTACAAATAGTATATTGACTCTACAGCCCGCTATTTTGGCGAGCAAGCACCTACAACTCAAGGCAGTGTACTCAAGGACCACAAGGTCCGCAAGAACAATCGCGGAGCGAGCCCCAGGTATTGATCTCTACTCTGAAGACGGGGAGTGCAGTTTCGCAGATATCTTGAAGAGAGAAGATATTTCAGCGTTGTTAATCTCGTATGAAATCCGCTTTGTGGTTCATTGCAGACTTTAACACGAGTGTAGCTTGCCAATTGGGAGCCAGGCCTCGTATATCAAGGCCGGCTTGTCTGCGGGAAAGCATGTGCTCTCGGAGAAGCCTGTTGCAGAAAACCTCCAACAAGCCACAGAACTAATTGACTGGTACAGATCGTCGAATCTTGCGTGCACTTGGTCAGTGGCGGAGAACTGGCGGTTCCTGCGTAGCTTCGACCGCGCAGCTGAAGAGATCAAGAAGCTGGGTAAGATAATTGGCTTTCAGGTCCGCCATTTTACCAAGGTCGATAAAGACTGGAAATTCTTCAGTAAGCATGTTTCCTTGAAGGCAGGACCTGGGTTTCCTTGTCGCTGACGAATACAGACACGGATTGGCGAAAGACTCCCACTCATCAAGGCGGGTTTCTTTTGGACGGCGGAGTCCACTTAATTGCCGGACTTCGCCAATTGCTCGAGGCTGGAAACGAGCGTCTAAAGCATGTGTCTGCATTTACCAACTCGATTGAAGAATATCTGCCTCCGGTCGACACAATCAACGCCATCGTAAAGACGGAGTCCGGGATCTCGGGTACGCTGCAAATCTCGTTCGGAACGACGCTCCGAGGAAACGAATGGACCGTGGCCTGTGAAAACGGAGTGGTCAGCGTGATCGATGTTTTGGATTCGGTGGTCACCGTGATGGTCGATGGCAAGAAGACGATTCTACCCTTAGCGAATGAAAAAACAGGCGTGCCACCAGAAGTGAGAGTCTGGGGAAAAGCACTGGCGAATGGTACTGCTCTAAAGGCGCAGGAGCCAGAGTCAGCACGTGCAGATCTCGAAATTGTAAGTCTGGACCAGCATGCAAGTGCGGCATCACCTAATATCATGGTCAGATTGAGCTCATTTTAAGGAGCGGCGAGAAGGGGGGCTTTCCGATGGACTGTCGGTTTCAAAAGGTGTAAGCTGATTAAACCTAGCGCTCTTGATGTTAGTAGTGAGATCAATCCACTAGGCTACAGTAGTTGCTATCGAATTGCTCAGACCTAGGTGGGAAAAAATTAACAGTCCACCGTACATGGCCCAGCGCACGCTGTCTCTAAACTGTTCTTCCTAACCGCATCATCCTCTAACCAACCTTAAAGCAAGACCATATCCTTCCCAAGTGTCTCGAACTGGAAAGTCAGAAAGCAGGCTGTAACCGCGCACTTTTCCTCTCAACTTTTTTAGCAGCAACTACTGACACACGCGAACTACAACACGGCCAGTTTCCCGCAAAACTCGTACGATTTACGCGAAGTCGTCGGCGAATAATTTACACAGCGGCGGGCTGACTGCGCCGATAGAAACGAATCTAAGCTTTCCAGGGCCTGACTGAAAGCTCGAGCAAAAGGCAAGGTTTCAGGATCTGGCCAGAACTATGAACAGATTAGTTTTCAAGATTCTATTTCCAGTCGAGGCAACGACGCGGCGGATGGAAGAGGCCCGCACGCGAAGTTACTTGAGCGTGGAGTCGCATCAAAGGCGCGATCAAATGATCCGATTCTTCTTTAGCGTAGAAAGAAAATCCATGTTTTATTCGGCCATTGACCGATGCTGCAAAAGTGGTGTCATGATTTCTCGTCTAAGCACTTTGAACAACGACGTGGGAAAAGGAAAAATAGCACTGCAGAATTCCGTGCCCCCTGGCACGGAACCCTCCCGATGGTTGGTGTCGGATGCTTCCGACCAACCTTACTCGGTGACATCCCCGTGGTACACTAAGCCTTAGGGCCATCGTGTCGAACTTCATTGGGCTTTCACGCTGTGGAATTTGCTGAAAACCTGGGGTTCTGCATTTGCGGAGTCTGGGTCATGTCCCTGGACGTTGGATGTGAGTCGATGTTCGCGGCCGTGTAATTACCACGCGACTCATTCTCCGACCGTCTGGGAAACTGGTGGAGATTCCATGGCTTTCGTGTCGTTATGATCTGGAGAGCGGTTATATATTGTGGCAAAGGAAGGTGTACAATTCATGCTGCCAGCGACCTGGCTTCTCTCGTCTCTTTCCTTCTTTCCCCAGCACTTACCACTTTACAGAACGGGGTCAAGATGTTCAATGTTGATTTAAAGACCTACAAATGGGCCATTATCTTTTGCTCAATGTCAGCCATTGGTGCGCTGGTCTACGGATATGACAACTCTTACTACAACGGCGTCCTTGCCATGCAGCCCTTCAAGGATCACTATGGCGACCACTATGTTGATGGCAAGAAAGCTCTTGCCGTTAGCTTCACCTCGTTAACAGCCTCATCTATCTACATTGGTGATTTGCTTGGCGCGTTGATCTCAGCTCCTATCAACGATCGATGGGGTAGGAAGGCAGTCTTCATATTTGGCTCTCTGTGCATCCTGGGCGGAGGTGTGGCGCAGGTTGCTGATAATCACCATGAAGGAGTCATCGTGCTGGGGCGTATCCTCATAGGCTTTGGCGTTGGATCTTTCGCAGTGACGTCGCTGCTCTACATGGGAGAAATCGCTCCCCTTGCCGTCAGAGGCCCGGCACTGATGATGTTCCAATTTCTTCAGTCATGCTCTCAGCTTATCGCATCTGGAATTACCCAAGGCACTGAGACGATTAACGGTACGCTGAGCTATAAGATACCGATGGGGGGGCTAGTCGTCCTTCCTGTGATCATGTTCATGTGCCTACCGATCCTCCCTGAATCACCAGTCTGTACGTTCTCATGACGTGGCCTGTTTCATTGCGATTGCTAATATAGCTTAGGGTACATACTAAAAGGGCGAAGAGACGATGCTGTAAAATCTTTCAGGAAGATTCACAAGAGCGAGCCGCACTACGATCCTACGTCCGAGATTCAGATGCTCGAAGAAGCCAAGAGAGTCCAAGAAGAAGAAAATGCGAAGTCCAGCTGGGTATCACTATTGACCAATCCCATTGAGCGGAAAAAGATAGTATTCTCTGCCGGCGCAATGTTCGCGCAGCAAATCAACGGCATCCTGTTCTTCTATGTCTACGGGGTCGTCTTCGCACAAGCCATTGGTATCAAACAGCCATTTACCATTCAGCTTATCACCAACGTTCTTCAGATCGTCGCAGTTGGTGCTTCAGTTGTCACAGGCAACAAGGTCCGACGACGCCTCAACTACTTGATCACCACGGTGATGATGTTTGTGGCTTTTCTCGTGATGGGGGGTATTGGAACGCATAAGGCACTTTCAACGGCTGATCAATATGTTATTGTTGTCTTCTCATATGTCATCATAGTGGCGTTCAACTTTGGTATGGGCCCTCTAGCCTTCACTGTCGCCCGAGAGATGGCAGTCGGCGTCAACCAGGACAAAATTATGTCTATTGCGATCGCAGTATGGTACTTTACCATCTGGCTTGTTTCGTTCACAGCACCGTATTTGTATGACACAGCTGGACTCGGACCAATGTTGGGATTCGTGTATGCTGGCACAACATGCATTTCCTTTGCCTGGGCTTACTTCTGCGTGGGCGAGACGACTGGAAGAACAACTTTAGAGATCTCAATGTTCTTTGATCGGGGAATTCCAGCCAGGCATTGGAGAAAGCATGTATTTCCTCCACATTTGGCGCAGTCGGAGGACTTCTCGGCCGATGAAGCGTTGAAATCGGGCACAGTCGCGACCTCAGAGAAGCTGACGTAGAGCCACTGCGACATAGTGCTAGCGCTCCAGCGTGGTATGTCATGAAGGCTTTATCTTCCCTTAAGTAGCCTTGGGAAAGAACGTGACAATGGGAAGAAGGCCCTGGTCTTGAAGATCTTGCAGCTGTGCAATAGCCGAATTTAAACCAGTTATTTCTTCCAGCTTATTTGTTCAGTGAAAACCGTCCTTGGCGTGATCTTCCGACTAGTTCGACGAATGACCGTCAGATGTCGATCCTAAAATGGAGCTTGCGGCATCATGCATGATGGTGGCTTGCTGCGCGATATTGGATCATAGACATCTGGTCAAGAGCATGGCTGGTTATTGCGGACTCAACATCAGAGGCAACGAGACAAATCGAAGGAACTGCGCCCAGCTCGAACGAAACTGTCATAAGCATACAGTAGTTGCATTTGGCGTAGCATCGAAGCTAACCAAGTAAAGGATAGTGAATGACAACACTGCAGGGACAGAGGCAGAGCGAGAAGGAGAGACCGGCAAGAGCGAGAATGGGAAGCCGCGTCGAAGAGTCGCCAAGCACTTACCCGACTTGGCAGAGTCTGGACTCGGCCGGCAGGTTGTCTGCTCTTTCCTCGTCGCCAGCCTCATCTACAAGTTACACGAACATGTCGCGGCGCGCGGTGCTCAGAGACCAACAGATGGCTGTGTTCTTCTCGAGACATCGAACAGCTGGGGATTCTACCAGCTCCCTTATCCATCCGTTGGACTGATCGACTCGCGGTCTACCATCGACGTCCACTGTACCGAGGGCTAACGAACGAATTTCGACAAGACTTGATCTCGGGCACGAATCCATGCAATCCAATTCGACGCATTTGGGCCACTGAAGCGTGCAGCCGCAATCAGGCATTGCGTTCGTCTTGCGCAACATAATCTACCAACCAATTTTCGTAGAGTGCACGGCTGTGTGAAATGTCAATACCATTTTGAATCTGTCAAGTTGCTTTCAAACACAAACTCGTGGCTAGAAGCAGACCCCTTGTTCGACAAACCTATGACATACACTTTGATCGATCGTTCCATTCTGTTTCAACCACCCCACAACCACTCGAGGACTGCATGTACTGTAGGCAATTGGTCAAAGGCGTATAATGTGCACGGACTCGCTTCTGTCACGCGGAACCAGCCTGATTGATCAAGATCATCCCAGCTTCTCGAGGTCTCGGCAACGGCTGGTCGTTTGGAAGTTTCCGAAGGCGCTCCAGATTTAACCATCAGATACGGAGCACTAGATACTTTGACTCAGATCCGTGATTTCCCCTCTCCGTTTTTGTTCATCCGCCCAGAGTTCCGTATTATGAATCGAAAGCGCATCCCATCTGAAAGGCCAGAGAGAAAATGGTGCTTATCACGCCCTTTCGCCGAGGCCTCACAACGCCAGCGCCATATGTAGTCCAAAGAGACATTTCTGTGGATGCGATTGGACCTTTGCAGCCTCTAATATATGATACCTCTACACTACTGCTGGTTAGCGGAACAATATCAGGACAAGAACTACTTAACCCATTGACTACAATCTTTACGCCACCTCCTTCTTGTTTGATGAACATATACAACATCAGCTCCAGCCTGATTGTAGCACCGACACAGCTCCCGGAATGTTACCCATCATCTTCATACGAAATCTTTTCACCCGGTCTCTGTCCCTCAGGATACACGGTTGGGGTCGCAAATATTCAACCGGTTATCATTGAACCAATTGTAGGCCTCGTCCTCGCTCCAGGCGTCGCACTGAACACTGCTTCTTACAATGAAACACACTTCGCTTGCTGTCCAAGGTATGTGTTGTGCGACAAAAGGTCTCTTTGTACTTACTCCGCTCCTTGAACACGTGAATGATTCATACGGAGTACAAACGACTAATTTGTGAGCTGCGTTCAGCACATTCACATATTCAAATAGCTCATGCGGCTACGTCGTCAATCAGCCGACATTAGCAACAACGGCGATTCCAGTATCAGAGGTTACACCGGAGAGCACCTTCGCTCGCACCCTCGTTAATTACGTGTCCGCGACAGAGACGCAAAGTTCTGGTTTTGCCAGTCTAGAAACAGCAGAGCCACCATCCACAACGAATCTCGTTACGACCGGTATGCTAAGTCTGTACGCTCCACCCTTCTATGTGCGTTACCAAGACTCGGATACCTATGTTGCGTCAATATGGTCGTCCATTTTCGAATCATCCAAATCGGCTCTACTAGCATCATCGCAAGGCCAAGGTGGGAATTCCACAATTACCACGCTGTCCACCTCCTCCCCGACAGCTTCAGTCGCTCATAGCGAAGGCTTGTCCGGAGGCAAGATAGCCGGTGTTGTCATTGGGGCCATATCCGCACTGTGCATCCTCATAGGTGTTATCCTGGTCTGGCTCAAGAAGCGGCGATCACAAAAGTTAGAGAAAGAGACGCACAGTGGAGCCGAAGGTGCATGGGCGAAGCAGGAGTTGGATGGCACGTCTGTGCATCCCAAAGAGTTGGATGCTGAGCGTGAGATCAAGGAAATATACGCCCCAGCATCACCACCCGTGGAGTTGCCGGGTGATGACGTCTACTCCGTGGAAAGAGAGGAAGAGAGAGAGAGATAATACTCTCGTCGGATAAGCGCTGCACGGTTATTGATGCGGAAAGTGATTAATGAGCTAAATAATTTCAACCTCTTAATAATATCAACAATTTTTTTTTAACTTATTTTCCTTAATTTTAATCCTATTCAACTTCATTGTTCAAACGAGGAGGCTCGAACTGTGCGGATCCAAATATGACGCAATCTCGGCGAATGAGAGGACAGGGCTCAGATACCGCAACGTCGTGCGCACATTTAGAGTATCTATACTAATTCCTGCGACGCCTTTCACCAGAAAACTGCGCGATGTCCGGTTCAGGCCTTCATAGCTCAGGGTATGTGATCACCGCAAATCAAACGTTCGTAGTCAGAAGCAGTATCCTAACGGGCCAATCAGGGTAGAGCGTTGCACTCGTACGAATGTAATGGTATGCAAAGGTCCGTCGTTCAAATCGGCGTGGAGGCAGCCTTGAATTTTTTTTGTTTCTCTTCACCTATCCCACCTTAACCCCCCCCCCCCCCTTTTTTTTTTTTGCTGTAGACTTCACCCACCCATCCTACCCACTTCTCTCCCTTTGATTTGGAATTTTTCCATTTTGCCGTCAAACTGAGTAAATCACGAGAGGAAGGTTTGCAAGTTTTGAGTCCTCTCTCTTTCGCCAATTTTTCTTGGAAAATGAAAAACAAGAAGAAAGAAAGAAAAATTGATTTTAACTCCTCTTCGATCCTAAAAGTTCGCATGGCTGCTGTTCGACGATCCTGTCGGGAAGCCGATGGGCCTTTTGCCTATTTGTGACGAAGGACCGCAAAGCATCGTCGGGGAAAGAATTTTGCGGTGGGTTTGAGACGTCAAGGGGAAGAGGATAGCGGAACGCAGCCAGCGGGAAGAAGGTGGTGGACGACGTGAATAGCGCACACGAGTACGCGGATGACGGCAAGGTGGCACAACGGTACATGGTGATGGCATCTTTGTTGTCCTATGATCGTGGCCCCATTGTGAAGGGAGATCTATTGTGTGTACAAACCAAGAAAAACCCGAAAAAAAAAAGACATGAGCTCCTCCCCCCAGTGCGCCTATATGTGTAGACATATTGTATGCTGGTATCTCTCGCAGTAGACGGAAGCGTTGCAGAACCTCTATCCAGTTTCTGAAACAAGACCCAAAATTGGGGTTTTAACAAAATAAAAAATGGTGTCCGTCAGCTATGCCAGAGAGCGGCGAAAAGCCCGCGATCCGATCCCTAGAGTTCGCCCTGTCCGCGTATCCGCAAGAGTTTTTCATCATCCAGATGAAGGAAGTCGACGCTGCGGCGGGCTTGTGGGATCCATTTTGTGGTCATACGTGTGCGCCGCCTAAAATGCCCAGGAAGCATGCCCATGCTTGATTTTTTTAAAACTCCTCTCCTATCCCTCTCGTTTTCTTTTTTCTTTACTCAAGGTTCTCCGGTTTCTTGACTGGGCTCTTGGTGGTGGGACTCGCCTCGTTGGAGCCGCGGCCCAGACTGAGCGAGTTCCTAATCACGTCACCCAGGCTGCCCGCCCCAGGCCGAAGAGTGTCGCTTCCGCCGCTTCTTCCACGACCGTGGTTCCTTCTCTGCTCGGTGAAGCGTTCAGAACCTTCATCGTACTCGTCTATAACCCGAACGGGTGCATAGCTTCCGGCACCATCCTCGCCGCCCACGAGCGCTAGATGAGCGGCCCTCTCGCTCTCTTCGCGCATCTTGCGAATCTTCATCCAGTTGTACACTGCTATAGTGACGATGGTGACTGCAAGGCCAGCAAAGTTGATCGGCGTTAGTCTATCCTTGAAGACGAGCGTGCCCGCCGTAATCGTCAGCACTTCTTTGAAGATGCCGCAGATGCTCAGTGTGACGACCGATGTACGCTGCAGCAACGCAAACTCCGAAGCCGTCATCATGAAGGCAAGCGTGCCGGGGAACAGCAGGATGCCCAGCGACATCCAGTATCCCTTGGTTTCGGCAAGTGTGTGCAACGCCTCGCTCAGGGCCAAGAAGCCTTCGACAGGGATTGCCAGCACGAGCAAGGTGACGAACATGACGGGGGCAAGAAAAAACAGTGTGGCGAAGGGGTTGCTTGTTGCCGGATTGCGGATGAGCAGAATCTGTGTGAGCGACCAGCGAAACCCCGATGAAGCGGCCGCCGTCATGACCAGTAAGAAGCCAAGCGGGTCGAATGCGGTCTCGCCTGCGACCATGAGCAGCACGCCTGCGGTCATTGTGGCGATTGTAAGGAAAAGCTTGACCGAAGGTTTTTCGAGGCGGAAGAGGAAAGCGAAGAGCAGAACGAAGCCGAGGACAGAGGATTTACACATTGCTGTTGGCGCACGCTTCAGCGTTAGTTGTATGCTTTTCGCATGAAGACGAATATGCTCGTTCGGACCGGGGGGGGGGAACGTACTATAGAATGTCATCGAGATGAACTTCAACGACATGTTGCCGAGGCCAATGTCCAAGCCCGTTGCGGCGCCGCAAGGCCCTATACGCGTGAGATAGAACCAGCGCGTCATGATTGGCTTTGAGTGGTCTGGAGGGGAGATCGGACGCATTCGCTGGGCGTGCAGCGGCGCGTGCGGGTTGATCGAGTCGTGCCGTGGCCGGAAACGCGGAAAGAAGTATAGGACCAGCGAGGCGAGTGTGAATTGGACGATCATGTGGACGCAGGTGGTGAAGAGGGGAAAGGGGAAGACGATGTCCGGTTCCTTGTCCTCTGATTTGAACATCCACTTGTTGTACTGGGCACGACAGCCTAGTTAGCGAGCTTCTTTGCTCTACGGTCATGCACGTCCATGTGTGGACGTGCGAGGAAGATGGCGTGTGGGAAGGAGGCGGGAATCCCAGGAGAGCTCACCAGAGTAATAGATATGGAGAAGAAGTACCACAGAGCGATCAGGCTCGTGTTCACTATGACCTTCCACCAGAACGTCGCGTTGGCCAAGCGTTCCTCTTCCTCGCGCCTCACGCTCGACGGTCCGCCTACGCCATCAGGTACCACCCTCTGATCCAGGAGCGTGTTCCTTCGCTTCCGCTTCCGCCGCTTACGCCGGTCTCCACTGGTCAGCCCTGTCTCCTCGTCGTCTTCCAGCCGGCCTGCCTCGTCGTCGCTCAGAAAATCGTCCAGCTCCAAGTCGTCCGAGCTCGTCATGTCGGATCCGGAGTTGGAGTGCTGTTCGTCACCGTCTCTCCGCCGTGGCCGGTGCTGGTGTGGAGATAGGGAGTTCGGCGAGGAGGAAGGCGCATCCCCTCTGGGCGTGCCTGTTGCACCGGTGTTGCGAAGGCGATGGGGCAGCAGATCTGACGTGTTGACGTTCTCCGTCGCAGTCGAAGCGCTGCGACGGTGCGACAGGTTCATGACACGAAACGGCGGATGTGGGAGAGGACGGCGAGTGAAGAGACGGGGGGAACGAAACTTCGACGCGCTGAGAACACGAGTTCGAGAAGAGAGGAAAGCCCAGGGCTGTAGTCAGCGGCGATCCGGCGCAGGATCGATGCTGGGATGTATTGTAGGTGCGTCGGTGGGTTTGGGACGGCGGAAGACCCAACCGTGGTACCGTCCGGCGGTAACGGGAAACGACTGCGGACGAGCAGACGGTCAGGGAAGCACGGGGACAGGCAGAGAAGGACGACAGACGGTCATTGGAAGCGTGCAGAAGAGAATCTACATGCAGTTTTATGCGAAACAGACAATGGGTCGCTGGTGAGGAGAGACGGGTGAGCTTCCGGCGTATGTGTATGGACGCATGAGGGAGCGTGTGCAGTGCGTTGTCCGCGTGCCTGATGCTCGTGCCTGGGGTTTGCTGGGCCATGTGCCCGCAACTTAGGGGGTGGCCGCCTGACTGCAGGCGCCCAATCTCCTGCGGGCAGGCCCCGTTGTGACGCCGGCGCAGACGAGTGAGATCCGCGCCGGCCTTACTCTCCCCAAGCTTTCCTAGCTATCTATTCGCCAATCATCCAAACTGCTTAGGGGTGTCTAGCCCGTATGGATCGCCAGCGTGAAATGAGTTTTGTTAGTGCTGATCACTCGCGCTCGCTTTGTCGTCATTGGACTGTCCAGCAGCGAAATGCTTGGCCGAGGCTTTATTAATGCCTGCGGCCACAAGGCATCAATAGCTCATGGCTTGGCGCCAAGCTTAGGGTTGGCTGGGATTGGCCAGGACTGGGGATGATGGCCAGGGTTAGGGCTAGGGTTAGGGTTGGCAGCCTGCAGCCAGGCCCAGGCTAGACTGCTTTGAGAAAAAATTCTGAGCCTGCTCCGACCTTTTTTTTTCCTCGTCGTCGACAAGCAAGAAGTGTTGGTCGCATCGACACTTGTGACGGTGCTCCTAATTGCTGGCATATTCGTTTGCTGGCCTTGCTACACTGCCAATCGCGTGTCGTCGCAGTAAAATTCGCAACCTCCACGTCTTGGAAGCACCACGCTCCTGCGCTTCAATCGAGCCGTATAAGCCCTCCGCCGCCGCTGACGACGAAGACGACGACGAAGAAGAAGAAGAAGAAGAATCTACCTCTGTCTCAAGCCACTGCTCGAGACCGACAGTTACAAAGTCCGCATTTTCCCGTGCGAATTGCTTAGCCGCTTGCTCGAGCCAGACAATGTGTGACCCCAGGTCGTGACAACTTGCACGCAGAACCAACCATGTTTAACATCGCCCTTCCCGTCTCCTCCGCAATCTCCGGAGTCGACTTCTCCTTTCTGTCTACGCCGGAGATCAAGAAGCTCTCTGTGAAGCGCATCTACAACCCGGTCACCTTCGACACACTCCTCCACCCTACACCCGGCGGCCTGTATGACCCCGCCCTCGGCGCCTTCCTCGACAACCGTTGCACCACTTGCAAGCAGAATGAGTTCCGCGGCGGCTTCGGCGGCTGCACCGGCCACGCAGGCCACATCGAGCTGCCCATGCGCGTTTACCATCCCTTTTTCCTCGATCAGATGATGAAGCTTCTGCGGGGAATGTGCATCTTTTGCTTTCACTTCCAGATGGGACGGACGAACGTGGCCAGGTATGTGGCGAAGCTACGTCTGCTGGAGCTTGGGCTGTTGAAGGAGGCTATGGAAGTGGACGGCCTTGCCATGGACGGCTCGAAGGCTAAAGACATTGCCGACGCAAATTCAGACAGCGAGGTCGAGGAGGATGAAGACGCTGCGGTTGCGGCCGAGACGTACCGTCGATTCGCAGATGCTGCCATACGGCGCGCAAAAAAAGAAGGTCTTGTTGTGGAGAGAAACGAAGCCATGCTCGAAAAACGCAAGGAGACCATCCGCGAGCTTCTGAACGCCCTTAAGACGCCTTCGGGCAAGTGCACCAACTGCCACGCCTTTAACCCCGTGTTCCGCAAGGATAGGTACGTCAAGATCTTTCGCAAGCCGCTGCTGGCAAAGCGCCACAACCAGAACATCGGGTCTGGGCTGAAGGCCCAGAATGCGCTCATGATACTGAGGACGCGCCGGCTGGCCGAGGAGAGGGCAAGGAACAAGGAGAAGAAAACAAATGGCCTTTCCCACACAGACGAGGCGATTGCCGATATGGACCTTAGCCCCGACGAGGAAGAGGACGTTGAGGACGTCATACTGTCAGATCCGGAAGGCGAAGATCTGAGCCTGGCCCAGACAAAGAGCATGGTCGCCACAGAGGCGAGCATCGGCACGGCGAAAAGAGGTACGAAGCAGAAACAGGAGAAGGAACACAAATACATACCTGCCGATGAGGTTCACGCCATGCTCACCTTGTTGTTCGAGAATGAGAGCGAGCTACTGCAGCTGCTGTACAACCCTCGGTCGCAGTCTTCGCGCAGAACAGCGTCCATGACGGCAGACATGTTCTTTGTGGACACTCTCCTCGTCTCGCCGTCCAAATACAGGCCAGAAGCTCGAACGGGAAATGGCGTCATCGCGGAGGCTGGTCGCAACACGCACTATCGTAATATACTACAGATCTGCGATACCATCACTGGAATAAGCCGAGACATGAAGTCGGGGACGGGCAGGAAACGCACATTCAACGATCTTCAGAATGCAGCTATCGATCTTCAGAACGCAGTGAATGCACTATTTGACCGCGACAAGAATCCTGTTGGTGGCGCAGCTGCGAAGAGGGCCGAGGAGGGCATCAAGCAAGTCCTCGAGAAGAAGGAGGGCCTCTTCCGCATGAACATGATGGGCAAACGCGTCAACTTTGCGGCACGATCCGTCATCTCGCCCGACCCAAACATTGAAACCAATGAGATTGGTGTGCCGCCTGTGTTCGCGAAGAAGTTGACATACCCAGAGCCAGTGACGAGTCACAACTTCTACGAGCTCAAGGAGGCCGTTTTGAACGGACCAGACAAATGGCCAGGCGCTGTTGCGGTGGAAAATGAGAACGGCCAAGTTATAGCTCTAGCGAAGAAGACGGAGGAAGAGCGCATGGCCATCGCGAACCAGCTTCTTACGCCGTCCAGCGTACACGTAGACGGTGCAAGAAACAAGAAAGTGCACCGACACCTAAACAACGGCGATATTGTCATTATGAATCGTCAACCCACGCTTCATAAGCCCAGTATGATGTGCCATCGGGCGCGAGTACTACCCGGAGAACGTACGATTCGTATGCACTATGCCAACTGCAATACGTACAACGCCGACTTTGACGGTGACGAGATGAACATGCACTTTCCACAGAACGAGATTGCGCGAGCGGAGGCAATGACGATTGCCAACACCGACAATCAGTATCTCTCGGCCACGGCGGGAAAGCCTCTCCGTGGCCTGATTCAGGATCACATTTCTATGGGTGTGCAGCTCACGAACAAGGACGTATTCTACACGCGTGAAGAGTACCAGCAGCTCATTTACTCGGCCATCCGACCAGAAAGCAACCACACCACAAGCGATCGGCTGATCCTGCTTACACCGGCGATCATCAAACCAGAGCCGAGATGGACTGGCAAACAAGTCATTTCCACGGTGCTACGAAATATTCAGCCCAAGCATCTAGAGCCGCTTAATTTGACCGGCCGTTCGCAGACGTCCAAGGACCTGTGGGGTCCAGGATCGGAGGAGCAGGATGTGATATTCAAGCATGGCGAGCTGCTCTGTGGAATCATGGATAAAGCACAAATTGGACCTGCCGGCGGCAGTATCGTAAATGCTGTCTACGAAGCATACGGCGAGACAGCTGCCGGAAAGCTGTTGAGTATCCTGGGCAGACTTCTCACCAAAGTTTTGCACATGCGTGCACATTCTTGCGGCGTTGAGGACCTCATTCTCACAAAAGCTGGTGACGAAGCTAGAGCAAATCTGCTCAGAGGAGCGGACAGCATTGGTCTTGCCGTTGCGTCCGAGTACGTGACGATGAAGGAGCGAAATCCGACAGCCGATGATCCGGAGCTGCGGCGACGTCTTGAGCGCGTGCTTCGTGATGACAGTAAGCAGGCTGTTCTGGATGAGCTGATGAAGAAGAGTAACAACAAGCTCTCCGGTGACATCACAAAAGCCTGCCTGCCCCATACACTCATCAAGCCGTTCCCCAAGAACCAGATGCAGGCTATGACGGGCACAGGCGCCAAGGGCTCCATGGTTAACGCGAACCAGATTTCGTGTAACCTAGGACAGCAGGTTTTGGAAGGCCGAAGAGTTCCTATCATGGTGTCCGGCAAGTCCCTGCCCAGCTTTAGACCGTTCGATACGAGTATTCGCGCCGGAGGGTACGTAATGGGTCGTTTCCTTACGGGCTTGAAGCCTCAAGAATACTTCTTTCACATGATGTCCGGTCGCGAAGGTCTGATTGATACCGCTGTCAAGACGTCTCGCTCGGGTTACCTTCAAAGATGTCTAATTAAAGGCATGGAAGGCCTCAAGGTGGAATACGACACCTCAGTACGCGACTCGGATGGCAGCATGGTACAATTCCTTTATGGCGAAGATGGCCTGGATGTAAGCAAGCAGCAGTACCTGACCAATTTTACATTTCTGTCACAGAATTACATGACCATGGCTTCTCTCCTCGGGCTCAAGGATGAGCATCAGAACTTGCAGAGCGAGGAGGCTAAGGAAATGCAAAAGAGGATTGCAAAGCAACTGAAAAAGGGCAGGCCGGCAGATGATCCAGTCATGAGTCTGTTGAGTCCAAGCAGGCATCTTGGGAGCACGAGTGAAAAATTCTATGCAAAGGCCACGGCGGTATGTTCTACTTCACTACATGTTACTCTTATTTTTCTTATTAATTAGAGGGGTTTCGCTAACATGACGCGCAGTATGTCGAAGAGAACAAGGACAAGACGATCAGGGAGAAGAAAGACAAGGATTCGAAGAAGATCAGCAAAAAGGCATTCGAACTGCTTTCACAGATGAAGTACCTCAAGACGCTCGCCGATCCAGGCGAAGCAGTCGGTGTTGTTGCTGGACAGTCCATTGGAGAACCCTCTACGCAAATGACATTGAATACGTTCCATCTGGCTGGTCACTCATCAAAAAACGTCACGCTAGGTATTCCTCGTCTGCGAGAAATTCTGATGACAGCCAGTGCAAAAATTTCCACCCCAGGAATGACGCTGTACCCGCTGCCAGAGATGAGCATTGAAGAGGCGGACAAGTTTGCGAAGAGCATCACAAGACTCAGTCTTTCCGATTTAATCGATGAAGTAGAGGTTAGAGAAACTGTCGGTCGGGGCATCGCGTACATGCAGGCCAAGACTTACAAGATACGTCTGGCCTTCTTCCCGTCTGAGGAGTACTGCAAAGAATACGCAATCAAGACAGATGATGTATTCATGGCTGTGGCTAAGCGGTTTTTGCCGGCCTTGCAGGCTACCATTAGGAAGGAGCTTCGAAAGAAAGGAGAAAAGATAAGCGCAGCAAGACCTGAAGTTGGTCAGTCAGCGGGGCGCTCGGAAGGAGTCACTGTAAGGGCCGCGCGCAACGATGACGACGATGATGGCCCTGCAGAGGAAAGTGACGATGAGTCAGAGGATGATAATGAGGACGATGCCACCGCCAACAAACAGCGAGCTAACCGGAACGAGGGAGCGGGATACGAAGCTCCAGACGAGGACGATGAACGCATACGAAATCAGATCCGTGAGGAGGACGGCCTGGAAGACGAAACTTTCGATGATGACATGGACATGCCTGAGGATGAGGCTCCAGGTCTCAGACGAGATTACGATTCCGATGCTGACTCCATGGACGAGGGTTACGGCGGGTCTTCCGAGGAGGAATTTCAGAAACAGAGCAAGAAACGTACGCGGGAGGAGCAAGAGGCGTTTGTCAAAGGCATCAAAGGAAACGAAGATCTCGTCTCATTCCGCTTCAGCACGTCAAAATCGGTTGCAAGCATCAGCCTTGAGTACAGCGCTTCGAGCTCGAAGCTTCTCATGTTGCATCTGGTGGAGAAGCTTTTGCACTCGACCGTCGTCCACGCTGTTCCGGGCGTCAAGACGTGCATTCTCAACAAGGAGAACAAGTACACGGACCCAGTCACTGGCGAATCACGCGTAGCCCCAAGTATTGAGACAGAGGGCATCAATATCGAGGCCATGAGGGAATGTCAGCACGCAATCGATCCGCACAGGATCTTTACGAATGATATTGCCGCAATGTTAAGGCTGTACGGCGTTGAAGCTGCGCGGGCCACCATCGTCCGGGAGCTGGACGCCGTCTTCAGAGGTCACGGCATCAGTGTCGACAATCGGCATCTGAACCTGATCTCCGACTTCATGACGCGCGCCGGCGGCTTCAGACCGTTCAACCGTCTAGGCATGCGCAACAACGCAAGTCCGTTCATGAAGATGTCGTTTGAGACGACGGTAGGCTTCCTGCGCGAGGCCGTCCTCGAGGGTGAGTCCGAGGATGCGAAGAACCCAAGCGCGAAGCTCGTGCTTGGCAAGATGGGCAGCGTCGGTACGGGCGGATTTGGCATCTACCTGCCCGTGGAGAAGGAGGCGGATTCGTTCCCGGTGGACAGCGACCAAGACGAGAGCGACGAGGGATTTGCTACCGCCCGTGAGGGTAGTGTAGATGGCACTGTCGATAGTTTTGACAAGGATGTGTATGGTATGGACGTGGATGAATCGTGACCTAATTTTGACGATATGTACAAAATGTACATGCTGAGATATAGCGCGAAATATCAGGTTGCTTATTTAACGCCATGCTCCCTCAAGTAAGCAGCGTGCAGGAAATCAAAACACTAGCCGAGATGCTACCCATCCTTTTCCAAACTTGCACAAGACCCCGTTAGATGCATGCATTCCGTCCGTGCCTGGCAAATCCCAGATCAAGATTGCCGAACGGCAGCCAGGGGTCCGGTAAAGGGAACGAGAAAGCTGAACTGTACAGATCCAAATAAAAAGAGAGAGTGCGTCTGAGTCAAGAATGATTGGCTTCTACGGCTAGCAAAATTGAACTTGAAAAGAAAAAAAAAAATAAACGTCCAGAAACGTTGAGACAAGGGCCTTGGTAAGCGATCCTTGCCAACGTTTGCGCGCCGTTCGTGGCTTCAAATGAATCCATGATAGTGGCTTCTTTTTTTTCTTGCGTTAATATTTTTTTAAAGGAATTTCTCCTCTGAGGTTGATTGCGCTTAAGGTTTAGCATCCGACCGTTCGACTGTCTCGGTCATGACTTGAGCTCCGGACGCCGTTATTATTTCTTTTCCCGTTTTGGCGCCCCGCCATCCGAGAGGCGGCTCTTGGAGAAATGAAAAGGGCCAGCGGGCGAGGAGGAGCGCGGGTGAGAGGTGGAAGGAGACTTTCAAACTCGGTTTGGTTGACACCTGGATATATACGTAGACAGGAGCTTTCGCTTTGTGAGGGGGGGTCTTGGGGGTCGTGCTGTTCTTTGCAACGACATGACCGGCGTGCACGGAGTTGAAGCGTCAGAAGGCGGAGACGTCACTTTGCTCTGTCGTATGGGCAGCAGACTGTCCTGGACACGTTCGGGAGGTGAACTCTGAGCTAATGCGAGACCTTCTCGATCCACGTCCGCTTACGATTGCATGGTGTAGTAGTTAGTGGAAATGAACAGAGCAGGACGATGAGAACGAGGACGAGGAAGAAGCTCACAATGCTCCAGGCTCTGCTTCAGTGGGACGCAGCGAGACCCGGAAGATGGACAGCCACTGTTTATTTTTTTTCTTCTGGCCCCCGTTTGAACTCCACAGCCGAAATGCCGAATCGCGTCGAACTGGTGGATTAAAGCCTCGACCCGCACACCACGACACCGTCACACCACAGGAGGATTGAAGTGCTCGCTTTGCCACTGGAAATAGATCTTTCCGCCGTAGCTCGCAGGGCGTCCGATGCCTCGCATCTTGGTATCCCGAGTCATCCAGCCCAAACGTTGTTACAGGTTCATTTTGTCTTTCGCAAGCGTCGGCAAAACTGGATGACCTACTGAGGCCGCTTTTTGCGAAGAGCTGTCCAAAAAGCATGGGCCAGCTGCGCTGCGTCTCCTCGGGTGCATTTATTATTGGCACCACGCACTAGCGGCCGTTGAACGCCAGGTAGCAGGCTGCGTGATGTGCCCTTTGCTTGCACGAGGCTTAATCATGGAGTTGACTCCGGAGAGCAGTGTGTTCACCGCTCTGAGAGATCTCTCGCACTGCTGGCTGACTAGCGTCTCCGTTGTTGCTGAAGCGCTTCGTGGCGTTATGCTGTGCCTGCCGAACAGCTCACCTGATAGTGACATGCAGATAACGTCGGCAGTGGACGACGATCTTTCCCCTCTACCATCCAATCTCATAGGTGGACTGAAGGCCAGCAGGCCGAGACCAATAGGTAAAGCTGGAGAAGCGGAGCACTTTAAGAATATACGGAAGCTATGCCAAGATGAGCTTCTTCGTGGACCGACCCGCTCGGGAAAGCTCTTGATGTCCCTGAGTAGACTTTTTCTGCTGTATAAATTGGAGGGACGCCTACGAGCTCCGCACATCAGTCAACCCCATGTGCGGATGGAACTAGCGCAAAGCCTGGGGTCTCTCTGCACGAGCGTGTGGCCAGGTGCTGGACACGCTATCGGGCGTAAAGGTGCCGAAGCGAATCAGCAGTGTGGATGAGTTTCTGGAGGTTTGGCTGACCGCGTAAGAAGACCAGCAATTTTCCCCGCAGAGTTAGCTGCGGGGAAAGATGACCCATGGGGCCGGGGTATTTACCACCGACCAGCATCAAATTACTCCGCTGGATTGGAAACCCACCACATTGAGAATTATCCCGACACACGTAGGCCTTGCCGCGACTCGAGAGAAGATGAACCGATGTCCGCCATGGCCAATGAGAAACCTTGGTCCCGGCGACGGCGAGGTGGATGCGACGTTGCTAATGCGACGCTGCTACTGTGGTGCCCCGGAGTATTGACCAAATGAGTGGAGATGCTGCGCTGTGGAGATCAAGGCCCGACCAAGCTTCTCTCAATGAAGCTAGGACCGGGGATACCACGTCGAGCGTGTTGTCGCAAGGATAAAGATCTGAAAACCAGGTCGTTTCTGCCTTTGTTTCGATCCTCCTCGTTCCTCACGTTTTCTATCAGATAGTCGTCACCATGAGCAACATCGTCACCGAGAAGCCGCCCTCAGCGTCGGAGATCGAGGCACAGCCTGGCTCCAACGGCGGACATGGCTACGATGCCAGCGAGAAGGTTGACTACGACCGAATGGGCGCCATCGACGCCGAGAAGATCGAACATGACATGACTGTGCTCCAGGCCGTCAGGGCCTATCCCGCCGCCAGCTGGTGGGCGTTCGTCATGTCCTGCACAATCGTAAGCTTTATACTCATGTTCGCCGCCTCGATTTGTCTCTAACGCCGTCGTAGATCATGGAGTCGTACTGTGTTTTCTTGATGGGACAGTTCGTGGCCACCGCTCAGTTCGCAAAGGATTTCGGTGTTTTCAGCACAAAAAACAACGAGTGGATCATCGAAGCTTCATGGCAATCAGCCTTCCAGTGCAGCGGACCGGTCGGCGCCTTCATCGGTGTCTTCATCGCAGGTCCCATTACCAGCTGGATCGGATATCGATGGGCAACCATTGGCGGCCTCATGTTCCTGAACGCCTTCATCTTCATCTTCTATTTCGGCAACAGCCAAGGCATGTTTTTCGCCGCCCAGATCCTGGAGGGTATCCCATGGGGTATTTTCATTGCCAATGCGCCCGCTTACTGTGCCGAGATTGTGCCGCTGAGACTGAGAGCTCCGGCGACGCAGATGTTGCAGATGTTCTGGGCCATCGGTTCGATCATTGTCGGTGGCATCACGTACCACTACCAGTCCAGGAATAACTCTACAGCATACCGGTTCGTCCAACTGTCCCCATAGATACCGTCGAGAGATTGCCGTACTAATCAGCACGCCAGAATTCCGATCGCGCTCCAGTGGATGTTCCCCACGCCTCTCGCGATCCTGCTTTTCATCGCGCCTGAATCGCCATGGTGGCTTGTGCGAAAGGGCCGTCTGGCCGAGGCAGAGAAGGCCGTCAAACGCCTTGGACACGCGAGGGCGCACGACAATTCGTCCGACACCGTCGCGATGATGCGTCGTACGATCGAGCTTGAGAAGACCGAGAAGAAGCCCAGTCTGGTTGAGCTGTTCAAGGGCACCGATCGCTACCGCACGTTGATCGTGTGCGGTGTGTACGCCTCTCAGAATCTGACGGGCAATCTCATTGCCAACCAAGCGGTCTACTTTTTCAAACGTGAGTTCTCGCCCAAGGTCCTCATTTTTTCGCAAGCAGGCTAACGCCATCTCAGAGGCGGGCATGGCAGACAACACCGCATTTGCACTTGGTCTCATCACCTCAGCCCTTCAGTGGATAATGGTCATGCTCTCTTGGGTCCTCACCACATACCTTGGACGTCGCACCATCTACGTGTACGGCCAGTTCATAAACTGTGGGTTCTTGATCGCGCTCGGCATTGCGGCCTCCTTCGGCACGAGCAAGGCGGCTAGCAATGCGCAAGCATCGCTTGGCTTGATCGTCTCCGTCCTTTTCTGCTTGGGTCCCGCTCCTGCCTCATGGGTCATCATCGGTGAGACCTCTTCCGTTCGGCTCAGACCGCTGACAACCGGTATTGGACGTGGTGCCTACTACCTGGTCAACATTCCTTGCATCTTCCTGGCCAGCTACATGCTCAACACCGACAAGTGGAACCTGGGCGGCAAGAGTGGCTACGTTTGGGCTGGCACCGCCCTCATCTGCTCCGTCATGTCGTGGATCTGGATTCCCGAGATGAAGCACAGATCCTTCCGAGAAATTGACATTCTGTTCCAGCGTCGTGTGCCGGCTCGCAAGTGGAAGCAGACGGTCGTTGACATCAACGACGATCATTAGATGGACATCAATTCTCAGACAGGCTTGAGCGGCCTCATTTGTAGAGAAATGAGATGTAGAGGCGACGTTCGTGCCGCTTCCAGAGACTTTTTTCGGTCATTCGATGAGATTTTTTTTGTTTCAAAAAACTGTCACTATACATAAGGTCATGCTGAACTCTGTTCCATGTATACGTACTTGAACATACACCCTCTCTCCCTTTATGCCACCGCCAGCCACACTGTATTCGTGAGTATAGGGAAAGTAAGCGTGCTGATATGATATAATATATGAAATGGTGTGCTATGCTGAGCACCATTTCCGATGAACTGGGAATCGAGTGAAAACGAAAAATGGAGCATACGTATGTGGCATGTTTGTATGAAGCCTTGGTGCATATGGAAGTCGTATATTCGCCCGCCACGTCGCTTTCGAGGTCGTCCTTAACAGTATTGGTCAAGCGGGGTAAATATTGACTGCTCAGATTAGTTAGTTGGAGGAGATCATCATAGCTGCTGGGCAACAATGTATGGTCGAATGTCGATTGGGACGTGCGGTTGAAAGCCTCAGCTAGGTGGCTTACCTACCTACAGAATTCGACGATATGAAAAGGGGTATTCATGTTTTTAAGTATACTCACAACTGGCGGTTAGATTTTCAGGCTTAAAATACGTATACGAGGCTGATGGCGTTACTTAAAGCCGATCCATCATTTGTTATAAATAGTGCTATGAAATTCAGACGAGTACAGCGAGTGATATAAAAAAAAGGCCGGGTATCTCAAGATCATACACAAAGAACATCTCCTTCCGTTCCCCACACTACACCGCCACCAATCCGGAGGTATTACACATCTCTTCACACTTTTTACGTTCGCATAATGTCCAAATTGCATGTTTATCCTAATCTCAGAGACGCATCTCATTGAGGAAGTGCGTCGACAGATTTTCTAGCCTCGATACCTTCCAACACTGAATAAAGTCACTTGTACTGGCATGCTCCAGTAGCTTACAAGTGCTCGATCACGTTGGAGTTGATGGCGGTCTGGAAGCCGGTGTTGGCGCCGCCGTACTCACGCTCGGCGCTTGTAAGCCCAAAAGGCCGTGTTGATGAAGGGCCTTCGCCATTGTTATTCGCAATCTGCGCCATGTTCTCCTGTACAGTCTGGTTCGTAGCAGGGAGGAAGATGACCTTGCTGTTCGCCGTCTTGGCCATAGCTTGCATGGCCTCAAGGTATCTAATCTGCATAGCCGGTGCGGAAGAAAGAATGTCAGCAGCTTGGCGCATCAGCTTCGCGGACTCCACCTCAGCACGGGCAGCTATGACCTTGGCTTCACCGGTTCGCTTGCTTTGTGCAGCCATGGATAGAGACTCCTGCAACTCCTCGCTGAAGATGAGATCTTTGATAAGCATGGACTCAACCTCGACGCCCCAGTGGCCGGCGACATCCTCTACGATACTACGAATGTCCTGTGCGATCTCCTCGCGGCGCTCAATCACATCTTGTAAGATGCGTGCACCAATGACATGGCGCAGCGTGGTCTGCGTGCGCTCGATGAGAGCCTGACGGATGTTGGAGATACCAAAGGCAGCCTTGTGGGGGGATGTGATGCGATAATAGATGACGGAGGTAAGGTACAGAGAGACATTGTCCTTGGTCATGCACACTTGCTTAGGAACCTCTGTGTGTACGTCATCAGGACCTGTCGCTTCAACAACCGAATATCGTGGGGATATTGTACATACCAACAATCTGAATCTTAACGTCGACCTGAATCAATCTCTCACTCAGAGGATTGACCTTTACCAGGCCTGGATCCACAGCGCGCGAAAAGCGGCCGAACCTGGTGATGAGACCCACATTGCCCTGATCGACGCGCTTGTATGGGTTCGGGCAGACGATACAGCATGGAATTGCACCGCAGGTGCCAATGATGCCACCTAGGGCATTGATCATTCCACCATACCAGCCATGCGCCGGGTCGTCCTCAGTGTCTGGCTGGATGTCGCGCGCATAGCTTGGCTGCAGATCCTCGCGACGCGGCGGTTGCACCTTGATGAGGTCTCCGTCGGTATGTGAGGTGGCGCCATTGATGGGCGCTTTACCGCTGTCACTCATAGTTTCTGGCGTAGGGCCAACGGTGGTTTCGACAAGCAAAGAGCGCCGAGAAGACAGGCGAAATCAAGATGTCTGATGGCGACGGATCGCAAAGGACGACTGCAAGGCACACGACGAATTGGAGGAAATGTGTTTGCCAAGCAGGCGAACAAAGGCTGCAATTAAATAAACAAAGTCGATCGCGCTCCTGTCCACACGACTGTCGATAAACGTGAGACGCGGACGGTTTCGTGGACGAAAAGCGGCAGGAGAGTTTGAACACTGCAGCTTCCTTAAATAATGGGCGCGGAAACCTCTCCTTCCTGGCGCTCTGGTTGGCGACTGCCCGTTTAGCGGATTCACAACTGTCGCGGGGAAGGAGCTGCCCTCACTGGGTGTGCACGACTCCCCGATTGGGACTAGCGCCTCGTGTCGTACTTCTGCCTCTCGAGGCGCAGTCGCAACCTCGTGATGGCAATGCAGTTCGATCGTCCAAGGTACGACGGCGCTGCGTGCTTCCTGTTGATCCCAGACAGTCCTTTATGCCGTCATACGAACACTCTTATTTCCGTGCTCATCTTCGTTCTGCCGAAGAACCTCTGCCGGGGACAGATCTACCGCACTCAAAGGTGAATGATGCCAGGACGTTGCCGCAGCCGGCAATCCGGGACGCGCAATTATACAGAGGTATACCTCATAAAATCTCCCTGTTCATCGCGATAGACCATGTCAACAGCAGGGCAGAATACGACACAATCTATTACGCGCAGAGAAGTCAATTCTGCTTGGTGCATGTCGGTTAAACGGCACGAAACTGAGAGAATCACACGACGGTGCGCGTATTTGCCTCACACCGTTTACTTCACCACAAGCCGAATACGCAAAGCTACTTGAGCGGTTTTATCAGCCTCGCCATTGGCGGACTCCTTGGCATATCGCACCCTTAGTTCGCAACCCCCGCCGAATCGTGTGCGCATTGGGTGGGTCGACGACGGCCTGGCATGCCCGCGGTTGGTCCGTGGACTAGGCGCATTTGTGCTGACATGGGCACCTGCGCTGTGCTGCTCACCATGGCATCTCTTAGACGTTGATTGTTTGGTTGTGTGAACTCTATCTTCCCCGCCTGAGCACCTCTTGCGTCTTGCCTCGAAGGGTCTACAGGGTTTTGTTCGTCAACGCCATCTGTGGAATCACGGGACTGAAACTGACCAGCACGTTCGATGATCTTTTCTGCTGTCATATTGGCAGAAATGACATTGGATTGCAACGCCACTGTCGGATTTAAAAATGGGCGCAATTCAGCCTCACCAAGAGCCTTGCTCTGTGCAGCATTTGATCCAATAATGTTTTCATTTTTCCGAGTAGGCCCCTGCGCGTCTCACGTGTGCCCCGTTCAGAAGTTTTGCTCCGTCTCCCTCCAGTCCCTCCACAGTTGCTCAGATGGGCTGCTTAATCTATGACTACTTTGCTATGCAAGAGACGATGACGCTTTCGAGCTGTCGAGACAAAAATCGCTTGTATTGCGCATATAACAGTCCTATAATCAATGTATATTCCAGCTCCGTTCAGGCTCTTGGTCTTTGTACGCCCCTCCCAATCGTGGTCCGTTCTCTTCTTTCCCGTGCTCTACGTACTCTTTGGGACTTAAACCAAGAACTTGAAAGTATAAAAAAGATTTTCGGTGGAGAGTATGCGGCACTTGAGCGTCTCATTCAACCGTTTGCCGCGGCTATGCCACTTGATCTATTGCTTCGAGTAGAACCGGGCTATTTTCGACGAAGCATTTTGGGACTTTGTGTGAGCTGACGAAGCAAAGTCCAAGCCAGATACACGGACGACGATATTGCTCATTCGAACTGCCTGTCTTGGTGAAGGCAACTGGAATGCCGGTCTGAAAAAATGCCGCCGTAACATACTACACAGCCTTTGTAAACTGGGTCTGCCGACAGTCTAAGCCCAGAACTCTGCAGAAGCGATGGAGATCGGAAGAGCAGTCAAATAACTCGTATTCTTATCTTCTAAGCCAGCTGGTGTCACACGCCATCTCGCAGAGGCTAAGTTCTACCTTCTGTTCTCGGGGACTGCAGTACACCTAGAAGAAATCGCTTTATGCCTTGTGCAAGTTCGTTTAATTCCGTCTTTGGGATGCGACCTCGCTCCACTTTGCTTTGTAGAGCCTTCTCAACCTGTCAACTACGTTCGATTTCGTAGGAATTCCAACGACGACGTAAATGAGGCTTTGAATCTCGTTCAATAACTCCTTCCAAACATCGTAGAACAGAAGCAGCAACTGTGCGAGTCAAGAGGTTAGATCTGTTTGCGCTAGAACTTCACCTTGACCGTTAACAGGTCTTTCTCTATGACCTCTTCCTTCCTCGCTTCGAATTCAGCCATATCCCACTGCGTTTGGACGAAACGACCGCCGATCCACTCTCGCCGCTCCTTTGTCAACCACACAATCGTGTCCGAAGGTAGTTCGGGGGTCTCTGTTAAGCTGGCGTGCATACTCTCATCTAGGTTACGAGCAAGATCTGTGTCCACGCCGCCAGGATGAATGCTGAAGGCGATGATGCCCTTGGCGCCGTACTCAAGCTGGATGTACTCAGCTAGCCGAAGAGTGGCGAGCTTGGCGTTGTTATACGCGCTCATACCCGGGAGAACCATCAAGGCGCCAATTGAGGTCACGATGGCAAGAGACTTGAGGCCATCGGTTTTTTCCAAGAGCTTGGGGATGAAAGCACGACACACGAGAAACGTGCCTTTCACGTTTACTTCGTACGACTGCCACCAAGCGTCTGGATCCGCGTCTGCTAGTGCCAAAGGCGCCTCCAGGAAACCGGCGTTGCTAACCACCACGTCGATACCCCCAGGGAAGGCCTCCTGTACCTTCGCAGCAGCAGCTTCGACCGAGCTCAAGTCCGTCACATCGACGTGTAGCGCTAGGACATTTGGCGGCGCATGCCCCGACTCTTGGACCGCGCGTTCGATCGCCTTTTGCGTTTCGCTCTGGTCTCCACGGGCGGCTAGTACGATGCCAGATGCTTTCGCACGAGCATAGGACACTGCCAGGGCGCGCCCTATACCGCGACTAGCACCTGTGATCAAAATCACCCGTCCGCTGAGATCAGCTTTGCTTGGTGCGATGAAGTCGTACGTGTCGTGATGCAGGGTCTTCGTGAAAGTAAAGGCCTCCATCTCGACTGGCGCTTTCCTGAAGTTGAAGGATGGCGAGGCTCTGGAGTTGAATGAGTCCAAGTGCACTGTCGTCCTTTCGGAAATATATAGCATGGTTGACGTGCATACCCTTTGCATGTGGAGTTGAGTTAGGCCTAGAGCAGTGTCAAAGTGGATCCTTTCGGGCGGAAAAACAGTACCGGGAGAAGAGTTTGACTCGAAAATAGACCACGCTTACAATTTGTCAAAGCTATCATCCTATAGAAAAAAAAAAACAATAATTTACTCAGAATCCTACAAGCGTGCTGTATTGAGACGACGTTTGATAGAGTCGACATTGTGTCATCGCAAGTGGAAAAACAGCTTTCACGGCGGGGACTCTGCTCTGAACCTCCGTCATAAGAAAAATCATGGGGTATGTGGAAAGGATATATATTCCGTTTACAACGGCAACTTATATACAGTCCGGCTAGTTCAATCTCTTTCCTTGGTCGTTAAAAAAAAAATTGGACAGCATCATGAGGAAACGAGGGATATCAATACGCCCTTGGTTTCAACCTCGAAGCTTTTTCACCCAGTCGCAAACGCCTAGTTGCATACAACGAGTGATGGAGATCGATTGCCCACAATGAAAGTCTAAAATCATGCAGAAGCAGAGACAGTCTCAACTTCGACCTTTGGCAGTGGGGCACTGGTACCACCCAAGTCGGTTGCTTTCGCCTTGGGATTCTTGGTGTAGTAGTTGTTGATGGCAGATTTGATGGCATCTTCTGCCAACATGGAGCAATGAACTGTTTCACAAGTCAGTCGCTTATCTGCAGACGACGTAGCAATGTCGGGGAAGGTTCCATACGCTTGACTGGGGGCAGGCACAGTTCCTTCGCGATATCCGTGTTTCGGATGCGCGAAGCCTCCTCAAGGCTCATGCCCCGGACCAGCTCTGTGAGGTAGCTCGAGGACGCGATGGCCGATCCGCAGCCAAAGGTCTTGAACTTGACGTCCGAAATCGTGTTGTTCGAAGGGTCCACTCTGATCTGCAGCTTCATCACGTCGCCGCAGGCTGGTGCGCCAACAAGGCCTGTTCCCACGTCCATGTCCTTCTGAGGCATCGAACCGACATTGCGGGGCCTGTTGTAATGGTCGAGCAGTGCTGCGCATGTTAGCCGAGACGAACTCGATAGAGGTGCAACGTGGTGGCAAGTGGTGATAGAAGCTCGCAATCACTTAGCAGTACTTATCTTTTTCGTGGTAATGCCTCTTCGCAGCTGCTTGTGTCGCAGCTGGCGCTATTCTCGCCTGCTGGGCGATCTGTGGTCGAGCGGCGCTGGAGAGGACTCGGCTCGCCGCTCTCGGTGCCGAAGCGAGAGCACGCTGGAACATGCTGATGGTTGTCGTCGTGAAATACCGGCTTCGAATGGCGTTGACGGAAGGTGCGTGGTTGATGGTAATTGAGGTTCAAGACAAGGTGGCGATGTTGTTGGTGTGTTGTAAGGTCGAGGGATCTGATATGACGAAAAGCTGCGGAGTTAAAGTTATCAATCTATTGCAAAGGTTTGTCCGGCGCCGATCGCGGCCTGAGGCGCCAATCATGAGCTAATACCTCACAATCTAGACCCTTCGATTCTCTATCTGCCATTTGTAGCTGCATTCCCCATGACATTCTTCTGCCTACGATTTTTCATTCGCTAATTGGTTCGTCAAAGCATGGGATGCTAATGATTAGTCGCTTGGACTTCATTTCTGCGACACTTTGCCATCTGTTGAACCAAGTGTGCGGAGCGCTTGGCGCTCTCGGCCTTACGCCGATTTCCGAGGAGTTTGCTCTAAAAGACCCGTATCGCTTGTTCCGTCGGCCCCGTCAGCGATGCTCAAAGGCCCGACGATGCTTTGACATTTATCGCGAGCCAGCCTCCATTTGCGGTACTGGGAGGGCTAAACGCCGCATTGATATATGAGAGCAGTTCGCGTTCAACCTGGCCCATTTGCGTGCGAAGTAGCTCGCCGCATGCCAAAAAAAAACCTGTCCCAGAGGGAACAAGACCCGTGTCGTTAAGAGCAGCTGGTGAGATCTGGTTAGGCGCATTCAAGCATCCTGCACGATCTACTCTGCTTCCGACGTTTTGGAGCTCTCTTGTTGCAATGAACGATGATGGATGTCTAGCAAGATATTCAATGCCTGAGTTATCAAGATGGAACTACGTGTGATTGATCAAACTGCCTATCTTGTAGAGGCAATAACCGGAGTCTGTTCAAACGAGATTGGTTTTGTGAACGATCTTGTGTACAAGTCAAGAAAAGATTTTGGCATGAGGCATACAGACATTTCAACGGGAGTTTCAAAAGCAGTGTTGTGCTGCGTTGGAATTGATGCTTGCAGACGAATTAGACGTCAAATTTGCGGGCAGACCGGGCTTGGTTGCGCGGATTTCAATTGGCTCTGTAGATCATAACGACTGGACTTGAGGGCGACAGTTATAGCATCGAAAGCCGCACCTGCCAGTCAAGGCATCAGGTTTACCTACTTCCATAAACCCATCAGATGCAAACACAAACTAAACGTGCCGAATGATATAGTTGGCAGGTGAATGATTTTCGAAGCGGTAAGAGGGGATTAGAGTGTTTGTGAATCCTTGGAAAGACATGGTCAAGGCCGAAGTAATTTCGACTTAGGCTCAGCGTGCAAACACTTGATTCATCAAGGCTGTTTCTTCTTTCTCCGAGGGCAAACGCCTGAGCGAATTGATTGTGCTATGATGCTCTAGACCATTTTGTACAAACTTTGCCTCGTAAGCGTTTCTTGGCGCAAATACCGAAACGTACGCCTGGCCCGGTAGATCACAGTGATGAATTTTGCGAGGCAACGTTTACGTTGAAGATTGAGTCGAGGAATAGAGACATTGGCGACAAGGTCGCTTGAGAATCATTCGGAAGGGTTTGTTGGAGCAGAGGCCTTTGCCGCGAAACATGAACGGCTTCGTGTCGTGTTCCGTGTTCTTTCCAACTGACTGTACAAATTGAATACGCCGCTCTGCCGTTGAGCACAGAGATTGCAGTGCAAGCAGAAGGCAAGCGCCTATAGGAACACAGCGCGCACCGTGTCCGGATTGAGAGACTGGTTAGTCGAGTCAGAACTGCTCTCTGGTCCGGAGACAGGCGTTGCTGGACGCGGCTCTAAAGCGATGAACATGGTAGATTCCTACGTAGCCTGTGCAGCCAAGAATTCACCTAGGACGCCGTTATAGCGGCGATAATGAGCCCGAAGTGATTGACATATGTGTAGGTTGGAACACCTTTTACGCTTCTCCAGGTAATCAGAAACAGAGAATGAGCTAGAAGAGTGCTCGATGCGAACAGCAACAGATTCTTCTCCGATCGAGCAGTGGAATCCGAGATGGCCGTTTTGATTGGCTGCAGGTAACCCGCGTTGAGGCGCCAGAGGTGCCCATCCGTCCTCGAATCTGATTGTTCGCCAACGGTTCAGCCTCCTATTTCTGTCCGCCTCTTACACTTCGGTTGCTGCAACCTCGCCGACCGACAGGCCCCTTGTATTTATTTTAGATGATGAGCGGTGAAACAATCTCCAATTTCGTACGTTTTGAGCTCCTCTCTAACTGTGTGTCTTCCTTTGTGGCACAAAGGTTGCGCTTCGCAGCTAAATGGTTCAAGCGTGGAATTCCACGGGCTGCGCCAGCTATGATCGCGAGAACGTGCCTTTTCAAAGTGCATTTACAGAAGCCTGGGCGGCCGGAATACCAGGCTTCGAACATGGCCGTGTGATGTGGTTATACCAGGCCCGGCATGCCGTCGCACCGGCCCCCCCCCTTCTTCAGCAAATATTCCCGATTGCAGCCTTCCACTTTTCAAATTTCCGCATCCCGCTCTCCATTGAACGATGTTTGTTTGTCGCTTGTCGCTTGCCGCTGACTGCTCGGCGTTGATTTCTCGCTTCGGACGTGCCGTCTCTTTGCCTGCATACGAACAAACTTTCTGGGGATTGCCGGTCCTCAGCGTTTTCCAGTCCTATGAAAAGAAGCTGACTCTGACTCTGTAAAATCTTGTTTTCTTTTCCCTTTTCCTTTCTCTCGGCTGCAACGAAATCGAAATGGATGACCGGACCAGCAATCAGACTATGCGGGTGCCGCGTTCGCGGAGCGTCTGGGAAGGATGCGCGCACATGATCGTTTGTCCTCTCGGCGATAAATGATTAGACTGTTTGAGGTGGTCCGCCACCTACACGCTGCTCCTAGACTCACAATCGTAATTCCATCGCCTGAGGTTTCACTAATTTCAAGGACTTGGACAAGACGAAACCCACCGACAAGCCTCTGCCAAGGACTAACAAGCTTCGCCAAGGATGAAACAAGCTCTCATGCAGGGGCGAACCAAGAAACACCACTTTTCTTGTGGACCAGGGTGGCATTCAGTCCAGAGTTGCGGACAGCCTTTAACAATGTATATTTAAAGCCTTGGCATTTGAACCTTGCTTTCACCATTTCTCAATCGTTTGAATTCGTTCTTTTCTCATCGTCGTTCCTTTCTTGGCTCCAGCCGGTGCTGGTTTATCGGCTGCTTCTGTGTTGTTACTATTTACGTTCCTTCTCTTCTCAACGCTCGTTACCATGGCGCGATTCTCCGTAGCAGCCGTCTTGTTTTTTCAATGCGCCAGCGCAGCCTTCCATTCTGTCAAAGGCCGGCCCAGCTTCAGGCAGTCTGCTACTCGGACCAACCAGATTGCAACCACGGCCAAGTCGACCGCGGTTGCTTCGGCGACGCTGGATCCCAATGTGATGAACTGCTTTGTCAAGCTGCCAGACAACCCGCTTTCGGCTACTGGACTGGCGACACCAATCGAGCTGCAGGCGCCTTGCTCGATGAACGTGTCCACTCAGCAAGCGTTTGCTGAAGCTGCCGTGTTTGATCCCACCACTCATTCCGTCTCAATCTATCACCCTCTGGTCATCAACGCCGGGGACACTCCTCCAACACCTCCCGTCGTTCCAAACCTTCCAAACGGTGCCATCGTGGCTATGTGGTTTGGTTTTAACGGCGGTGTCCTTCAGCTCCTTGATCAGAACGGCTTGAATACCAACGAGTCTCCAGCACTCAGGGCGATTGATTGTGTCAATGGCCTCCCTGGAGTTAACAACGACGTATTCGGCCAAGTCAGCTGGTGCAACACGCAGCCATTCTTCGCCGCAGCCAACGCGAGTATCGCGTCCGGCCAGCTCACCATTCCTGACCTGGGCGTCGACAAGAACGGCAATCCCTGTCCCACGAGTCGATCGTTCGAGATTGTCGATGCTTGTCCCTCGGACAACGTCCCAACCCAGTACCTACTCCTCCCCGACGGCACCACTGTACAGGACACCGCGGCCAACCGAGCGAAGTATCCCGATGCTATAGTGATCAACAACGCATCCGATGAAGCACTTCTTGCAAACATTGTTGATCCTGTCATCGGCTGCCAGCCCTTCTTGAACCCAAGTTTGGACGATCCTGGCACCATGGTTCCCTCACTTGCCGGCGACGAACTGCAGGCGTCTGTCAAGCAGCTCGCACCTGTTGCCCGCGTGCCGCTCAACGACCCTGATTGCCTTCTTACGTCGAATGGTGATATCAGCCCAAGCAAGACAAACGCCTATCGACTTGGCGTGAATCAAGGCCTGCTGGGCAACGGTCCAAACACGGACAACGGCTCTCTTGTTCCGTACTGCGACGGGATGATCTCGATTGCGCCGCCCTTCTTCCAGGGCTTTCAGACCCTTTTCTCGGGCCAGCCAAGCCCGGATGTGACGGTGGGCAACAATCTGTTCACATTCCTGTGCGAACGGTACTTGATGAGCTTGATGCAACTCAAGTGTCCAACAGCGGTCAAGCAGCCAGTGACGTGCGCAACGGACTCGACAGGAGCAGCTACGTCGTGCGCCATCAACCTGGGAGCGTCCACGGCTACGGCGTCGTCGGCAGTTGTAGCGACCGCGACAATGAAAACCACGGCTCTGACGAGATCGGCAACGACGATGAGGAAGTTGCCTCATACAAGACCGGCAACCACGCGGGGAAAAGTTGATCAGACTGGGTCGGCTGTGCCGGTAAAAGAGATCTCTCAGGCTGCATCGACAACGACGACGAGAAGTCCAGTTCAGACGGACGCGACGTCAGAGTTTCTGCCAAGTGGTCGTTGCACTTTTGATAGCTCGACGTTTTAACCTCTTTTCTTGTACGATGTTGACCATCTTTCGTGCAGAATGGGAAAGCGTTGTTTTTAAAAGACCGCGCGTTCTTGTCTCTGTTGTCAGCTACTGTACATATATGTGTATATATTGATTTACTCAGTATATGCGTCACGTATCACCGTGTCTTGTCCTATAAAAAGGAATTTTTCGATCAGTGCCGTTCTACTTAGCCCCTGTATTGTTTTTGTCATGCATCTCATCTGCAGTCCAGTGAGGTAGTTGCATACGACACGTCTAGAGTGTATCGCTAAGGCTGAGTGCATGTCCCATTGTCCCTTCTCGATCCGCCGAGCATCTTGTCGAATGATGGTGCCGCAGACATTGTTGAAGCCTGCTTAGACAGCACCTTACCCGACAAGCAATTGAATTTTTTTCTTTTTCACCAAGAACCAATGTATTGGGAGACTTGGGTATCTTATCAGATACGACAGAGTTCGTCCATACTGGCCAGGTACAGTCTGAAGTTGTAGGTTGGAGTAGAAGAGCTTTAGGTCCAGATGATCTGATGATCTGATGATTGATGATATGATTGATTGATTGATTGATGATCTGATAGCGAAAGTGACGTCTTTTTATACGCGCTGAATAGCCGTTGAAACGTTGCATTTTGCCAAGCTTGCTCACACGCCTTCTTGAGAAATGATCTCTTCTCTCCTTGTCCAACACAGCAAACAAACCCTTTCTCCAATTTCCACCTTGAAGCAACGAGCGATAAGACTCCTCCATGGCTCGCAGCATCACGAGCATGCTTAGAAACCACAGTAGCCGATGCCTGTTTTGGAGACGTGCAAACGGCGTGTCAGGATTGAATCCTATTTCCAAAATCCAAATTGCCGCCTCGGCGAGGACAGGGTGGGGAGAAACAATTTCCAACGTAACATCGCGGTTCAGAGAGCTTTACCTTGGTCAGAGGTCTGGTATAAAGCCTGCCGACCCACATGTGCGTGAAACGCGGACACAGCTCATGATGATAAAGAGTCGAGGAAAACGACTGGGCTCTTCACGCGCAACACAATGATTACCAGGGGCTCCTCGAGCAAAAGTCTACCGCGAATGCTATCAAGTGCTCCATGACGCCGACTTGGCCACTCCCAGGCCATTTTTTTTTTCTTATTTCCTCCCTCGTGAGCAAATTGGTTAGATGATGATTGCTGGGTACAACCCAGAGGGTGGAAAAAGAGGAGTAAGGATCCGAGACTGGATGCTTGTCGCGTGGCCAGCAAAGAAACAAAGCGGACGACGTCCGTACACGACGGCGTTTCCTGTTGTCTTACCTGACGACATGTCGCCAAGCGAGATTGCTTCGTCAGCCGACGTTCTGACTGTTTGAAATCAAAGTGTCCTAGGGTATTATCAAGCGCCGCGCGTGAGCACGGCGACAGGGCTGAGCGGCTCGCAATGGATATGGAACGTCTGGCAGCTCTGTTTTGTTTCCGTGTCATGGGGTTGATGGGACATGCAAGGGACACTCAATAAAACTGATGTCCCTTGCCCATCCCCCCTGCCGTCTGCGGACGACGTCTGCTTTGCGGCCACGAAATCAGCCAGAGCATTATTCTGCGAATCACTGCGATAAGGACAATAGGGAAGTGTACAACATCGTCTCGACGTATTATTGAAGCTCCGTATTGATTAGGAAGGCAATGATTCCTGTTATGTACAGCCACTTTTGCGAGGGTGTCTGATCGCGTGTTGGAGAGCGCCTGAAAGTTCTTGCGCTCTCAGAGAACGACGCATTTGAGCATAGTTCTCGTTCAAGATGGTGTCTCGCAGGTTCTGAGGGAGCGGGAAAGATGATGTTCGCACACAGAGCACAGAACTCAGGTGCAGCAGTGTGTGTGGGTTTGAGAGAACAACTAACCGTTCAATCCATCTCAGAAAGAAGAAAAAAAACATAATTATATAATACAAATGTTCGTTCGCGTAACCGATCTGGAAAAAAAGATCTACAGATGCTCGATGCACTGACGAGGATTGAAAACGAGCGCTGATAAGGAGCAAAAAAGGGCAAAAAAAAGGGCCCATCCGCGACTCGAACGCGGGACCTCTCGCAACTGTGCTTAAGGGTTGACCCTAAGCGAGAATCATACCACTAGACCAATGGACCACTGGGAGGAGTTATTAGCTCGAAAACCAAAAGAATGTTATATACGCAAGTGGCCACACACTTACAAGGCAATCGCAGTTCTGTTCTCGCCATCCCTTTTCATCGGCTCTGAACATCCTTCACGAGTGTGGACTGAAGAGACGAAGTCACGGCGTTAAGGGGATTGTGGAAGGCACGGAGGCCAAGCGTCTCATCCTCGGAAACTTGGACCAAGGATGAAAGCAGTGCATGAAATACGGCTTTGTACGGTCAACGGCAGGTCGGCATTTGGAGGGCAAGAAAAGGCTGAGCCAGCCTATCAGCGGTGCAGCCGGGAGTGTGGCAGCAAGGCAACAAGGCACTGACTCCGACAATGCGTCCGCGCGCATCTGAGGAGCCGACGTGAGGCGCCACGGCCGATGGGCTTGGTTGCGACACAGAGTCACGGGCACCGGCAGACGTCACACTGCGGCGGCATGGGTCATTCGAAGAGGGCACATGCGGGATGGTAGGCAGTCTTGTGGCGGCCAAGACTGCGACATTGATTGACATGGTCGGGATCGCCGTGGGAGCGGGAGACGGCGCGGCCGGACATGAACCGACCCAAGGAACACGCACCATATCCGAGCGGACTGGGAGCAGCAGCGGAGGAGGAGGAGGAAGACGAAGAACGGGGCAAAAGCAACAAAGGAACCGTGAACACAGGCGCTCGCCCGTCCGCAAGCGGTCTAGCCCGGGCGGTCAAGCACAAAAGGACGCAAAAAAAGGGAGAGACACTTGGTCGAATGGCAGCCAGCGAAGGGCCAACCGGACCTTCATTTGCTGCTCCGCTGAGGCCACTTTTGCACTCCAAGACTGCAGATTCTGTTCAGCGCCCGCGTCAGCCCCAGCCCGGCGCTCCAACAATCTCGATCCATCCTTCTCCGCCGCGGACGTCGCCTTGGATGGCCTCGCTGCCGTGTCGCCTTCAGCCAGAACCGCCCGATATCCACACCTGTCCTGCTGAGCTCAGCGTGCCGGCCGCCGCGCTTTCGATGCGAGTCCCGTCTTTACCCGCCCGGTCTGCAGCTCAGGGAGATCGAACAGCCGCACCGCGCACTCGGAAAGCATTGACCCCGTCGTGTACACGCACGCGAGGCCTGCCCCAGTTCGTCGGGCCCAGAACTCGATCAGACTCGCTTCTCTGAACGAGTGCATCGCATCGTCTCGTCGTCGCCTCGCTGCCGCGCCCGTTTGGCCGCCACCTGTCGATTTCCCCCCGGTGCCCGCTGCTCAGGCGTGAGGCCTGATCCTCTTTGCGCTCCGCCCGGAGGGGGCCCTCTTCACGGCGTGTTCACCATGTCGCAGGAGCTCAAGAGTGTACGTCCGCTATCCTGCTCCATCCCGCCACGCCTGCCTGCTCTTGCTGACCATCTGCTCCCACAGGACGCCGAGACGGCGTCTCCTATGGCGGATCCCCCGCCTCCCTTGACGAGGGCGCGCGCTTTCGTGTCGCAACCCGTCGTAGCCTCCTTCATCGCCGGCGGCGTCGCCGGTGCGGTGTCCAGAACCGTCGTCTCCCCGCTGGAGCGACTGAAGATCCTGTTTCAGGTCCAGAGCGCGGGCCGAGATGCGTACAAGATGTCGATCTGGAAGGCGTTGGGCAAGATGTGGAGAGAAGAGGGTTTCAAAGGCTTCATGGCTGGCAATGGCACCAACTGCATCAGGATCGTGCCGTATTCTGCCGTGCAGTTCGGAGCGTTCAACTTCTACAAACCTGTACGTGTCAGGCCTAGATCCCGACGAAGAGATCATCGTGGCTGATTTTCATGTCCAGTACTTCGAAGCCACACCAGGACAGCCTCTGAGCCCCGAGCGGCGACTGGTGTGCGGTGCATGCGCTGGCATCACTTCTGTCACGTTTACCTACCCGCTCGACATAGTACGGACACGTCTATCCATACAGTCCGCGTCCTTTGCAGAGCTGGGCACAAGACAAGCCGGGCAGAAGTTGCCCGGCATGTTCGAGCTTATGGTCCTGATGTACAAGAACGAGGGAGGATGGAAGGCGTTGTACCGGGGAATTATACCGACGATCGCCGGCGTGGCTCCCTACGTAGGCCTCAACTTCATGGTCTACGAGTCGATCAGACCGCATTTTATTCCTGATGGCCAAGCAAATCCAGGAAACTTTGGCAAGCTCGCCTCGGGCGCGATATCAGGCGCGATAGCGCAGACATGCACATACCCTTTGTAAGCCCCCTTCAATTGCCAAAGTGCACAGCATCAGAGCACTGACATGAACGACAGTGACGTTCTGCGAAGAAGATTTCAGGTCAATACAATGTCTGGTATGGGCTACCAGTACAAGTCTGTCTGGGACGCCGTATCCACCATCATCAGACAAGAGGGCTTCCAGGGCATGTACAAAGGAATTGCACCAAACCTGCTCAAGGTTGCGCCAAGCATGGCCGCCAGCTGGTGGACTTTCGAGACAGTTCGTGATCTCATGGTCTGGCTAGCTCCGGAGCAGCCATTGTGAACAAGGTCGATCTCCATGTTGCGCTGGTCCCACTGAAACGGATCGACATGGTTGCCTCTTCAAGCACTACGAAGCCAGGGGAAACGCGCCGTCAAGAACGCACCACAGCCGCGGACGCAAAATGATTTTTTTTTGAAATCCTTGACCTGCGCACCTTGACCACCTACTTTACACATGCATATATCACCATTGCATTTAGCTGGCGTTTACGAAGGGACTGGCAAGGCATTGCAATCGCCTCAATCCCCGCCACCTTCGTTGATTTTGGAAAGCGTTCATAACACCGGTGGAGGAACGCATTTACATCGGGAAAAAAAACCTACATTAGAAAGATCCTGGTCCCCTTTTACACGTTAGCATTGTCGCGACGATGGCTCACGGTAACGAAACGAAGGGGTGAACATAGATGTGACAGTACTCTTATAGAGAGATCCTACGTTTTCGCATGTCTGATTTTGCTTTGTAGATTTACCATCATTTCATTGTGTGTTGCGACGTGAGATGAGCGCGCCTTTTTTTTTTTCTTTTTTTTCTTCAAGAAAAAAAAAGACGTGCATTCCGCTCTGCCATTCCCATTGTCTTTTCCTTTACCTTCTTCCACCAAGGATTTCGCAATATTTGCAAAGATTGGTTTCGGTAGCAGCGTCAGTACCGTCTGAAGCCGGTCCAATTCTCTCAGAAACTTCCAAGCCACGGAACTAGCTATGCACAAAAAGGTCAGACATGCTTGACTTCCTTTCTTTTCCTTTCTTTTCCTTTCTTTTCCTTTCTTTTCCTTTCTTTTCTTTTCTTTTCTTTTCTTTTTCACGGGTTGCCTGACAAGGCCTCTAGGAAATCCGGGCATTACGTCGAATCAAAGAAAGAGAAAAAAGGTCCCCTCCATAACAAAGCCCTCCGATGAAAGAAACACATCAAGTGTTTGCCATGTTGTGTTCATTCGTTGGGGATTTCAGCTAGTATATCTTTCCTGCGAAGATTCAGGAAACGATGGCTTTCAAAACGGATCACCGCGATCTGGTCGATGACAACTTTTACTTGCTAACTTTGCAGTTATAGGCGTGCCTAGTGTGGCGTTTGATGTAAAAAGCAAAACCGTGAAAAAAAAAATGGAAGAAAAAGGCTAAACTTTGGTAAGGTGTTTGCCTTCCTGCGGTGTGGATTCGCCTCACGCGGCTGCCATTAGCCCTTTGCGAAGATCAGGCCAAAACGATATTGTGTGAACTAAGGAACGAGCGCAGCCACGGAGGGCATCCGAAGCCGCTTGTCGAGGACGTCGAAATACTCACGGCGAGCCGTTCATGGGGCTCCTGAGATTAAGCTGGCGACTTTTATACCAGAACGCAAAGGAAGTGCAAGTATCACGGGATTAGGCTCGCTAGGCATGGGGTGAAGAAGAGGGAAAAAAAAAATAGAAAAAAAAGAAAGAAAGAAAGAGAGAAAGAAAAAGAAATAAGAGTTGAGACATCATCGCGCATGCTCCTCTCGCTTCGGAAATGATGCGATCCATCCGCACGCCACTCTGCTGCAAGAGTTGAATGCGAGTTTTCAGCCTTGTCCGCCCAACTGAAGTCGAGCGCCTTTTTCAGCGTGGCTTACTTCCCGCCGCGGATTGCACAGGAGGGCGCTTTTCGCGCCGAGCAGAAAACGCTTTCTCGGAGGCGAATCGGATTCGTTCCCGAGAGAGATAGATAAGAGAGAGAGAAAAAACCCCCCGTAAACGCGGGCGTCTCTTCTTCTCACATGTGGGCTGAAAGATCACGCACCAACATGGCTGCAGAGTCGTATGCACGTAAGAATGCTGCGGCGCTCGTTTCCGCAACCCGTCTGTCTGGGCAACGTGGACGTTGACCGCGATGCTTGGCTACGTGCCGTATGGGGCGAAAACGGAGCAAGTCAGACGAGCGGTCGACGTTAGTCCGTTCTCATGTTTCCATTCCAGCGTGACAAAGGGAAAGGTACTTTCTCTCAAGTGGAAGCCTGTTAGGTTGTTCGCTGTACAAGGCTGAGAAGCAGACTACAAAGCACATCTTGCAAAATGCCCAGGATGTCACAGGGCAATTGCGAATGGATAAAAATACAGCTGCAATGCTTCCAACTCGTTGGCTAAAAGGAAATCCTGGCCGTCAATTGATCTTAAATCTTCCCTGCCCACGCTCATGGGAATAATTCCTCAAAGTTGACATCTCCTCCTTGCTTCAATTTAATCTTACTACACGTTAGCTCAGCTACCCACCATTCCTTTAAAAAGAAAGTATAGCATGGCTTACGAGCACGATATCCAGACACTTCCCAGCTTTCCGTACAACTACGATGGTTTTCCACTTATTGGCTGGAAGGAAGTCCTGATAACGTGCTGATTTTAGACCTGCCCTGCCCTGCCTTGCCCACGCTCATGGGAATACTTCTGCTGAAGCTAATATCTCCTCCCTGCCTCAATTCAACCTTGCTATGCGTCAGATTAGCCACCTGTAATTCCTCAAAAAGAAAAGTATGCTATGGCTTGAGAGCCCAACCTCCAGAAACCCCCCAGCCTTCCGTACGATTGCGGAAGCGTACAGCCATCCTACAAAGAGCTACTATCCCTCCCTTATTTTCTCTTCCACTCGATCCAAGCCCGTCATCTTTGTTGGGTTCTGCCATTTGGAATCACAAGATGCCGGCCGCTTTTTTCAGATTCGAAAGCCGCGTTTCCAACTCCGCCTTCTTCTTCCTCACTGCGTCTCTTTCCTTCAATTTCTGCTCCAGCTCCTTGATAGCCTGCACTGCAAGTCAGCAAGAACATAGTCCTTTTCTTATCCCACTCTGGCATCTTGGTCTCACCCGTTCCAACTGAGCAATTGCGATTCTTTCCTCTTCGATTTCTTCATCGATATGTCTTAGGGACATGTCGCTTTGGCAACTGGCTACCTTTTCTGGGCTCATCGTCGTACCAGTTGTTCTACTGTCTTCCGTTATGAGAATGTGATCATCAGTTCTCTGGCCGTCACCTTGTGTAGATTGCTCGGTTGAAACATTTGATCCTCTAGACGACGTATCGGATTCTACTTCAGGCAGAAAGGGACATGGCTGTGGATATGAATTTACGTTCAGCAATGTCTCCGGTGAGGCAGAGATCATCTGTGCTATGGGATTATATTGACCATGTGTCGGTGAAGTGAGCATCTGTGCTGTCGGCGCATTTTGGGACGGCTGATTAGGCGTGACCTGCGCAGCTTGAGATGCGTGGCTCGATACGTCAACCCTCTTTGACAGAAATCCATCGAAGGAGGAGAACTTGAAGGGGTCTTCATCTACTAGCAACCGACCATTTCTGGTAAGTATGGCCTTTGGATTCAGTACTATTGGAGAAGTAAGCAATGTGAATCTGGCTCCAACGAGAACTACGACTCTCACAAAGCCTGGCCATTGTCGAATGGTCGTGTACCAATATGAACCGGAGGGTGCTGAGCATAACATTATGTGTATTTTGAAACCCAACAGTGCTATACTCAAGACAGCCGTGAAACGAAATTTTTTCGTCACCCATTTTCACCCATTCTCGATTACGTCCAGGCAACTGGGCTCGATATCCCTATCATTGGTTAGTATAGTCCTCGACTTGATGGACAAGATACTACCAGAAAGTCTCCTCTGGCAACGGTTTTGAGGGCTTCCATGTAAACGACACGTCCTTTCTTGAAGCACATCTCGCATACAATTCCCACTGCGGTTTCCGGCCGTTGCGTATCATCACCGACGTGCTTCTTCAGTGTATTCCTGGATGGAATAAGGTCATCCTTGGCGGTGAAGATTCGTACACCATGCTCCATCAAAAAGTTCTTGTCCAAGACACCGTTGCTGTGGAGTTTACAGGGCAAATCTGGGAAACAAGCAGTGGATAGAGTTTCCGTCATGTTGATGACACGCTACTATGTCAAAAAAAAAAAAAAAAAAAAAAGCGTCAAAAGGCATTGAAGATTGAGAGCGAGGCACGAGCTTACCATCCGACATCTTGCAATTGATGCGTGCCATCGCTCCCTACTCCAAGTTCCTATTGGGCGATGAACGAATTGCTTTTCAATCCAGCCACCCATGCTTCTTTGCAGCACACAAATACTGTTCAGGTTGAGCCTTTCGCGTTTTGACGATCCTTTAGCGATTCCTATTGGGCAAGTCCCCACAAGAGCTTGAGAGCTGTGCGCTCAATTTTGGTGTATTGCGTCGCAAATCTTCGTGACATGGCTGAGAGCCTGATGCAGAGTTTCGCCCAGTTTTGCAGAGAAACTTAGGCGGGGAATCGGAAGAGGCTTCAGGTGGCTTGCGATGGGCTTTGTCTATTCGTTGTGAATTTACCTTCACGGATGCTTGGGCCAACTTGTTGCCTTGAGTGCCCTCAGTCCATACTATGTACGCTGACAGTTCGGGAAGGACTATCACAGTATTAGACGCTCTGACTGTTTGCTGGCGTCCAGCAGATAATTTCGGCCTTGGGTTTGTCCATTCAAAGTGACAGGTCTTCGAACTCTGGGTCATGCACATTCTGCGTTGGATTGGAGAATAGTTTCTTCGTTTTCTTGTCAGCCAACCATTTTTCTTTCTTGCACTTTTGTTGGTTCAGTTTTTCACTATTGCAAAGATCTTTTGCGGAAACTAACGCAAAGATGTCAGAACGTAGGTTTGCTAGGTCGTTGGGTTTTCAATATACAAATCCACGTGGGCCTGTTTGTTTGAGAAGAGACTCTTTGGTGTACCAACTCTGGCATAAAATACTCAGTATGGCGAACACGGAAGAAATTTCTTTGGAAGACGCCATTAAACAGATAAAAGACCTTGTTGACGATTATGGCCCAAAAATTTGGACAGGAAATTGCAGTGACATTCTGGTTGCTCCCGGTCATTATCCAGAATATCCTCAAGCCCTAAAGTGGCCGGATGATCAGCAGAAGTGAGTGAAAGGCTTCCAAGGTGTTTCGGATGTGAGTTGCTAAGCACCTGCAGGATCATACAAACTTGCGAGTCACTCTATCGGTACAGAAAATCCAGCAAGAGGAAGCGTGAATCAGCCGATCTAGGTAAAGGAGACAACCTTGGCAAAGCAGCGTTTCTCATGTCTCCGCAGATAACTCTGATGGCGAGAGCTTTACCACGTCTCACATGCCGTCTCGAAATCAGTCCGTAACGAATCCGCTGGAAGAGAGCATTCATATCAGCCAAGGAGCAAAGACGCCACCGCACCAAGGCCCAGTCAGAAGTTACCCGTGCCGAGACTCGGACAACAAAAACCTAAAGTGCACCAACCTGTGGCTTGCAACCGTGAATGACGGCCTCTCCGCGGCGTTGACGCTTGGAGAGCATATGACAATCGAAAGCCTTTTTCAAGCGGTGACAAACGCATTCATAGCAAGGCATCCTACCCGTAAGATAGACCAGCGGGGGCCTTTGCTAGCCATAATCCTCACCTTTCCGCTCAATCTTGGCCATCATTTGCAGAAACCAAGGGTGCTTGATACTCGCGATGGGGATGCAAACCTGCTAGCTTTGCGAGAAGAGATATGGATGGCCTTCTGGAATTATCGGGAAAATGATGACGCTGAAGAGATTGTGATTTTTGGAACCGTTGTCTTTACGTATGATGACGTTCAACGAGCCGAGGCAGCCTGGATTCAAAGAGTCCTGAGGTAGAGATTTCAAAGGCTACTGAGTCTATTACCTGCAAGCTGGATTGGAAAATAGGATGAGCTAATCTAAATGTTATGTATCCTCCCAGCAGTTTTTATTTTCCTCTAATCACTCATGCATCATCTTGTTTAACTGAGTTATGAGCTCGTGATCATCGTTAGGAGTACTGCTTCTCTGGCAAGGCTGTAGTATTTCCCGTCGTTTGCTGGCGGGAATTCCTTCTAGTTCCTCCTTCATTAGTATTCACAGCATCCAGTAAAGTCAATGGCAAAGACATGAATTCATGCTTATTCTTCCATCTAACCTGAGTCTCCGCAAATCCAGTAGATTGGGAAGGAGGAGGTGGCGGGTCTGTGATCTTGGTGATCAGGTACGCGGTAGATGCTTCTGCGATTCCGTAGATCAAGACACCAACCAGAGGAATCTTGAGTAAGACAAAAAAGCCAACACCAAACCCAAATAGAACACCCTCACGTTCTTTGAACCATTTTCGTTTCTGCTCCTTCGTATACTGGATGCGTGAGAAGTACGGTTCAAGCTGCGTCAGCATTAGTCCAGAGTGTAATTACCACATATCGCAATGCTTACAAGTTCCCGCATAAGGCTTCTGCTTGAGAAATACGTCTGAAGGAATACAACGAGATACTTCTTGGGCATCACGATACCGATAGCAAAGATTACGATGGCAGGTTGAGTCCCGACTGCATTCTTGAACGTGTAGAAGCTGGCGGCCGGAAGGACAAGCCGACCCACATAGGGTACAAAGGAGAGAAGATATACAGCCAAGGAGATTAACGCCCGACGGCCAAATCGGAGCAAGAATTCCGTAATGCCATGGAATGCGTTTTTTTTCTGAGTCTGCTCGCCAACTGTGGCCGCTGGGCCACGCTTGGGATACTGTGCAAGGTTAGGGTAATACATAGCTCGCAAGGTTTTCGGGTCATCGGATTTGTGCTTGGCGAGGTAGGTCCTATCAACCCAGTCGAGTGACTCCATGAACATGTTGTCCAGCGTTGGCGTGATGTATCGCATCAAGCTCATGAGGAAGAATGGTATCTGCAAAACCGAGTGCTCGACAAACTGCAGGCCACGAACAACGTCGTTATCCCACGAAGAATGGTCAAGATTCACGAAAAGGCCAATGATCCAGAGAAGGGCACGAACGCCAAAGATCTACATGTCTCACATCAGTGCTTGTGTCCTTTGCTAATGAACTGCGTCCCTTACAGGTATCTCGATGAGCATCCGGATAGCGATCCCGGCAGCAACGGCCAAGGCGGCCTGCCGGTAATGATCACTGGTGAACATTTTTGGATTTTGCAGTGCCCGATGAGCGCCCACGAGAGTAAGTTGGAAGCCTCGAAGGATGGCATTGGGGTCGAAGTTCGCCACCTTTGCTCTCCACTCGTCGACATTTTTGGGCATTGCTGCTTCTGCCCGAGCCTTCAGCTCATCTAGTTTTGAAGACGCCATGTTTGTTCGTGGTATTGGTTAAGAACTACAGCATGGAGAACAGTAGACCAGGCTGGAGATGTGGCGAGGAGATCCAGCGCAATCGATGACGCAGCTCGACCCAGTCCTGATTGGGTGGCCCTGGCGCTCGTTCCAGTTACGGATTTTTAGCATTACTCCTATTCCATTATGCCGCTGAATTAGATCAAAATACATGGGTTTTGTTAGATTGCAATGATTTAAGGGGAATAGTTATCACGTAAATCTCAATGTCTACGGCATGCTGCTCTAAATATCCTGTCTTGCAACTTGATTCAGCAAAGGACAGCATACGATTCCAAGCATTGGGAAAAAGCAGTAATCCCATAAGCAATAAATTTGGTCAACCAACCGGGATGGATTCACCGATACCGAGTACATATTTGCGAAATAAGGACGATAGAAGACCAATGCTTTGATTGTTTATGCTATATACATAGTAAATGCTTGAACGCAAGCCCTGTTTATCTATAAGGAGCGTCGGCTCTTGCAGCTGCAGCAATTTCGGGCTCCCACTTGTCACCTAAATCAAATATGTTAGTATCGGTCATTAGAACCTGGTTATTCCTTGTAGAACTTGCCATTTGATAGCAACTTTTCTTTGTTGTATAGAAGTTCCTCTCTCGTCTCGGTCGCATACTCAGCATTTGGCGCTGTAAAGTACCATTAGCTACGTTCTTTAACGCCCAAGTCCATGTGAATATCGAAGCTTACTCTCCACAATAGCGTCCACGGGGCAACTCTCTTGGCACAAGCCGCAGTAGATGCACTTTGTCATGTCAATGTCATATCTCGTCGTCCTCCTGCTGCCATCTGCACGCTCTTCGGCTTCGATTGTGATGGCCTGGGCTGGGCAAATTGCCTCGCACAGCTTGCAAGCAATGCAACGTTCCTCACCAGTCGGGTATCGTCGTAGGGCATGCTCTCCACGGAACCGTGGGGAGATAGGGCCTTTTTCAAAGGGATAGTAGATGGTGTATCTGTTGGACAATCAAGTTAAACGCTGGAATTCTCGCATAGAGATGCCTCTGGGGGCACAACAGCGCGGGGCAGATGCACTTACGGTGGACGGAAGAACTGCTCCAGCACTACGTACATTCCTCTGAAGATCTCGGTGAGGAGAAAGTACTTGCTTGCCTTGTCCATGGTGCTCTCCTGCTCCTCGTCCCAGCGTGGCGGTCGACTAACTCGTAAGCCAACGGGTGAGACACCAGCAGGAGTAGCAGTTCGAGGAGCAGATGTTGAGAACAAAACAGCGCTGACGGGTCGCGCGTAGCGGCCCTGCGAACGCGAGGAGGTCAAGATGACCGAAGACGCTGGCCGCGAGCGCGCCAGCGCCATCAGTGGCCGTGTTGTTGCCATTGTTCGTTGCGGAGGGGAGAGTTGCAGCTGTTGGCGATGGAAGGTGTGGTTTCTCGGGTGTGAACTACAATGCTGAATACGTCTGTGCGCTCATTGGCTGGAGAATGCAGGAAGCTTCAGAAGCGGTGCAGCAGCTCTGAAAGGATGTAATGGCACTTCAAACGGCATCCGTACACTCAATTGACATCTCGATTGGCTTTTAATAGCCTGTTGACCTCAGTGCCGTCGTCGCCACGCTCGACCCACGTGACTCGAAGTGGTTCTTCCTTCTGGCGGTCCGAGCTTCCAGGAATTCCCTAACATAGAATCGTAGCATCATCAACACCATCGTCCTCCCCCATCCTTTCCGCTTGATATCACACCCGTCTTCCCGTCAAACATGCTCCGACAAGCCTTCCTCACATCCACTCGTGCCGCATCACGATGGGGCTGTGCGCGCGCGACGCCAATTGCCCGCTCGAACATGATCCGCTCCTCCATCCTGCCAACTAGACAGCAGCTTGGTTTCCAGGCTGTTCGTTGCTATGCTGCCAGCTCCGGCCTGTCGAAGGAAGAGGTGCAGGGAAGGATACTGGACCTTCTGAAGAACTTCGATAAGGTATGCCAGATCCATCTATGGCGATATTGAGATGGTGGCTAATACCGTACCCTACAGGTGACGGACCCTTCGAAGGTACTTGATGCACTCCAAAGAGGGTCGTGTCGTGGTGCTGATTCTTTCGCTAGCTCTCTGGAACGTCACATTTCTCGAATGATCTCGGTCTTGACAGCTTGGACACTGTGGAAGTCGTGATGGCAATTGAGGAGGTGGGTTTTTTTTCAACACCCCAAAAGACAGCACAGCCGATGACAAGTTACAGGAGTTCAGCATTGAGATTCCAGACAAGGAAGCAGATGCCATTCACAGCGGTAAGATTGGCAACAATCAGTGATGTGCCTTTAGCCTAGGCTGATGCAAGTTTCCAGTTGAGCAAGCAGTAAACTACATCCTCAGCCAGCCAGACGGTATGTACTTTCAAATCTCCAGCACCATGCACGCACAATGCAGCTAATGAAGCGTAGCCCACTGAGTCTTGTGTATGATATAGCTGGAGGAAAGAGCAGTACTGGTGACAATGGGACGGGCGAAAAGGCAGCGTTGCGCTGTTGAGCATTTCCAATTTAGAACGCCTAGCTCTCTTGTGAGATCATAAGCACTGTACTATATAGAGCAAAGGAAATCAATTCTCAGTGCTCTCCCTGCAGGCCTTGTTTGTCCACGCACCGTCTGTGGTGCGGATTCGTCGTCGTCTCCACCCTGTGTTTCGCAAGCGAGCGGCGCAACCGCAATTAAAAAAAGTTGCAGCCGCTCTTCACAATTTCCTAGCGCGCCCTGACCAAGCGTCGATAAATCTGCAAGTGACCACGATAGCCCATTTTGCTGGCCTCGAGTCCCAGGGCGAACCAAAAAAACCGCCCATTGGCACTCTTCTTCGATTCGGCGGAAAAGTTCGTCTACGCGTGTCGTTTGCGCTCGGCAGCTGATCGTCCTGCTGTCGAACGAGCGACACAGGCTGGGCTTCCATCCCTGTTCTGTACCACTGTCTGGCCGTCATCTCTCCCACCTTACACGCGACCTCGACAACCCAAAACTTCCACACCCCACAACGAAGTCCTGAACTGGGCGCAACACCTCCCTTTTCTGGGCGCTTCTCTCCTCCTCCGAGCCATTCGCTTCGCATCACGCGTCCGTGAACCCGCCCTCCCCTAATGGCCTCGACATCGGGCTTGACCCGGCGGCGCGGCGGAGCGCAGACGTCCACGGGCGACGACAGCGGTGAAGGCAGCAGAGTCAGCTCGCCGGCGCCTAGGAGAACAGACGACTACCGGGCCCCTGAAACATCGTACGAAAACAGCGAGAATGGGCATAAAATTGCGTTCGACCCGCGGGACATCAGCGAAAGCGCCGAGAGGAGCAAACAACCCAAGCTGACGCTTATGGAGGAGGTTCTCCTCATGGGTCTCAAAGATAAACAGGTATACGTCCCCTGAAAGCGTGCTGTGATCTGACAGCAGAGCACTGCCAACGCGGCGAAAGAGCAAAGTGGCTAACTGCTAGGCGTCCTCATGTGCAGGGATACCTATCTTTCTGGAACGACAACATCTCATACGCGCTGCGCGGATGCATAGTCCTCGAACTGGCGTTTAGGGGGAGGATCAGCATGCAAAAGGATGCCTCAAGACGACGATTTCCGCTCCAAGACCGCATCATCGAGGTTATCGATGATACCCTGACAGGAGAGGTTCTTCTAGATGAAGCCCTGAAGATGATGAAGACAAGCGAGAAGATGAGTGTCGCATCCTGGATTGATCTTATGAGCGGTATGTCGTGGCAGACATTGGACGGAGAATCTGTGCGGCTGACGGGATTTGACAGGCGAAACTTGGAATCTCATGAAGATCGGCTATCAACTCAAGCAAGTGCGTGAACGTCTTGCGAAGGGCCTTGTAGACAAGGGCATTCTGCGTACTGAAAAGCGCAACTTCCTCCTGTTCGACATGGCGACTCACCCAGTTGCCGACGGAGGGGCGAAAGAGGAGATCAGGCGTCGAGTACGCAACGTACTGACGCAACGCACCGTTGTGCTCAACGCTTCGCAATTCCTCCCCGAGGAGATGGAGTTTCGGTATCTGCGCACCATCAGCATGGTGTGCGCTGCGTACGCTGCAAACGTGCTTGAGAATGCCCTGAGTACCTTGGGACATGAGGCAAGAGAGCGCGCATTTGCACAGGTCGATGAGCTGCTGGCAGAGTACAGCCAATGGCCCTTTGCGAGACGGCAAGGTGGCCAGCAGGGAGTGGGCGCGAACTTGAGCCAGGAGGTCAGTAACGAGGTAAATCGGAACAAAGATAAAGAGCTACAGCTGGAGGTGAGTTTAGCCACTTGATGTTGCCCTTTTCTCCTGCCGAGCTGATCGCGTGCTGCAGATTGTCGCAGCTTGCCTGAGCGTTTTCACGCGGCTCGATTCGCTTCTATGAACAGCTTATTGAAACTCGACATCTACACTCCTCTCACTTCCACTACGGCACAATCCCTAGCGTTCGTGCGCATCATGGGTACCACTAGCTAGCTCGAAGGTTAAAGAAAACCTATATACACCTACATATCCGTATATCCTACCTACATGCAACAGCTTTTAATCGTCGGGAAAATCAAGAGCTTTGGGCGTTTGGATGGTGCCGAATATTCAAACGGGGAATATATGCATTGTCATTACTCATCACCAACGAAGCGGCAAAGCGTTGATACCATATGGAGTCATGATGATTTTGACCTTATGCGCGGCTTTCTATCCAAGGCTGGTGAAGAAAATTTGTGAACTTAGAAGGGTCACTATTTCCTTTTTTTTTCCCTTGTTCTATTCCCTCTTCCTTCATTTTTATCGTTTGAAGTCCAACGTGCTAGGTATGTTTCATTTGCGTTCCGTTTTTCAGACGTCTCTTGCCTCGCTCAGTCTTTCCGCGTTCAACTACGGGAGACTTCGAGCTGGATGCATACATCATATGTATGAGACAAGAATAAACAACCCAATCGACGATCTTTGAGTACGAAAGCTACGGCACTTGTTTTCAGCGTGGCTCTTCGTAATTTATCTGTCGATATAGGCAACAGAACTTTGCTCTTATTTTCTCAATAGTCTGGACGCTTAGTCCTCGAAACTATGAAACTCGGCATATCAACTTTCCCTTCGTCTTGTTACTCGCCATTAACTCATGCGCCTGCTGGATCTGCTCCATGTCAAACACCTTCTCGATAAACACCTTGAAAGTCCCGTCCTTAAACTTGGGCATAGCATGCTCAACCAACTGATCTCGGAGCCTTCCCTGGTATTCCTCATCCCTGCTGCGCAGTGTACTTCCCTCGTAGCGGATACGTTTGTACAGCAACAGGCCGATATTTACACCTGCCGGCAATTCCACCCCGCCTAATGCCGCTAGAGTGACGCAAATTCCGTCTCGAGCCAAGGCCTTCAAGTTGCTTCCGAATGTCGGCGCACCGATGAAGTCAATAATGATGTCGACACCCTTGCCATCTGTTGCTTTCAACACCTCTTCCGCCCAATCGCCCGTCTGTAGAAACGCAGCTGTAGCACCTAGCTTCTCCACACAGAATCTGTTCTTCTCCTCGCTTCTCGTAGTCACGAAAATCTTACTTGCTCCGTCCGCCTTTACAAGCTGTTGACCTGAAATGCTTACAGCCGACGCGCCGGCATGAAAGAGCACGCTCTTGCCTGGGACGAAGCCGGCAATAAGATAGAGCGCCTGAGTAGCCGTCATCCATGTCTCCGGGATACCGGCCGCTTCCTCCCACGTCAATTCTTGGGGCTTGTGGATGAGCATGTGCGTGCTCACGGCGATGTACTCGGCATACGCCCCGCCATAAGCAAGTCCGAAGACTTCGTCGCCAACCTTAAACTCCCGTTCAGCGCCCGGCGCGATGCTTTCGATCGTCCCGGAGAATTCAAGGCCCATGAGGGGACTGGCGTGTGGCGGAGATGGATAGCCTCCTTCACGCTGGAGGAGGTCCGCACGATTAAGACCAAAGTACTTTATCTTCACGATTGCCTGGCCTTCACGTGCGACCGGCTTGGGGTATTTATCGTTGATGTAGAGGGCCGAGATGGGGCCCTTGCCGCCCTTGATGTCTGATAGGTATAGGTCAGCATGTTGACGTCTGGTTTTGGCTTTTGACAGAGTGTACAAAAAAACCTAAAAGAAAAATTGAAGATGCTTCGGGATTAAGGAAGTGAGAATCCTTGACTGCTTTTTGCCTTGACGCTCACGTACCAACTGCTCTCATGTACTCTTGCGCCATGGTCTAATTCGTACGCTTTTTTTGTAAGCCTGGGTATTTTCAAAGCGAATTTAAGATTTCCGAGGAAAAAAATTTCCAAGTCTCCTTTTCTCTCTGCCTCGATCGTTGCGCGTCCAATGTAAAGCTCCTGTTGTGGGGATGGGTCGTAAATATGTCGCGTGGATTACTAAAAGCCGAACCATCTCCTCACGTCTCTCCCTGTGCGTCATCGTTCCGCTTTTAACTTGCATGCCGAATATCATCTATGTTCTAAACCCATGCGTCCGTTGATTCTCCGTGATGGCTGATATAACGCTCGCGGAGAACTTGGCGCAGAAGTTTGAATCCTACGCGCGAACTCAAATATCTGTTGCTACGGGTAACCTCAGCCTACGTGTGTTCGCCAGCCACCATCCGGTACATTTCGTGAGAATTTGCCGTACATGTTGTTTGATCGAGCATATTGCCTTGCTATTGCTAGATTACTGATATTGTCACAATTCACATGCGGGGCCACTTTGATTTACGGGCTGAAATACGGTGTGTTTCTTCGCTTTCTCAAAAGAACGTTTCGTAACGCTAGAGCACGGGAATGATGAGCGTCAGCGCAGGCGGGGACGTGATGATAATTAGAGCTAAGATCAGGGAATGAAACAACTGTTGTCATGCTCGGTGCTTTCTTTAGTTATGACTATCCGCAGAGTTGACTCCAGCGCATAGCTCGCCTTCCTTTGGCATTCTCACGTACAAACTCGAGAACGTGCAGTGGCGAACGGAATCTTTCCTGTCATCATCCTCCATGCGATGATCGGGGATCCCCCATCTTACAGGCAGAAACGCAATGTCAGCCTCTCTCTCTTCTTCAGACACGTGACACATAGCACTGATACATGCGCTGTTCGTGGCTACGATTGGCATGCCACCCCTGTACGTGCGAGTTCCCAGGTACCAGACCATGGCTACCATAACTGATCCCAGCGTGATGACTCCAAGAATCGCGGACGGGGAATAGCCGCAGGTGAGAAACTCGTCACTTAGGCCATCCTGGCTTTGCTCTTGAACACTGACGAGAAATATGCTCTGCGACGTCAGCCAGTGAAGGATGCCGCTCAGGGTCATAAGTGGAAGAGCAACTCTGTAAGGGAGCTGCAACGTGTACGTGGACCTCTGAGCCCCACGAGGGATTGAGCTGATTCTTAGACCTTTCTTATGCGTAGCATATCGTGACCATTCTCTCCCGGCGAGAAAACAGGTGAACAAGCTATTGTACGTGTAATATATCATGGATAAGACGACTTGGGGCAAGTTGGCGATGATGACATTGGAAATGAGCCCAAGCGCTCCCGAAGAAGGTAATGTCCATCCGTATATAAACGTTGCTGGATTCAAGGAACCTATTGGCAACGCTATCAGTATTCGGGATGGAAGCGGATGACCGAAAATTCCGTAAAGGAAGAGGAATAGGCAAGCTCCAATGGCAGCAAAATATCTATTTCCCTATGTTAGCGACCAGGCACTTTCACCAAGAATCAAAAACTATACAGAGCCATACAGAACCACCACCGACGCTTGCTGACGACGTTTGACCACCTTCTGCTGTTCTTTTTGATGCTAACAGAATATGGTTGCGGCTCTGGAGGCATCGTCCACAACGCCAGTCTGTCATGCGACATCAAGCATCTGGATCGAGTCGTTTCATCGGAGACTCGAAGGAAAGACGACACTGCATCTCCCATCGTGACAAGAGGATCGTCCGAAAGGAAGAAGAAGATCAACAGTAAAGCTATGGCTTTGCAGAGGTTGAACGCAAGAACTACCCACGCAATCACAACACTGAACTGAACCTTACAGTGACCTGACAGCTTTTCACTTAGACAATACTCAACCTTGTTGCCGAGAGGCGACCAGTTGTCTCCATCGATGTTCTTATAAGCTACAGAGCACACGTCGGTATCGCCGCCAAAGCAGCTACTGGCGAAATATTCGCCGCAGATCCAATCGAATGGATTGCTTTTGCACTGCATAGAACCTCGGTTAATGGTAGATTCAAAATTATTGTAATCTCTCACAGGGAGAGGACCTTGGTCATTGGTAACGAGAATGACGTCCCCTCGTTCTGTCTGGAAATTCATCGCGTACGCATCAATGCACTGACTTGCGCTGAGTTTGTCGAGGGAGCTGTTCATCGCCTTTTCGTACAGCTGCTTAACTGTGGTATAACGAGCGTCAGTTTGCGCATAGCCGAGAGGGCTATTTTTGTTCGCTGCCGTGTTCGTCAGCATATCTGGCCGTGCGGTGTAGATGCTGTATTCGTGCGCATTAACAGTGGAGAAGACAGCTGAATTGTACCTAGATACAGAAAGATCAACGAGATTCATCGTCTAAACCAGATTGTGATCAACCTACATCAGATGCAATGGTAGAGACGAAGCACCAAGCGTGGCCCACAACAGGGCTCTGCTTCGGCTGATAGTCCTAATATTCTTGAGGCTGAGAACTCCAATATCTAACCACTTCTTCTTTGCATGAGCAAAGTCAATCTCACTCCTTGTAGGGGCGGTGAGGATTTGCATTCCATAGTTGGAAGCGGAGAGTAAAAGCGTACTCATGGCATTGATCAAAAGATGAGCGACCACGTTCAAGGTCTCAGCCTTTCTGCAATCCCCTTCGAACAAGACTCGCCGACCACTATCTTCTGCATGTTGTTTTTGAAGCGCAGAAAATGTGATGGCCACGTTCAAAACAAGGACACAGATGGCGAGCCAGGCCCCGCTGATTACACCAAACCTCCACCCTTTGAAATGCCGTTTCGTCCATGACGCCGTCGTTGGAAGTCTTGAAACCGCAGTGCTGCTCCAGAGCTCGTGTAATTCGATATCGGAGGACACTTGTCGATATGGAGCACGCTTCAGTCGCAACATTTCTTTGTGCGGCCCAGTCCCAGAGCCTGCTCTTACACAACATCAAAGCGGACGACAAGCGCTTGAGGGATTCATTCTCGAAACTTAGCGCGAAAAATGCTGGGAATTCAGAAATCTTCAGAGGTTAAGCGGTTTGTAGAGTGGTTAGCAGCATGTCGATTAAACGTCTGGACCGCCGCAATCAACGTCAGCAGTATCGGAATATGCCATGCTGAGGGCTGGCAAAGTCGTGTTTTCAGACGCCTGCTGAGCTGAAAACAGTAACCCCCAGCGTCTTCTTCAACTTGGCCAGTCAAACAGATAAGGATGTGTCTGGGCGCCCAGAAAATAAAAACGACTGGGCGGTTGAGCATCTGACCCGTAATTGGAGGTCTCGAACTCGGTCACCAGTAAATTTGCGTGGAGTGTTGAAACATAAAGGGAGGGGATTCGTTCATGCCAACCTTTTGTGCCACAATAGATTTGTCGCATAACAGAGGGTCAGTTTTCAGCCCCCACGGACCTGCTCGTGGATGAGAAGTATAACTACATCGTTGGAATCGCTTGATGCATCTCGGCAGCGGCTCACGAGCAAGGCTCCCTCGCTCTCCCAGGTAGCATAGGTATACACGTGCGGGCAACCTCTCTCGACAGCAAGTAGAGAGGCATTCAACTAAATGGGAGCACTTGCCAATCTCGTTGTAGAACCAGAAGTCCAGATATCAGCTAAATACCGGCCCTGCGTGGAGGCAGGACGATAATCAGTAGCAGCTCCGCAAGCAAGCACAGTCAAGTCAAGCAATGAATCCATCATCTGCCCACAGGATAGCTCCTGCGGCAAGCAGGTCCTGATCCGTACAGAGTCGTCAGTCCTATGAACGTACATCGGCAACGGGGGGTTTAATACAACAGGTAATCTTGGACCTGCGACGCATCAGTGAGTGGTCTGCCGTGCTTAGCTGGAGGAAGTGTATGACAGAGAGCCATTGTTGAATTCTTCGACAAAGTAGAATGAACGACAGTTCCTCTGGGTTTGCAATAGAGATGTAGAGATTACGGACGATTGTCTACGCAGCATGGTCGCTATACGTAATGGGCAAGAGATTTGCTACGCAGCCTGCTATCGAAACTCGTTAGCTCATGTTGATGTGACGTGGTAAAAATGATGACTTAAGCAGTACAAGCAAAGACTTTGTCACGATGGTGAAACTCGGCATATGGTGTCCTCATTCTGACTTTACAGCAACGCAATCGACATCTTCACCTTTCGTATGTCAAATGATATCTGAAGTCTATTTTTGAGCACAATACTATTGCTACATTCCGCCTTTGGAGGCAACTGGTTAAGAAAAGTTGATGCCCGTTTGACATCCTTCCTCATGGGCACTAGAATCCGGTTGGCTCATGGACGTCTTGTACAAAGACACAACCGCCTTTCACGCTTCGTTATCTATAAGACAGGTTTTTCTTCCTCGATCTTGCTGATAGAACATTGCTCTTTTCAATTCTGCGGGCCTGAGCCTGCGGCGGCGAAGCCTCCGATTCCTCTCTCAGCAAAATAAGCCGGACCGCGTATGTAATCCATGTCGGCACCGCTCTCGGCCCACTCGAGTCCAGTCTTGTTCTGCCAGTTCTCCTTTTTACCGGCAGCGAGACCCGCAATTTCCATACCTGCAACCACACAGTCGTTGATGCCAACGCCGCCGTAGCTGCTGCCCGCAACTTTCAAGCGCCCGCCGAAACGGCGAAGAAGCTCGCTGTGGGCAGAGCGAAGGCGACGCGTGTGTCCCACGGTATATTGAGGAATACAGTCGTGCTGCTGGTTCACCATAGTGACGGCTGGTTCGGCTTTAATACCCAAATGCCGCTTGACAACTGACTTAGCGTGTTGCAACGCCAACTCTTTATCTGGAATGGAATCAAAGGCGTTGTACCAATGACCGCCCAGCATGACGGTAATTTTTGTGCCTCGTGGTTGCTCCGGCCTGCTTGTGTCCAGCACTTCCAACTTGTCCTGGCCCAATGGAACGACGTCCGAGTCGAAGACGACGCCAAGAGCTAGTTCTGGGTTGTTTTCTAGAGGCGTGGCTTGTGGAATGAGGTAGCCAAAGCCAGAGATGGGAAGAAGATTAGGCTGGGTGTAGAAAAGGTTAACAACATTGACGCTAACCGTAGGCGTTTGGGCGAGAGACGACAAGGAGTCAGGGTTGTTCTCTGAGAGAGTAATGTACGAGAGAGTTTTCGAAGGGATGGTCGAGATGATCTGGTCGTATCTCTGAGGCGTGGGAACAGAAGACGTCGTAAGCTATCACAACACTTGTTAGCATACCTCACACAGTTCGCAAGTGGAAGAGATCTACCCACCTCGATACCGTCGCCACCATCTGCCATTTTCACCGTCTTTACCTCCGTCTTGGTCTTGAACTCCACATTTCCTATGGTCTCAAGCCAGTGACGAAGCCTGTCAGCGAACATTTCCAGCCCACCGTCAAGCGTGACTGTGCTCGCATCCTTCACTGTCCTGATTACGTCCTCGCTAGGCTGCTGTGACCTCGTCAAATGCTCCAGCAGCTCTGCGTGCCGCCTTCTCATCCAGCCTTCTCGCTGCATATCCATCACACCCTTGAACACGCTTCCGCTGTGCCGTTCTGCCCACCACGCATCGCTCAGCACAGATCGCGCAGACAGCTCCCAAGCATCACCTGCATAGATGCCATGCAGCACCGCCGAAGCGACCTGATCCACCAGCCGCCGGTTCACCCTCCGCGAGATGAATTCGCCAACGCTCTCATCCTCCACGTCGGCGCCCCGAGGCGGCACGCTCATCTCGTACATGAGGTCGCGCATGTAGCCTTTGAACGCCGGCTCTGTCAGAATTGTCCACAGATTCGCCAGGAGACCGCGAGAAGGACTCGGAAGCTCGACAAGGTGGTCAGGATAGTACAGCCAGCGCCTCTTCGCAGCAATGCTGTCCTTCGGCGTCACGATCATGTTGGCTTCAAGGCCAATGTTCTCCCATAGCGCGACCGTCGCGAAACCCAGAGGTATGACGGGCCGCACGTTGCGAGGCCCAGCCTCAAACAGAACGCTCCCCCCACCACCAGGAAGGTCGACGTACTTGGACTGCAGCCAGCCGCCTATGCGAGGGGACTTCTCATAGATGGTGATTTTGGGCGGTTGTGGCGTGCGTAGCAGGTAGTACGCTGCCGAGAGAGCCGTTATACCTCCTCCTAAAATGGCTACGTGCTGGTCTGGAGAGCCCAGATCCGTTGCCTTCGTGTTGCCAGCAGGAGACTTCGCGTCAGGCGACACCGACGAGCTTGTGCTGGCAGTGGCATAGCTGCTACGTCTCGAGAGCTGGCGGTGCGAGAGGAGATGCGAACGGAGGCCTCGTTGTGGCGGATGGATCACCGCATTATGAAACCTGCAGACGGAAGAAGAGAAGCGCATCGCAAAGAGTGGGCGATGCGCAATGGCATTGGGAAGCGCACAACAATGGCGGACGAATGGTTTTGACGTCTGGTCTGATCCAGCATCGGAGCTCGGGATGTCGGCGGCGATTTTTTTTCTACTGGATTGAGGATCGAGGTCAGTCCACTCTATCCGTGCCTCGTCCAATCACCAGATGCATCAGCCTTGCAGGACGCATCCAGCATCATACGACTTACCCGCTGACACTTTGGTTCACGTTCACACAAATAGAGAAGGTCACATAGGAGCGACTGTTGCGCTATAAGTAGGAGAAAAAGAACTTTCCATAATACACCGCGGCCCGAAGAGCAAGCGCCCGAAGCCTGTGAGATATACTTGATCCACCACGCCAATCCCTCCGATCTTCACAGACCTGACAGTCTAATGCCAGCCTCCCAGCCCTCCGATCAAGCTGCAGTAGCATAGATCACTCAAAAATGTAACATAAATAAATGGCTCGCTCTCGCCAAGTGTGCCTGTGGTCAAGGGCGACTTAGCAGAGTGCCTGTCCCATCCCGGAGGTATATATGTGCGCCGCCCAATGAAGGTGTTTGTTATACATGCATCAATCGTGCCATGCGAATCATAACCTGTCAAAAGCATCCCGCTCTCCTTTTGGCATTCAATATCACACACAAGCAGACCCATCCTCCCCCTCCCAAACCCCACACTACGTAATAACATCCATGCCTTCACTGGTGCCCTCCGCAGCCGCAGCTCCAGGTGTGATGAGCTCCTCTTCACCTTCTCCACTGACAAATTGTCTTTCGCTAACATGCTTCTCCGCTTCTCCGCCATTGAAAATTACCTGATTACTGCGGTAATATCCTCTTTTCTGGCCGGGAGCGTGTTTGTATGGACAAGCCTTGTTCGTGCACTGCGGGTATTTGCACATGACTGGATTATGCCAATACTGACACCCTTCCTCCGTGCAGTCCGCACCGTTTTTGCACGGTCCGTTGGGCGGATGTTGGAACGTGCAGCCAGGTTTCTGGCAGTATGGACCGTACTTGCAAGGTACTGTCGCTTGATATTGCTGCTTCTTTGCTGGGGAAGGGTGACGCGAGGCACATCGATTGTTTGTGCAGGCGGCACCATGGTCGCAGACCGAGGAGGTGTCCACAATAATGCCCGTGTAAGTCATGGGTCCGGAGTGCGCATATATACAGTCCGGATTCTTGCATTGCTTGTTGAAGCGGCACATCGTTTCTGCGGCCGACTTCTCATGACCGTTTTCGCCGCGCGCAGCTGCATCACCTCCCTCTTTCGGCTGGCCATCCTCACCCATCTCTGTGTCACCACCAGTAGACTTGTTGCTTTGTTGATTGTGGTGACTTCTGTTGTTAAACTTGTTCCGTTTGTCGGAGCGATCGCCGAACGAGCGACCATTGTGGAAGTTGCCGCCTTGATTCGGCTGCATGCTGTTGCTCATTTGTGCCATCATCTGCGCTTGCCGCTCCAGCATTTGCAGCATCTGCTGCATCTGGTTGCTGTCCATGACCATCTGTCCGCCGTTCTGCTGCGGGTATGCCATCTGACCCATCTGACCGGGCATAGACATGTTCTGCATCATGCCAGGGCCTCCGCGTCCAACGCCCGCGGCTGCGAGATTGCGTTGGATATTGGTTTGGCGCGGGCCTTTTGGCGGGTCTCGGGAATGCGAGTTGATACGACCAGTTCCCTGGGTACCTCGCACGCGATGCAAAACGGAATCTGCAGATCGATCCATGGCTTTGTTGGGGTTTCCGGACATTCGCTTGTCGCGTGCGGCACCCTTGGCGCCGTTACGCATCGCTTTGGGTCCTGTGGGGCTGTAATAATGTGTTAGTTGACATCGTACAAGGGGATCTTGATCATCCAAAGAGAATACGTACATGGCTCCCGAAGTATCTGCGCCTTCGGTCATGTCTGTATCAGCGGTTGTCGATGCATCAGCCGCAGGTGCGGCGCCTGCTGCAGCAGATGAAGCAGCTTGGGCGCCGCCCTGAGCCTGCTGTAGCTCATTGACCTGCTGGAACAGCCACTTCGCGAAGTTGGCGGGGGCCGGATCGTCGGGCTCCGTGTTCAAAAGGTCGGTTGCCAACTCGGTGGCAATCTGCTCCTCGTTGTTGCCGTTCGCAAGCATCAATATGATATACTCAGAGAGAGTGTCGTCCTGTTCGCCCGAGCTCCATCCCAGCTCCATCAACTTGGGAAGAACGCGCTCGTTCAACGCCTGGCCTAGCGGCGACTCTGCTGAGATGGTGGACATGTTTGAGAATCCTGGGCACTGATAGATCTCACTCGAGTGCGCGTATGTCTTGCGTGTACTCTTTTCGTCCCCCAAAAGAGCGAAACGGCTTCTCAGCCGGTGAAAGTACAGATACCGTTTGGCTCAGCTCGCTCACGCGCGCCTCAGGGCGATGAATGTCTAGTGGTGGAGTTGGTTGTGAGCAAAGAGCGATGTCGAATCGAGCTCTGGACAGCGGGACGAGACGACGGGAGAAGTCGAATGGACGGAGTCAATACGTGGGTCGAGATTGAGTGATCGGTCAAAGGCAAATCTCGTCAATACATAGTTCACGCAGGAGCGTCGATGGCTGTTTGTGGTTTAGCGCAGGCTATTTCTGCCTGAGGCAAGAAGGTGCCAGAATCTTCAGGCCTGACTCTCGGGTGTGATGCCTCAGGCCCAGAGTCGCTCTTGCCTCGCCGCTGTCGCCCGGTCTCTTCGAGTCTCCGTGTCGCTTCATTTTTTTTCTTCTCCTTCCTTGACTTTCTACCCCAACACACACTCTGCACTCGCAATCGCAATCATCTCCGCTATCATCCCCCGACTCATTCCAGCTCCAAGGACTCGCGAAACCATCAACATCGTTATCATCCATCATGTCTCGCGGTGGCACCACCCTCTACGTAACCGGTTTTGGCCACGGCACCCGCGCCCGCGACCTTGCATACGAGTTCGAACGGTACGTTTGCCCTCACGCACCCACATGGCACATGCATGCGAACCAAGCAACGGCGTCTTCTCCTTCTTCTCTCCTAGTTTTGGAGTTTTGTCGCAGTCGTCACCTTGTTGCTCGACCTTGAAGTTCCTGACAGCCGTTGCTCTTTCTGCTTTGCACATCCTCTCTTCTGTCTATGATGCAAAAACCACTCGACCGAAGATTCACACTTGTCTGTCGCAGTTTGCACTCTGTCTGTCCGAGGTGTGCAGCTTCTCAAGTCTTCAGCGGCATGTATCAAGCTCGGAGACGGCAGAACTTGTTGGCACAAGTTGAAGACAACGGCCTCAATAACCTATGCTTCAATATACTCGCATGCAATATTTTTGTTTTGAACATGGAAACCATTACTAACTCGCTCTAGCTATGGCCGCCTCGTTCGTTGCGATATTCCGGCTCCCCGTTCAGCCTCGAGTCGCCTGTGAGTAGCTCTTTTTCTCTTCGTTCTCAGCCGGTTCGCTGACATGTGGCCCCAGATTCGCATTTGTTGAGTACGAGAGCCGTCGTGACGCAGATGATGCGTACCATGAGATGCACAACATGCGTCTTGGTCGTGATGACATCTTGAAGATCGAAGTGAGTTTCTCTTTTTTCATGATAACGACATGGCCACTCGCTAACAAAATTTCATCAGTGGGCTCGTACACCTCCATCTGCTTCTTGGCGCTTCGATTCTGGACGCGATCGTGACAGCGACCGTCGTGGCGGTGACCGTGGCTCTGATCGAGGTGCACCACGGCGGGACCGCTCGCCCCGCCGCCGTAGCCGTTCTCCTGGCCCTCGTGGCAGCCGAGGCTATTCACCTCGTGACAAGGACGACCGTCGTGACCGTGACCGTGACTACGACCGACGCGACCGCGACCGCTCCAGGACCCCGGACCGCGAACGTGAACGTGAACGTGAACGCGACCGCGACCGCGACCGCGACGCGAAGGATGACCGCGACCGGGACGAAGATCGCGATGGCAAGGACGACCGTGAGCGTGACGAAGAGCGCAAGGGTATGCAGCTACCATTTCGTACAGCATCTAACAACTCAGCTGGCATGAACAACGACTAAAAGCAAAACTCATTTCACAGAATCGCCTCCACCTCCTGCACACGACGATCTCGACACAGCGGAATAGATGACGGCTACATGGGCATGTACAAGGTGGTAATAATGCGGGGTCCATAACGCCTCGTTGTGGATCTCTGTGACTCCATTTCCTTTCGCTTTCAATTTACTTGCCTTGCTTTTTTATTCCCTCAGATTGTACTAGGAGTAGCTTCCGCTCGGTGCTTGGTTTATAGGTTGTACGGATTACAAAAAGAATCGGCCGCAACAATTGATACAGCAGATTAGCTCGATGCGAACGGCAACGGTAAAAAACGAGCGGATAGCTGTTGCTTTTCTCTTCGTCGACGACGTCGAACGGTTGCGACGGTGCGCGACGGTCACGGTAAAGCACAATCGGTCGATAGACGATGCCGCGATATGCCTGTTAGCGAAGTCGAATCGAAACTCATCCAATCCACCCGTTCGTGAAAGCACCCCTCCTCACAGTCTCCCGTCCTCACCCTCGTCCCTGCAACGTTGCACAGCGAACCTAACCTGTCAATTGCACCATGTTATTCAACGACTGCTACCTCGACCGCTGCATACGATCGGCGACGCGAAACGTGATCTTCGTTCCCTTTAAATGCATATACCATATGCACCGGACTGACTCATAACCCCCCTTTCTCATCCGTTCTAGCACCTCAGGTAAGGTGAACGCGAGTTCCCGGCGCAAGGATCCTAGCCTACGAGCGTCTGCAAAACCGGGCATAAGCGTGTCTGCAAGATACCCGAAATGTCTGATACATTAAAATCTATGAGTTAATGCACATACATTAGCGCACATATTTATCAGAAATATAATATCGTAGCCCTACGTAAAGCCGCAGTCTTTTCTTTTTCCTCTAAATATTGCATAAGAGCCGACATTCAAGTGACATAAGGTTGTGCTGCTGCGTACGTCTCACGTAGTCTTCACTGTGGATCGAAATGCTGCCTATCTTCTTTGACAAGGTGACCTGTCACGAATTTTGTCTAGTTTGACGACCAAAAATCGTTTTCTAGTAACGATACATTTACTCTGATCAAGTGGGCAGTCCCTTTCAGCCTTCAAACATCTTCCTCGAACTGTCTGACAAGCAGACCTCGTTCCTGTAGATGGTCTTTGACCTGTCTAACAGTGTATTCGCCGCGATGGAACTGCATGATGTCAGTTGGATTAACTTCTTCTGGGTACAAAGGCTGGAAAGAAAAGCACGGTAAAGTACTTACCATGCCGGCACCCAAAGCAGCGTCCGTAGTCGTCTTCTCGAAGACTTCGGAGAAATGCTGCGGCTTTCCAGCGCCGGAGGAGGCGATGACAGGGATAGCAACAGCGTCCTTAACGCTCTGCACGAGTTCAAGATCAAAGCCACTGTTGCTCCCGTCCTTGTCTATGCAGTTGAGCAATATTTCTCCCGCGCCAAGAGCCTCAACGGCCTGCACCAGCTGCACTACGTCCATGTCGCGCGTCTCGCGGCCACCCTTTACCGTGCACTGATACCAGCAGAACGTCTCACCGTTGGGGCCAGGATACGCGGTCTTGATCGTGGCATGGGTGGTATCATGCGGGGAAGAAACGTAAACCCGTTTGGGGTCTACACTGACGACGACGGCTTGATTGCCATAGGCCTGAGAAATTGCTTCGATGGCCGTATCCCCCCTGAGCGTCTTGCCCCTGGCGTAGTATTCTTCAGCAGCAAAGACGGCGTCCGATCCTATGCTCACTTTGTCGGCGCCGGATTTGAAGTACAGCGTGGCAATCTCCAAGGCGGACACTTTTTTCCCGTCAGGATCGACGGTGTCCCTGATGCCGCCACCAATGGTAAGAGGGACGAAGACGGTCTCTGAGGTCCGGCGCAAGATCTCAAGCATCGGTAGGTCGGAAGCAGGGCAGTTGCGGAAGGAGGTTATGTTCAGAAACGTGACCTCGTCGGCGCCTTGTTCGTAATACCTGCGCGCCATGTCGACCGGCTTGCCAAGGTTGCGGACTTGCCCTCCCCCCGTCGACGTCGCGCCATCCTTCTCGCGCACGTCGTACTGATCGCCCTTGGTGACCACGAGGTCGCCGTCGTCGTTGGTCCGCACGTCCAGGCAGGCGATGACGCGCCGCGTCAGGCCCTCTTTCAGCGACGCTTCCGAGCCGCGGGTCTGCAGCTCCTTGGGGATCGGCGTGTATCTCTGTCCTTGGAGAAAGGCCTTGATGAGACGCAAGCCCGCAGCACCGGACTTCTCGGGATGGAACTGCGTGGCAAGGATGTTGTCCTTTGCGACGGCGCCGACGAACTCCTCGTCCCCGTACCTCGCGCGCGCAACGTCCCAGCCCAGAGACTCCAATTCGCCGGGCGTGTAGGGCTTGGCGAACGAGTGCACGTAGTAATACTTGCTCGTCGGTCGAAGGCCATACAGGCTCCGGTCCAAGACTGAGGAAGGCCCGGAAGGCGAGTAGTTGGCCGAGTTCCAGCCGATGTGGGGGACCGCCTTGTCCGCCTCGTTGAACCTGACGAGGCGGCCTGGGAGGATGCCGAGACCTGGAACGGCCGTGTCTTCGGCGGAACCTTCGAAGAGCGCCTGCAGGCCGACGCAGATGCCGAAGAAGGGCTTGCCGGCACGGATGTGGTCGAGTATGGGCTGCCTGTATCCGGCCTGGGTGAATTGCGACAGGCAGTGGCCGAAGTGGCCCACGCCGGGGAGAATCAGCTTCTGTTGCGCGTCTTCGAGTCAGAACACAGACTAGAAACGGCGATTCATCACGGGGAGGGGGAGGGAGCGTAGGGAGGGTATATATGTATGTATACGTGGGGGGAAGAAAGGCCACCAACGAACATCAGCATTTTCGACGTCTTCTGGCCGCTTCACCCACTCCACGGTCCAGCCGAGCTTTTCTATGGCATTGACGAGCGAGCGCACGTTTCCGGCCACGTAGTCGAGCAGGTGAACGGTGGGCATGTTTACCGCTGGACGTTCAGACTTCACACTCTCACGGCGCGCGCGCCCTCTGAGCTGAGACTTGGAGCGGCTTCGAGTCACAGAAAAAAAGACGGCCGATGTCGGCGGATGCGGTCGAGACGCTGCGCGAGAGCGAAACGAGAGCGCGACGGACTGAGCGAAGGTCCTTGGGCCTCGCCCTGTGTATTATTGCCCATGCTTGACAGCGGCCATGCTCGAGACCGCGCCTTTCCAGCGGCTGCACGTCGTGCATTGCATCCGCTCGAGGCCGTTGCCGCAGCTGCACGTTGCGCTGATCAGGTCCCCGTCCCCGGCTCCGGCTGACTGTGCGCTCACTCATCCGTCGTGGACTCCACGCGCCGCTTCCGCAGGCACAGCACACCGCCCTCTTCGCAGTTCGCGCGGGCTCTGAGCAAGCAAGACGCTCGCCGTCCAAAGACCACGAGCATGCCTTTCGTCGTTGAGCCGGACGGTGTGAGTCTCTTGGCGCAGCTGGCAGCGACGCGGGCGTCGGCCCCAGCCACCGAGGCGTCCGCTGCGCTCTCCCACGCCAAACTTGCTTCGTGTGTACGACGGATGCCAGCGAGCAGCGGGGTCCTCCTCATTCGAACTGCATGCGTTTCTTCACGCTCTTGTGACGAAATGGCGGATTTTAGAGTACCAAATCTGCAGAGGCCATCCGGAGGGCGGAGCCGTCAGCATGGCTGGCGCTATCGTTGCGCGCATAATCCTTGCCCTCCACATCCTCCCGCTGAATCTCTCTCTCAACGGCGAGCTTGCCTCGATCGATCACACCACAACCGACAACCCCCCCAGCTGGTCAATAGTATTGTATTCGGCTGAGAATAGCAACGTCGTCCTGATCTGAGATGTATTTTCTCGCGCCAAGATCCAGCTTCATCGAATGAGCGTTCACCCCTGCGATGATGCTACCGTGTTGTTTGGAGGGGTCTGCCACCCATTATTTTCCCGCCACTTCGTCGTGGTGGTGGGAAGACAGGATCAGCCATCAGAATATTATTTGGGCCAGCCAGATCGCCCTCCACCTTTCCAACGTTTTCGTTTTCATTCGTTCCCAAGTCTGTTGCTTTGTTTCGCCCGGCCGGTGCGGCGTTGCATCTGGTGCATTTCGAGAGACCCGCCAGTCACCGTGACGTCTCCGTCGTTGTATTCGTGGTCGGTTAGGAGGGGGTGCTCCTCGAGACAGACGCAGAAGAACCAAACTTTCAACGCGGTGTGTTCGGAATACGAAGTTTGGCCGGGACACTGTGCGCGTCGTCTATCGTAAACAAAGAACAACAACAACGACTACTACTACTACTACTGGACAGGATCTTTCACCCTCTGCAAACAAGCAGACAAAGAAGACGACATGGACCTCAGGTGTCAGTATGTGCCCTTGACCTGGTACAACAATGGATACATTGGAAGCGTTCACTCCGCTTTGGATCTTCGGTCACCCTTAAGAACGCCTCCACCGCCATATGTGGAGAAAGCGCAACCACTGGACGACGATATGGACGTCCACCCGGCCTTCAGGCACCAGCACGGCCAGAAACCCATTATCTATGCCACGGTTTACCCCATGTCGCCTCAGCTCAAGACAAACGCTCTGCTTTTGTCGAGTCCAAGTTCTCCAAGCACCCCAAGTTCACCACGCTCTTCTCGATCGTCCATGTCGTCCGAGGATGGACGAGCGCCCTCACTCTGTTCGGACACAAGCACCCTTTCCGACTGGTCGTCGTCAAGCATGCACTCCATGTCTAATTGCAACGGGCCTTCCCGGACGCTGCGGAGATCGCGACGACGGGCACGCGGCATGAGCCTGCGCGAGCTGAGGGCCAAACAGTCAGAGGCTGATCTGCAGAGGGTGTATGCCGCAAATGTCGAGGAATACCTGAGCGGAGACATTTTCGACAACTTTCGCATATGGCCCGAGCCGGTCATTGCGGAGGAAACGTGATGCAGAGAGCACTGCGTTCATCCGAGGGCGATTCGAACGCGGAGCGTGTTCGCCGCGCTATTTTGCCCCCGCAAGGAGCAGACGTCTGGAACATACAGAGAGCCTTGCGGGCGAACGGCCTGTATGACGAAAAAGCTGAGCATATTTTGCCGAGCAAGAAACGACGAGACGAGCTGACCAACGAGCTATGGAAGAATGGAACTTTTCATCTTCAGTCTAATGTTCAAAAGGACTGTCTTACTCCACCAATGTATGTCCCGGTGGTACAAACCCCCTACCCCTCTTATGTATCTCCTACGTCTACGCGGCTATTCATTTTCTTATGCATCATAATTAGGCTAGTAGAATACCCACTATATCGAGAATAATTTCTGTAAATCACCAATGTGCCTCGTTGAGCAAAGTGTAGATCTCTACGAGTCTGGAAGTCGCAGGATTCCTCCCTTCGCCCCTCCAGCGGGGGAATGCGTAACCTACCGTCTGGCCCATCGCAACGTTACGATCACATAAGGCTCATGAGCGCCTCATGCTCTACCCAGAGACGCGCAGCCTGGTCGGTGTTTGCGTATCCCACGTACATGTCGCTGGGCAGCTAGGGGTTAAACACCCGCGACTGCGGCTTTGGCGCCTCAATGTGCACGAGGCGGCCTCGCGAAGCGTTCCACGAGACCTCGGCGTGCGTGGCGCACGGCGAGAAGCCCTTTATGAAGATCCGCACGTCGACTGTGCGCTTCTCCATGGCGAATTCGCGATGCAGTCGCTCCTTCATGTGGTGCAAGGCGGAATACACCTGCTCCATCTCGTGCCAGTGACCGCTGGAGAACGTCGAGCCGCAGAGAAGGACGCTCTTGAGAGACTCGAAGGTGCTCCATCGGCCCATGTCAAAAACTGTCCCACAGCTGCTCCGGCGTCGTCAGCGCGCCGGCGTTGACCACGTTGTGATTGAGATATCGTGTCGTGGACGAAGGGCTCAATTGTGAGGTGGGTGAGGTGTCCCATAGGTCTTATGACATAGTTCATGGTGTTCGTCGACAAACTTGCTCGACAGGGAAACGGAGTTTGGGTTACGCACCGCCAGGCTTCGAACGCTCTTCCTTCTCCGGCAAAGATGGCAGCCATCCCGGAGAGCGCCGCAACGCGCTTTCGAGGAGCTCCTCCACTCCAGCCATACTTCGAAGTCGACAAGTTGCTGGTCGAGCGACGACTGGATCGTAAAGTGCTGCGGTTCAATCTTCGTCAGAGCATCACCGCCATGTGATCGGAGAGAACGAAATGCCTTACCTGGAGAAGTTGGCGAGCGGCGATATGTCTCAGGGCGTGATTTGCTCTCCTCGCGGGTGGGACAAACCGCTCTGCCAGTCTGACGACCCCGCAAGGGTGCGAAGTGAGCAGGATAAACTTTTGACCATCTGCTCGCGAATTTCCAGGGGGCAACATGTCGTCAAAGAGCGGGAACTCCGAGGCCATGTTGGCTGTGGTTTGGGTTTGACGTGGCTGAACTTTTACTTCAGGACGGATCCGGATTTGGTATTCGTGCATACTACTGAGATGATCAGTGGCATCATCATCTTTGGTACTGAAGCACTGTTGAGGGCTTATTTATATCTAATAGGAAGGCAAGTCAAAGCAACCATGTTTGATAATGTGGGTTTAGTGAGCATAACGGAGGCCCTAAAGTCACCCCGCTGTACACAGTTTTGACAAAAAGAAAAAAAAAATAATAGACTGTTGCTACAGCGACTCCGTCTTTTGACAATCACTCGACCAGTCATTGAAAGCTTTCAAAAGCATCCTTTACCAGGGATATACACCGCCATGTTCACACGCAGAACACACGTCTGCAAAAGAATGTTTCCCCTGAGTTAGCACTTGTCTTTCAACGCTCTTTTATTTAGTTACTCTTAGCTATCACCAATCTCTGTCCTCCAGAAAATGGAAGGACGAAGAGGAAAAATTTCTCTCTATCAATTTTCTTTTTTGGCACCGAGGCCTGGAAAATGATATCAAAAACGTCACGACACAATTCCATTGATCAATACTCGCGATCCGGGTGGACTCAAAGGGTGTGTTATCCCAGCGACTGACTGAAGGAGTGGAATAAGATGGATTTCAAAATTGGTACTGATTTAGGAACGCAATACTGCACAATGGTGTGATGTTGATACTATGTCTTTCGATCTGTCAGATCCGCGCGACAGTGATAAAAAAAAAAATCTTGTATCAGTTCTTATCATTTCCAGCCAGGGACAGGATGCGTCCGAGCCCACTCCTCGATCGTCGTAAGCTTCGCCGGTAGCTCTTTCAAAACCGGTTCCATATCGATGGCGAACTCGGGAACCTCATTGTAATACGTGTAAGCTTTGAACCTGAAGGGGTGAATTAGCGCAGCGGACTATTGGAAAAGTTCTGTTGGCGGATGGGCATACATCTGCTTGATTATCCGATCCGTCTCAAGCCCGCGCCCCTTCATGGTATTGCTGATCTCGTTGCAGAAATCTGCCACAGTCTGGTGCTCGCATTTCAAGGGCCGACCCCAGCCTTTGGAAAGCTTGTCCGTCAGTTCCTGCAGCGTCACCGTCTCCGGTCCGCCAATACGGATATCTCGTCCTGCAAGGTGCGGCCTCTCCATCGCACTGAGCATAAGCGCCGCTACGTCTTGATGACAGATCCACGAACTTCTCAACGTGGGGACGTGGCAGTACTTGACCGTGTCGTGATCCCGCAATGGCCCAAGTGCCCATCCCTCCAGCAGATTGTCCAGATAACACACAGGCTGCAGGACAATGACCGGCACCCCGGAATCGCGTAGCAGCTTCTTCATGATCCGCCGATCGTCCTGGGCTTTCACATCTTGCGACTCAACCGGCACTGGCATTGAAGTGTTAAAAACGATGAGTGGTATGCCCGCTTCCTTTGCGGCCGAGCCGATCAATTTAGCACCTTCGAAGATGGGCTCCGCCGGATGGAAAGATGTCGATGGCAAGTTGACGAGCAAACGATCTGCTCCTTTCAGAGCCTTCCTGATTGCTTCGGCATCAGTAAAATCTGCCGCTGCAGTCTCAACCTCCTTTCCATCGATAACGATGGGTTTGGGGTTGCGTGATACCGCCACGACCTGGTGACCGGCACGAGCAGCGGCGGCTACCTGCGCCGCGCCTTGAACGCCCGTAGCTCCAAAGACCACGACTCGCATATCTAATTGTCTTTTCTCTCTTTCGATTTCAATTTGGTGGATCGCACGGGTCCGAGTGGCACTTTCTTATACAAATACCGGGCTGAATTTGACAAGATCTGGTGTGTTCGCACCGTCAAGAGCAGAGCTTTTCTTATGCCGCAAAACGTCTCAGGAATTTTTCTGCACCCGTATATGCTCTCCACTGCATTTAAAGGCTACTCTATTCGGATAAGAGTATCCGCCAGCCCTAAAGATGAAGTCATAAGATTGCGGGGAGGCTTTCTCCGAAGATTTTCCCGCCTTCAATCTGGGCGTTACTTGTTTGGGGTAAAGATTTAATTTCCGTGCAGAAATCAGAAGCGCTTTTTAACCTCCCCACCCCCCCACATGGGGTTGGTGGATATGGCTTAGAGGAAGCCAGCAAAACGCAAAGTTAGATGGTTTTTTTTTTTACCGCCTGATATAGTTGGGATTACTGGCTCAAGTCATGTTTTAACGATGTAAGAAAAAGAAAGGGCATAAAATACCCGAAGTTCCACGGACGCAAGCGTCCCTTTTCCGTATGTTCTCTACACGCACCTGGTGTAGCGTCCTAGAATAAAGCGCGTGTTGCGTACGTACGATAGAATCTTGAGCTCCTTGATCTACATCATTATTTCTCACTAGCCCTAGAAACTCTGGCATTGTCTTGATAGGCCAGAGCGGACTATAAATGTACATCCACACACATCTTGTTTGTCTCGAATGCTTATTTGAGCATCTTGAATATTCATCATCTAGCGTTTGGAACCCAACAGCAGACGACTGAGACAAAGTTCGACGTGTGGGTTTCTTTCAACATTTGTATTCGCACAAGTTTGGAGGCCGCATACTCGTTCCATTTACTTTGAAAAGTGCACACAAGAATCAGGTAGTTCGAAGTGGCATTGGGTCCATGGCCCCCCTGCAGCAACCTTACTACATTCAACACATACCTCCTTGAGCGCCAGTTCAAAACCTTACAGGTATGCCTCATCCAGCCGCACAAAGAGATGGGAAACATGATCCAATACTTGTATCATATCCAAATTAGCAAAATTAACAACTCGATAATCGGAATTCTTTCTTCAAAAGCAAAACTAGGCCATGTTCTGACACGTTACTGACGAAATCGAATCAGATCAAGTGGCAAAACGTTGCTTCTTGAAATAATACTGCGTAAGTTAACTGTTAAATATCGCAAGTTTACATAAGATTTAATCGAGAGCTGATCATAGATATTGCCCTACTGTCTGAAAATGAGGTGCGTATAGCCAAGCAAGAGAACAAGCCACAGTATTGACGTTGTGGTATAGGAAGACATGATGAAATAGTTATAGCTTGTCGTCTATACATCATCGAAAACGCTCACTGCCACGCTACGTGTAAGCAAATAATTCAAGCTGCAAATTCCCCGTCTGGATTGATCAGACTACGTTAGAACATTACGTCGAGGCCCTTAATCTCTCATAATTGTGTCAGACACTTCACATACAGAGTTAACGACAACAAGATCGCTTGAAACAGGCCAAATAAAGACAGGCTGGTTCTGCATCTGGGAATGCATCGTCACTTCACTTGACGAAAACTGAGATTGGGTAAAGAACTTTCATTTCTAGAGGGGTATCCAAAATCTAACATGAAAGGCATGCAGATTGGTGTAGAAATTTACCATCCTCTGCGCCTACCTCTTTCTAGACTGTTTTTTGCTCTTCTTTTCTCACTCTCGCGTTCCATTCTCTTGGCTTTCTTCTTTGCAGCTATTTCCGGCCTTGCAACTGCATCGATTTTACGTTTGGCTCTGCGCTCCTCACGTCTCGCTGATCGGGCAGCTTTGACTCGTTGTAACGCATCAACAAATGCTGAAGTGCCAAGCTTGTTTCGTAATGTATCCTGTAACTCTGTAGCATTTGTAACAAGCTCTTCGTGAGCATTCTTGAAGTCCGCAGTGCTGAACGATGTCACAGACAGGTCCGGAGATGTGAGATGAACAAGAGGTTCAAGGATCACAACGGCAGATTCTTCTAGGGCCTCTAGAGAGAGAGTGTTACACAACGCTGCAAGCAGACTTAAGGCTGCGCTCTTAGGTAATAGTGAATCCGCTTGTCGTGGACCTGGAACAATCATTTTACCTAGCTGCCGTCGAATGATAGCAGCAAGTTTGGACAGCAGATACTTGATCGCGGTAAGGTTGTCGTCGACGTTCTCAACATCTTCCTGTTCCTCTTCTTCTGCGTCGGAAAGACCTTGAAATACTTCCTCATTGTCGTCTAGCTCCTTCACCGCGAGCATGCTACTTGCATTCGACTGCCACGAAATACCAGTTGTCGCAAATATTTTGCCAATAAAAGCCAGATTTCGAACAGTCGAAGCCGCTAACTCCCTCGTGACACCATCTTTGAGCAATCGCAGGTGGCGGCTTGCCAGCTCGCACATATCGCTTGCTTGTAAGGTAACCTCGAATGAGCTTGGTAGTGGGAACGAGTCAAACACATTGCCAGAAGAGGCAATCTGCGTGAACAGGACTGTAATCATATTCACGGCCTCCTGCTTGACCCATAGATGAGGGAAATTGATACACCGTCTGGCGTCAATCCATATCTGCTCTGTGTCATTTGCGCCGCTTTCCGTTCTTCGCGCTTGTGTGACAGCCACAAAGGTGTGCAAAGCCCAATATACAAGCTGCCATTGCTCAGCATCGAATTCACGCTGTGCGAGGATGTCTTTGACGTTCGCGAGCACAGATTCTACGCCCTCAGCATTCTCTTCTTTAACCTCCAGGTACAACGTCCAACACTGGAGGGCGGTTCGCTTCTGAACAGCATTGCCCTGACTCAGAAGTCTTTCGCATAAGCCACAGAAATTCTGGAGCCATTCATCATTTGCTCGTTCGAAGACCTCTTTGACCAACCGCGCCGCCATCTCTCTGCAGTCTGTGTCTGCATCATTGACCATAACACTGACTAGTGGCCAAAACACTTCCTTGACAACGCTGCCCACGAGTTCATCGCCAACTTTGTTCAGGAGAAGATGTATTGTTTCCATTACACTCTTCCGGCCTTCAGCGTGATCGTACTCAAGGTTACCTCGCAAGAAGGCTAACTGCTTTGTCCATCTCTTTTCGCCTTGCGGACAGTCCATGAGAAACTGGAAGTATATGCTTCTAGCTAGATCTCTGGTTGTGCGATCGTGGTCGCGCACGGAAATAGCAGCGACGCCATCGTCACCGTCCATTACCTCATAAAGTTCAGGGACGATAATCTGTCGGCTAATGATACTTCGTAGAAGATTGAAAGCGGCGCCCTGCTGAGAGATGATCTGAAAATCGCCTTTCAACTTCTTGAGAAGGACTGAGATAGTTTTGGGCTTGACTTTGACAGGAGCAGATTTGCGCTCGCGAAGCACAGCGGAGATCAATTTTAGCGCAGCTTGCTCGAGCTCTCCACCGTTGTTTTGACCATTCTCGATTATATTTGCTGCTTCTGCAATGTAAACCGGTGCATCCGCGTCGATCCGTGGCAGCGGTACATTGATTATGCCGACGAATAGACGTAAAGCAGCAAGCTTAACATCTTCGTTTGGACTAAGCAGCGCATCGCCCATAAGAGGCATGAATCCAGAGACGTTACTGGGCGTAAGAAGATCCTTGTTCTTCTTGAGAACGCTGCGGACAAGCTCTAACCCAAATCGTGTGATCTTGGCGCTCGCTTCAGAAGCGTGTAATGTTGGCTGAGACGTCTTTCTTGGTGCTTGAAGAAGATATGCAGACTCCACCAATCCGGTTGATGATTTTTGCTTCGTCTTTTGATGCACAACTGGTGGGGCGACTCGATGAGCCTCTTGCACAATCTCATAACAAAATCTCAATATGTCCCTGTTCTTCAGACTTTCATTTTGGAGCACACCAAGTTCAATGCGTCTGAGCAGTTCGTCCACATACCGCACTTCCTTTACGGAAAGGCTGCCCGATAGCAGCGCTTGAATAGGCCGAACAAGCTGGATTAGATAACCAAGTGTTGTCACACTTGCCAAAATTTGCATAGTGTCGAAGCTCTTCTTGCCTTTGACTTCCTTCCTTGTGTTCTTGTCGGCTTTGTAATCTTCAAGGTCCTTCTCTTTTCCAGTATTTCCAAAGATGTCCTCAACGACAACATCGACGATATCCTCAAGGCAATAATCAAGATCTCCAGGCTGGAACTTTGCAATTGTTTGCTCAAGTATGGAATGCACGCTGAAGGCTAATACGTGCAAGTAGAAGCCTCTTTGCAGAGCACCTCGTAACTCTCGCAAAATATAACCGAATGAGGAAGGTCCTGCTAGAATGCAAATAGACGAAAGGGCTCTTCTAGTTTGATCTCGCGAGCCTTGATCCCTACTTCGCAAAATATTGCACACGTCTGTGAGGAGTGGTGGAAACCGCAGGCGAAATTCCATCTCTGGGAGTAGCTGCACAAACTTGGCCGCGATAAGAGCAACAGATATTCGCCGACTTACAAAGGATTCGTCTTTTTCTCTTAAGAAGATGGACAAAGGTGGCAGAGTCTCGTCAATAATATATTGGGAGAGCTTCTCGGCCCCAGGCAAAGTCTTCGCAAGTTTTGTAGCCGTCGCAGTAGTTTGATCCATCTGCTCATCATCCTCATCCCCACATGCTTCCTTTTGTGGAGCTGGATTTGTTCTTGATTCCGCACGAAGAGCAGCTGATCGGCTGAAGCCGTTGGTAACAGCATCAAGCAGTTTCAATACCGTTTCTTGTACATCTTCCTTGCTCTTAATAAAGCCGATATACTTCTTGATTAGCGCCTTGCATTGTTGCCAATCAAGCCACTCAACAAGCGAGCCAGTCGTTTTTATAGCTTCAGCAATAAGTACACCGTCCTCGCCTTTAAATACGAAGCTTTCCAGTATTGGGAGCAAAAGATGATACAGACTTCTACTCGACAGCAGACCATCTGCTGCAATATTCGAAAGTCTGTTCATCGCTCGAACTCGTCGATGTTGCTGAACATGCAAAATATTTGTGAAGAAACTCGCCTCCTCGTCGCCACCCATGAGCAAATGGTGCAGATCGTACACAGAATTGTCATCACCTGGCAGTCGTGCTATCTCAGCCAGCACGCTCAACAGTTCGCTCTGCACAAGTTCAGGCTGCTCCTTAAGCCCGTTTTCAATATTTATTAGAAGAGTTTGCATCATTCCTGCGAAATCGTCCTTCTCGGAGCCCGTTTTCGAAGATGACGCCATGACAAACCGTCTTAAAGCGTGCGAGGCACTAGCGCGGATAGCAAGCTCTTCTGTATCTTTTATATAGAACAGCAGGTTGCCAAGGAGGAGTCGCCATTGCTTTGCGGAGAATCCTGTCCAGCGTTCCTCGGTGATGATGCCAAACGCACGGCTTCGACGCTCAAAATCAGGCGTGTCTAAGTGGTTAGGAAGAAAAGCATTGATATCGTCTAGCAAAGCTATGACTTCATGCAGCTCATGATCTTGGTCAGCGAACTTTTGTGCAACCTCAACAAGTAAGCTTCGACTTTTGCCATCCGCAAAATACCCGAACGACGAGCAGACCGCACTGAAAACGACTTTTTGCGCGCTTTCGTCTTCAAGAATGGAAGGAAAGAAGTGCGAAAGAATAGCCAGCAGATCTGTTTTCGTGTGATGTGGCACCTTTCTCGTAGGTTGTAGTACAAGTCTCGCCGCCTCAGACAAAAGCAATGGAGGGCAAGAATTCGAGAATGGAAATACTGCAACAACGGTTGAGATCGTGTCCTCGATGAGCTCTTTACTTGATATCAGCGGGATGGAGAGAGCAATGTGTTCAAGCAAATGCGTCGAAATGTTGATGATTCTCATCTCCGCGAAGCGATCGCCTTCTTCATTTGAAATGACCGCACGCAATATGTCGTTGAGCACAAAACGTTTCACCGGCTCTTTCGTAGCTTGAAGTGACACACATTCAATGACCTTAGGCAATAATAGTGTATCGTGTTCGAAAAGATGCTTGGAGAGCTTGCCAGACTTTGCCCAAATTGCTAGCATTTTCAGCAACGCACTCACGCCTTGTGCATTCTCCTCCGCGAACCTTTCTAGTCTTGGACGCACTATGTGCTCGAAGAGGTCCGGCATGAACGGCGTAAAATTGAAGTCGTCCCCAGCTTCAAAACATAGGTTAAGACATTGCATTGCAACATGTCTCAAAGCTTTCGACAGATTTGTGGCACCGTCCGCATTTGTAGCTGAACCTATTAAGCATGCGCTAACAGGCGGAACAAGGCGATGTACATATGGCGCAGCCGTGGTCCTCCATGTCTCCAGAAGGTCCTTGACCATATTCAGCATGCCAATTTGTCTTTTCGAAGGTACATTCTTTGCATCGTTCTGACTAGCCATCGGAGCGAGAATGACATCAAGGAAATCATTGATCTCGTCTTCGCTGAATTTCGCAAGAATGATGAAAACAGCCTTGCGATTACTACCTCGCTCGTTTCGCGAACGGGCGATAATGCGACCGTATACAAGGCGGAGAACAATGGGTATAACAGCCGGACGATCTTCCAAAGCTAGTGCGTTTTCTCCGTTTCCATCGAGGAAGACCGTCAATTGCTCCCGCAGTCGGGCTTCATCAAGGAATTTGAATAATTCATCTGCATACTTCTTCAGGGTTTTGTCTTTCCATGCGAGGATGGCCAGCAGAGACGACTTCTGAATCTCTACATCGCCATGAGCGATAAAGGACAAGAGAGTGGAGTATACCTCTCCAGATTTGTACAGCACTTTCGGATTATTGAATGCCGCAAACAAGGTAAGTAGATCTTTTTGATCTTTTCGAGGCCATTGAACATGCTCGTCATGGCTGTCTTCGAATGCCTGGCTTTCGTCATATTCGTCTGTATTTTCCGCGACTCCACTATCGCCGCTGTCACCACTGTTTGTTGACCAAGAGAGTAAAACAGGTACCAGTTGTCTCGCTTTTTTTTCTGCTAACTGTGGAACCGCTTTGAGAACTTTTAGTGCTTGCGTCCGACTAAAAGGAGTCAGGATCGCTACACGCAAATGTCGTTCGTCAAATTCTTTTTGCAGCGTCACATCCGCATAATCAGCAAATGTTAAACGCCCCACAGTCGCGTTTCTGATCTTTGAAAAGTAGTCACCAAGAATTCCCTCAGAGGACTCTGGTGGCGATGCTGTCTGGTCATCTCTCAATGGAGAATCGCTCAACCACTGAAAGGCGACGTCACAGATGACTTCTTCACCCTCCTTCGTCTCGCCAATCACTTTCAGTGCTGCGCAAGCATCTTCCCACATCTGTGCGAATTGCACGTGAAGAAGACCAAACAGCCATCTGGGCAGAGCCTGTGCCAATAGGATGCTCTTTGAGGCATAGCTCTTGTAGCGCATACCAAGGTTCTGTATCTTCATCGAGATATACCTTGCCGTCTCGAGACTAGGCTCCGTCTCTTCGACCTCAATGGCTGCACTCAGTTCATTTTTCCATTCTTGGTCATCATCGGAGACCAGGTGACTTAGTATCACCAGCGACGCAAGTCTTATGTTGTGCGAACGTGACGAGAGGCATTGCAAGAGTACGTCACGCAATTTCTGCAAGCTAGATGATCCTTGCAGTCTTTGAACTTTACCATAGCTCTGAAAGCATGCTGCCACAGCTTGAAAGAATGCCGGATAATCCTTCAGACCACTTGCGGCATTAGCAATCAGTGGTAATAGATGATTAAGATTTATCGTTTGCCCAGACCCGTTCTTAGCAAGATGCAAAAAGCCATCTCCGAGAACAAAGGAGCGAAACTGCGTATTCTTGCATGACTGCAGCTGCTCTTCAAGGGCAAGGTATAGAAGTTGGTTGACTTTGTCAAACTGCCTGTCCGCTCCGCTTGCGACATCCAAAAGTTTCAGGATGCCGTCACATTCGAAGGATTGCTTATCGCACTCCTCCCCATTTTCTCGGAAAAGTGCGAATTGGGTTGCAAATTCATCTACCATTCCATCTGGTAGCTTTACTGCTTGCGGCATGATTAACCCTTCGCGAACCAGCTTCGGTACGAGTATGCTGATCGCCTTGATCTGCCCTTCCCAATGTGTTGCCAAAAATCTCTGCAGTCGAGGGAATACGAATGATTGGAATCGATCTCTGCCGTACTCGGCGTACAGATGGCAGAATCCGAGAAAGAAATTTTGCCACGTCTTGCTGCAAAGTTTGTCAAGTGTAGTCAGCGACAATAGTGCGGCATCCAGCGGACATTTCTGATGAGCTACAGCGAGGACGGACAGCACCTCGACAGCAACATCTTTGTGGTCGGAAGGGTTAGCTCCTGTGAGAAGCTCGACTTGACCGCTAATGTGTTTGAAAAGCGCTGTCCAGTTTGAGACACGCTGACCACTCTTCACATTCACGGCGAGGAGGAGAAGTTGAGACGCGATAATGATGGCGCGTTTGCCACGCTCGCTTTGAACGTTGATGTCTTTCTCTGCCTCGGATATGATTTCATGCACTAGAGGTGCAAGATTTTCGGCTGAAGCATGGTGAACAAGCTGTAAGAATATACCGCGAACTAGTCGTGACGTGGATTCGGTAGAGTTTTCATCTAGATGGAGGTCCAGCACTTCAGCCAGCAATGACGCGAAAATCGTAGGGCCAGACGAATGCAACGCTTCTTTAACACCCTTGATCGCTTCAAGAAATAAAGCCATTAAGCTGTGTTCGTATAGCTCAGTGTCCTTCTCTTTCGCTGTCTCTTCAAGATCACTAAGAACGTGTCTGACGAACCGTCTCGTGGCATCTGGTCGCTTGCCTACTCGTTTCACCAGAAAGCTAAGTGACTCGGCAGCGAATCGAGAGACGTGGGGCTTCTGCCGCTCTTTTCCAAGATACGGCTTCAGAAGGTCAAAGAGCGGCCGGATGTCCGTGGCCAGGATTCGTTCAAGATATTTGAACAGCCAGGTGAGACAGTTGAAGCACCATTCCACGACTTCGACTTCAGAGTGCCTCGCGGCCACTCCAGCTACAACGGTGACCGTACGCTCGAAGTGGTTCTCAAACTGGATCTGCAAGTCCCTGGCCAGGTGCGCGACAAGGTCCAGCAGCGGCTCTGCAGACACCGCCTTGCTGTCTTGAATCGACTCGAGCAGTGCATCCACGATCTCATTCTGGTGGTGCAGCACCTGAGGCAGGTTCTCGCTCAAAGGCGCAACCTTTCTGGCGAACCGCGTGAAGTCTTCCGAAAGATTCAGGTCTCGCCATTTGTCCAACGCAATCTTAAAATGTGATTCTAGTCCCTCCAAGTCCCTATCGTCGTTAAGCCCACGGTCGCGGCGTATTGGATCGATTTTAAGGCGTGCTACCCGTTGACTGAAGGACTCGAAGCGGTGGTTCTTGGTGTGCGTCGTTGCAGGTTTGTTCTTCTTGGGCGCAAAGGCCTTACGGATGGCAATCCGCTGCCTTGTCTTTTCGCGGCCCATGTTCAGAGGCTCGTGTAGCGCATTGTAGAGCTGTAGGTATATGCCGTCGCGCTGTCGCCAATGTATTATATCGAACTTTTTTTTCTGCTGGAGAGCCCGACCCCATTTGCAAGCCGCTAGGCTGGATCGGGATGGCGGTGTGGCCGAAGAACTACTGAATCGCACCCAGCCTGGAAAGATTTCGATTCGCCTTGCACTATGCGACACTCTCAAGGTAATCACAATGCCAAATGTAAAAATGTAAGTGCTCCCTTTGATTCCGTAATTTCTAACTCGATAATATTGTTTGTGAGGACGCTGCGGCTCCATCGACGAGAAGAGAGCCTGGCGCGCGTTGTTCACCTTAATCCTACCAGTAACGTGACTGCCTTCAGGAAGGCCCCCCTCGTATCTTCAAACTGATCGTGACATTGACAGAAACTAATCGTCCCCCGCAGAGTAGTGATCGGCGACGTCGACGGTCACTTTCGTGATGTATTCCAGAAACTCAATACTCTGCATAGCAAGAACAGCTTTGCATTTGGCATTGTGGTAGGGAATCTCTTCGCAGATCCAGAGGGCTCAACAACGGAGGATGATCAAGCAATCCAAGAGCTGCTGGACGGAAAGATTGGCATTCAGCTGCCAGTGTACTTTGCGCTAAGGAATCATGCGCTTCCGCCGCGTGTTATTGATCGATTGCGGTCATCCGAAGGCGAGCTCTGCGCAAATCTTTTCTTCCTTGGCAGGAGATCTACAACAAAAACCTCTGATGGGGTTCGTATTGTAGCTTTGGGAGGCACCTTTAGTTCAGATTCTTCCCCCAGTTCAACAGTGGATGAGTACCTGCCCTCGTATACGCAGCAAGACGCGAAGATACTCAAGGGAGCCAAACACGCCGATATTCTCATCACTTCTGACTGGCCATCCGCTGTGCGGTCAAATTCTAAGGTCGCCATAGGCGATCACGACGAGCCAATCTCACAGGAGTGTGTCTCTGAGCTCTGCGAGGCGCTGAGGCCACGATACCACTTCTCGGCTGCGTCACCGGATCTGTTCTATGAGAGAGAACCTTTTTCCCATGTCCCTAGAGAGGATGAGTCTGGGCTATATCACACAACGAGATTTCTGAGCCTAGCGGCGTATAACAACTCGTCAAAATCCAAGTGGATATATGCGTTCTCGCTCGAGCCAGGAGCTCAGCCCGCATCGTCCTTGCCCGCAGGTGCAACAGCTTCGCCGTTTGCGAACATCAACAAGAAGCGTTCCGCACTTCCGGACCAGACTAGCTACCGCTTCTCCTCCACTGGTTACGATTCATACGAGCGTCCGCGAAAACGGCATAGGCATCGTGAGAAAGCCCCTCCTCCCACACAGGGTGAATGCTACTTCTGCCTCTCCAACCCTAACTTGCCGACGCATCTGGTCACATCGATAGCTACAGAAGCATATCTCACCACTGCGAAAGGACCACTAACGACTTCTAAAACATTTCCTTCCCTGCCTTTCCCGTCACATATTCTCGTCATACCCATGGCACATGCGCCCACCCTGTCACTCATTCCCGAGCCAGAATCCCGCGAAACGACAAAGGTAGAGATGACCAAGTACAGAGAAGGAATCCAGAAAATGATAGCTACAGTCTCAAAGGGAGAGCTGGGGGCGGTCACCTGGGAGATATCTCGCGCGTCAGGGTTCCACGCCCATTGGCAAATCCTTCCACTGCCACAATCCATCATCTCGAAGGGCCTAGTCGAGGTTGCGTTCAAAGTCGAGGCAGAGAACAAATCGCACCCGCACCTCGAAAAAGGTGAGCCGGACGAGGCCACCGACTATTTCAGACTGTGGATCTACGACGGCGAGAAGAAGAAGGAAGAGCAGCTGCATTTTCCGATCGACGCGGGGTTCAGGGATCTTCAGTACGCGAGACGGGTATGCGCAAAGCTCTTGGGGCTGGAGGGGAGAGTCATGTGGCAAGACTGCGGGCAGACGCTGGATGAGGAGACAGCGGACGCAGAGGCGTTCAAAGAAGCGTTCAAGGCTTGGGACTTCACCGAGGAGCAGTAGCGACGGACTGTCGGCACAAATCTGACGTGGAGAATGTCAACGAGTTTAGAGAGGCAGCATGTTCATATAGCTCCGTTGGAATCCCAGCTACACCGGATCATTGGGGGAAGTAGTTGGCTTTCGCTGTCGTGCATGCGTTCAACCTGTCCTGTTGGACTGTTGCATTCACGGTTGTCTTGTGCCGTAAGCACCATCAAAATACATGACCCACAATACCGATTTGACGGACACTCATCTAAAAGTTAGTGCTTCATACAAACTTCATTGCCAGATTGCGCAACCAGCTGGCCCGGCGCGCTTCCATCACAGCTAGCGCAGCGCCATGCGTCTTGGCTGTAGAGTCAAGCTTTCAGTGTGATGTGTCCTGCCGCCGCGATTTCCGTGAAGATGGCATTTCGATCATGCAAAAGTCTCTTATCTCGGCAACGCCTCTCCCGGCGATGCATTTGCGCGACGCGAGCTTTAAAAGGGAAAAAAAAAGGAGCGAAGAGCGAGAGCGATCCGCCCACGTTTCGACGCGGAAGTAAATCCACTCCAGCGCGGCACCGTTCCGACCGAATCATCTCCGACTCCGATCAGATTGATTAGATCACGTCGTCTGAGTGGTTCAATCATGCTGGTTTTCAGCACTACCGGCGCAACACCGCGGCAGAGATGTATCTACAGCCGAGATACGACCGACTTATCATGGAGAGGAAATTTCTTTTCTCAACCAAACTTGGCCATGTTGTCATTTTAAGGAGTACTGTGGTCTTGGCTTTGAATATGTATATATGGGATTGGGAGGTACCTTTTCTTTAAACGTGGTACTCTCGTTTCGTATCGGCTTGCCAACCTGCATCATTCGTCGCATGTAAATATCTATCCTTGTCGAAAGAGAGTGTTATTTTAGTACGTTTAGATGTCAGAATACAAGGAAGCAGAAGAAGCCCCCGAGGCCTCGACTGCTAGTTCGAGCAGAACCTCGCTTTCAGACGTGGAAAAGGAAAAGGAGCATGACAACGCCGATCTCCATCAGTATGCGTCCATATATCGATCTCAGACTCAACGAACCTCTAGGTCCGTCCGGAGGCCAGAGGACATCGACGGCGCAGAGTTGGTCAATCTTCCCTCGAGAACACTTGCCAGCAATGCAAATCTCGACGAGTATCTCGAGGAAACGGCCGAGGGCTTCATCGAGGAGGACCGGGTGTCCAGAAAGTCAGGAAGAATCGAGAGGTACGAGCTTGTCACTTGGAAGGTAGACGATCCCGAGAACCCGAAGAACTGGAGCAAGCCGTTCAAATGGTAAGTCGAACGTCGACGAAGGTCGGCATCCCCTGTTTGGATCCGTAGATTGCTAAGATCTCTAGGTGGTGCACCATGTGCGTGGCGTTCACTTGTTTCGTGGTCGCGTTCAACTCGGCAGTCATCACCGCTTCGATCGAGGGACCGGCCGCAACATTCCACGTTTCCCGAGAGGTTGTGTTCCTCAGCATCACCGTCTTTGTCATCGGCTTCGGCGTCGGTCCCATGATTTTTGCACCGCTCTCGGAAATCCTCGGCCGCCGTATTATTTACGGGACTACGCTGCTCGTGGCCCTCGTGTTTACCATCCCGTGCGCGGTGTCGAAGAACATTGGCACATTACTTGCTTGCAGAGCCGTGGACGGCATTGCCTTCAGCGCGCCAATGGTGCTTGTCGGCGGCACTCTGGCGGACCTGTGGAAGAACGAAGAGAGGGGAGTGCCCATGGCCGTGTTCTCGGCGGCGCCATTTATCGGTCCTGCGATCGGGCCTCTGGCCGGGGGGTTCATTGCAGACAATCTGGGATGGCGATGGCTGTATTGGATGCAACTTATCCTCTCCACGGCGGCGTGGATTCTCATCACGTTCACCGTGCCCGAAACGTACGCGCCGACGCTGCTGACGCGAAGAGCGAAAAAGATGCGCAAAGAGACAGGAGACTCCAAGTTCGTTACGGAATCAGAACTTGACACTCGGCCGTTCGGGCAGCGCATGAAGCTGTTCCTCGTCCGGCCGTTCCAGCTGTTATTCCTCGAGCCGATCGTCCTTTTCATCTCGCTCTACATGTCGGTCCTCTACGGGCTTCTCTACATGTTCTTCGTAGCTTATCCGGTCGTGTACCAAGGAGGCAAAGGCTATTCCGCGTCCATAACGGGGCTCATGTTTATCCCGTTGGCGATTGGAGTTCTTATGAGCGCGGCTTGCGCCCCAGCTGTCAACAAGCACTACCTTGGCCTGGTTCGAAAGCACGGAGGCAAGCCTCCCGCTGAATGTCGACTGATCCCCATGATGGTTTCATGTTGGTTTGTCCCAATAGGCATGTTCATCTTCGCCTGGACAAGTTATCCAAATGTGCATTGGATTGGCCCCGCTATCGGAGGCTGGCCGGTTGGCTTCGGGTTCATTTTCCTCTATAACTCGGCAAACAACTATCTGGTCGACACGTATCAGCATCAAGCCGCCTCTGCTCTCGCTGCAAAGACGTGTATCAGATCCTTCTGGGGCGCGTCGACGGTTCTGTTCACTGAGCAGATGTACTCGAGACTGGGCTACCAGTGGGCGAGCTCTCTGCTAGCGTTCATCGCCCTGGCTTGTTGCGCCATTCCGTACGTCTTCTACTTCTTCGGAGAGCGTATTAGAGCCTACAGCAAGTTCGCCTACAATCCAGACGAAGAAAACAAGGCAAAGGCCTGAACGGAGAAGTTGCTGATTTAATCACTCTGAGCAATGGGATCGACAGGCTCAGCAGTATGGATCACGTTGGAAGAGGAGGGGGACGAATTTGCTTGACTGCGATGCATTTAGCGCTCGGCGTTGGGGAACAAGAAGCATGTAGCTGGCCTGGGTTTTGGAAACATAGTTCTAGATTAAGTTTGTAGAGCCATATAATAATGTTGCAAATCAAAATCGTACATCATCAAAAGCGGCCATAGCCTAAGCGGATGCCCTTGAACCGAATCGATCTTTAACTGATTGATGATGCCGTCGACGATGAAGTAGCGAACGAGGACATCAGAGGGGTCTGCAGAGCTACACAGCCACTGAGGGTGCACAGCCACTGAGCGCAAGGTGCAGCGACAACCAAACGTAACTGTGCTGCTGCGAGACGCTAGACGGTCTCTTGTGTCCGGATCGATCTGGACGTTGATCCGAAGAGAGCAGGCGTGGTGAGAAATACGATCCTACGCAGCAACGATTTCAACCTCATCTGACCAAACGATCGATAGTTTGTGCAGATGGAACGTTCCAAGCATTCGCTAACGGTCCCACCGCCTCGGGAACGGACATTAGATAAGCATAACAAGCCTCGGCATGGCAGCTTCTGATCGCGATGTCAGAGAACTGCGGTTGAGCTCGAGAAGGGAGTCGTGCCGGGTGAACAGATGTAGCGAGCGACACAGGAACAGAAGCAAGGCAGATAGAAAGGATTCGTTGTGCAGACGAATCTCGCCTCGCGCGCGACGAGGACAAGCTCTGACTTGCTGATGTTGCATACATGCAATGCTGCTCGCCTATTTTTAAAGCTGTGCACGCCCCCTTCCCCCCCATGATCGACGTCGGTGGTGCTTCATCCGTCCTACTTCCGCTGTCAATACGTTCATCCCAACGGTCTATGCTCACATGCGGTTCCAATCATGACGTAGGCCAACCTCTCCAATGCAGGTCTTACTGGTCCTTTCAGCACTCGACAAAGACAAGGAGCTACGACTTGCATTGCCTGTCTTGGTCCAGCCTGGCCAGCGCCACCCCGTGGCTGCATCTTCGCTGTAACTTGTTTGCCCATATTCTCAGACGTGCCCATGCCTTGCTGATGCCGATGCCGATGCTGCTCGTGTGCTGATTGCGTACATCATTTTCCTTCTCTCGTTCTCACGTCTTCTTTCGTGAATCCACAGTACCTACCTTGCTTCAGTTATTCCTCTACACAGCCGCCTAGTGTTTGAAGCCTAGAATTGACGTGCATTTCCTTATCACGGCTGTCTCTGGCATTTCGCCACGCCAATCTGGCTGACCCGGACGTTGCTGATTCTGCAATTCCCTCATAATTTCTGCTTGCTTCGTTGACACCGACCAAGCCTGCGCCTGGCGAGTCGGCTTATTTCGGACGCTCAATGCTGCCATAATTCTTGCCATGTCGCATGCTACTGGACCAGACTTCCTCAAGCCTCGACGGAAATCCGCATTCCGAGAAGTAGGTCTCACCGAAGAGGACGATGTTGCTGGATACCCGCGGTTGAGCCATAGACGACCGGCGTTGAGAGTCAGGTTCCGGAGCGAAGACGACATTTTCGAGCATACGACGCTTGAGAAAGAAGAGAAGGAAGAGGACGACGAGTGGGAGGATATATCGGCATCTTCCTCTGAGGATGAAAGGCCTGTCATGGTCGAGATACCAAGACATCATGCACCGGCCGTGTCCTCCGATCGATGTGCCCTCGTGGTTTTTGTCGTTCTCATATCGATACTGATTGCGCAAGTAGTGCCGATGGGCAAGAGCAGACTGTTGACAGCCGAAGCGGCTCCACCCAGGAACGCATACTCGAATCCAGAACGTGCACTGGACAAGCGGCAGGGCTACAATCCTACGGACTGGTGCAAGAAATGGAGCCAGCAGAGCGCCATTGTCAACGGAACTCTGTTCTTGTACGGCGGCCGCAAGACGACATCCTCGAGTCAGACCAGCAATACCTGGAGTAAGTTTTGACGTCCGCTTTGTCGCCGTTCCACTCAGCGTGATGCTCATCCGTTTCAGACAACGACTTCCTCACCATCGACCTCACAAGAACGTGGCAGATCTCTTCGCCGCAGATGAACGCACTGCCACAACCGTCAGGCCCGCCACCGGTTGCAAATGGCTACCTGTGGAATTCGCACGAGTCACTCTACTTGTACGGGGGAGAGTTCTCGGATGACCCGCAAGGCACGCCGACCGCGAACTCGCTCTGGGAGTATGACATCCAGTCGCAGAGATGGGTCGAGCATGACAATCCCCAGACGTCTGCGGGGAAAAATTCAGAACCCGCCGGCGAACCGATCCAACGAGCTGCAGAGGGCGCAGGGTTCAGCTTGGCAAATCTCGGTCGTGGATGGTATTTCGGTGGCCATCTGGACTTCTTGACCACGCAGGGTTGGTCGATCCAGACGCCGAGGATCTACCTAAAGTCTTTCGTGGAGTTCACGTTTCCCGGTGTCAGAAACCCAGAGCTGTCATCTGAGACCGCCGGCACCGATGGCGAGTGGCGTAACATGACGTCGGCTGGCATTCAAGATACGGCAGGGTTCACGCAACGAGCGGACGGAATACTGGTCTACGTGCCTGGGTTTGGCGACGAAGGTATACTGCTGAGCTTGGCAGGAGGAACAAACGATACCTTTGTAAGGGCGAAGGACGAGATTTGGAAATTTCTCTTACTAACCTTGGCAGACGCAAATGAACGAAATAGACGTGTTCGACATTGCTGGGTCGCAGTGGTACCGCCAGGCCACCAGCGGGACGACGCCAAATATTCGAGTAAATCCGTGTGCGGTGGTGGCTGCTGCCGCGGACGGTTCTAGTTACAACATCTACATGTTCGGCGGGCAGAACCTCATTCCGTACGGCAATCAGACGCAGTACAACGACATGTGGATCCTGTCGGTGCCTTCGTTTACCTGGATCCAAGTCAATATGGACGGCCAGTCGGTACCGTACGGTCGCTCCGGCCACACTTGCAACATCTGGGACGGCCAAATGGTCATGGTGGGAGGCTACACTGGGCAGGAGAATGCACTGACGTGCGAAACGCCTGGGATTTACGTGTTCAACACCAGCTCGCTGCAGTGGACAAACCAGTTCACCGCTCTGAGTGCGGGGGCAAAGGACAACCCGTTTTCGCAGCAGGACACGCAGAAGGGCGCCGGTGCTGGCGCTGGGCTGGAGGGTAGTTACGACTACCAAGTCCCAGCCGTAGTACGGTCCGTCATTGGGGGAAATGGGAACGGTGGCGCGACCCTGACCACGCCCGCTAATGCGGCGACTGCAGGACCGCTGGCCAGCGGGAAGCCGATCACGTATACGGTATCCGGTGGCGGTTCGACCACGATCGGAGGCGGTGCGGTCTCGGACAGCGCTTCTAACAAGGGTGCGGTGATCGGTGCGATCGTGGCGGGCGTTGTCGGTTTCATTCTTCTACTTCTCGTCGTCTACTTCGCCATCTGCGTCGTCATCTATCGAAAACAGCTCGCGCTGTACCGTCAGCACGTCGCGCTCATGCAGCAGCAGCAAGCGGACAAGGAAGGATCCGCCAACGCCTCGCTGTACACTTCAAATTCACCTACCTGGTCGCGAAGACCGTACGCGGGGCAGCACGAGAGCTTGATCGGGCCGTACCATCGACCGTCGCACTCGCAGGACACGACGGGGACGGGAAGTCACCAGCTAACGAGCTCAAGTCCGAATAGCAGCACGGAAGATTTGATGGAAGGTCTCCAGCCTAGCTTCTGGGGCTGGAATGGTGTACTTCTCCACCCAAGGAGGAGCTTGCGAATCGTGAATCGCACAGAAGAGGGCCCTCAAAGAAGGGACAGTGAGTAAAAGCTGGCTGGGTTCGTCGAGCATATCTGTAATCATTGCACCATGTTTCTGCTTACGTACAGTCCCTTGGGTTTGTTTTCTTTGGTGGCGCCGTTTCAATGCCTGGTCGGAAGGAGAAAAATAAGGGAAAAGCCTGTAACGCGGCCGTCTTTTGCTCTAATTGTGAGGTAGATGGGAGCTCGGGAAAGTCGGCATTTGTTTCCATTATACCATGTACATATAATGGCTGAGAACACGTCCTCATGCGTACTACGAACATAGCGTAATCCACGGTTTTGTTTCGTATTGTTTAGACGGAGGTTTCCTGGATTCCAAGAATCACGTCTCCCGACTACTTTGTGGCCTACTCGTCGGCATTCGGTTCGTGAAAGTTGCCATAGGATACCCTTGGCGTCTACGCCTGGACGGGAAATTCTTCGCGTAACAGGTATCTCCTTTAGATCTACCTGAACGCTCCAATCACGGAGAAGGTCCTTGCTGCGGCGACTCTTTTGTTAAAGGGAGATGCTCAGGGCGCGAAGTCCTAATGTGCCGCTCTGTGGTAAAGCTCAGCAGAGGCAGGTTTGCCTGAACACGGTCTACGTCGGGACTATAAAAGATAAGGTCAAGAAAGACCGAGCACATGTTATCCGTGCCGCGCGCGGATGGCCATGTGGAGACGATATGTGGGTACGGATTGACTGTTCGTCATTCCAAGAACGTATCCAGCCCAAATGCATGGAAACCGCATACTGAAGTCATGTTTCGGCACATACCGCAAAGATGCTATTTGCCAGAGATGTGGACATGCGATCACCATTCGAGGTGATCACGCCTCGCGAAAGAGGGAGGTTTTGCCAAAACGAAGCTCAAACCACGATGGGCAAGCAAACACGCTAAAAGGGGGGGCTGAAAAACAAAAACGAAAGCTTACAGTACAAGTGACCAGGACGGACAAAGTCAGAAGCTTAAACGATGCTGAAGGATCGATGCAGACCCACACAGCCGTGATCGATGCGAAAGAAAGGGGAGTCGTCCGTTATTCTCTTCGAACAGAGTATCTCAGCGTAACCCCCGTACTGGGCGAGTCATTCCCGCTCAATCAGCGAGATTAGATATTGATTGACCTCACACGCAGGTCCGAGAACGTTCATATCCACAATGACGAAGTGACGAAGGAAGAGGTCTTTTGTCCGAGCCGTTTCTGTGTCGGAACGAGTTCCACTCGTAGCACCGCGTGGCCGGGGGCGGGTGTCCACTCTAGAAGTGGCAAACCAGTAGCTCTTGATGGAGCAATTGCTTGAATCGTAGCGGGCATCCTTTCGCGCAGCCAACCGATGCAGCCTTTTGACGCACGAAAAGAAGCGAAGGAAAGGTTCCGGTCAAGGCCCCCAAACCTAGATCTTTGGGCAATACTGTAGCACCGGCAACTACCGCCCCTGTATCTAGGGCAAAGCAGAGACGTTCTAGAGGGAGAGGGCAGACGAGGTGAGAGATCAAGACCATAATCCACCGATATCATGCCAATGGCGCCGGGGCTTAGATGGCGTCGCGTCCTCCGAGTCGATTGGGAAAAAAAAAAAGACGCTCCGGATCAGGCTTAGGTGGAGGCTCAATAAGCAGTGAAACTTCGTGTTTTTGCTTTCTATTTGTCCTTTGGTGCAGCTGCTCACCACCAACCTACCCACGCAGCATCTTTTTTTTTTTTTCACCCTCACGCGTGCTTTTCCAAGTTCCCCATCATTACGCTGCACCTTGATTCTCATGGCAAGGGTGTCGCACCTCTGGAACTAATGGGTTTGCTCGGCATGGGTGGCTTGATGAATGCGTGCTGAAGCGCATGGATTGTGTCTCCTCCATTGCGTTTTCTTAGGATGCATGGTTGTTACTGCTTTTTGCACCAGCCATGGCGGACTGCAAGACACTGCACTCGGATGACGGGGGGAGCGCTTTCGCGCGCGATGTGTTTGTCACATACAGGTGAAACCCGTAGACGCGGGGATGGTCTTTAGGGTGACGGACTTCGATCGGGGACCGGTTTTTCCGCGTGACGCCAGCCCGCACGCTCCAAAAGAGTCTGTTCTCGTGCGCTGTGATGATGATACGGAATGGTATTTGACCTCAATGACAAAGCAGACGAGGCAGAAGGCCCGTAATCAAAGCGCGGCATCAGGCCTGTTCACGTCCAGAGCTCGCATGGCCTGGGAAAGAAAAACGGGGAAGATGCAACGGATAGCGCACATGGCCATCTGGTCTGCTGCGGTCAAGCATCACAGATCTCGCCTCTGCTGGGACGAGCGAGCCCAGTGGACGAGAGAGCCGAAAGCTCATCCTCGTGTGACGACCATTGTGACGGGAGCGGGCAAAGATCGAACGAACCAGGCCAGCAGCGGGTAGGAGCATGGAAGCTGCAGTAGTACGCTGCACACCCTGCTGGAGTGGGGGACGGGCCTGCGTACACAGTACAAACGTTTGACGCGAGAACACGCACTCGTCCTTTGCGGGCTTGGGGGAGTCGGCAAGGCGGCTGGTGAGATGCGCGAAGAGAGGTGGTGAAGGTCGCAGCGCTGCCAGAGCCCCAACCAGGCGCAGCCGTCTCGTGCGCGCTCCCGAATCGCTTGACCCAGCTCGTGTAGGCAGATCCCATCTCTGGGCTGACACGAGAAGGACAAGAGAATTTTTTCCAGGTACGAGAACAAAGCCGGGTATTGTTTTCTTCTGCGTCGAGGGCCTGCATCGGATCAGGTCACCGCGCATCCGAGCAGCGGTAAGGCTGGTTGGGCTGGAGGGCAATTCTCTTTCTTTTTCGGTTCGCCTTTGTTTTTGGCATCGCGTCCAGCTTCTGCCTCCGATCCGGGTCGTAGTGACGGCCGCTCTACAGAACGTCATGCGCCCGTGCAAACACTGATGGGACAGGCGCGAGTCAATACGCTTGAGGTATTTTTTGCGCCGACTACTGCTGCTCTTGGCTGGCGTCTTTCCTGTTCGCTTAGCACCCTCGGCTTAAGCGGTCGCAAGTGGCCCATCTGCGATTCCAGCGATCGGCAAAGCGAACCACAGCTATCCGCGCAAGGTGAACGGAGTAGCGGATCAAAGGTTTATGTTCTGTCGTGCAAAGCTCTCGGAAGCGGGCAAAGATCCTCGCCTCGCGGGCGTTCTCCGTCGGCGCCCTCAATTTCGAGGCCGCCGCACCGGAGATATGTCCTTGGCAGTGCTCTCACGGCAGCGCGTGCAACGCCCACAGCCTGCCGACCGAAGACGAGGGCTACGTGGACATGCGCGAAGGAGACGACAGGAGAGGAGAGGGTAGCCATGCCTATCTGCCCGTTCCTTTCTGATCTTTCTGATCTTTCTGATCTTTCTCCGCTTTGCTTTTCTTTCACTAAGCGACAAGACGGACAGTGGTTTCAATGTGTGGCGCTTACGTGATGCACAATGGAGCACAGGCAGTCGGCAATGAGGATGGTGAATGCGAAGATGTGAAGAAGAGGATGGCTGTGACGGAAGTGGTCGTGGTGGAGACTTGGGATAAGACGGGTTTGACGCGACGGGGCGCTTCTGTTTAGGATGCAATTGACGGTGTTACTGCAGAGCGTCGTACTAGGACGGAAATTTAGGTTAAGTTACGGGTTGCACAATATGTACGCCGTCGCAGTGGATGACGTGTGGGCGTGTGTTCAAGACAGACTAATAAAGTTTCTGTCCTATTCGGAGTGGAGCAGCCTTTCCTCATCGCCGCCGTGCCTGTTCTTCTTGTTCGCCTGTTGCTTGCTGCTACTCGGCGGTGCCTGCAATGAGTTATCCTCTCGATTCTTGTCTCTCCCCTTGCGAGACTCCCTGTAGTGAGTTACAGTAGCACACTGGCTCTTTTTTCTTTCTCGCATCGCCCTCCCTGAGAGCGTCAGCCCCATCTCTCCCGTGCGAGGCGTTATCGAGGCGCTACCTGTACCACCGTCTCGGGATCTCTCTGGCTCTCCACTGCCCGGTTTTTCCTTTCATCGTGCTTCGTCTGGTGAATGATCCCCGTTCCTTGTCGAATGCTTTGCACGCGAGTCCTGCTCACGTCCTTTTTACTCAGCATCGTGCTAACATCTAGTTGGCACACCATCAATTACGACCAAACCCCCCCCCCCCCCCCCCCCC